TGAAGATTCGAAAGGACAGCCAGAAATGATACAAGGAAACCCGAAGGTTCGGCGCTATGTGTATGAGTATCTGCAGAACTTGCATCGATTGCTGTGGAAGATGGGAAAGTACGGAGGGACTTTCTCGGGGAAGAAGGTACGACTATGTGATGCTGAACTCAACATAGTGGGGTTCTCGTGCTCGTACTTCGGGAGGAAACCCACGGATACGTCGGTCAAGAAGATCACCGATTGGCCTCCTTGTCGAAACGTGAAGGAGGTGAGGGGATTCTTAGGCACGGTAGGACCGGCCAGGAACTGGATCAAGAACTATGCTGTCATCGCTCGCCCGCTGGTGCGACTCACGGCCGGCAAGATAGCCGACAAGGACTTCGTCTGGAGCGACGAAGCCGATCAGGCATTCAAGGACATCAAGGCAGCCATAGCCAAGTGTGGGTGGATGCGACCGATCAACTACTCGTCTGATGGGGAGATATACCTGGCAGTGGATTCCAGCCATATAGCCGTAGGCTTCGAGATAGGACAAGACCATGAGGGAACCAAGAGACCCGCCAGGTTCGGTAGCATCACCTTTTCTGAACGGGAATCTCGATACTCGCAGGCGAAGCTAGAACTGTTCGGTGTATTCAAAGCGCTGAAGAAGTGTGCACAGTGGGTATACGGTCGAAGGATACGATTGGAGATAGACGCCAAATATCTCATAGAGATGATTGGTTCACCGGAATTACCTAACTCGGCAATGACGAGATGGTTGTGGTACATCCATAACTTCGACTTATACATCGTGCATGTGCCAGCGAACAAGCACATGGTGGTGGATGGACTGTCCCGCCGACGCCGAACGGAAGAGGATACGGATGAAGAGGATGTCGAAGCTTGGCTAGACGCCGCATGTGGACTTGCTCATGTCGAGCACGCGGAGCCGTTACCGACTCTGTGTAGCACGAATCTGATACAGGAGTACTATGATGACGAGTGGAAGCGATTGGGAGACTACCTGGAGACAGGGGAAATGGAAGAAGGGTTGAGCGCCAGTGCTGCGAACAAGTTGAGGGCTAAGGCCCGATCGTATTTCATACGGCACGGGAAAATCTACCGACGGATCAACAATGAAATGCCACGCGAGGTGTTGGGGACGCCAGCTAGACGGGAAGCCGTGCTGAAAGCAGCCCACGAAGAAGGAGGACATAAAGGATCACTCGCTCTCCGACATCGGGTTGGTCTCAGTTTCTTCTGGCCGGGTATGGCTAAAGACGCGGAAAACTTCGTGAAAGCCTGTGACCTCTGCCAACGCCGAGATCCGAGACGGTTTGAGGAGGAAAACCGGTCCACTTATCCCGCCGATCTGGGTAGAGTGTGGGGTATTGATTTGGTGACCCTACCGCCATCGGGAGGATACCGCTATATCGTTATAGCTCGGGAGGATGTATCGAAGTGGGTTGAAGCAAAGGCCATACGAAAGAAGGAAGCGTCGACAGTCGCCAAATTCATCATGGAGAAGATAGTTACCCGATACGGAAGCATATCGCGACTGAAGAGCGACCAAGGATCCGAATTCATGGGCGAAGTGCTGGTTGAGATGGCCAAGTTCAAGATCACCCACATACGGACTAGTCCTTATCACCCGCAAGCCAACGGGATGACTGAACGAGGGAATGGACCGTTCAAGGAAGCGTTGTACCGAGTTGCAAGGGATGTGAAGCAGCCCTGGCACAAGCTGATCGACTTCGCTTGTTGGGCCGAAAGGACTACCTATTCACGGACTACAGGGTACACGCCATATCGGTTGATGTTCGGACAAGATTGCGTATTACCATTCGACTTGGAGGAAGCCACGTTCTTAGTGAGAGGGTACGAGGACGGGTGCAGTAGCGGGGATCTACTGCATCATAGAATACGGCAGCTGCTGCGACGAGAGGAGGACATCGAGTTAGCGCGAGAGAGGCTAGCCATATCTCGGGAGATCTCTGTGAACGATCACAACTTACGACACGATCGAAGGATGAACGAACCTTATTCGCCGGGCGATTGGGTTCTGTTGCGAGATTCTGCAAGGGACGTCACATATCAAACCAAGGACGCAGATAGATGGTTCGGACCTTATGTTGTGGTGGAACAGACCAGAGGTAGAGCTTACCGGATCCGAGAGCTAGATGGAGCGCTGCGACAAGAATTGGTGGCGCATACGCGTTTACGCCCGTACTACCGACTCGACATTCTTCAAGGTTTACCGGAAGTGATTTTACCCGAAGACGGGGAAGTAGAAGATTCCACTGATGACGGAGAGGAGGAAGACCGAAATGAAGAAGAAGATATCGAGCGACAGTGGGGATGGATGCGAGACATGGACGAGCCAAGACCTACCGGACCTTGGGTGCCCACGGCTCGCGATACCATACGTATCTGATAGGGAGGCTAGGACGGGGAGCCTAGTCGGAAAGAGGGAAGGATACGAGGATAGAAAGGTAAAAGGTAGAAGAGAGAACGAGAGAAAGGAATGCGAGAAGAGAAAAACATTATATAGATATAAAAAGAAGGAAAAACGTACAAGGAATCACACTAGAGGGAGCTGGGTCATGTGGGATATGATGAGGATATCCCTAGGGGACAGCACCGACCTCCATCGCAAAAACTCGGCATACCGCGCATCGGTCTCCTCCTTGAGAACGGTACGGAACAGAGGGGTTCTGTTCAAACGAAAAAAAAAAAAAAATGGAAAGAGAGTCAGATACGGGATATCTAGTACGCGGAAGAAGACGAACCTTAGAAGCTCCGTGCCTTCAGACGATGGCCGCGGGAGAGAGTAGAGATGGTTCCTCCCATACTCCAGCATCCAACCCAACGACAGTTCGATCTCGGCCTCGGGAACCTTCGCCCACCCTGCCACGCTCGTCAAGAGTAGCGTGAAGGAGAAGAGCCACGCCTCTTTGCGCCAGGGATCCTGGCTCCTCGCAACCTGAAACAGGATGCGATCGAGGAGACTGTAGACGTCCCCCGGGAAACCCAAGACCGCGCCGGTACCAGGAAAGGGAATGTAGAATCCGAATATATCCCGGAGGATCGTTCGGACGGCGAGGAATAGTTCGAATAGAAAGCGCTGTGAAGAAAGTTAGATCGAGATGAATGGAAGGCCTAGGAAGGATAGCGAGAGGACCTACTTGTTTCCATTCCGGTAGAGGGAAGCAGCGGTTTCCCTCACGCCTCCTCACCCTCCATTCATCGATCATCAACGCCCAGGCATCCGCGTTGGTCCACACGGGAGCAGTGATATCCGGGCGGGCTTCGACATTGTGGAAGGAAGAGTTCATTGTGGCGGAACGTTTTACTATTCTAGGTTGGAGTACGAGTGAGAAGAAGATGGATTGAGATAGATAGCGAATACTGGATATCGAGAAGAGAGAAGACGTCAAGAAGAAGGGCAAGAAGCTTCTTAAGTATATGGGGAACGTATACTAAGAAGCATAGCTTCTTTGGGCAATTCGGTAAAACCACAAAAAGACAAAAAGAACAGAAAAAACGACGATCCGAGTAGCGAAGTGATACGACGATGACGGCGCTAGAACCCGCGCAGTGGATACGACGACAGAGTTTGTACGACGAAGGATCGGCAGACGACCGGGGAAGACGACAACGAAAGGACGTTTGTGCGTAAGCACGTAGAGATACTACGTGTACGGGAAGTTCGGAACAATACGGAGATTAGGAAGAAGCACCACAACCGTCGAGAAGCCTGCTGCAGCGAAAATCAGAAGAGAGAACGAGAAGGCTACGGGACGATATCATCGTCACATCGGACTACACGACTACAACCGCAGCCCATTCATCCCTCGCGACGGGCCTCCTTTTCGTAGGGAGGCGGGGGCTGAAGCGAAAAAGGATAGAGATCGGTTGGTTAAGTGTGTCGAAAGAAAAAGACGTAGGAGGGAGACATACGGGGGGAGAATCGTCGCGAACGACGATGGGAGAATCGTCGCGGACGACGATGGGGTTTTGAGCCGTTCCGGGCTCGTAGCGAGGTGGCGGGGCTGCAATACATATATCGGGGATCAGTATACCTATGCGAAATGTGGACCAGCTTCGTACTCACTCGAACCGCTAGGACGGGCTAAAACGAGGAACCGAGAAGGAGGATTAGACCCAGCCAAGAGAACGTACTCGAGTCGACTTACGCCGGTGAGACCCAGGACCCCGAGGAAGGTTCCTCGGAGAAGTGTTGGCTACGGAGAACAAGAATAGGAAGGTCAGCGAAGAAGAAGGATGAAGACTAGAGAGAGATACATACCTTTCTTGGCAGGGGAGGGGGTGTTCTTCTTAGGAGCCTTGGACATTTTGAAGTTTTAGGTATGAAGAAGAGAAGAGAGAGATATGAGGGAGGAAGGGGGGATAGACGGGAACGACAAAACGACTTAGACTATATACCTTTCGAAGAAGCTCGAAATCGGTGTACGCGACGTCACGGGACCCTTGAACTTGCTTCCGCTCGACGACAGCGACTATGGCGGAGTTGGAGTACTACTACAGTTGTGCCTACGATAAGGCATATCAAGGAGAGAAATCAGGCAGCGAATATCATCGATGATCTAAGTTCGAGCTTCTTAGGTGGATACGCGCTCTGCTTACCCAATCGGGAAATTCGAGGTGACGCACCCCGTTTCCCGATGACGTTATCTTCCGACGAAGAATCTAGCGAGCGACAACTTCCCATGGGTATACTAAAGGCAGGAGAACAGCGACGATCTACCCGACTGAAGTGTAGGGATTCCGAGGAACAAAGACGACGATTTGGAACAAAAAGAAACCTCCCGCGCGTAGGAATTTGCATCCGCGGTCGTACATGGACAAAAGCGCGACTACACCTCTGCCATCTGAAACACGTTCCTAAGCAAGGTGTTCACGTCGGTACCTAGTGGACACTGCTGTCGGGATGGGTATAAAGACTCACGGGATACGGTCGAAGACTGAAGAGCATACGACGGAAGACACATCCAGCATCAGGCAAAATGGACGAAGGTTTTATCAACGACGAGGTCGACTATAGCGTCGAAGACGACAGCTATACCGACGACCAACTCCCTACCAACTACGAGAGAGTTTCTGCTCAGGTACAGCAGGAAACCCCTTCTAGCTGGGGCGACGACATTCCAGATACCGTCAAGGCTATGCCTGCTCCTACTATCGTCACGGGTACACCTAGAGTCAGCGGGGCTGCTCAGAAGGAAACCCGGGCGGAACAAAGTACTACGAAGCCCAACGAGGCGGCGCGTGTTGCACGAACTCGGACCACTGAGGAAATCCTCAAGTGTGGACGTTGTGGTACCAACGCGCATGGACAGGGCCGAGGATGCCCTTGGTTGGAAGAAGTATTGAGGAGCGGCGCCCTCACTCGGGTCGGAACGGACGACAACTACGACCTGATCCGATTGGACCTTGCCGAACCTTTATCTTTGAACCGGTACATCTCCAATCATAAGGGGGCACCGATCAAGAGTACTAAGGAAGCATTCGAGTTGAGCTGCCGGAGCTACTCGATGAACTCGGTTAAGGCCATTCCGAAGTGGTACCGATTCGAAGGGCAGATTCCATCCTTGCTGGGAAGGATGAGGACTACGATTGACTCAAGGGCCGGGGTTCCCTTGAGGGTGAACGAGAATACGAGGATCGAGAGGGCTGCGCCGTTCTACGGAGGCGTCGGGCCTAGCTCGGTTCCCCGTCTGATGACTGGCAGAACTCCCGCTCGACCGCTCGCGGAGAGGATCACGCCTGCTGGTAGTGGACGCTGGAGAGACGATCGTCTTGATAGGCACGAACACCGACCTGTAACCGTTACTCAGGAGGTTATGCGAGGACCTACGCCGGTGTTCATTACCTCCAAGACCGATGACAACTTCATCCTTACCGATTCAACTGGGAAGGATTACTTGTTGAACCGTGGTTCGATTGCGGCGTGGACCCGTCAGGGACCGCTTTAGCGACTGAGGACATCGCAGGGAAGAAGAGAACGACTTGTGGTGACAGGAATCTATCGGCCCCGACGGTCGCCTACTTCCTACATCCGCGGTTCGCTCTCGACTACCTCGACCTCGCCGCTGTTGGTCACGGTGGATTACTAGACGGCAGCTGACGGTGGATTAGAAGGTTTCATCGGACGACGGGAGACGGGATACACGTGTATAGGTCGAGGCATACGGGCAGAGGAGAAGCGGAAGACGCACGGCCCGGAGTATAGACCGTTCCGGTACTTTACTCGGTCGCGCTGGCGTAAGCGTACGCTAGACACGTATAAAGGTCCCCACCTCGATATTCGATTCCCCTCTTTTCCATCGCCGTTTCACCGTTGTAGGAGAAGCAAGCAGTAGAGAGACCAGTAGTGGACGTTTATTCATAGCTTTTATCCCACATTCCACTTTCGGTATACACCTACCGTTCGACCTCGCTGATTCGCCGCTTCGCGTTTCACGTTTACTTCCCATCACCCGCTTAGACGACGGATCTATAGCTGGCTTCCGGACAAGGTTAAGTAGATCGGCGTCAGAGTACGGCCCTTGCTAGCTTGCCACCCCGAGAGGTTTCGAGTTTATACGACTTCGCCGTATCGCGTTTGATCGGAGATATCACCTTTTACCTTCGAACGTCACGTGACCTGAATCACGTGACGCTTACACGACTTTACCTACCACTCACCCCCCTATAGTCTACCGGGAACAGCACTTGCCTACCTGGACATCCCTTACCACTCCTAGGCTTAGCAACCCTACCTACCTACCTACCCTACCGCCAACTCAGACGAGTTGTTGTTTGACGTCGTCATCGACGTTTGATCCCGAAGACCGGGATTGACCCTACACCGCAAGATCTTGGAGACCACTAAAAGGGTCCCGCTGGGTCTTGCGCGCCTTCGGCTCCTTGACCGACCTCGCATCGATCAACTGTTCGATCTTGGTGGTAAGGTCGTCCTGGTCCTTACGTTGCCTGGCGAGTTCGTCCAGGAGACGACGGTTCTGTTCCCGAAGTAAATCCAATTCGGTTTCTTCGCTATCTTCCGTATGAGGGACGACCCTCTCTTCCGAATCGGCCGGTCGTCGGTCGACATCGTCCGGATCTTCGGAGTTTTCTTGCGAAGGTCGTATGTTCCCACGGGTTCCCGCCCTGGTGGCCGGACCCGTGCCTCTATTGTTGTTGTTCGTTGCCTGGCTTGACATCTTGAAAGGTGTGATAAAAGAAGCGCAGTTATGCTGTTACGGGCGTCCTCGAAAATCGTCTAAGGGGTTGCTTCCGCGTATTTACTTCCGTCGCGACTACGTGGCGAGTCACAGGTTTCTAGATGCAAGCGAAGTCGGATCACGTGACTACGATGTCTCACGGTCTTTCTCGAGTTCGTGTGAAGTCGCGACACTGTACTAACGATAGCGAGTTCGTCGGTGATAGTGTAACCTCTCCTAGTACGTCTCCGTAGTATAACTAAGGTATAGGCGTATGTCGAATGTAATAACTGCGCTTGAATCGTATAGAAGTACAACAGACTCGCACGACTTCTCTACGATTCGCGCTCCGTTATATGCTAACTACGTACTCGCGTTGCTCGCACCGAATCCGCTATTGTTTACCGAGTTCGCCCGACTTCGTGCTTGTCTTCTTTGTTCGAGAACAAAAGGCTGTCGTCCGTCGGTCACTCTTTCAGGCGAACAATAGACGGTCGAACACACGAAGTCGCGGTTTTCTTTTGTTGACTTCGTGCGGATCCGCTGGGTGTCGCCCGATCCGGGCCGATGACCTAGATGCGCGTCGATCCCATGCTGCCGTTCGGTCACGCCCTGTGACACTCGGACACCTCATCAATACCATGCAAAGCACGCAGCAGTCGTTAGTTACTCAGGTCACTCGTATAGAGCAAGAACTCGCGGCACTCACCCAGTCTAACGCGGCAAAGGAGGATGTGATTCGCAAGCAGAACGCAAAGATTAGCAGGATGGAAGAAGAGCTGGTTCAAGTTAACTCACGTTTGGCGGACTTGCAATCACTCGCAGAGAAGCGAGGACTCGATGCAGATGATCAGGATGAGGACGACCTGTCGAAGGAGGTCAGGAAGGTTGTCGCCCTTGCTATCGAGGTCGCATACGGTTGTTGTAAGGCCCGGGAGCGACCCCCGGCGAGGGTCCCCCTGGACAGGCTGACGGGACGCAGGAATGAGGCAAGGTACGGGTAGACATCTAAATGTAATAACGGATGTAGAGCTATTACAAGGGTACTAGTTCTACATTAACATAACAATACCGAAAAGTACCCCCGACGGGAGTCGCATACGGGAATCGCGTACGGCGCGTCCGACGCGTCACGTGACCGCTATAACAGGATCCCCCTCCTAGATGCGGACTCCGAACGCATCAAGCGTCGGCGTACTCCTGTCGACCGGGCTGCGGTAGATGGGGGTAGCGCTTGTGGAACGCCGTGACGACCTTGTTGTCGTGATCGAACTCGGCGGGGCTGACCCACTCGTTCGACTCGTCCCCGTACCCTTCGAATCGTACTAAGTACTGGGTCTTCTTCCCGGACCTCCCGGATTGCAACGCCTTTGAGTGTACGATCTCGGACACCACATACCCTAAGTCGCCGTTGTCGAGGACTTCGGGGGTAGGCGGTTCAACTACCTCTCTTCCTTCCAGTTCGTTGGCCCGATAGGGAATGAGCAGCGACACATGGAAGACGGGATGCACCCGGCGTAATTGTGCGGGGAGTTCCAGCCTCCTTGCCATCTTGCTTTGGCCGATGATCTCCGTGATTGGGAAAGGCCCCAGCGTCTTCATCGAGAGCTTCTGGCTGGGGCGCACCGATGTCAAGTTCTTGGTGGATAACATCACCAAGTCGCCTACGTTGTAACCCTCGTCAGGGACGGCGGTACGCTTCCGATTCGCGTACTTCGCCATGTCTTGTCGCGCCTGTTCCAGCGCCTCCTTCACCGACTTGTAAATCCCATCGAGTCGGTCTCGATACTCCCCCGCCGACTCTACCGCCTCCTTCCTAGTGCCGGGTACCGGTAGGGAGAAGCTGTGTTCCCTTCCCTTGGACGCCATGAATGGCGACATCCCGATGGCAGAGTGTTTTGCGTTGTTGTAAGCGAACTCCGCCATGGAGAGTAACTCCGCCCAGTCGTCTTGGAGAAAGTTGACGTACGACCGCAAGTATTGCTCCAAGGTGGAGTTACTTCGCTCGGTCTGACCGTCCGTCTCCGGGTGGAACGCCGTGGAGTAACTATTCTCCACGTTCGCCATGCGGCACAGATCTTTCCAGAAACGCGAGGTGAACAACGTACCTCGATCCGAAATGATCTGCTTCGGGAACCCATGCAAACACACCCACCGGTCGAGGAACAACCGCGCCAAGAACGAGGCGTCGTTGTCCTTCCGACAAGCGACGAAGTGCGCCCGCTTGCTGAATCGATCGACGATCACCAGGATCGAGTTGGACCCCATGGACTCGGGCAGATCCGTGATGTGATCCCAAGTGATCGATTCGTACGGTCCTGCCGGTACCGGTAGCGGCGCTAATTCGCCGACAGGTGTTACGGCGGAAGTCGCTAATGGGCGATTGGTCCTAAGTCGTAAGGCGTAGGGTGCTTAAGGTCGATCGCAGGTAGTCGGGAGAATGTCGCAAGTTCGCTTAGATGAAGCGGGTTCGGGTGCGGGATACGAATCCAGAGATGTATGGATAAGGAAGGTGATCACTCGGTGTGAGGTACCAGATTCGGTCTAAGGTAAAACGATGAAGCGTAGATACTTAGCGACGTCCTTGAGTTGTAACCTCTCCGCAACACGTCTTGAAGATGTTGTAACAAGTCAGATAGGCGTGTATTGAATGTGATATCGGAACTTGACCTCTAACTATTACAGAGCGTCCTCTATCGAATTCGGTCAAGTTCCTCTAGCTATTTATACGGAGACGAGTGCGTAGACGGGCTGGCGAACACTGAAAGACCCAAGAGAAAAGAATGGCGAGAGATGGCGAAACTGGAAGAACGAGATGGCGAACAGACGAATCCTGTCGAGAGCAGCCGGATTCGGTAGAGGAGGCGAGTTTGAGTTCTCATTTGTCCCTAGGTACGTCGAGTAAGGTTGTCGAGGTCCTGAGTAGAGTGTCGTGTACCTCGAGGTCCCTGTACCTGTTTGTGATATGTGTCGGGAAGGTTTGTTGTTTCGGTGAATGGTGAAGGCGAATGGTAGGGGCGACCGAATCTGCTCCGAGGGAATCGGATTCGCCTCGTCGAGCCGGACTTAGGTGTATGCTCATGTCCGTAGATCGAGCCTGTGTGTCGGTAGTCGACTCACGTGATGATCCCGTAACAACAGGCTCCATCCGGGGCCGCCGATTGCGCTGACATATGCTGCAGCTAGCGACGTACTCCCCGATCCACTTCGCCATCCCAGGCCAGTAGAAGTCCCTACTGGTCAGCTCCACGGTCTTGTCCCGCCCCCAATGGCCGGCGGCCTTCCCGTCATGTAGACGCTTCATCAGCTCTACTTTGATGTTCCCTGCGTTGGGGACATACACCAACCCGTTGTACAGGAGAACCCCAGTGGGGCTCAAGCTGTATCGCTCGTTCGCCAAGGTTCCCGCCTTGAGCTGCGCTACGAGCTCTTTCGCCACCGGGTCGTCCTGCGCCGCCGGTATCAGCGCTTTCACCATCCAGTCGCCCAGTGCGGGGATGGTGCCATTCAACCGCAAAGGCGGTCGCTCAACCGGGCTACACCCCTCAGAGGGTGCGTCTTCGACAGGCCGGAGCAGAGTCTCCGCTCGCTTCGGTTCTGTCTCCTCCATCAACTCTTCCCGCCGACTCAACGCGTCGGCCTTCCCGTTCTCCGTTCCCGGTTTGTACTCCAGGGTGTAGGAGATCTGGTTCAACAGCTGCGACCATCGCGCCTGCCGTTGAGACAATACCTTGTCCCTCTTGAAGTACTCCAAGTTCTTGTGATCCGTGAGGATCCGAACGGGGTACTTGTTGTCGAGATAATGTCGCCATATCCGACTGCAATAAACGATGGCCAACAGTTCCCTGTTGTGCACATCGTAGTTCCTCTCGGCGGGCGTCAGACTCTTCGACATGAACGCTACCGGGTGGAGCTTCCCATCGTCCCCTACCTGGGACATCACTGCGCCGATCGCTCCAGAGGAAGCGTCGGTCTCGAGCACCACTTGGCGCTCCTCGTTGTAGTGCGCCAATATAGGCGCCTGGGTGAAGGACTCCTTCAATTCTCGGAACGCAGCGTCAGCGGCTGCCGTCCAGGAGTACTTCACCCCTTTCTTTGTCAGGGCCGTCATTCCCTGAATCTTCTTGGAGTAGTTCTGAATGAACCTCCGATAGTAGTTTGCAAATCCTAAGAAGGACTGCAGTCCCCGAATGTTCTTCGGGGGGGCCCAGTCCAAAACGGACTTGACCTTAGAGGGGTTCATACTAACCCCCGTCGGGGCAATATCGTACCCCAAGAATTCGGTAGCCACCGTATCGAACTCACACTTCTCCACTTTCGCATACAGGCCATTTGCCTGCAGCCTCTTCATAACCTCCTTGACCTGACCATCGTGGGTCTCCTGGTCGGAGGAGTAAATAAGTATATCGTCGAGGTAAACGACGACGCACACATCCAAAAGGTCTTGGAAGACCTCGTTCATCCACCGCTGAAAGGTAGCGGGGGCGTTGGTCAAGCCGAACGGCATGACCAAACATTCGAACAGACCGAAACGTGTAGTAAACGCGGTCTTCCAAATGTCTTCTTCTTTTACGCGTAGCAGGTTGTACGCGCCTCGGAGGTCCATCTTCGTGTAGACCTTCGCGCCCTTCAACCTGTCTAGCGTCTCTGAGATGAGGGGTAGGGGCGTCCTATCCTTCACCGTAATGTCGTTAAGGCGACGGTAGTCGATGCACATACGCATCTCGCCGCCTTTCTTCGGTACAAACAGTACCGGGCTCGAGCAGGGCGACTTCGACGGCCTGATGAACCCCTTCTCCAGATTCTCCTTCAACCACTTCTTTAGCTCCTCACTCTCCCGCTGGGAGTGGTTATAGAGCTTCTGATACGTCGGCGACGTACCGGGTTTGAGTTCGATCGCATGGTCGATCGATCGCTTCGGGGGCAGTGTATCTGCCTTCGTCTTGGAGAACGCTCCAAGATGTTCATGATACTTCTCCGGTACCATGTCCCTCAGCTTCTCCATATACTCGGGAGGGTCCAGGTCATCCTGGAACGAGTCTGTAGGTTTGACGTCCCAATCCCACAGGTCCGGGCGCCTCGCCCGCTCGTCGTCCTCCCGGGTCATCTGCATTTGTGCGACGACCAAATCCTCCGTGATAGACCCCTTCATCTTCTTGAACGGGTCGATCCCTCGTGTCTCCACCTCTACTTCGTCCGGAGCATACACCGTCTCGGGCCTCTTGAGACATCCCGTGCTGATGCAGACATCCCCGAACGTCACCGCGTTGGAGTCCCATTGGATATGCGGATTGTGTCTCCGCAGCCAAGGGATACCTAGTACGACCGGGTACCCACTCAAATCGGTGAGGTGGAACTCGGTCAGCTCCAGGTGCACTCCCGTACGTACCAGCGTACGAGCCTTCTGGGTGATCCTTCCTCCCTGGATCTCCCGACCATCGATCACCGTTACTACCCGCGGCGTCTCGAGGTCCGTTACGTTGAATCCATGTAGCGACGCGAATGTCCGATCCATGAACATCCCGGTCGCTCCCGAATCCAACAACATGAGTGCTTGGACCGGCACTCCTTCCGGGTAGAACACTCCTACCAACGTCAGATGGCTATCTGGACCGTTGGGTACTCCGCTTGCACCCAACTGCAAGGGGATCCGGCTACCTCCCTGTGCTCCCCCATTCGGGGTCCTTCGATGATCCGTTATTCTGTAAGGGCCGGGAGCGACCCCCGGCGAGGGTCCCCCTGGACAGGCTGACGGGACGCAGGAATGAGGCAAGGTACGGGTAGACATCTAAATGTAATAACGGATGTAGAGCTATTACAAGGGTACTAGTTCTACATTAACATAACAATACCGAAAAGTACCCCCGACGGGAGTCGCATACGGGAATCGCGTACGGCGCGTCCGACGCGTCACGTGACCGCTATAACAGTTGTAACCCGTGCGTTGCCTATCCAGCCGAGGGTCAGGTTTGGCCGAAGCTCAAGACGGCCAGCGGGGCCGAAGACGGACATGATGCGATGAGATGGGATTATAATGAGACACTGTCGTCGGATGGGGACGAGCCGGAAACTGCCAAGCTACGCACCATACTCGAATTCAACCTTGGTTCGCTACCCATCACTGCCGACATGATCCGCGAAGACTTGCCGTGGTTCAACGATCACAAGGATCTCTATTCGTCCGCGATTACCGTTCGGTTCAGGGCCCTTTCCCAGGCGTGGAAACGCAAGCAGGCAATCGCTTGGCAGAAAGAAGGAAAGCGAGCCGAGTTAATGCAGGAGATTGAGGAGTTACAGAGCCGCAACTCACAGGCTCCTCCGGAGATGCAAAACACGCTCGAGCAGAAGAGAGCGTTCTTGGCGAATATGGAAAAGGGATTGAAGCCGGAGAGGCAGGCCAAGGGGGGAGTGCGATCGAAGCTTACAGTGGTAAGTCCCGTTGTTGAAGTGAGGTGCCACAATGCCGCCAGATTAAGCTCACCGACGCACATGGGTTCACCTCGCCAGATGGCAAATTTCATGACGACTAAACGACCGACCTTGCCGGATTATAGCGGAAGCGACTGGGCTTGTATGGATACCGTTTATTCCTTGATCCCGCCGGTCATGAGTAATCCGGAAGCTGTGGGGAGAAAGAAGTGGCATTGGCCCAGGAAAGATTCGGTTTATTCGCCTCAAGTGAGTAGCAGTCACCAATCGTGCTGAGCTGCAGGCCAATTCCAACTTACCTCGGCCTGTCCCGGTCCACTTCAGTTTCTCCAAGCCTTCTACGACATCTACGACAGCCCGAACACCACTGGATCGAAAATCACAGGTACCACCATCAGCCCATTGTCCGACGCAGAGGGAGGATGGACTCCTCCTGATGCCAAACCGTACTTGCCTTCTGACCACGAATTCCTCTGGCAAGGTGCGCAACGATGGATGTTCACCCCAACCTGGCTCGAGGAACACCCGGATGCGCCCATCGTTCCGTGCAATCGACCGACGGATCCCGAGGTTGTCCGCAACTCTGTCTGGTACAAGACCCACTCATGGGCGATCAGCAAACCAGGCGGAAAGAAAGGTGCTACCAAGAGAGGCCGCTCACAATCTACGGCCGCATCCGGTTCGACGAAGCGTGATCGGTCCTACAGCGCTGCTCCAGCTAATGACGGCGCGACGCACGACGGCGAGCAGGATGGATATGGGCATGTCGGCAAAAAGCGCAGAGTGATGGAAAACACCGGATTCAGTTTATCACAGGTCGATGAAGAAGACGAGGGACAAGGAGAAGAGGAAGAAGAGCACGCTTACTCTGAACACGAGATCGAGTTTCCTCGCAGCGCCGCCCCTCAACAGTTCATCCGGGATGAGATTCCCGGATTGACTGTCACTGCGCGGGCTAGCGGGTCTCGACAGGCTGGACAGACCTACTCGGGTTATCAGCCCAAGAGCGTTCCTCAAGCCGAAAGATCGCGTCAGCCTGGAGATCGCTTCCCTGTACCCCAACCCGAGACCGCCGGAGATTTCGAGACTATACCCGGATCGCAGTCCCAAGGGCAGGGCCTTTTCCTGGGAGGTCTGCCGACTGACCAACAACAAGACGAAACGATTGATTACGACGCCGCCGGCATCGACTTTGACGCCATCATGGCTAGCCTCGGCCCAATCAATGCCGACCTCGGAGCTACTCACGACAATCCCTCAGGCATGGCAAACGATGGGGATGAAACCATTCCTGGAATTCTCAACCCTGACACGATCGCGTTGTTCTAGAACTCCGAACATGACCAAGGCGAGTCGAATCAATTCTGTTTTCATGGTTCAGAGCTGATCAGTGCCTGCCGCTTTTGCAGAGCCGTACCATACGATCGACTCACGCCTCCCGTACACCTGGCTCAGCTATGTACATGACCTCCTGCATCCTCCTGCAGGCACGCCCCACAGCCCCCATTGTATTCAGCTTCGAATGGCGATAAAGCGCCCAAAACAATGTCAACACGTACCATGTCATCAAAATTCATCGTTCTCGTTCACGACGTCTTCGTCGTCGTTTCCGTCCGTATTCAACCAGAATTCTGGTTCCTCTCCGTCCTTCTCACACGAGGAAGATATCAAGCAGATCCCATCAGAGCGGGTGGTAAGCTGTGTCACGATGGTAGACGCCTTCATGTTCTCCAGGGGGACAAAGACAGCAGGTCGATACCTCTTGCGATAGATGCGTATACCGAGATCGATCGAGCTGATTGGACCATCATCGTCAGTGGCGATAGACTACGGCTCGTCAATGCAGCGAGACCTACCGATACTGCCAAGGGTAGTTGCCAGTCGCCTCCTCCAGAAATTCGACCAGAGCTAGGGTGAGCCGCAGGGGTGCGGGCAGATGATCGACCTTCAGTTTGAGGCTGAGAAATAACCTGATCCTGCACAGCTCCCGTGGACCGTCCTGATTTGCCGGATCAGGTGAGGCGAGGGCAAATTGTTACGGGATCATCACGTGAGTCGACTACCGACATACGGGCTCGATCTACGGACATCGGCATACACCTAAGTCCGGCTCGACGAGGCGAATCCGATTCCCTCGGAGCAGATTCGGTCGCCCCTACCATTCGCCTTACCATTCACCGTGTTAAGGGTGAGCCCTGCTATGCCCTTAGTCGCTCCTCTACGCGGGACTTGTACTAGGTTCTAAGCCTACGGATTGTATGACGGATGGAGAACTATCTAATACAATGGTATGGATAGGTCTCCATCGAAGTTCGCCGTCTATATACTCCGGTATGTTATTGTCGGAGCGACGCGACCAGCCATCCCGGCGGTCAGCCCCGTCGATCACGTCCGTCGATCGCGCCCGTAGAACATGCCCGAACCGTTCTCCCTGATAACTTCCGATGGGGCAGTCGATCTCTAACAGTATCCCCCGTCTAGGGCGAGCTCCGAACGCCCTTGATCGTCGGTCGGATCAGCCCGAACGACGGGATACGCTCGACTCCGTCGGCCTTCTCCTCGTCCTCGATTCGGACCCCTACGTGCTGCCTTATCGCCCTGCGTTCGGCTCGTGAGGGGTAGGTGTCCGATTCTCTAGACCGAGGGTCCTCCTCGCTTCGCCGTTATCTCGGACATCGTTCAAACCCATCGCCGACCCCTGTATCGTCGGGGACGACAGTGGCTACCTGGTCGTACCGTTTCACGGAGTAGTTGTAACCCTTCTCGGATGTATCCGATGTCGCTTCGCCCAACCGAGGTTCTGTCTCAGTTAACCCTCGGTGGTTCTGTCGGGGAACCTCCCCCTACCTTTGCAAACTGCGTTTCATCGCCAAATTCGGTCTTGGCCGGCGCCCGAGCCCGGCTAGGGTCGCCTTTTCTCACACCTTAACGACCCTGCGGCGTTAGGCGGCTGTTCTTTCCTGTTCTATGACGTTTGTCGTCTTGTTCCTGGATGGAATATCCACTGATCGGTTCCAATGAAACGTCCTTTGGCAGCGGAGTCTAATTGTAGAGCATATCCACTCCTTTCGCGACGCGCGAACTTTATTCCTCGGCTCCGCGAGTTGTACGACGCTGTCGCTGTAAACAAAGGTCCTCTCCTTGTTCCGCCTTCACATCAGGCCCTCTCCGTTTCCCGCCTGGACTCTGTTTTTTCATCGTCCCCCAGCCAAAGGGCTCGAGGGCCGTGGGGTATAAGGTCGGGCACCCCCCTCGACGATATCCCCTTTTCCCCCCGTCTCTCAATTCTCTCTCTTTCTCTCTTCACCAAAACACCGACGGACTTCTCCATCTCCGAGATGTCTACTTACCACGGTACTCCGAGCAAGAATCACGGCACCCCGAAGAGGGGTGTCAAAAGGTCCACCGCGCCTGCTGCCAGTGAGTCTCTCGCACACGTCCGACGGGCAGCTCCGACCCTGATCGCCGTTCGTAGATGTGTTCATCGACTCCGACGAGGAGGACGATGACGACGACGAGGGGTTCTCGTCCCCCCAGAAGAAGGCCCGACCCTTCAAGATCGACGACGACGACAAATGGGTCCGATACCAACCGACCGGCGCTCCGTACTGGAGCGGATGGACCCAGGCTCAGAGTACGTCCGACGTGTCTTTCGCCGGAGTTGTCCGTCTCCGCTAATTTCGGTCTTTGGTAGTTACCCAATTCAAGAGGGACGAAGCCGCTCGTCCGGAGTTTGGCGAGTCCCAATACGAGGCCGTCCTCCAGTCGATCCAAGGCGGCCTTATCCTCGACGCCAACAACACCCTCGTAAGCCACTCCCGCGATTATTACCGACGACCCTTTCCGTCGTCCGTCTCCGTCGCTGACCTCCGACGGCTCACGCCGACGCTTCTTTCCTCGCAGGCCACCGTCAAAGGGTATTGGCAACTCGCCTGTTGCGCCTGCCACGAGGAGCACGTTTCCCGCCGACTCCCCAACCAGTCGGTCATCTCCCCGGCCGAGCAGGTCGGCGCTCTCCACGGGTACCAGATCGTCGACAAGGTCGTCTACGAGGGCCTCGTCTTGTGCCGTCGAACCCCCTCCGTCCCCGGGAAAGGCTCGAAGGCCTCTACTTGCTTCCGCTGCTCGAAGTCCAAGGTCCGATGCGACAACGTCCTTCCGGTTCACCCGGCGTTCACCAACTCCGCGACCGACTTCCTGATCCGCCTTGTTCTCGGCGCGAACTACATGGCCAACGACAACTTGCCCTTCGCCCTTCATAACTCCACCCGGGAGGATATGGTCGGGATCGTCCAAAGGGTGAGTTTTCTGGCGGTGTCCCTCGCTTTACTCCGTCGCTGATCTCCGTCGGACCTTTAGTTGCGATGGATCCGAAAGGTCACCGCCAAGGAACTCGAAGCCGTCTCCCTTGCTCCGCCGACCAACATTCTCCAGTTCATCCCGTTCAGGCAAGCGAGTAAGTACCCATTCTCTCTTACCCATATCCCTTACTCGTCCGATCCTCATCCTCGTCTATTCCCTCGTCAGTCATCACCCACCATGAGGTCCCCGAACAGGAGACCGCCGTCGAGCAGGGGAGCGCCGCCGGCGGGGGCGAGGAGACCTTCGACGCCGAGTAGGCACCGTACCACCACCGCCAGGATCCGATGACAAGGCCCATATCGATAAACAGAATTGTTTCTGTTGTCAACGAGGCAGGGGAGGATTCACCGTTGGTAAACACCGGCGGCTAGCACCGGTGGTAGGTACGAGCGGGATTGGGCCCCCCGCTATACAAATAGGGCTCCTTCTTGTATCTTTCTTGTCGTCGGGGTCTTTTATCGATGCGTGCCCCGCGCTCTTCTTCTCGTTCGTTTCGTTTCGTAAAAGTTCGTAAAAGTTCAGACTCGTAACTCGTCGTATCACTCGCTCGTAAGGATCGCATGGGCATGGTCATCGGAGCTAACGCGATTACATGTTCCAAACACCTTCGGTTTCCTCCTCCTCGTGTCCCTCGGCCTCCAACACGGCCGCCGCAACGTGAACGTCGCTACGATACCCGTTCTGAGGCGGTCGGCGGGCCCGCCGGGGTTGGGTGCATTCCCGCGCCCGGTGACCAGCGACCCCACAGTTGTAGCACCCGTTAGGGTCTCTTGACAACCGTCCGGCGTCGACCTCCATCGGAGTTGACCCACCGGGGTTGACCGCCGGGGTGTTCCCTGCTGCCGGAGCCGCCTGCACGTTCACCACAGGACCGTACGTTCGCGCGGGTGTCGGGTGCGACCTTGCCGCCGTCGTCGACGAGTGGGACCTCGAAGTGCTCACCACCTTGTGGGCGTACTTGTAGCACTTCTCCTGGAACTCCTCCACTCCGACGTGCTTCCCCACATCCATCTCCGTGATGGCGCTCTTCCACGCGGCCGACAGGTTTGCCTGGAAGATCATCCGTTTGGAATACCTATCCATGTCGGGCAACCTGGCTGCCAGCGCATTAAATTTGTTCATGTAGTCGTCGAACGACGAGTTCCCTTGGCGGAGGTGTACCAAGTCTTCTTCCGTCTCCAACCTCCGATTCCCCAGCCCGTAGAAGTGCAGGAGTTCTTCGGTGAACTCCTCCCAGGTCGACACCTTCCCTTCGGCGCCGATGTACTTCTTCGACCATTGCCTGGCCGACCCCTCAAGGTATCCTATTGCGAATAGGATCTTGGTGCGTTCCGTGGGGAACTCCTCCGGTCGGAGTCCTTGGTAGATGACGCACGTCTCCACAAAGTCCTCCGCTTCTTCCCTCTTCGACCCATCGAAACGCTTAGGCTCTGCGGCCTTGGTCTTCGGGGGTCGGGGCCGGTAATCTCCGGCGGGCACCTCCGCTACGTACGGAGCTGGGGGGGGAGTCGACTGCTCCCTCATCGAGTCCCTGAACTGACGCATCATCTCCTGCATCTGTCGTTCGGAGGCCTGTCGTTGGGCCTCCATCATCCGCTCCATCGCCTCTGCCCAGGCGGGTCTGTCGGAGTCCCTCGACGACTCCTCTCGGAGGTTACCGGCGCCTGCGGCCGGATCCTCGACTCGTTGGGCCCGGTGACTATCGGACTGGAGCTGGCCCGTCACCGTCGACCTCCACTGGTACAGCCCGGGTCCAACGACCAGATGGTCTCCGTTGGCATCCCAAACGGGCTCGACGCCCGGAGGCGCCTCTCGTTCCACTCCTTCCTGGTTGTAAACCACGAACATTTCGTACAAGTCGGGGTAAAGCTGTTGATCCGTTATTCTGTTAAGGGTGAGCCCTGCTATGCCCTTAGTCGCTCCTCTACGCGGGACTTGTACTAGGTTCTAAGCCTACGGATTGTATGACGGATGGAGAACTATCTAATACAATGGTATGGATAGGTCTCCATCGAAGTTCGCCGTCTATATACTCCGGTATGTTATTGTCGGAGCGACGCGACCAGCCATCCCGGCGGTCAGCCCCGTCGATCACGTCCGTCGATCGCGCCCGTAGAACATGCCCGAACCGTTCTCCCTGATAACTTCCGATGGGCAGTCGATCTCTAACATGGAGGTCGACCTGGAGGATTGTGCCGGAAGAAGGTTGTGTCGGAGACCGATTGATATCCTCTGCGACAGTCACTACACTTCGGACAAAAGCACGATCTCTGCGAATAACAACAGCGAACGCCATCAGCGGACTGTATCGATAACCTGTTGCAGCAGCGAATGCTCACCTGCGGACGAGGGTTGCGTTTGCGAGGAGCTTGAGGCATTTCGTCTGCAGGCTCAGGGCGATCTCGTTGCACTGCGGGCTGCTGGACTTCAACCAAACTCAGGGCGGCCAAGGTGACATCGAGCTGTCGGGGTTCCAGACGGTCCAGGCGAGGCCCTGTCGAGCATCAAGCAGCTAGGACCTCTGTATGTCGTTCTATTCGTCAAGGTTGAGTCGCAGTACATGGCCTCAGGCTCTAACATAGGATCAATCGAGGTCATGAGCCACGAGCAGGGCCATCATAACAAAGGTCAAAGGTCAGAGTGCAGAAGGGGACGTCCCGAACGGGCAACACGCATTTGCTCATATCAAGGCGGTTATACAAGGTCGATATTGGCAGTTCGCCGATTGCTTCCGCGATATTCGATGGTGATATACGTTCAGGTAATATCCAACCAATATCGACCGTGTATCATATCTCCGAAGAAATATCAACCCTGTATCAGCCGTGTATCGGGTACCCCGGATGATACGCGTATGATATAAGGTCGATACAAGTTGTATCATGCCTATATTACACGGTCAATATTGGCATACGTCCCGGAGTGCTACAGGCTCATGTTCAGTTCGGTCCTCATGTCATTCACGGAGTTGATCCCGTCGAACAGCTGAGGACGCACAAGCAAGCTGGTACTGTCTCTCCTATGGACTTGGTCCTGCACAATTCGCTGGTTGGGCAATCGTTTCCATACGAACATGGCGAGGACGAGAAGGAAGATCCTAGAAGATGGAGCTGTGTATTGCCAAACCGCTGAGGAGCCGGAAATGTGTACAAGGCCGCCTCCAGGCCCGCATGCGCTTATCGGGCAATGGAGTTTGGTGGTGTCGTTCATTATTGTCAAGGCCTGCATTTGTAATTTGAGCGGCTTCTGCTGGTGAAACTTGGCTGCGCCAGAACAGAGTCAAGTTCATTGTCAAGAGGGTAGACTTGAACCGGATTGATGTTGGTTCTGAGCCATCGCATCCAGCATGTGACCAACGGGGTATCGTCACCATCAGAGCCGTAACGCAAGGCATTGTCAGCGGCGGACGAAGAGCGCTGTGGGAGTCGAAACGTCGTCCTTCGTTCATCTTCACTGATTTCAGCGGTTCGCAATTGATCGAATAGCCTGTGATCTGCATGGCTTAATCGAGACTGTACTAGAATCAAGGTCAATCACACCCTCAGGTAATGAAATAACGAAAGAGCTTCTTAATGACTGCTTCGACGGTTCATCCGAAGGCCACACAACGAACTATCAGAACGGCGCCGACCAAACAGGGCCCGACTCAATATGGATGATTCGGACGTTCGACCATCGAAATGGGTGAGGATTGGCATAATCACGCATTCAACGTCGGATACAAACGAAGCACCCGAAACATCATACGAGACCGGCTCAGATCGTCAGAGTTGCTTAGAGCAAGGGGTTCTTCTGACCCTCGGCGAAGGTGTAAGTCAACTGTGGAGGGCGCGAAAAGGTCATGTCAGCGAATATCCTCTCGACTCGATTGCGTCTGCAAAGCTCTCGACTTACACCACACTTTCCACAGCTCTGCCTGTCCTTGTGCCAAGCCATGAAGACACCGGCACCACAGGTGGGCTGGGGGCACTCCCTTCGGAGACGCTTGATGCCGCCCTCAGAGTCGACCTTGTAGTACTTGAGGATGGCCATCTTGACCTTCTTCCTCTTGTGCTTGATCTTCTTGGGGGTGGTGTAGTTCTTCTTCTTCCTCTTCTTGGCACCTCCTCGGAGACGCAAGACGAGGTGGAGGGTGGACTCCTTCTGGATGTCTGTTACGTGGGCGGGACGAGGGCGACTGATGAGTAAGGATACAGAAGCGAGCGCGACGACAGGGAGATAGGTGCTTACTGTAGTCCGAAAGGGTCCTGCCGTCCTCCAACTGCTTACCAGCGAAGATCAATCGCTGCTGGTCACTATAGTCGTGTAAGTCGAGAATAACCGTAGGTGAGTCCAATGGTCTTCGAGAGCAAGAAGCCTCGACCCCGATGATGCTCACGGGGGGATACCCTCCTTGTCCTGGATCTTGGACTTGACATTGTCGATGGTGTCCGAAGACTCAACCTCGAGGGTGATGGTCTTACCCGTGAGGCTATTGATACAAAAAAGACAGAACACGATCAGCTTCAAGTCCGAGTTTGAGCGAAGCGTAGCCACCCTCGAACCGACTCACGTCTTGACGAAAATCTGCATCTTCAGAGAGGTCTGTTCTATCCAAATATGGAGTCCTGGAGAAAGCGACGGGAACGCATATCAATTCCATGCTCGAGCATACGGCGAAGGTAACGTGTAGACTCACCTTGAAGCAAACGCTGAAGAACTTCTTTCTCTGATCGTGCACGGTAATGTCGACGTCGAAGGGAATGAATATATCAGCAGAGGTGGGGGTGGTGAGGTGGTGGGTGGGGTAAGCGAGAGGGAGAGGGCGACGCGCGCAGAAGGGGGCGTGCATGGAAAAGTTTATCCCCGAATTTCGAACGCGTGGGAAAGCGAGGAAGGTCGCGGGAGCGAAATATATCCGCTTTGGGTTTCAGCAACTTATTCGACCTTGTTTCGAAGGCAGTGCACCCGAAAAAGGAAGAGTAGACATCGCTCGATGTCCTCATCCCGGAAGACCAAACCGTTTCATTGAATACTTCTGTCGTCGTCGTATCACTTTTCGACGAAACATGATCCGGTATGGGACTCCATCTCGGTGAGACGCTGTTGATTCCTCCTTTTGCAAGCCAGACAGTACGGAGTGAGATCACACGAATGCGAAACGAAGCACAGAGGGAAAAGCCGATCGAAACGCTTCGAGCAAACGGATCAAGCTATATTTTTGCAACATCAGGGCAAGGCATTTCCCCCCTAATTATGCTGACCAGATGGCGAAACTAGACTTGAAACGCGTGCAAGAGGACGTTGTTTCAAAGGGACCGGGATGCGTACACGGTCGGAGTCGCTCAAAGTCCTGTTCATAGGTTCGAAGGACTATGTATAGGGTCAAAGGACTGTATCAATTTCACATACAAGGGTAGGAGCGCTTACCTTCCTTTATCCACTCGACCCGCATTCTCCCAAAGGAGCCTCTATGGCAGCCCTTTGTAGTCGTACTTCTCGATGAGCGAAGTCGCCAGCATATAAAGCAGATCGTTGTCAATAATCGTCGTCGATTCGATCCATCATATCTACGGCTCGATCGCACTCGTCACCCAAGCAATCCGACATGCACGCCTCCGCACTGTTCTCCGCTCTACTGGTACTCGCCTCGACCCGGGTCGCCGCCGTACAAAGAGGTCCTCCTTATGACAATTGTCCTAACGCCAGACAAAACCCCACTGGCAAGGGTTACGCAATGTTCTCGCACGCCGCGGCTCACTTCCAAGGGGACGACTGGACCAACGTATGGGCGGATATTGCAGAAACAGGCGTCAAGAACACCTTCTTTGAGTGTACGGACCAGTGCTGGAGGGACGGGCCGAGTGAGGCTAGTCGGTACTATGTACGAACGAACCATATGCTTATGATCGCCCCGCCTTTCTCTCCAGAGTGCAAGGGTGTCAATTGGTTTCCAGCGAGGGACAAGAATTGTATCCGATGGAAGAATGGCGGTTTCGACGATGTCGTCGGTGGCAGCGAGGATATCCAGTCCGCCATCAAAGGTCCCGACGGGGCAGGCAACCCGTGCGCGGCGGTCGCGCCTAAATACTATCCCTGTAAGCCGGGATTTGTATAGCAGCAAAGACATTTCATCAATCCACATGGCTGATCACCTCCCGCTACCGACTATAGCACGCCCCAACATCAAATGCTGCAATATCTGGATGTAGCGCGGTTCGGTGGTTGGGTACTTTGGGACGCAAACTTTGTACCGTAGTGGCCTCTGTCTATCCCATAATTTAAGATACGGGCAATCGATTCGATGCCGTGGTAGTGGAACCTGAAGCAACGTCAAACAGAGGTCAACGGTTGTGACTTCGATCATGCCTCTAATTCTCTAATCGATGTCTCAGCTTCAGGATCGGACACGGCAATCGCGAGCAACAGCTTAGAATCCTTTGCACCCGACTCGCCTCGTTTAGGAAACGGGTCACAACTCCCTTCACACTAGCAACATCCCAACGGATCGCTAGACTACATTGATTGGCGGGATCTGGACAGCTTGAATGTGGTCTAAGTAGGCTGGCCTAGTATTGGCAGTACCATTCGGCAGGCCACCGCTGTCTTCGCTACTGCTCCCCGACAGGAGCAGACGGGAGTAAAGCAAGTTTTAGGAGCAAGGGCATCAGCGCTTTCGGCGGATTTGTAGTTCTGCCTAGGCGTACCGGCGCTCATCGGTCATCTATAGGGTCAGCCATATCTGCGTCCGCGTACGAGTCCGGTTGAAGAGAACATCTTTTTTTTTCGCCTTGCGTGTCACAACAGTCAATTCCATGTGACTTCATCAGCGGTATAATCTATGTCTTCCGATTTCCCCCGAGTCTCAAATCAACTCGAACACCCTGATTTAGTGCGATCTGGATAACGAGACCATGACGATTCGAGCGATCGATGAGGCTTGGTCCTACACGCAGATCGGCACCACCTACGAGCGTCGCTGATCTTCTCTTTGTTCTATTTCATCAACTTCCGCCATCGACGGTGAATCAAGCGGCCGACCAGCAACCGGTTTCGGGTGACCAGGAAATACCAGCAATACGGGGACAAAGAGCCCAACGGGAACCTTCCCGGGATAACGACCGTGTGAGCGGAGAGCCATGCCGACGTCGTTGATACCGTCAACAGGTGGATTCAAGAGCAGATCCACCTTTATATTGGGTATCGACAACAAGGTTATCCAGCGAGTACCCACTTGCAGGGCGTATCGACAACAGACCCTAATGCTGTAACCATCATCAGTGATCGGCGGCGGGTCAGGGACAGCGTGTAAGTGATCTTTCCATCGGGTACAGCGAAGCACACGACTCAAAGGGTTGCACAACCGTTTATCACATTGGGAATCCCTCGCCAATTACGGTCAGGCGGGTTTATTCACGTCGAATTGGCTTGATGTGATCGAATGGGATCCACAAAAAGGTACAGACATTCTTTAGCAATAGCTGCGGGCAAGCCATATAGCTTGCCTGAACCTGGCAGAGCTCGTTAATCTCCATGCGTCCATCAGTTTCAACTTCACTTTGGCGCGCAAGCAGGATGAAACCTTCGCTATCTCACTTTCATAGTTGACTACTCCATCACCTGCAGTCTCCCTTGCTTTGAAGATCCTGTAAGGATCCCTATCAAAGTTAAGGAAGCTGAGCGACCTGGATCGCCGGTTTCCAACCTCGGCCTTGTGCCATCTCTTCTTCCACTTCTGCCGCGGATGGGAAGGAGGAAGCTCAGAATGTACATGGTCGTGGAGGATGCATGGAATAGTATTGCGAGTTCTGCAATGATACGGGGTGGCGCAACCCGAATACAATGCTTCTTAACCATTATACCTAGAATAATCTAGTTGACAGTACACAGGCAACTGAACATATATCAGTAGAAGTCGTAGTCCAAGGGAGACGCTGGTTTGAGACTTCTGTGGCACCTACACCCGATGTTGATATCGTATGAGCCTTTAGTGAATAACTTCAACGTTTGCAGCGAGCTTAACGAGGATGGATCTCTAAGCCTACCTTGCAGACGTGGAGGGTATCATGCCGATATCAACCGGTAAAGCTGCGGAAGACGCAAGACGTGGAGAGACAGAACGGCCACGATGACAAGCTGGGGTCGCAGAACGATCACGCCGGTGCCTAGGCGGGGTCAGAGAACGAGAACAACCGTGACCGGGCGGGGTGGGCGAACAAGGACTTGATACACCGCTAGCTTCAGTTGCTACGGAGAATCCGATGCAAGCCCGCTACGATCATTTAATCTCAACTGGATACAACAGACAGGCTTCGAGACGGCAGCCCGCGCCGACTCGAAGCGGTCTGCGAGGGAGTCAAATGCCTCGGAGGCGAGGCAGACGAAAGTGTTCCGATCATGGTCTGGCAGGAAGGAAGTGATTTCAGTCAGCATAAATACGACGGAACGATATACAGGCGACCAAGATATCAAGTATGCATGCATGTTTGACAAGGTGAAACTCGAGGATGTCGGTTGTTGTCTTTGTCGCCGAAGTCGGTCGAACCGTTTTTGCTTCCGGCGAGACCTAGCTTGCACAGGAGTTCACGCGTGGACCGTTTTACCCCCGTTGAGAGGAGTTCTAAACGGGCTAGTTTAGACGCGCCATTTGTTAGGGGACAAATCTCTAAACGGGGGGGTACACGCGGTCACTTTAACCCCCGTTTGATGCCAGTTTATGTCGCTTTGTAGACCGGTCTCAACCGCACTCTAAACGGGCTTCGAACACGGTCTTATTGTTCTCGATTATTTGTATCCGCACCCCCGTACGCGTCGCCCCTCCCCCCTCATACTCGACCGAGAAGCTCGAATCGACTTACAACTTACTACATACTACTCGAAATCGTTATTTGTCTATAAAACATCAAACAAAGTCTTTACGAACCTCTTACTAGCCCATACGAACCCCCTTACGACCCCCTTAACGTTACTATCTTTTTTTACGACCTCTCAAGATGCCTGCCGCCGTAAGTTCTCGATGTTGTTGTTTTGGGCTTCTCGGAAGGTGTTATCGAGCCTGAACAATCCCCGTTTGATGTTTGTTTCTGTCTATAGCCTAAGACTACCATCAAGGACCTCGTGAGCCTATGAGATCGTTCTGTTTGACTGCTTACTGATCGTGATCCACGGTCACACCCATCTTGACAGTTTAACACCCGTTCCACCCCCTACGAGAAGCCTGCCGACCTCGCCGCCGCCAAGACCCGGTTCGACAAGAGCCTAAGGTCCGTCAACAAGTTGGTCGAGAAGGTGTCTGATGCGGTCGGTTTGATGGCCGAAGGGAGGGAGGTTGAGAAGTTGCAGACGAAGGAGTTGGTGTCGACGTTGAAGCAGACGCTTCCTGTTCTCGGAGTCGTTGCGGCTGGGTTGGGGGAGATTCAGGGGACTTTGGTGGGCGTTCAGGCCCTGTTTGGTGAGCTCGACGAGCGCTACGAGGAGATCGAGAGGCTCCGCAAGCGAGTCGACGACTGCGAGGACAAGGCGGAATCGGCCGTCGAACAGGCCTCGAAGCCACTCGTTGGGGAGATGAACGCTGCTGGTGTCCTCCAGCTTCTTTACGGCAACCCTGAGTTCGCCAAACTCGTTCGGGACATCACCGGCAGCGCCCGCGCCTCGACCCCGACCAACGCCCAATCGGGGCCCGTTGGTGCTTCGTCGTCGTCGTCGCCGAAGAAGAAGGAGAAGGCCGGGAGGAACAAGGTTCTGGAAGTAAGCCTATTCTTGCTTGTGATGCATACGTTTAGACCCCGTTTAACCCTCGTTTTGCAGGCACACGCTCACCACACGGTGAAGCTTCTCGTCGGGATGAAGACGAAGTTAACCGGCACCCACCCGGAGTGGAAAAACGACGGTTTAGACCCCGCTGTCTTCCCCGTTCCTCGCGGCGACGGTCGACAGACCGTCAAGATCACTCGACCGGAAGGGAAGGTGACGTTTTGGCGCCCTGACTGGAAGAACGTGAAGAAGCCGTGAGTCCCTAAACGCACTCCAAACGGACTCAACTAACGTGTATCAAAACAGGGAATGGGCACCCTTCATCGACGCCTGCGTGGCCAACGTCAAGAACGATTGGGAGGAGTTCAACGGGGATCAACCGGTCCCTGGACGGGATACGATAGTCACCGCTATCTATAAGTACGCGGAGACGATTCGGACCAAGGCCGGTCGAGCCCCCCAGGACTCTGCGGCCGGTGGAGAGTCGAGGGTGACGTGGTCGGACCGTCAATCGTTGAAAGTCAGTCCCGTTTAACCCCTGTTTGATGCCCGTTTCTGTTTTCTAAGATCCTTCTTCATCTCCGTATAGACCTGCGCCGACCGAGAGAAGATGTGGGGGAAATCGATCCTCCATGACTGTCAAAAAAGGGCCGTTTATAGGTACTTAAGGCAGAGGTGCTTCGCACCGTCGTTCTACAAGGCCGACGAGCCAGGGCTCGACGCGAGGTACCCCGGGGTTCCCGACATGGAACGGCCCGCAAACGGGGATCAAGAGGCCGAGGATATCGGGGTCGACGCGTGGCAAACGTACCGGCGGATCGTACTCGGTAAGGAGAAGGCCGAGAAGGCTTGGGAGGTCGTTTGGCCGAGTTGGATGTCCGACGAGGTATGTTCCAGCCTGTTCAGACCCCGTTAAGATACCGATTGTGTTTGAGTACTTACTCGATAACATTATCTCTTCCTCTTCCTCTCGTTCGATACTCTGCCTCGTCAACCCCCATCAAACACACCATCAACTACCTGCATCAGGCTATCAAAGCGGCCAGTGTGATCGACCGGGAGTTCGCAGTGACTCAAGAGGGGAAGCAAGCGACCTGGCGCAACCGTTGGTGTGGTCCCCGACGCTTCTGGCCCATAACGGACCTCAAACGGGACGACTTGGCGCCCCCTTCGGCCAACGACTCAAACGTCCCCAACGAGAGCGACCCGAGGCTGTGGGTGATTTACCGGTCGATGATTCGCCAGGACGTTCGGACGAAGATCCAGACCCAGAAGCCCGAACTTTGGGCCCGTATATACCCCGATCCGATACCGTCTGCGAACGACGCCGCGATGAAGAGTCTCGACGAGTGGCTCGAGGAGGGCGCGAACGTCGCCATTCGGGACACGATCGGGGTCTATCAGAGCCCGGTTGGGGCCACTTTAAACTCGTTCGAGCTCAAGGCCGCCGCCATCCAATTCTACAAGGAGGATACCGGCGTCACCTGCACTTGAGGTTCGTGCGAGCAGTGGGGTCTGAACTGACACTAAACGGGCCGAGTCAGCGGCGATACGACGACGTGTTTTTTCTTGTGTTCGACTTACGTTACGGCCTTTTTTCACGACCAAGTAAGTATACGACGTCTTTTCTCACGACGATATGGGGGCCAACGCAGGCAATAGAGGCGGGTTTAGAGCCCGTTTTATAATGTTAACTTACAAGGTGCTGTGTCTTTTTACGAGTTCTTTACGACATGTATCAATATCTGTTTGTAGCATATATAGAAGTCTTTGGGGTCCGATTAATGAGCGTTCGATGTCCGTTCAGACGTTTTGAGCGCTCACCTGAGAAGCGATCACTTATCTGCTATAAGATACTAAGCTCGTAAGCGATTCCGAATCGATTTATCATGATTAACTAGAAGGCCTCAAACGGTACCCAAACGAACAACAAGACGGCCTGTTTGATGAGAAAGTCTTTTCACTGGCTCGATCAAGTCGGATCAAGTCAGACCCTAGTGCAAGGAATACTAGCCCATACTAAACGGGGGTCATTCAGGGTTGGATTGGCCCGCATCGATCGCAAGGTGACGGGTCTCAAGGCAGTGAGAGTGTGTGTGTTCAGTTCCCAACAACAAGGCTCCTCTTCGAACTGGTTGGGTTCCCACATTTGTACACCCAGATTGGGGCTACATAAGAGGGTGGTTAACACGAAGCTGTGAGAGTGATTGGTCGATTGATACTGACTGATCTGAGTAGACGTGCTCGGTCTCTCCCCTGTAAGCAATGCTTCTACGGCCTAGAAGCAGTACAAACTCCCGCGATTGACCCCCGTTTGTGGCAGCCTTCACCGTAAGGATGTTATCCAGCAATATCAAGGATGGCGAGTCATAGGTACAGTAAAGTACGTTGCGAGAGGGCTGATAAATGGCCATTCGATCCCTGAACGACTCCAAGTTGGCAATTGTAGGATCAGCCTTCAAATTCCACGTATTGAAGCCTTTGTAATGGGTGTCCAATCGGGCATGTTTCTTGACCATTCGTTGGATGAAATAGGTGTTGTCCAAGTCTTCCCCTTGAGGTACTTCAGCCCCTCGTTCACGGAAGGCGTAAGTAACATTCCCGTCATTTTGTTCACTGTTCATGAGAGTTTGGAGTACGATAGGACGCAGGTTGGGTTCAAGATAGGACAGCGGTGCTGGAGTAACCTTCAGTGGACCAAGAAGTCGGCCGTTCAGGGACCGATAAACGCCAGCTTCTACTTGGGCTGCGTCGGCTTGCATCTCGGCATAGAGCTCTGAAGCAGATGACCCACGAGCCTGGTCGTTCTTTAGGAAACCTGACTGGAACGAGGCCAGTTTGAGTACCGCTTCTTGATCTTCTGGATGTTCTGTGTAGCGTGACAGGACTGATTGTATGAGACCGGCTGTACTGGCCTTTAAACGGGCATTGATTGCAGTAATTTCGAGGGTCTTTTTGTTGGTGTTGCCATTCTTGATGCACTTGCCGCATCGCTCGCCACACATACACCAGTGCGAGTAGATAGGCCCATGCGCCCTGATGTCGTCTATAATGTGTATTAACTGGTGTAGGTTACGGGTGGCTCTAAGGCCCGGTCGGATCTTAAGGGCCAGAGGTACCAAGCGCTTGATCAACTTCTCCGCTTCTTGCAGCTGTATCTCACTGATTTCGGGCCTGATTAAGACCAGATTGATGCCCGATAGTAGAAGCAGCATCTCGACCTCTTCTGGGGTGATCCGAGTATTTGACTTTCCCCTATTGGTGGTGTTTCGGGCCTCGTTCGAGCGGGATAAGAGGGCAATTTCGGGGAGAATCAATGGGACATAAAACTCCATGAAGCACCGCCACTGAACGGCCGACATTGACCCCCCTTTGAGGTCCGAAAATGTCGATGGCAGACGTGGGAAGACAGATCGATTGCTAGGCGTAATCACCTGTGCAGATGTATTGAAACTCAGCATAAACGCACATTAAACGGTCCTTTAAAGCTCCACTCACAGTGCCGATTGTATCTTTGATCAAAGACAACTGATGGGCTGTCAGAGTCAATGGTTTATCACCGACTCGATCATCCAGTCGTAGGGTAGCAACGCGGGGGGGACGGGGCCCAAACAGGCCTTGCGAACCACGTGTAGAGCCCTCTCCATTTGACTCCACATCATCAGTCTCAGTTTCCGATGCCGATCGATTTCCAGACTCAACCGGGCCTTTGTCGGTCTTGTATTCGCCCTGAACAACGCATGATCGCCAAAGAGTCTTGTTCACGCCCAAGAGGATGTTGTGCATGGCATCGAAAACGCCAGCAACTGCAGTCGCCACGTAGGGGAGCAGATACAGGGCGCTCAAGTGGCCCGGTGAAGGCCTGTTTTGAGGTAGATTGGCTACACGTTGTGCAGCTAGCCTGCTGAAAGGCATGGGGCGATGAGCGGGGGGTATTCGGGCCCCTAACTCGCGCGGTTGAGACCTGTGTGTTTCCCGACCTGCGTCAAACAAGATTTGAAGATTTCTTTGGCGTTCTTCGTGCTCTAAACGGGCCTCTTCGACCGCCGCTGCGACTCGGGTTTCACTCTCTAGAAAATCACGAGCCTGTTTGACCGAATCTCTAGGCTCCCCAACTGGAACAGCCGTCAGCGATACATGTGAAACTGGAACGAGGATCAAACGCACCTTGATTGGCCGCAAAACCATCCTCAGTAAGGGTGCATCGCGTACAAATGTGATCCTTCGACATCTGTCCGGTAAACCCAGCGAGCGACGTGAAGGCTGGCCTATCACAACTGATTGTGGCCAGATAAATGCGACATAAGACCCCGTCTGGGTGCTTTGGCGTCCTGATCAAAACTGGCTTTTCCCAAGTCCGACGAAGTTGCATGATGATCGGAAGCATGAATTGCCAAAGGGTCATTTTACTGGGTTCTTTCGGGCCTGTTAAGAGTACGTTTAAACCCAATGTACACGAATCGCTAGCGATCAACAAAGCTTACCTGGAGTCAAACCGCAACACATAACCATGGCCTGAAGCCCCCTCATTGACTGCGGAAGATTGCCCATTTGGAGTAGGATTGGGCCGACAGAATATCCAGGTCCATGCGATGACGAGTTGATGTTGAGCCAGTCGAGAGACAGATTCACAAATATCTCTTTTACCCCTTCAAACGGGCCCTGATCCACCCTGTTCCCGTCAGGATCGAGCAGTGAATGTAAATATGAGCCATCCGTCTGGTCCCGGTAGATTTTCAGGTCGGGGTAATCATGTTTAGCCAGTTGGGTGTCGACCTCGTGCCTTTCACGCCAGTTAAAGGCCAGTTCTTCTACCCCTGGGTATGCTAGCAGTCTCTCAATCTCGCTGGTGAGGGGAAGTGTCGGAAATACTGCAGGGGTAGATGGTCCTCTAGTTGAGCCCGGTTGGGCCCAGTCTAGGCCGCACTTCGGGCACTTCTCTACCCCCTGCAAAGCCCCAGCGGCAGTCGACATCGTGGTAATTTCATACAGCACTGCTTGACAGTCCTTGTTTGGGCAAACAGGATGGGCGATTGTAGACAGATCGATGCCCATTCGCTTGCGGACTGTTTTGAGAGTTTGTGCGGGCGAGTCGTCGATGATCTGCTCGTCGGTGAAGTCTCTTCGGGCCTTTAACAGTGTCATATTGGCCACACAAATCATGGCTTTGAGGGCGTATTCTGCTTTATCCCTAGGTACGCCGACAGCCTCCAGCGTAAGCGATACCGTGTAGATGAACCTTTCGACAAAAGGCAAATCGGCCGTTTGTTGGTCGCTAATCAGACCTGATAAAGGCTGACTAAGGGGGCTGTCTTGCAAGCACTGAGGAATATCGTTCGGCCAGATGTCGATCATGTCGTGTAGACCAGGAGCTGTGTGCAGTGCTGGGCCGGTTTGGTTCGTTCGATGGTCATTTGAGGACCGTTCCACATCAGGATTGATGTTCTCGGGGAAGTCATTGAAGGCCCGAAGATGATCACCCAGGGACATTTCTGCTGGTGCTTCAAACGGTGTATCAACACCCTCTGATTGGGGTGTAATAGGCCGCATTTCTGGCTCTTCTGGCTCAGGGGGAGCTGGAGGGGGGTGAGTCGCTGCGGCGAGTCGATCCAGATCTCTCTGCCTGGCAAATTCCCGGTTGTCAATCAGGGTCCATTCGGCCACTGAATGGGCGTAATAAGTCCGTCCTAAGATAGCGACGCCGCCCGGTCCACATTTGGTACAGTAGCACTTGCCAAATTTTCGCTTTGGCTGATGCTGGTAATCAGTGGGGGTTCAGAGAGGCCCGTTTGACGACCATCTAGCGTACCACTCGTTTCAATATCTCGTCCAACCCAAGTGACAACGGGTACTGTTGATCCCACCTTGGAGCGTTGTGTCTAAAGCCGCTCATTGTTGTCAGTTTGAGGTGGGTTTAGAGTACCTTTGTAGGTCGATTACTAGGATTTGGTACAAGTGGTAAAGTGAGAGGTATGAACGTATGAACATAGTTGGTCTTACATGAATGTAGAACAGGTCGAATACATGCCCGGTTAGGCCCCAAACAAGGCTGACGTAAGCTTGACTTTTGATAAGCCCTAAACGGACCCCAAACGGGGTTTAGTTCGCGACATGAAAATTGCTGAAATTTGCGGAGAGGGCTGGAAAAAAGTCATTTCTAAACGGGCATCAAACGGACCGCGCGTAACGTCTAAACGGGCCCCTCGCCCCGCTGTGTTGATGGTCATATGCAAGGATGTCGTGTTGATCAATCGATCTACTCGACAAGAGGTTCAGACCATCTCCGGGGGCGATTGCATCGGTAAACTCGCTGTCAGGTCACTCGATCGACCCTAGCTATTGTCCCACGACGATATAGACACATTACCGTTCACCATGTCAGCGGCGGAAGAACGAAGAAAGGTGCTCGAGGAGAAAAAGGCCAAGTTGGCAGAGATGAAGCGGGCGAGGGACGAGAGGATGGCCGCTGCCAATCAGCCGCAAAAGACGCCATCGAGAGGACCCGTAAGTCTCTCAGCGATTGGAACTTACGGAGTAGTTATTGACTTGGATCAACGTGCTGGTCCGTCAGACACCGCTTGGTGGTCGGAAACAAGAGGTCGATGACCTGGTCACATCTCTGCTAGGCGACAAGCCTGTGGGCGGATCACGACCACCATCTTCTCTCAGCGGTACAGCTTCAACGTCCAGGATTCCTCAGGGTGTTTCTAGACCGTCGGTGCTACCCAGCTTGAGAAATTCGGTGAGCGTAGGGACGGGAGAGTCTGGTGAGCAGGCGACTCGGTCCAGCCAGAGCGAGTTTAGGTGGGTTCCCAAGTGGTTTTGAGACGAGATTGAGGTAGGCAGGGCTTAACGATCACCTTTGTTGCGCGCTCCATAGCGAACAAGATGGGAGGTACACCCCAGCTCAGGACATCGAGATGGTGGACGCTCAAACCGAGCTGTACGAAGTCAATACCAAGGTAAGCTCCTGACCTCACCCTGACACATTCCGCTCGAACTATCAGCTCAATCAACAGACCTCCCTTTCTCACTCTACCGTAGCCGACCTACATCACCTACTCTCGAGGTATCCAAACACAACCGCTCGACGACTACCCCTCTGATACGGAAGCCGACCCAGATAGACGAGACAGGCAGAGCGGCAGGGAGACCGAGGACGAGTTGAGGAAACGCCTGGAAGCCGAGTTTGAGCTCGAGAGGGAGAAGCTAGAGAAAGAGATCCGGGCCGAGGAGGAAGCTAAACGATTAGATGAACAAAAGGTCGTCGGTAAGCTCGAGTGTTCAGGCAAATGACGTATCAATGGATCCATCACTGATGCGTGTTCTCGTCGAACTGTAGAGCTGTCCGAGGCGGAAAAGGCCAACTTGCTGTCCGCGCCCGAGTTTGCAAGGTTTCTGGAAGACTCGGGCAAGGTCATGCAGAGGGCTTTGAACGATGCTTATGACTATACAAAGGACTATACGATCGGCTTTGGGGAGATCGAGTGAGCTGATCCCGTCCGCAGATTCTTTTTCCAGTTTACATTGAGGTTGACCGTCGCCTATATGATCACAGTGATGCCGAGGACGCTCAGCGGATCCGGCTGGTTTGTGATTTCTATCATGAACGATGGACGAGCAACCGTTCGATCACCGCTGTGGACTGGTCATCAAAGGCGAGTCAACAGATTGTCCAGACATGGGGCTCTGACTGACCCGACTATGATACACAGTTTCCCGAGCTGAGCGCAGCGGCTTATAACAAGAACCCGAAAGCTGTGAACGATCCGGATGGGCTGGTAGCTGTATGGAATCTTCATCTGGCGGATAGACCTGAGTTCCTCTTTCATTCGCAGGTGAGTCTGATCCAACATGACAAGCGTGAGAGGGCTGCTGATCTCATCTTCCCTCGGTGACAGTCGGACGTTCTGTCCTTGACCTTCTCTCCCTTCCACCCTAACCTCATCTGTGGAGGCACGTATGCAGGACAAATTCTGCTGTGGGATACTCGAGCCAAACAGTTACCAGTTGCCAAGACCCCGTTGGCTGCCGGTGGGCACACATATCCTGTCTACTCGATGAAGGTGGTCGGGACGCAAAACGCTCATCATATCATGACGAGCGGTACCGACGGGACCGTCTGCAGTTGGCTGCCCGAAGTCATGGCTCAGCCGCAGGTGAGTGGCGAGGTTCGTGGTGATCAACAGTTAATGACGTTGACGCTGCCCTCTCCCGGACCGCCTAGGAATCCCTCGAACTGATCCATCAGGGTCATCATAAGACCAATGAGATTGCGGTTACCTGCATGGACTTTCCGGACAACGAGACGAGCACATTCTTTGTCGGAACTGAGGAGGGCGGGGTCTACCAAGCGAATCGCTACGACCGAGCCGGAGCCAAGGCTGGTCTCAACCACCGGGACAGTTACCGCGGTCACACCGGCCCTGTTACCAGCCTCGACTTTCACCCATTGCATGGGGCTGTGGACTTTTCTGACCTGTTCCTGACGACGAGCGTCGACTGGACGGTCAAGCTGTGGCGAGCCAAGGCGGGCAACAAGGCTTCAGGGGGTGTGACAATGATGAATAGCGGACCGTCGACCATCGCACCGCTCTATTCGTTCGAAGAGTCTAGCGACTATGTGTTTGACGCCAAATGGCATCCGAAACATCCTGCCGTGTTTGGTACGGTTGACGGGACGGGCAAGTTTGACCTGTGGAACCTCAACAACGACGTCGAGGTGAGTAAAGCCTGTCCTCACATTTGGAAAGCTTCGCGACTGATTCGCTGATTCTGAGCGCAGGCACCGACATCTACGGTCGCTGTGGGTCCCGGCAAGGCCATCAACAAGCTAGCCTGGGATCGCAAAGACGGCAAAAAGGTCGCGCTCGGCTCGAGCGATGGCCACCTCTACGTCTACGATGTGGGCGAGGCGGCCGTCCCCCGAGACACAGAATGGGCCGATATGCAAAAGACGGTCCAGACGATTATGCAGACGAGCGCTTTGACATCGCAACCTCTTCAAGGACGAGACGGACGATCATGAAAGGATCGACGCTCAATAATGAACCTTTTACGAATAATGACGAGCTCTTGAGTTCTTGTAATCGATTTTTACGAAGGCGAGACGTTCATGATGAGAGAAATGCATACAAGGTGTGATCTCGCTCATACACGCTTCGCAATAAAGTCAGGAACGATCGGACGCTTCTCCCATTCCGCCTTCCACGCATCGTGTACCTTGTCCTCGCCGACCTTGACTGGTAACCCAAAGATGCCCGTTGCGAACCACGTCTCGGAGCCTGCCTCGAGCGAGCCTCGCAGCGATGGCAACACGCTTCTAGAGAAGACTAGGTTCGAGTTGGCGTCTGCCTGTATGATCTGACCGTACCGGCTGCTTTCAGGCTTCGAGTCACCGGTCAAGGGCAGCTCGGCCGCCCCACTGATCCCGGCCGACGTCTCTGCTCGGACTACCCCAGCCTCTTCCAGCCCGCCCTCGCTCCTCTCCCCACTGAACACTTGAACAAGGGCGCGCCCATCCGGCCCTTGTCCATAGATCGGCCAGCTCCCTTCCGACGATCGAAGTCGACGTGCGGTCTTGATCCGATGAACTCGTAGGTACCAACAAGGAGCTTCATCGGTAGGTGGGAACAACCATGTCTCGACCTCGACATCAGGCCAAGGACGCCAGGTCGAGTGCAGGTGAACTTGTCCTTGCCCCTCGCCGTGCTTGACAAGCTCGGCACCTCCAGCGACCCTCCTGACTCGCCATCTTTCTCCCTGTCCAAACCCTTCGTCCTCGGGATCGTCACACAGCGCCAACATTGAATCCGCCGCTTGCTGCTCCAATCCGAACGCTCCCGTCGGGCAGGAATACCCAAACGCGGACGAGTAGGAGAACCTGCCGTACTTGCTCTCGGCGGCTTTCAAGGCGTAATGACAGGCTTGGCCGGAAGAGAGTAGGTAGGTGTGCGTAGCGAGTTTAGGCGAGGAGGGAGGGACACGGACCATGATGTGTAAAGGGTCTTCGAGGGGTTGGACGGATGGGAAGAGGTCTTCAGGCCAGTCGAGTTCATCGGAGGTCCAGAAGGGATGGGTCTCTGGGACAGAGAGACAGGCGAATGCCTTGGTGCACCAGTAAGGCGAGCCTATAGGGCCGCATTACAGCACCACGTTTTCAGTATAGGCCCCAATCCATCGTCCCCAGACTGGACTCACCGAACCCATTGTAATTCTCGGTCATCGTCATGTTCTCATAACAATACCCGATGTTCAACGTCCCATCGCTCTTGAAAATATCCTCTTGCTTGCTCCACCACCTCAAATGCCTGAGTACCATCCCCTTGACATGCCCCCACTTCAATGGGAAATTTGCAGGCAAGTCGCCTTTGTCCGAACCACTACCGTCGCAGGGAAATGCGAACGGCAAGACGGACAAGGTGGAGATGACGGCGAACCGGTAGATCATCGACCTGCCAAAGGGGATGCAGCGACCCGAAGGGTCGAAGTAGTAGATAAAGTCCAGGACGTAGCGGAGAGCTCGACGGCGGTAGTTGGCACATCGTTCGGCGTCTGTGTCGTTGGCGATCTGAAATTTTCCCGATTCGAAAGGATATCAACGACGGTGCTTGGCACGATAGTCTAGAAGCCTGAAAAGACAGCCAAGCTGGAATGCTCACCCTAGAATAAACCATCTGCGCAAACTGTATAGCGAAACTTCCCGAATAATAATCCAACTGCCTGACACCCTCCGGTCCGTCCCTGCTCCACCCGCTCTCCTCACCCCTAAGCTGGAACGTATCCAGGTGATCCAGATCGGCTTGAAGGCGGGAGGGATTGTAATGCTTTTCCGGGGATATCTGGCGGAGGGCTAGGTTGGCGAATACTCGGAACCAGAGCCAGTTGGCTGAAGAAGGAATGAAATCGAGGGTCTTTATTAGAATGACGAGATTGTAGAAAGGATAGCAACGAGATCGGCGGGGCTTACTGTCGGGCATCTGTTTATCATTGATAGCTCCCAACCAAGCAGCAACATTCTCCCTCTCCCCCTCGTTCAAGGGCTACATCAAAACCCCACAGGACCATCCCTTCAGCTTTCAGAATGACCAAAGCTAGCCGTACCATCGCTCAGGAGTTCGAAACTCACCTCGAGAAACTCCTTGCCGCCCAAACTCAAAGCATAACCAATCGCGCTCATCTCCACCATCCTCTGATCCTTCCCCTTGCTCTCTCCCCAGTACTCTGGGCTTTTGGGGTCTGTACCGGAGGCCAAACCTCGAGACCAAGTGGAAGTCCTCGAGTATTTCCCGCCTCCGGCGATGAGTGAGACGAGACCCCAGAGGGGACGGGAGAAGGCTTCGAGTTGACATGCTCGGAGGTCGTAATGCGTCCCTGTTGCCGTGTCGGTTAGCATCCTGGTCAGGTTCGCGGGATCGTTGTAACAAGGCAGGTAGAGTGATCCGACTCACCCGACGAGCCTAATGTGATCAAAGCTCCTCCAGGGGAAGTGTGAGGAGCAAGAGGATCGAGGACTACAAGAGAGGATACTCGTCAGCAACCGAGTGAACAGGTGCGGAGGCACAGAGAGAGCTCACGGGAGACCAGGCCCGCTTCGACGTCCGACTTGGTGGTGAAGGGGTTGTTCAGGAAACCGTTTGCTGCGAGGAGGACCATCTTTATTTTTTGATCGTCAGTGCTAGAGCTTTGATTATCGCAAGAGATGTCCAAGGTCGACTCCAAGTTGCTGGTCTGTCTAGATCTCTCTCTCATATTCGCTCGATCTCTTGCTTTCGGTGAATTGGTCGGCGAGTTTCAGTCCTCACCATCCCCGGGCCGGGACACGGCAAGGAGATCCACCGGACCGGAAGGATGACGTGTCTCTTCCAGAATCACGTGACACACAAAGAGAAAGGTCTTTAGCTCGAAGTTTCAAAGTCGATTCAACTTGAAACAGCAACCTTCGTCCCATGAAATCCTGCGTGACGTATATCGATCTGATTACACCCGCTACACCAGCTTACATATCATCCCATTAAATTTCGGGAGCGAGCTTGTCGGTGTTTGACCTATGAAGATGTCACAGCTTCTCATCCAAAACACAAAAGGATGGACCCAAGTGTTTCTTCTTGTTCGCGACGATCCTTGTCTCTTGCCGATCCGTTCAACCGACTCATTAACACCCCAGAATTCAAGCTTCTCTGAGAATCATCGAAAATACTCAGTCATCTTAGGAGGACAAGGCGTACAAGTCATGTTGTGGAGCCATTTGAACGCAGTCGGGCGTGAGAAAGCGAAGAATAGAGGATGAAGACGAACAAAGAAGATCGTCGATCTGGGAGAAGGAGGAAGGGGTCTTGAGAAGCATATAAACAGTCGGCCTGTATCCGTTTCGAGAGGAGCCAAGAAGCATCCTTGAACACTACTACTTTGCATCGACTTCAAACTACCTTCGAATCGCTCGCAACCTCACCTCCTGTGACGCACTTCGACCTCAGCTTCAACCTCAACCACATCAACTGCCTCTACCCGACTACCTCTCTCAACCACCCACAAAGAAGCTTTTTCCCCAAAAAAATGCCTCGACCTAAACGTACCGCTACTTCCAAGTCGACCAACTACTCTGACGATCTCAACTCCCAAGAACCCGAGATCAAAGAGAAGCCTCAGCCTCAGGTCGATATGCAGGTCGACGATCAAGGTCAGGGTCAGGGCGAAGGAGAGGAGGACGGGGACGAGAATGGTAATGGAGAAACCATCGAGGTAGAGAGGGAGAAGAGTAAGGATGTAGGAGCGGAAACTACCACCCCTGTTCCGGAAGCCCAGACCGAGGGTAATGATAACGGGGCTGACACTACCAGCGACAACGATGCCGACGCCGGCAACGACGACGATGCCGCTCAAGCCAAACCCGCCGCCGAAACTCAACAACCTCGAACCCCTCCTCCCCGTGCTCAATCCCCTACTCCCTCTTCCCCCGCTTCCGAGGAAGACGGCGGCGAGTACGTCCCCGCCCCCGCTTCCGAGGCCGAAGAAGAGGACGTGAAACCCAAAGTGACCAAGTCCCCGGGCAAGAGGAAGGCCGGAGGTGCCGCTGCTGGTGGGTCCAGCTCGCCGTCCAAGGTTGCGAAGGTCAGCAAGGTCTCTTCTCCTCGGAAGAGCCCGGTCAAGTCGGAAAAGCCCAACGGAGGTGCCGGAGCAGGAGGAAAGTTCGAAGCGACCCCGGAGAACAGGGGCGCCATCTTGGTCGAAATGTTGAAACACGTGCCGACGACCAAGATGGACTGGGATAGCGTGGCCGAGGCTACTGGGGATGATCCGAGAAAGTTGGCCAAGGTGAGACCCTTTTCGCGGTTGGCTTGGTAGAAAAGGACTGGAAGCTGATTCAAAATCGAATCTTTTTTTGGGGTTCGTCTTAGTATTACGACCAGACTTTCAAGAAACACCTCGATGCTGCTGTTCGAAGCCCGGCATTCAGGGGACCGGCCAAGAAATAATAAAGATACAAACAAGAAATATCAACACGAAGGCGATACGAACGGCTCGACAGGGTCATAAAAGGAATATACGGGTTCACGTAGTATTGTAACGTGCTTGGAGTAGAATAGACGTGCTGGGAGATCTTACGCATCTAATGCTTGTTATCGCTGTTGTACATCTTGTCAATTTGTCATGCGTTCCTACCTATGCAACTATATACAAAAAGGGTGTGAGAGTTCGTTCGCATCTAACTAGTCGTCATCGTCGTCGTAAGCGTTCAGGATTTCGGCTGCAGAGTCGACGAGAACAGAAAGGTTAGATGCGCAGACATTATCGCAGTATATTGCGGGCAGACTGACCGTCATCGTCTATTGGTACGTGCCGGTAAGGACGGCCGCCGCTGAACAGGTTGTCAAGCGCAGGGAACTTTTCGGTCGCCCAAGCCCATCCGGTGGAGGCGACGCCGATCAGGAAGAACGGTATCGAAGCCAGCGTAGACAGACCGCCGGAACTACCTCCAAAGGCACGATGTTCGCCCAAGCGGATAGTTCTGCATCGATCCACATGGTTGTTAGCAATCGATCCGAAATCCACTACAGCGCGTTCACACTCTCGAAACTCACCCAGACTGTCGACCACCGGTCTGAAGGAAGAACCATCCGGCGATAGCCGCGATTGCAAATGGGATGATCAAGAGGAACAACCAGAACCAGAACCCTCGTCCTCCGCCGCCTCCAATGAGACCGGGACAATTGTGACGCTTGCCTCGGTCCAGCCGGACGTCTCCCTCGCCCTCGCACGAGCTGTACGGAATCTTTCGGTAGGCGGTCCGTTCGTACCAGTATGGCTCCCATCCTGTACACTGCTCCTCCATTTCTCCCGTCGTACGAGGCTGAGCGCCCTCGATAAGGACACAGTCACCCCTATCGTTTCGTCGATAGTTGAACTCGCACTCGAAATCGTTCGGCGTGCAGGTGCAATTTCGTACGACCTCGCGAGTTTGCCTCAAAGTCTCGCCGACGTAGCATTGACGGTCACGAATCCGTCGATAGTATTGAACCTACGGAACGGTGGTAGCGATGTGAGCAAATGAGTCTGCTCGCGTCATTTGTGCTCCGGCTCACCTGTCTGCCGAACAAACACTGCTCGTCTCGACTCTCCGCCGGGCTCCACACCTCTATATCGTCGTGAAGCGGGTCCTCGATACTCAGGACACCTACCGAACAGCCCCGTCAGTAAGTAAACCACGTAAATAGATCAGGTTTGAGTTACTGACATTTGCGCTGCGTTATGCGACTGAAGTCGAGGTGGACGACTATGCTCTTGGCTTCATTGTCGTTGGGTCGCTTCGCCAGCAAGACAAACTTGCGGCTCGTCTCGGTGGGCACCGTCAAGATGCTCTCCACCCTCAGGTTGTCGTTGAAGGAATACTCGCGCCATGTTAAACCTTCGTCCGTGCTGTACACAACGTGATCTGTGGCTTCCTCGTCGTTGACCAGCACTATAATAGAGCCCGAGTCACCGTATTCCCACAAGTGAGCGTCCTTGTGAACCTCTTCCCACGACTTGCCTCCATCTCGCGTAAGGAAAACGTCACTGTCATCGTATGGCAACAACGATTCACCAACATTGCCGACAGCAATCATGAAGCCGGCCACAGAGGGACTACTGTAGGTGGCCTTGGCATCACGTCGCTCGGTGTAGCCGTGGATATGAAGACCGCAATACTGTGGTAGCGAAGTCAGCATCGGCGTTCTCGCTCTCAGATGGGTCGACCCGGCGACTTACGGTGTCTTGACAGTCGTAGGGTTGGTTTAGCGAGTCTCTAGCCGGAGGAGTCAAAGGTTTCCACGTCGAACCGTCATTGTGGGTGATGCGGGTTTGCAATTCTTTTTTGCCGGAAATAGCAGCATCGTCCGGATTGGCGACAATGTTGACCACAGCGATGCCATCGAGACCGATCATCTTTTCAAAATCGGTATATCCTCGACGGTCACGATTGACATACTCCAGGGCGACATTGTAATATGTGCCGTTCGAGTTGGACTTGAAGATGCTACCCCATTCCTTGCCCTCTCGATCGCTCATTGTGACATGTAGGAACACCGCGTCAGTCGAACTCTCCAGAATACTGCGAAGTCAATTGGGTTAGCCGGGGCAAAAAGAGGTTTCCGCTTTTGCTTTGTATCTCACGTGTAGGCCTGTATCAAGGTGAGATTGGGTCAAAGCGAAATGAGCTTATGCAAACGTTAAAATCGTCTCCGAAATTCGAGCTTACCCTGTTGTCAATCTTCATATTCGGCGGGAATTGGCCAGGAGTGAAGTGGAACCCGTCTAGGGAAACTTGGAGATTCAGCGTGCCCTGAGACTCGACGAACTGGAATGACCGTCCTGTCAGCGGTGAGATCCTGGCGGTGAATGTTCGTGTGACGACCCACCTCGGCGACGATCATGAATTCTGAAAACGTCGCGAACCCGACGACGGAATCGAAAAGGACAGTCTTTTGACCGTAAAAGTTCTTGCCAGCGACGAGCTGCATCGGGTTGTAGTCGGCCGAACGTTGCGACCCCTTCTTATCCCGGTAGGATTCGCAGATAATCTCCTTTTCGTCGACCTTGAGACGCTCGTCCCTGGCCCACGAACATTGCCTGACGTATTCGTCAATCTTGTCCCATCGCCTACCATTGTTGGTGGTGTAGTACGCGATGGCCCGACACTTGGTACTCAGTGTATCCTTGCAGTCGCTAGATCCAGTATAGATCATCCAATCTCCGCGTGTAGGGTGGAAGTCAAGCATGGCGATACCGAACGGGTTGGGATCCGCGGGAGCATTGATATAGTTCCAGCTCTGCCCGGAATCGGTCGTATAGTGGACCTTCCTCGAATCGGTGATGAGATACGCTCGATCGTTTGCGAACGCGTGCATGGAGATGGACAGGATCTTGCTGTCCGGCAGAAGTTCCTTCCAGTTGAAGCCCTCATTACTGGACTGCCAGACGGTATTATCCTCGAGCTGGATGAGCATTGTCGTTGATTCCGGGAAATAGTGGTGCTGTCTGATGGGCGAGGTGAATGCGTGCGTCTGATGCGAAGGTTCACCATTGTCGGGCTGAGCAAGCGAACAGTCCTTCTTGATAGGGTCGTCCTTTTTCAGCCCACCAGTGCATGTATCTCCAGGAATCTTTCGGTAGCCGCTCGATCCCTTGTATTGCTGCCCCGGCTTCGTACACTCTCCAGCAGGGATCGGTTCGAGCCCCTTCATTACGCATTCGCCGTCCGAAAGGATGTAGTTGAAGTCGCATTGGAAATCGGAATCGTCGCAAGTGCAATCCTCTTCGTGACCCTTTTCCTCGTTGAACTTGTTTCCGACATAGCAATGTGCGTCGGGCTTTCTTCGTTTGTACCATTGCTATCCGGATTGATATAAAGTGAGATTGGTCTTTGGTCACTTTCCTAGTATGATATCAAGCAACTCACCTTGTGTCCCAAGAGGCACTGCTTATCCTCTTGCGGCCGAGCATACCACCGCTCCATGTCTTTTTCGGTGCACTTCCTGTTCTGCAATGGCAAAAAGTCGAGAAAGACGGTCGCGTATCGTCCGTCCGCGTCGGCGTCTTCTCTTGAAAGCATCCCGAACAAGAGGAACTTTTGCGAGGTAGAATCCGGGATGGTGGTCAGGACGATAGCACGCAGATTGACACCGAGGTCGAGCTGGACCCTGAGGAGACCGACAAAGTATCGTCAGCAAAAGTAGACCAGGACCTTAAGATCAAGTCGACCCCGCGGACGTACCAAGTCTTGCCGAAATCGTACGAATAATGCACATGGTCCGTCTTGTCCTCGTCATCGATCATGACCAAGATCGCTCCCTGATCTCCAAACTCATACTTGTGCGCGTTCTCCTGAGCTACCCTCCAGGTCAACCCAGCGTCGGACGAGATGAACGTGTCCCCTTCTTCGTACGTTCCCAAGCTATCGCCGACGTTGCCAACGGCCATGACGAAACCGGGGGCGGACGAGGAAAAGATCTTGCCATAGTTGTGCGGTTGGGAAACGGACCAGAGGTGCAAGGAACAAGCGGATAAGTCGGAGGTATCGCAATCCCATTCAGAACCGTCGGCTCGAGTCGCAGGCGGTTTGATCGCGTTCCACGAGCTCCCTAAAGGCGTAACTCAGCAGTCAGCCAACTCGTTCCCCAAGCCGCAACCATGTTGTTGCACAGTACTCACCATCATCATAGGTCATCAGACTCCTAATTTTCTTCTCCTCCCTGCCCAACAAGACCTCCTGTGCGTTCCTAACCACATTGGCCAATCCGATTCCCTCCAACCCGACCAGCGCCTCGAAATCGACGAAACCCATATCGTTCCTGTTGGTATTTGAGAGCGCTTCGACGAAATAGATCCCCTCAGCGTCGGAGAGGAAGAGGCTACCGATATTGTTCAGGGGGTCGGTGAGGACGTCGATGGCGAGCGAGTGGGTAGTGGATTGGACGATCGTGTAGGCGCTGACGGAGGGAAACGAGGTAGACGATGCGATTTGTGATTCGACCGTCAATAATCATCCAGCGACACACTTCAGAGTGTAGAAATCGAAAGAGCCAACTCACTTTTCACGCAGATTTGGCATGGCCGAGTGCGGGAACCGTGCCAAGTTCCACTTCTCCCCATCCGTGCTCGTATACAGGTGCATGGGATCCCCACCCGGAGCCCCTGCTCTTCCCGCTACCTTGCCAGTTGCTCCCGCCTCGAGCACTTTGAGCGCGACGACCATGTACCGACTCGCCACTCCCAGACCGACCACGCCTTGAGCTCGTCTCCCGATCCCTAGGTCTACGAGCTTGACCTCCTCTTCGAACCAGTCGTCTGATTTGAACAATCTGCTCTCTTTGACCGAATGATATCCTCCTCCTTGTTTCCCCTTTTGAGACCCGTCAAAAGCTATACAAAAGACCCTCTCTTGCGGGACGTTCTTGTTGTCGAGTGAAAACTCGCGGGTGGACCGGGCGAAGAGACAGGAAGATGTTTGTGAGAGGAGCAAGGTAGGTGGGGTCCGGAAGGCGGTGGTCGTGTAATAGGTCTCGTCCCAGCAGGTCTGACCGGTCCCCCAGGGTCCCGAGCCGGTATCTTCACATGCTCGGGCTTGGAAGAGGATCCAGTCTAAAGTCGGGCACGATAGAGATGCGGGTAGAAAAGAAAGGGTTACATAGATATCAGCGGATCCGTTCACCACCACCGTATTCTTGCGCGATCATTGTCTCCACCAGCCTCGACAGCAGAATTGTAGACTCACCGCTCTTCTCCGCATGGAACCCCAACGTATCTCCTCCCAAGCTCGCCGCCCTCCCCTCAACTCCCAGTGACCACTTCAACCAACTCTCCCCTCTATCATAAGACACCCAATGTTCCTCCCCCTTTCCCAGCGCGAATGCCATGTTGTGCCCAAATGGGTGGATGACGAGCTTGTGGACTGACCCAGGGGGGATATTGGGGGCTGGATGGAAGGTCGAGCCTTCGTCAGAGGAAATGTGGAGGGTGTGTGTTGCTGGGTCTAGGAGCATTACGGTCTGTGCCGTGTCAAGGGGTTCAAAATCATGGAGGTTTATTTGAGGTCAGCTCCTGCTCCCTGCATCTCGCACGTGATCACTTTCTCAAGGTATTAACCTGAGAAGGCCAACCAGGGACTCACCGTCGTATCCTCGAAATACTCGATCTTGCTGGGGACATTCTTGAACCGTGTCACGCTCACTTTGGGGTCGGCGGCGATGACGAAGGAGGCGGCGAGACTGAGCAACCCGACGAGGAGCGCCAGGAAGGACGGGCGTTGCCAGTGCATGGTGGACAGAGTCCTGGAGTAGGACCAAATACTGATGCTTCGAGGTCTAGCTCCTTGGTGAAGAATAGAGAGGTGAAAGAGATGATAGAGTGATTGATCGTTGAAAGGGACACCCAGGAGTAGTAGGTAGGTCATGGCCGAGGGGGCAGAGGGGGGGCGACGCGCAAACAAGTGGAAGAAGTGACGATTCACCGTGACCTCCACCTCGGGGGTCGACCTGGGTCGTTCACTTTCGTTGATTCCTAGCAGTCTCTATCCAAGGCTATCAAGGTATAAGGTATATCACAAGTATCACTTGCTCTGACCTCACTTCATACACGGCACGAGTAGTCTGGGATCGTCGGCGGTTAAACACGGACGGACAGGTCGATCATGTCTGCTGCCGACAAGATCACTTACCCGGATCAACTCCGCCATACGTTCGTCCCTCTCGCCCATCTGGTCCTCTAGCTTATCGTCACGGCTGACTTGCCTGGACACCGACGCTCTGCTTGCTCTTTCTTCTCTACTCCCCCATTGTACTGGTCGCGTCGTATCGCAGACTCCATGGCCATACAGGTCCAGTAAATACAGTCCGCTACAACCACACCTACAAATACTGTCTCTCTGGAGGATCGGACAAGACGATCAGGTTATGGAACCCCGTGACGGGCGCGCTGGTGAAAGGCTATGAGGGGAGTAGGATGGAGGTACTGGGGCTTGATATGTGAGTCCGAGCTATCAGTGCTTTCGCAACGAAGCGATCGTCACGGGTAACGGCAAGATTTAGACGCAGGTATAGAGGTTGACGCTGAGCTGCTTCTTCCTATACCACCACACCCATAACTACCTACGCCCGTAGCGCACCAGATAACGCCACCTTCACCTCATGCGGCCAAGAAAAAGACCTCTACCTCTGGGACGTCCCCACCGGCCACATCCTCCGTAAATTCTCTGGCCACTACGGTCGAATCAACACCGTCCGATTCTCCGGGTCCGTCCAACCCGGAGTCAGAAATTCCGGATCCAGCGTGATCCTCAGCGGGTCGTTCGATTCGAAGGTGATGATCTGGGACGTGAGATCACAGAACCGGGCTCCTATACAGACGTTACAAGAGGGGAGAGATAGCGTGACGAGTATAGAGGTCCCGCCTCTGTCCTCAGCGGAAGGAGGGGGAGGTTTGGGGCAGGTCGTGGTTGGGGGCGTGGATGGGACGGTGAGGACGTATGATGTCAGGATGGGCAAAATGGTGGAGGATGTCATCGCGGGTGAGTCCGGCTTCCTTCCCTGTCTCTCCTTAGCTTCTTATTGATCTCGGTCGAGAAACCGTCATATTATACTGACGATATCGTCTGAAATCCCGAACGTAATCACGATGACCGGCCATTATTCGAACCACGATGAACACGAAACAGCACCGGTGACAAGCATAGTCCTCTCCCCAACAACACCGAGAGAGACGATACTCGTCGCTTCCCTCGACTCAAAAGTCCGGCTCATGGACCGGTCAAACGGGCAGGTGAGCCACGTCATCTCCGAATCGTTATCATCTCTTGATGTTCCCTCACTAGCAATGCTGATATCACGCCATATCCAAATCTCAAAATCCAGATGCTGAACACATTCGGCGGGCCGGACAACCCGACACCCTCAAGGGCGACATTTGAGAACACGTCTTACCGCTCCAAAGTCGCTTTCGGGTACGGCGAACGGAGCGTCTTGGCAGGCGATGAGAAGGGCGGCTTGTGGGTTTGGGATATCGTCAGCGTGAGTTGGGCGGTCTTCTCGAGGTCTTTTCTCGCTAGATCGTCATAGCTGATCTTGATTGTGATCGCGATTTTGTTAGGCAAAAACGGTAACACCGGATCAGGAACCGAGAAAGGTACATGAAAAGGTGATCACCTGGATCGAACATCATCCGACGAGAGCGGACGAGATGTTGACGGCGAGCGCGGGTGAGTGACTGTGTCTACCACAGAAATTGCATTAAGATCAGCAGCTGATCCGAAATGTTTTGGAACGTTTTGTTCTTGCATAGATGGGACGATCAAGGTATGGGAGAGCAAGAAAGAATGATAGAAGCATTAGCCACAGATCGGGCAAATGAAGATGATCAGACTGTAATAACAATGAGGGTCACGACACATCGAGTTGTATATCCATTGGCATCTTTTTCGCATATATCTCAGGGAGTTCTCAGGGTACCGGGAATCACGGGTTCCGGGAGTGGGCACGAGCTGTTGACAATCTATCGAATGGATTCGGTAGTCACTCGCTTGCTGACGTAAGCAAGGAATGCTCGAGATTCCGAAGCGTGACGAAGCACCGGTGGAGGGGAGGGGGGTCACGGGTCGACCTGACTCTACTGATGTCTGACTGCTCATCTTTACACCTTGTCGGATCAGAGCAACCTGTAGGAAACTTTTATCAACCTGATCAATCATTACATCATGTCTGTCAACTCTGCACGAAACGCGATCTCGAAAGCCCTCCTCCGACCGGTCCCCTCGAGGACCATCCGAGTCGCCCCTCAAGCCGCTCGACACCTCTCTCTTCTCGCCTCGACCAGGACTCCGACTGTCAGCCGGATCTCTCCTGCCGTTTCCAAGTCTTCGGTAGCTTCTGGGATCAGGTTCAAGTCGACCGATAAACCTTGGGGGCCTCCTATCGTCTCGTACGAGGAGCTCAAGCCTATTACCGAGCAGCCCAGCGATGTGAGTGATTTAAGGTGCTTTGTACAAATGTGAGGGATCAGAAAGCTTATGTACCTCTCCTCGAATCGACAGGACGTCCTGATTGTTGGTAAGCATCATTGTCGTTCAACAACCGGTAATCCAGAATCCACACTGACTTCACCCCTTCGCCTCCGCCTCCAAAAGACGTCCGTGAACCCGACGAAGTCGCCCTCGGAGCCATCCCCTCTTCCGTTTCCCTCCCCCTGTCGACCCTTAAGAAACACCTCTCCTCCAACTACGACGCCGGCTCCTTTGTCAAGGAACACATGTTCCACAAACCCCTACCTGAGCAGAAGATGATCTTTTACTGTCGATCGGGAAAGAGGAGCGCTACGGCCTGTCAGGAGGCCCAGGAGGCGGGTTATAGGAACGTGAGGAACTACGCGGGTAGTTGGATGGACTGGAGGAAGAGGGAGGACGAGTCGCAGATGGGTAACAGGGGGGAGGACGACGATTAGTGAAAGTGGAAACGGAATGATTTGTACAGTCGGTCCGGTCGAGGATTGACGATATGCCATTTGAATGCGAACCATGACCATGCTGACACTCGCGAGCAGTGAAAGGCAGCGCCGAAAGAAGCCGACACTTGTTTGGACAAACGTGTATCGGGTCTATTACTATACTTCTAGCGGTAGCGATAGGTACACAGTCGTTTGTTATACGATACAGAGTTACCCGTTTATCAATGACCCTCCTCTGACACCGGCTTTCTCGACTTCCTAGCTAAGACGACAGCGCCCAGACAGTACACTATCTCCCCGACGATAAGCCACGTAGCCAATACCGGCAAGTAGATGTAAAGACGGTTGTATGAACCTCGGCCGTAGATCGTCATGGCGACTTGCCAGTAGGCTACGAAAGACGTCGACATGTGAGCTGTACTGCGACGCGGGAACTCTAGGAGCGAGTACGGAAGATTTAAACGCACCATGTGAAGGATAAATGTAGGAGATCCGATAAAATACGTTCTGGACATCGATGGGGAATACGGTCGCAGCGACTGACAGAAACACAATTGTCCGCCACAAAGACGTAAAACGTAAGCGCGACTCGATCTCCATGCGACATTGCCATCATCGAATAGTTTAGTGCTCACCCGACGTCATGATCAAAGTCAAGATAAAGTTCGTCAGAAAGCTCAGCGGGATGACCGCCAAGAGGAAGGCGACCGTCGAATAACTAATCAACGCGAACACCCTGCACATAGTTCAATCATCCGCAAGTCAGTCGATCGTTCCCCTTGCGCATATCTCGACCTTCGATGCGACCCACCAAACTACAGCCCATAACGCGATGAAATTCTTCCCGCCTAACCTATACCCCTCGTCGAACACCTGACAGAGACCCGCCACGCTCAGGCTTGTTAACAAGGTCCAGACGATCTTGATAGGGTATTTGAGCGTCAAGAGCGTCTTTGTCGAAGTGTTTCGGTACAGTCCCATCCCGGTAAAGATCCCGTTCTGACCCATGAGGAACTGAAAGTAGATACAAGGTGAGCACACGGACATCCATGAGAGATTCGCATATGTAGACTCACGAAGAACTGGAACAAGATGATGATGACGACACCGACGGTATTCAACTAACCGAGCGAACGAAGAAGACAAGAGAAGCGCAAGTCCACACCAATCAGTCAGATTCCACTTCCACTAAAGTTCCAGATCGGATGACTTACCAATACCCTAACCGTAAACGGCATCGGCGAAACATTCTCGAAAGTCGCCCCGGTAGGATTGGCCAGTACGCTCCTCCTCGCACCATCGAAACCGCTTCGGTCGCGGTAGACGGATTGTAACGCAGTGTTGACGATCCCACCTGCCGTACCGGTCGCCTCCAGGAGAACGGGCAGCACATAGGATGACCAGACTGTAAAGTAACGGGTCTGGAGACCGGTATAGGTGTATGCCGCCGAAGGATCGTATGAAGGCGTCGCCCCAGATGTGGATGAGGCGTTGGTAGTCAGGTAGCTGTTGAAGGCCTGATTCGATGACGTATGGTTGATGAGCCAAAAAAATAATACAATGAGATAGGAGACGATGAGCGGAACGGGATTGAGAGAAGAGCTCGCTACGACAGACTTACTTCTGTCTGACCAGCGTTCGCCCAGACCGCAGCCCATACGTCCCCATGCCATACTTTGTCTCGGACTTGTTCCAAACTCGTCTCTCGGGCCGACAAGAAGGTAAATGTAGGAACACCTGGCCGAGCGGCGATGCTCTGAATAGAGGTTGTCAAGGCGGATCCGATCAAACCCCCGTCAAAGTCGACCACCAAGACCTGTAAGTTTTCAATGGAATATATGAGCAGGAAAGATTTCCTTATCGTAAGTCATCGAGGTCAAGCGAAGAAGGACGGTAGAAAGCTATGTCACTCACCTCTAGTCGATGCACATAGCTGTGCGCGTTGTAGAGCGACCCGAACAGCCACAGCACGTTGGCCCAGATGACGATCATCGTCAGAGTTCCAGCTGCGAGCAAGGTCTGTATGGCCTTTTTCTTGAGTGGATGTTGTGGGAGGGGTACATCGGGACGAGGCTGAAGGGTGTTGGATTTGAGTTCCAGGTCGGATTCAAAGTGAGCAGGGTCTTTCGTGGTTGCAGAGATGTGCGACATGATGTCAGGTCAATCGTATTCGTTCTTGTGATCGTAAAGGCGATGAATGTGGTGGTGGCTGTCCTGTTGCTCGCTGTTCTGTCGAGTTGCCCAAGTTGAGGTTCGAGCGCAACTGAAACTGTATATGAATCGCCATCCTGTATATGTACTTTGTGTCGCCGGTTCCTACTGAACGATCAGGATTGTGTGAGAGAAGGGTTGGCCGCTCTTCTCGGTCTAGGAAGAGAGGTGGCCGTGAAGACGATCTGGTAACTGGTATCTTGTCGACAGTCAGTGGTTGCTGACGATATGATATGCCCTGCCCGCTCTCCTCCTCCGGCAACCCGTTCGTATCTCCGCGCGATCACTTTTGCTCCCGTTTCCCTCCGCCTTTTCGCCCGCGGCGCCCGTGCCATCGAACCACAACTGTCCTTACCATGATGGCCGTGAGCGATGAGCGAGGCGTAGCCAAACAGGCTGTCATGTCCATAGTTCTACGTCGAGCATCATCCAGGGCGGATGAAAAGATCCAGATGTAATTTCGTGGGGAGTGGGAAATTCCACTTATAACGGGGATTGCAGCCGAAGGCGACCGATATACACACAATCAAAGGTGTCGATCGACTCAAATGAGGGGACTGTTGTATAGTCAGATTGTGCACAGGTATCGGACTCCGCTTCGTGATCAAGTTCGACAACGTTTTATGTCGTTCGAGTCGTATCGTATAGGTACAGATTTCATCCGCCATCGCCCAAGTATCCTTTGCCGAGTCGAGCTCCACGGTTCGTGAACGTCTCTTCACAAAATTACCAACTAAAGCCCCCCTTTAAACGCGTTCAGAGCGTTCTTCCTATCAAACCACCCCTCCAAACAGCTGTCAGCTTGTCAGCCCGCCCAAACCCCATATCGAGACGAGATCCGACCCACTTAATAGTCCTCCAAGCATAATGTAACGTCTTCGCCTCGATCCCATACCTCTCAGCGACGATCTTCCTATGTTCCGGGGTAGCTTCCTCGATGGCCCTTTCCAGGATCTCGTAGATAACCGTGGGATGGTTCGCAGGGAGCACGGTACCGGTGAAACCTGGTGGAGGCAGTTGACCGGTCCCGTGGGTCTTTCTATGTTTCGAAGGGGAAGGAGAGTCGGTATTGCCGGCAGGTTGTTTACGCTTCTTGGGAGGGGTGGCTTTGTGGTCGAGAAAAGGTAAGCGCGAGCGATGGCGTGGGGCTGATCGTCGGACGGAACTCACATTGCACGTCCGGTTTCCTTTCTTCTTCGCTCATACTGATATGTCAATGATATTACCAGTGAGATGTCTGAATGAGTCGAGAATACCTTGTCGACGCTTCTCAAGCGGTGAAGGTGTTGCGAACCAAGCAGTCGGACGACTGGAGAGCTATATATGACTGGTGCCTCATCCCATGCTTCCCGCTGATCATTGCGCAACGTCAGCACACAGACCGAGGACAATAGTGTTGAAGGGAACCTTCTCCAACTTCATCTCGGAGCTGCCGAATACGGACGATCGACGTTGCTCGACTTCCCAAAAGTCACGGTCCCTCTTTTTGTTACGAAACGCCGGACGAGTTCCCGATGCAGCGGAAGCAAATAACATCCGGCTGCCCTCTCCTCCTCCTCCTCATCCGGTGTCCACGGATAACCGGTTGGAGAGTCGATCTACAGATAGCTGATATGTGGTTATCGGTACATCAGACCTCGGACAGAAAAACGCAGAGATAGCTTCAGTCGGAATTACCAGAGATACAAGCTACACGAAGTCTAGTTTCCATTTCGCACGATGTCTCAAGCTCTCCTCGCCCACCTGGTCTTGCACCCCAAGGTCTCTCAATCCCTCAAGGTCCTCAGCACCACCGTCGGCAGGGACAAGGTATGTTCAGATCCTCAGTATCCGGTTCGGCCGACGATATCAATCCTGTAGCAACTGATATGATCTCCACGAATCCCGTTTACAGGTCTACCGTCTGATTCAATACGCCTCTCGTCTCATCGCATGGTACATCCTCCGTTCAGGCGGTCCTGCAGCCAAGGAGGCTGCTATGCGGTGGGACGGCCTCAAGTCGGGTCTTGCTAGCGGGAGAAAGAGTGCGACCGAAGTGAATCTCCCAGAGTTGATCAAAGGGAGTTGACAGAACCGTTTCTGTCACTATAGTGCTCCGACTCGTCAAGCCCATGGAACACCTCCAGTCAGCTCTCAATACCGCCAATACGCCGGTGTAAGCTCGACCGGCACATCGATTTGTCGCCTAGATTTTGACTGACCAACGGTTGATCCCTTCTCTCAGCCGCTCCCGGTCATTGACCCCTCTGGCATCTCCTCTGGCTTCCTTTGCCCAGGTCGTCCGTCAGCTATGTTACGCCGGGTACTTGTCTACCGACATGATCGTCTGGCTGCAGAGCGTCAAGTTCTTACGACTGAACGCCGAGTGAGTAATTCGATTCAGTCGGGCTCGATCAAGTGGAGCTGATTCTCCTGGTTACAACCTCTCACTGCAAAGCAAACACTCTCGGATCAACAAGATCTCTCAACGGTTCTGGATGTACGGGATCATCTCCTCTCTTGTCTCCTCCGTCGCATCTCTCGTTCGTCTACGGGCCGAGGGGAGGAGGTTGGCTCTCAGCCGTTCGATCTCGTCCAGCAGCGAGAAGGGCGGGCCGGAGGGTGGGGACGAGGGACAGCGGAGGGAGGAGGGGAAGAGGTTGCTCACGTGAGTCGTCCGGTCTCTGGGCTTGACATCCTACGATCCCTCTGCGAGTACTGAACGTTTACGGATGGTGCCTGTTGCCTGTGTCTGTATTGTATAGCGAACGGGCGACCCTCGTCTCACAAGTCGTCCAAGACTCGATGGACTTTTGGCTCCCCGCCAACAATCTCGGAATCACCACTCTCAACGACGGGGTCATCGGAGCTCTTGGGTAAGTCGAACATTTCGTCCATCGACGTGCTTCATCTCCAGTATATTTGACTAACGCTTCCTGCATTGTCCATCCTTCCCTCTGCTCTCCGTTCTTGCATGGTCGTCCACAGAGCTGCGACCTCGTACATGGCCTTGCAACAACAATGGATCAAGGTCAACGGTCTACCGGGCAAGGCCAAGTAATTCCATCGTCCTCCCTCTCTCGTGCTTCGCGTACCATCTCCACACACTGTACACAGACTCGAACCTTAGATCAAATGCGATTTACTTCGATCGCGATCTCGGTCACGGTACATGGTCTCTCTCGTCTGCTGTCTGTCGTCCAGAATGTGAAAGTCACGCTCTCGCTTGCCAGATATATCCCGCTCCATTCGACGAATAGTTCCCGAGCGCGGCGATCTCCATGTCGACGGGAGCAGTTCAATCTCGCTAAGACGAGAGCCAAAGTGGTCGTACGAGCACGTCCGAGACAGGAGGGTGGCTGTGATCGCGAGGTCTTCCAGGCGAAATGAACGTCTTGACCGAGCTGCCGAGAGTGGAAATTGGCGAGCCGTGAGTGGACGTGCTCACATACAAGTCTTCCAGATGTACATCTGCCATCTGCATATGTGGAGGAGAAGTCGACGTCGAGACCTGAAATCCTGGAACAAGTACGGAACGCTCGGATCTGGATCGGCATGCAAACATACCGCCATTTCGCGAGGCATTCCAGTGGATCTTGTTCGGTCCCAAAACCTTGGGCCTGAACTGCGAAACTCACCTCTTCGCCACGACCACAACGCATGGACCGCGTGCTCGAAGGTGGCTTTCTACAGGCGGCCATGCGAAGCTCAAGATGAGCGGCGCGATCGGGGAGTGAGTATCTTTGCCCCGTTCCCCCCGCCTTCCCCCCGGCCTCGCACCTCCGGCTGTTATGATCAACGGATGAATAATAACCAGATCCGGGTCCAAGCGAATTCTTGGTGTTTCCGATTTCAAGACGAGGTGATTCGTCCCGACGTTCAGATGAGCAAGCGTGGTGCGGAGAATATGGTGGAGGTGTCAAACATTGAGGTAGACGATCGAAGGCTAGATCGTAAGAGGCAAACAGAGGATCGAGGTCGACGTTTCGTTTGTGTACCACCAATACTGTACGGCTGGACATTGCCATTCTAGCTAGCTACGACTCGGCCGAGTTCTCGAAGTGACGCACCTCGGGTTCCCCGGAAGATCGACATCCCCCTTGAATTCACTAGTTTCAGCGTTAGTAGGCAGTAGTGCGCAGCCCGCATCGTCTGGGACCGATCGACCTGGAACTGCGAACCACCTTGCCGGAGATATAGATTGTAGGGGCTCATCCACATTCCGAGGAACGACGATCGACCTGGCACGCACAGTCTCTTTCAAAACACGATCACTCGTACGACTTGGATTGCACTTCTGTCACCTGGTAGACGGGTTTGAGAAGGGTCGTCACCATAGCAATAGTAGCTGTTCGAGGGAGAAAGGAGTCTCCTCAGCAAGCTTGACCACCTAGAAATTACCTGGACATACTCGCCACGAGGACGTTCGTCATCGCTCGCAGCTGTAACGCCATCCGTCGATCATCTTCATCATCATCAATCCATCAGCCATCAGAACGCTCGTCACGATTTTGATCAGATTGATAAAGTTTCGAACAACGAAGAAGCTGTCCCACCCCTCGCCGCGATCCACCGGGCTCATCCTTTTCCCGACTACCGACCCTACCGGATCAGACGGAACTGTTCCGGTTTCAAAGGAAGGCATCAGCACGAGGACGAAGCTGTTGTTCCGGTGTGCGTTTCATCAGAAATAGAAGGGTTGCTCCTCGTGGGTGGATCCGAGCTCGGGTTAGTCTCAGGTGGCCCGCCGGTTCGGAAGAGAAAGCTTGACTGATTGGAAGCTCGGGATCCAGAGGTTCTTGATCGAGATATCGCACCACGCGATCGGTTTAGAAGGCCAGAGATTCCAGAAACAAAGCCACGATCGCTCTCTCCCGTCGTCTTACCCTCGAACGTCGATCAAGAGGCCCGTGCACACCGGCTATCGCATCGACCGGTCGTATCAACAACCCACGCTGATCCTCTGAAATCGGGACGTTTACGCACTCGACGACAAGGAGGGTCGCACGATCTGCGGTGTCTTGCCCTCGAGCTTCGAGGTTCTACGAGAAATATCCCGGCGAGCGACGACGCACGGACCTACACATTAGGTTGTTGGTGGATCGGCGCTCGTGACCCATACCGTGCAAAACACTTGGCTGTGCGGGACCCCCATTCGATCACCAAGAAACCCGTCTTCTCCGCCGGCCTCGCTCGAAACACGCCCCTTTGATAGGATTGTGGGTGGATTTCTCCGTGGGTGACGAAAAGATATAAAGGGATCCCATCGGATACGTCACAGGAAAGGACCCCCTTCACCACCACGTCCACAACTCGCCTATTCGACTCGTCGACGCGAAGAAGTTTCAAACGACATAGGACAAGCTTTTGAAACATCCTTTAACTCTTCGATCGCTACTCTACAACACGCTATCCATCAATCCCGTATCCCAAAGGACCCACCTCCTAGCAGTTGTCGCCTTCTGACCGAAGCTCGGGCTGTCGTGACGTTGTCTTGCACGACACACACGACACGACTTCGGATCGCTTGGATCCTGGAAAGAAAGAAAGAAACGGGAGAGAGTGCCGCCGGGCTGATCGGGTGAGTTGCGGTATATCATATTCAATCGATATATAATAAGCGTAGCACCCTTGTTTGGTCGGTCGACTGATAGCTGATGGTTCGCTGTTGCCGTCGACCCCAATTCCTCTTGATTCAAAACACATAGAAATAGCCAACGACCCCCTTCAAGCCTCCATCTTACCCATCAACATCCACCTCCTTTGCGTGACATCCGCCTCGCTTCACCTTCCTTTACACCTCGGAATCACATCTCCAATCCCCTCCAGCACACGCCCTTCATCGCCTTCTCGACCCTGGACCCTGAAAGGACCCGACGACCATCACCATCGATCGATCACGGATCCCAATCGATCGAGATTGCGATTGCCTTGCCACGTCAACCCGTCGTCGACCAATATGAATGTCCAGGACATGCTCGCTGATCGTCAGGCAGCGCTCATGCAACGCCGTAGACAGATCTCTATCGGCAAGAACCCGCACGATGTCACCTTGACTGGTCAACATCAACAACAGCAACATGAATACCCTGCCGCACCCACCAACAATGGCAACTACGCTGCTGGACAACCTCCTCTTGCTACAAGAACTGCACCCCCACCCCCAAACGCAGCCAACCAGAATGTCTACCTCGGAGCGGAGCTACAAACCCAGACTCAGCTCGCACCGACAAACCCATCAGTCAACGAGAATGCTATTGGCGGAGTCCCCGTCGCTTCAAATCGAGGTCTGCCATTCAACGGACCGCTTGGCCCGAACGGGAAGCCTCTTGTACAGCCTCAACCCGGTAGCAAGGAGGATCTTAGACGGAGGAAAGCCATCAGAGAGGAGAGGGAGAGGATTGAAGGTGAGTTATAGCAAGGCTTCAAGCTCCGGTTACGTTGTCTAATCGTTCCAATCTTCTTTCACATCACCAGCTGCCAAGCGAGCACAAGCCGAGAGCCAAATCGCTCAGGCAACATCACCCGCCTCTTGGTATACTGCCTCTTCCAACACGGTTGCCTCCTCTTCTCAACAAGCTCAAGCTCAACGAAATGTCGGCTCCAGCTTGTCTCCTCCTTCCGGTTCTACCTCGTCCACCAGCCAACGATCCGCCCTCTCCTTTGCCGTCAAGCGTACCCCTGCTCATCTCGTTGTCCCGGCTCGGTCAGGGAGCGCTTCCGGTAGCTGTGACAGCGGTGGGTCGGGATCATCGGGCGAGCGAAGGCGGACCTCGTACTCCACCTTGGTCACCGTACCTCAGGGTCGTCAACCCGGCTTGATCGTCGAGGAAGACGAGGATGACCTCAAGACCCCGACGCCTCCCGAGGTCAAGTTGGAAAAGGAACGGGCGTTGGCTGCCATGTTCGCCGCGAGCGGGATCGGAGCTGCACCCATGACGGTTGACCTGCAGACCCGTTCATATGACGACGGGGATGATAGCGAGACTGGGGAGATTAAGGCGGCGGTGATCGTACGTCGCAGCAGCGGGTCGGGAGGGTCCCCACGACAGCTAGCCAGCGAGACAATGGGAAGGTTGAGAACGAGTACTGAGACGGCTGGGAGTCGCGAGTCGACGATGACGAGCACTGATACTGACGGCAGCCTCAAGACGCCTACGACCGCCGAGTTTCGAAATCGAAATCAAGATGGCACTGTGACTGGCACCGAAAAAGATAACAACGACAGCAATGTCTCTATCCCGACCATCATCTCTAGCTCGGCCGACGAAGAGAACCCACGCAAAGATAGCAATGGTTCCGATTTCGGAGCGTTTATCAAAGGATTCCCTGGAAACCTCGGTCAGAAGGCAAGGATGGTCTCGGATATGGGCAGGAGGTTGTCGGGAATGATTGGCAAGGGGGAGTCGTCGACACCTTCTACCCCTGCTGGGAGCCGACGTCCCTCCGTTACCAGCAGCATTGCTCCTAGCGAGATGGACGCTGATGGGATGCCCAGGAACGCCATGGGACGTGCTGTGCACCGCGACTTGTGGAAGGTGAGTTCGCATCGTGCAGGCTAAACCTTCTTAACTTGTGAGCTGATTCGACATCGATTTCAACACAGCCCGATCACCTCTCTACCATCTGCGACTATATCTCTTGTCAAACCGAATTCAACCTGCGCGTCCGCAAACATCACTGTCGATACTGCGGCGGTATCTTCTGCGACGTCCACTCAGCATACGCTCTACCTCTTTACTATCCTCCTGTTGAATACGACGACGAGGACAGCCGGTCGAATCAGTCATCAACCATCAACCTTGTCGCCTTAGCTAGCAGGTTTACAGGTGGTGTCGCACGAAGTCGGGTCTGCGCGACCTGCTTTGAGAAGGTTGCACATCCGGAGAAGCTTCTCGCTCGAAGAGCTGCTGCCAAGGGCGTCAAAACTCGCCCTCTCGTCTTGACCAACAAGGAGGCCAGCGCTGAGCTTCCCAGCACGGACGAGGAAGACTCGGATGATTCGGACGACGATGGCAAGGAGACGTTTGAAGAGTATCAAGCTAGGAAACAGCAGCGAAAAGTCTCTTCGGCCATGAACCGGGCTCCGCCTCGACGGATGTTCTCCGCGCCGGCGACACCCCTGTCTCGCAGTCCACCCAAACCGTCTTCCGAGGGCTACGTGATCAACAGCGCCAACGTCTCGCCTAGGGCTTCATTCCGACACAGCAAACCCAGGGTCCGCACGACGACCGGATCTCGCGCTCAGAGTAGATCCGGGACGGCGTTGAGCAGGCAGGCTTCCCTCAGCTCGGCCAGAAAGGTCTTTTCTCCCACAGTGGAGGCGATGAACCCCAACTCGTGTTCGCCCGCCGAGGGAACGAATCGCAATAGCTACTTCCCTGCCATGCCACCTCCCGGGATGGCTCATCTTCCTGGCGAAGAACCGAACACGACCGTCTCGGGCATCTTGGCCAGCTATCCGCTGGCACACAAACCAGTCACCTCCCCTTCGAGCCCGTATACCCCTCAGGTCTACTCCCAATCCAGCCTCTTGACCCTCGGTAGTCTCGTAGGACCAGGTCGATCACCCAACGAATCATCCTCTCGAGACAGCTCGCGATCGAGGTCGCGCAATCAGCTTACGATCCAGAACATGCCGCCTCTTGGTATGGGACCGCTCGACCATATCCATCAGAAATTGCAAGGCGCCGGTCAGAATGGGACGTCGACGAATACCAACAGCAGCGCGGGGGTCCTGACTCCGGATCGGGAATGGGTGCCTTCGGCTTGGGGTTACGATCGGGAGACCTTTGATCCGGATAGGGAGCTCGACGATGACGAAGAGGAAATGAAGCGTGGCAGGACCAAGCTGGTTGTTGATGGAGGTACGTCTTGTTGCCAATCGCCGATCTACTTTGCCTTGACGATTGATGCTGATCGAATCCATTCATTGATAGACTTCCGATTCAAAGCGAAACCCCTTGCTACAGAACACGATGACGAGTCAAACGACAGCGGTCGCGACGAACAGCAACGCTTCTCGACATCCCTCACTTGGGCCACCTTCTAATTGCCACCTTCCTGAAATCGTTTCTCGCCAGCACCACCACTCCTTCGGCCGGAGCCATCATCCCCGCCCCTACACTTTGACTTTTCGTTCTATCCTACTTGCTACGCGGTCTCCTCCATACCAATCGCGCATACGTCAATGTGCTAATAGACTCTATAGACGTGCTGTACACTCCGTGTACCTTTTGTTCTCTCCAACCGAAATCGACCTTGTAATTCGTCTTTCACACCATAGTAACAACGATGATGATTTGATTCTGCATCAAGGGGAGGGCCTGATGATTCTGATGATGACGTCACGCCTCTTTAAGATCTCGATCGCCCTTGGTAACAAAGCCCGACCTCATGTTCCTTGGTGTTGCTAATTGCCAACTTGTATGCATCTTATCAGAAGTTGAACCATTCAAGCTTGTCAAGACCTGTTCGTCTCGTTACCGACACTATCACTTCTGCACCGAGAGGCAGATCACATGCTCCTCGTCGCAAGGGTCCTGCCAAGAACGTATCGACTTCGCTACCAGACTCCAGCCAAACGGGCCTTTCACTACATTCTCGAAATGACAACTATCCGGATGCCAAAACGATCTTTCTCAAGCAGTCCAGAGGTCGAGGAGATCAAACCTGTCAGTCCAAGGACCGCTTCCAAGGCTAAGAGTACTCAAAAGTCAACAACACGTAAGTCATTTCCTGCCGATCAACCCACCAGAACTATCGAGTGATGATCGGTACTATGTTTCAGCTAGGAAGAGGACCAAAGTCTCGCCAGTCCCCGGCCCAGTTCCCAAAACCGCTGCAGAAGAGTTCGGAGACGAATGGCTAGACTGGCCAGCACCGAGACCAGCCATCAAGGCGGCTCAGGAGTTCATCAAGGACATGTAAGATAGCAACATCGAGCGCGGACAAACGAACAGGAAGCTAAGAGACGGTATGAGGGCAGTGCTGCTAACAAGCGGAAGGTCTTGCTTGTTCCGGACAAGGATGCAGATGGTCTCTCAGGTAAGCTATCGCTCACCAAGCAGCAGAATCTACCAAGTTGCTGACGGACAATGATATCGTTGATTGCAGCGGGATACGTTCTGCACAAGACGCTCGAACTTCTAGGTTTACCAGCCGACCACATCTATGTCCACGTCCTATCAAAGGGTACCAACGTACATTCGGAAGCCGAAGTGAACGCCATGGAACGGATGGTAGATGAGAATGGGATTGAGAGGGTGGTCGTCCTGGACCAAGGAAGCCGGCCAGGCAAGATTGTCGGGAATTTGCCGGATGGAGGAAAGGCTCTTCTGCTGATCGATCACCATCAATCGGAGGAGGTCAGTCTGGGTTCGGTCTCCGTTAGCGAGTGAGGAAATCTCAACTGGCAGATCGGTTTGAACAGTTTCCACCCGATGCTGTGGTCCTCACAGCGTGCCATACCTCGCCGATCGCCACGACATCCCTTTTGACATATATGACATGTCTACCTCTTCACTCGAACGTTCAAGAAGCCTGTGACTGGGCTGCTCTCATGGGATACATCGGCGGTGAGCTCTTCTTCGCGCCGCACAATAGATAGATCCAGATAAGCTAAATTGAAAGTGATTCTAGATCTTGGTACGGGGACAAAATGGGGGCAGGCGCCATGGCCGGCGCATATCGCGGTGTGTTCCCGAAGGTGATTAGAGAAACGCGTGATCAGGTGTGAATGAGCTCCCATGTTAATGCTCCTAATTGGACGTGTAGATATGGGGGCAAGACGATTGCGGATGCCGTAGGTGCTGTCAACGCACCAAGACGGACAGCGGAGTACAACGGTCAGTCTACGCTAGCCAGTCTCAACCCTATCGTATACTGAGCTTCTGATCGCATCCACAGTGAAGAAAGCTTGGGATGTGAGTGGACCGCTAAATCGCTTTAGTCCCTTATTGATATCGTGTAAACAGATCTTGCTAGCAGCATCGGAACCGAAAGAAGTCGCTCTGAATGCATGGCTCAAGCTTTGTCGCCTGGATGTCAATGACGAGATCGAAAAATGGGCGCGAGTCCGTAAGTGGGACATCAAGTCGAATGTCCAAAAACCTCGGCTGACGAGGACAATGCAGCCCCTCGTTTTTCTGCGGATGGTCGAGTTGCGTTACTACGCGTTGACAGCGGGTTTCAAAGTGAGCCTGATGCGATCACAGGTTATGAGATATATACTTGCTAATATGGACCTATACAGTCCATCCTGTCATTGCGACCCGATGGGCCGGAACACTACGCAATGCAAAGACGATGCTCATGACCATGGTTCGTACTTCGTTCCCATCTGCTCGAGACCGATCTGGAGCTGGTATTCATCCCGTCGATCTCAGTGCGCAAATACAGGATTCAACCCTGATCCGACGAAGGTGTCGTTCTCCTGTAGAGTATCTTCGGGTCTACGACACTTGCCGGACGAAGAGCGACGTGAGTCACGGGTCTGCTGAATGTATTGAGCCGGGATGGTGACCAATGATTTACCTCAATAGCCAACCTGATTGCGCTTCTAAAAGAGTACGGCGATTCGGTAGAGGGCTTTCGAGAACGCGTCGGGGATGACTTCGCTAGAGGACACAAAGAAGCCACCGGAGGCATCATACACAAGGTAAGACAGCCTGAACTACAACTGGAATGGGTGCTGGGCTAAATCGATGAGCTCGACAGGATGAATTCGAAAAATTGATCGTAGCAATGGGAATCGACGAGAACGCGCCGCGGAAGAAAGCTAGTGAAAGCAAGAGCAGTGCCAAAGCCAAGTCAGTCGATCCAAACCAGAAAGCTTCAGTCAAGGATTTCTTTCGGGTAGTACCAAGGGATGCAGAAGCGTCGGGCGCAAACGAAAGCAAGATAAAGGACGTCAAGCCTTCTACATGATCATACAGATCTTAGTAGTTCATTCCCCTCATACGTTGCTCCGGAGTAAGTTTGTTGAACATATGTATCGCGTCGGGAGCAGCTCCAATTCCAGGACGTTGCTATAAACGAGCAGGTTGTAAGCGTTGTAATGACAGGACGTGAGTATGAAGTCCACATACAATAAGGCCCGTTCCGGGATGACGCCTCTCTTCCGCGATAAGGCTCGACATGTCCTCACTGAACGCCGCATTCGGAGCGAATTTGGCAGGGTTCCAGGGCTGACGACTGTCGAAGCCTTGCCCGCCATAACCAGCGTTTCGCATTTGTTCGTGGATCTTTTGCTTCTTGGCAGGATCGTTTATGAACTCGTTGCGTTTCGTCATATCGCCGCTGACAGCTCGACGGAAATCGTCCTTGAGTTGGCGCGTGAGTCCAGAAAGCGATTTCTGAGGGTCGTAGGAATATTCCGGATCGTAGAATGGCTTTTCGGCCTCGACCAGAACTTTTGTCTCGTCGTTGTGATCAACGACCTCCCTGCGTTGAGTCATACTATGATGTTCACGAAGGTCCTTGTTGGACCACGCCTTGTTGGCACCGTTCCTGCGCGAATTAACGACCCCGCGCTCAATAGAGAGGGCATGCAGGTATTGTGAGATACTCTCATCAGACGCCTGGTAAAGATGTTTGAGATGGGTACGAAATGCTTCTGCTCCGGCTTGAGATCGAGTTCCGGTATATGTCTTTCCGATCGCACGTTCCAGCTCTTTACAGCGCTGTTCGAATTCCTCCTGCTTTTTGGGGTCCGCCCTTGCAAGATCCTTGCCAACGTCCATGACTTTAGTGAGATTGTGAATTGCTTCACGCAGGCTTGTCCCACTTGTAGCTAATGATGTGATCGAAGTCTTAGCGTACGAGTAGAGCAGACTTGCAATCAAGTAGAATACGACTTGCCAGATGCCATCTTTCTCGTCGCTATCTCTCCGCCCCGCCACGTTTCTTCGATCAAACCGTGAAGCATTCTCGCTTCGTTCAAGAGCATTTGTGCGTGCTCGAACGGTGAGAATCGGGTACCCCCGTTGTGTTTTCGTCCCGATTGCGGACTCTTGCCTCCTTTGACTGTCGCCAACACTTTCTGCGCCTGAAACGCGGCCACTTCTTCGGCCATTCTCTCGCCACGGTCCCTCCAGATTCGTGTTACTGGATCGCCAGACCGGTCAGCTTGTTGCAGTCTTGAGCGCTTGCTTCAATGAAGTAACTCACGTAGACGATAATCACTTTCTTTGGCGTCGGCAGGATGCTTTGTCGCCGTGAACGATCAGTCACACTGCCTTTTCCAGGTGGAAGACTACTTACAATCGAGCGGTCGCCAAAGAATGGACTGGTGCAGCACAAACATAGTAGGGTTCTCCAACCGCATATTACCCTGTACCAGCTTTGATCGATGGCGGCAGGGAATCTCAATCAGCGAAGAGTTACAGCTGTGGTGTGGTGGCGAGGATCGACTTACTTTGGGCGCACTAGATAGACCCAGCCTTGAACGAATCTGTCACAGCGATAGAAGATGGCGATGAGCAGGAGTTAGGTGCGCCACGACTTTCGACAAACTTCACCTGAGAAATTGATAGAAAGGCCAGTAGAGAAGCCATTGTCGAACGTTGCCTAACCAGATCTTTCAGTAGGCAACAGAACATGCCATCGACGAGCTTGTACTCGGCTTACCTTCTGTGTACGGATCACCCGGCACACGATTCATGTCATTGGCAGACGTCAGGATACCTCTCAGGGTCGCTTGCAACGGGAGGACCGCCGTCACGAATTCCGACAGGTAAGGTAGCAATGTGGGCGGGCCGTAGCAAAATAGCAAGGTGAAAACGGCCAGAAAGCCTATCACCAAGATTCTGACGCCAGAGCCGGTATCTGCCGCCATGCCACAGAGCATCTCTCCCAAGAATCCGTAATTATTCTTCAGCTGTTTCGGAAAAAAAGGCGTTAGGGCCAGGTGACGTGACCTAACCGAAGAGACTCACCCCTTCTATGTAACGCAAGTGGTTTAAAGCGGCCCTGTCCTCTTGTTCTTCTTTCTATTGACCCGGTGATCAGCCTGTTGTGCGCGCGACATCATGGCGCCCAGGCTGCAGCACTCACATCGGTGATGGGCATACCCTTCCAGCGCGATTGGGCTTGCGCCCTCATCGTGTCTAAAAGAGCATGCGGATGTACACGATTCCGTGAGACATCAGTCGACTTTTGTCCTCGCTCCCGGAATGGTCTTTGGGCCGGCTTTATGAAGGGACAGACGACAATTGAGCCATCAGGCCGGATCCGTATGAGTCTCCACTTCCAACCGTGGCTTTTGGTTCGGCGCAGACGTAGATCTGCAAAGTCGTGATTCCAGCTGGGCAAAGGCTAGGTCAGAAATGTACCGTACATCTGGCAAACCGGTCCTCTCACCGAAAATCCAACGTCTCTGCCCAACGATCGTAAAACTCGCGATCTTCAAGATCTGCTTGAACCCCAGGGACTGGAATGTCCATATTGAACCTCTTCTCAGCGACCATATAGTTTTTCTCAGCATCTTCGGGATGGAACCCCGAACGATCCCGAAAGATTTCATCCGGAGGCGGCTTGTTTGACCGCTTCATCCATGATGTAAGCTCGTCAAAGACTGGCAGTTTGGCATCTCCGATTGCAAGGAATTTGGTGTCGGGTCGCCCATCCCCTTTGAAGAGGTCGAATTCGCCTGGCAATCTGTGCCATTTATCGAGACCAATCTCAGTCACAGTATCGAAGAGACCCTCGTCGTCAGTCGTGGAAGCTTCCGAATCAGAAGGGATTGGCATTCTTGCGGTGTCTGCTATTACTTCGCCTACGCTATTGGATCGATTCTAGCCTTGCCGACCGTATCAGCCGAACGAGCTCTAGCAAGCCCTTTCAAGTGTCTTATGTATGAGGAGGGGGCGATCTTACAGAACGCCATGCACGTACGCCTTCCTTTGGCAACCGTAGGGGTGGATACGGGGCTGTCAGGTATGAAACATGCCTTGTCGCGCGGTAAGCATATGGCGGTACAACGGTCGTCTAGGGCGCGATTCGTGACAAAACGTTTCGTCATGATGAGAGCTTGGCATTGAGCCGGCGAAGTTCCTGAGGCGTGAACCGGAGAATAACAGATAGGACCCGCACAAGGTTGGGCTGTAATGCAAGAATTGATCAAACAAGGCTCCAGCGTTCCCCCTTCTGACCCAATCCAAGATATACTCACTCGCATCTCCTTGTTCTCGAGGAATTGTAAGATTACGTTTCGTAGATACTATCGTGCAATAGGGAGCTCAGCGGTGTATACGGGTCTCGTTGAAAGGAGAGCGAGGGCATACTTCTAAATTGACTTCTTCCTCCTCATTTCTCGGTGCCGATTCTGTAGGAGCAGGTGAACTGACTTCCCGGACTATGGGTGTTGGAGGCTGGCTATCCTTGCCGACTCGCTTCGTCGAATCGATGCTAGTCCGTGCATCTGCTGGTAAATCCGCGGCCGTTCTGGTGTTTTGATTGGCACCACCGGCGGACCAATATCCAACGCCAGGATTTCGCTGTCGTTCCAACAGCTGTACAGATGACTGTAGACGTCGCATCTCCTCTCGCAGATTCTATTCAGATTGGCTCAGTCAGCCATCCTTCGCACTTTTCTTGTAGCCACGGACGTACCCTGTTGATTGCCTTGGCCTGTATGACCATTTGCTTTGCGTCTTCAGCCTCGCTAGACAATCTCGAGATCTCTTCGCGGAGGAGATCAGTCTCCTGTTTGACCGAGGTCTACCAGAATCACATTGCGTTTCGTCAGAAAATTTTGGGTCAGGGGCAGGAATCGATACAACTCGCACCTCTCCGTCGCTGGCTTTGGCTTGAGCTTCCCGCGTCGTTCGCAGAGTCGCCGCGATATCGTCCAGATCCATGGACAAGGTTTCTTTTTCCCTCTCCAGCACTCTGACACGGTCCAGGGCGTCTTTCATGTCTGAAGCGATAGCTGCAGCCTCCTTCTCTTTATCGCTTAATAAACCCCTGAATCTCTCCATCTCTGATCGTTGTGAACGAAGTTGCCGACCGTGCTCTTCCTCCATATCGATCCGTTCGCGTTCCAGCTTTGTCACCTCGTACTTCAAGTCTTTGAGTCGGGCTTCCGCTTGGTCTCGAGCCTTGGCAAGGGAAGCAGCAGAGTCATTTCCGGCCGTCGACTGCGAAACCGCTCTCTGATTGGCCTGTGCATCGCTCAGTCTCCGTTGAGCATCAGCTAAAGCATCCTCCGCTAGCGTCGCTCGTTCCTGTGCTTCTTTGGCTTCTAGAGCGATCTCCTTCAATCTTGCTTCAGATACTTCCTTAGCGGCAGTGGCGGTCTCAATCTCCTCTTGACGGCTCTGCAACAACTCGAATTGGCGCCTTTTCTCCTCATTGAGCTCTTTGATACTGTCGGTCAGGGTGTTGAGATGCTTCGATTTGCTAGCCAAATCTTTTGCATGCGTTGCCTGTAGCAAAGATTTGGGTGATCAAGCACCTAATGAAGGAAATTGACGGATGACTAACCTTCGTTGTAATGATCTCCAGTTCCCATTTGCGCTTTTCAGCTAAACTTTCACGGGCAGCCTTCTCCTTCAATCCTTGAGTCTCCTTCTCATATGCCTGTCGAAGCGACTGGACTTCGCGTTCCTTTTCAGCTCGGAGTTTTTCCAGAGTGTCCACCAACTTCGTCCTCTCCCTCTTTTCCTCGTCAAGAGCTTTCGACACGTCCTCCCGATCCCTTTGCACGGTCACCAACTTGGTCCTGACAGTCTTGAGCAAATTGACAGCCTTCGTCAACTTCTCGTCTGCTTCCTTGTGTTGAGCCTGAGAAGCAGCGAGGTCTGCTCGGAGTTGAGCAACTTGTAGTGCTGTTGAGGCCTGTGACGAAAGGGAAGTCTCATTCTTGGCAACCTGATCCCGAAGAGATTCAATCATCGCAGTCGACGAAGCTTGCTCCATCCTGTGCGTATCCCTCAGCTCTTCGATCCTCGACTCTTGTACTGTATCAGCAGATCCAGCTGTCAGCTTTTGACCAGCCGTGCCTTGTTCGACCACAGGTCGTCTACTTACGAGCCAGCTTGTCATTCAATCTCTTAATCTCCGTCGGACCCATCTCTGCCTTTCCGCTTATCATCTTCACCCAACCTTCGAGAGCATCTGCATCGGCGATCCCCTCGTTGAGCAGCGGTGAAGTGCTCTTGAGGATGACGTCGGCTTTATTAGCTTTTTGCGAAAGAGCCTTGTATTTCTCCTCCAATTCTTCACGCGACAGGGTGGAGACATCTTCGATTTCCACCTCTGATTTGACGAGTTCTTCTACGGACTTAGGAGCAGCCTCAGTAGCCGGAACGGTGCCATTCTCGACGATGTCCTTTGGGGTACCATCATCAGGGTCTTCACCCTCGGATAACGGTTTCGTCTGTTCATCTACTTGTGCCAGGAGCGCTTCCGTGTCCGCCATCGTGTGCCCCGGAGTCTCATTGCCAGCTCCATCCACAGCCGGTGTGACGGCTCCACTCAACCCAAGACTGAACAAGTCTCGATCGGAATCGACCCTCTTTCCCGCATCTCCCGCCGGCGCGGCCGCAGTGGGTGTAGATGCCCTAGCGATGCTGGGAAGCTTGGATACGAGATTGCGAGGGGTGTTGAATAGTGACGTGCTTCCACTCGGCTTGAGCTCTGGTGACAAAAGGGTTGCAGTTGCTGATTGGGGAGTTGCTGGAAGCGGAATGTCGCTAGGTCGCAGATCGGGGGATGGTGGAAGAGGTATGTCGGCGGGGTCTAGTTTAGCTGATAACAGAAGGATGTCAATCCACCGGAGTATCAAGTCTTCCACGTCGAGCACCGACCTAGATCTGCCTTCTTGATCACTCCCTTGCTGTTGTCTTTTGCAGGATCGGTCGACGCTTGGGATGCACTGCGTTCCAGAGCTGCCCCTCTAGCTGCCTTGGCCGCCATAAGCGAGCTCAAACGACTAGCCAGCGCATTGCCTTGAGCTGGAGGTCTGCTCGATTCTCCTGAAGATCGAGTCGAAGATGCATCGGGCTCGAGCTTCTTATTCTTGGCCGACCCTGATGAAGGCGTAGCAGGAGACTGCTGCTGTTGCTGCTGCTGCTGTGCGGCCTAGATGACGAACCAAGCTCAAGTCAGACTGCAGATGTTAAACAAGGTTGAAGGCTTACCCTTGCTTGGAGAGCATGCCCGGCCTGTTCAAAGTTTTCTGCAGCAGACTTAAGCTGTTTCCCGATGCCCGAAATCGAGAACATGTTGAGGTTGTCAGTCAATCGGTCAGAGGGCAGGTATTCGCTTTCCCAACCACGCTTCTAGCTCATGTCCACAGATTTCGACCTGGCAAGTTCAAGCTTCTCGATCCAAGTATGTCAAGGCCCGTATACTACGTTTGTATCGAGGAATGTGGATATGAAAGAACAAGCGATTCGACTTGAGCAAGCAACACGATTCTTGGCCATGTATGACCCTTCAGCTCGGCGGGTCGAGCTCGCGTGGGCGCAGTCGGCCGGTCCCCGACCCGGGCTTTCATTTGACATCGGTATGACATTATTAAACGCCATGCAATTTACGACCTCTATATGGCAGCAGCCCATCACTTGTTATCTAGAACGTCCTGCATTAGATCTCAACGATATTAGATCTCAACGATCCACTGATGCCCAGGCACCTTGCCCTCCTGGATCTCAGAGACACGTTCAAAGACGGCCCGCGCCAAGGGTCCTAGACCGCCCGAGTAGGTCGGGATTTCCATGTCAGGTCGTCCATCTTCCAGTCCGATCCTGTCGGTATTATATCCGAAATATGATCCAATATCAGTAAGCGTATGATAATAACGTCATAGCGAAAGAGCTGGAACGAACCTCTTGACAGGACACAAGACCGCCGCCGTTCCCGTACCGAACGCCTCGAGGATCTTGCCTTCCTGAGAAGCCTGGACGAGCTCTTCAAGCGAGATGGGTCTCTCAGAGACGGTCAACCGGAAGTCGGAGGAGAGGTGAGGCAATCGGTCCGAGTCAGTCTTGGCATCAGCGTGTGCGCGGAACAAGGTTAAGATCGAGTCTCGCTATTCGCAAAGATAAGCAAGTTGTTTCAGCAGTCAGGTCGACGGTGAATGACAAGTTCTTGGAATCCTCACCGTCACGCCTGGCAAGATGGTACCATCAAGGTTGGGGGTAGCGAGTTCGACCTCGACAACGTTTCCTTCCCTCTTCTTCTCGAGAACGACCATGAAGTTCATCTGCCCACACTCGGTGACTTTCATGACCCCTTCCTTGTCCTCGAGACACCACAGGTTCTGCTGGTATCCTTTTGCCAAAGCCGCCTTCTGAGGTTTGAAGCAGGGAGCATAGTTTCCCGCCAACTTGTACTCTCCAACTCCGCCCGGCCAAGCCCTGATAGCAGAGGTAGTCGCGAGCAGCGAGATAGTATCAAAGTTGGCCTGCCACTCAATGGTACTGTTGGTCCCATTGAGGTGGTTCGCAGAGTCGGTCGGCTCGGACGAGGATCCGTTACTGAAAGCAACGTTCTCGACAGAAGGGATGGGGAGGGGTGGACCGGCAGTGTTTTTCGTCGGGAAGAAAGGTCCGACCGGGGAGAGGATGACATAAATCATGGCGTGGGTAGAAGGAGCAACTCCCAAGGTGGGTCGTGTTCCGATCCTGTAGAAGTATACAGCATCGTAATCAGTTCCGTGTTTCGTTCTGCTTCGCAAGCTGGGACGAACATCGTAGGCCGGATGTATAGCGCATTGGGAGGAGGGGGGATGAGATGCTCGTCCAGTTTGACAAGCTGACGGATGAGCTCGATCATGGCTTCAGCGTCAAAGTCCTGGGTAGAAAGAACGTCGGTGAGCTCAGTGTGAACATGAGTATATCCGAGCATAAAACGCAATTCACCGGCAGCTGTACCCGATCGGCACTGCGTCGCATTCGAGCCATGTTCATATCTGGCCTGAAGAGCAGGGGTTTCGAGCCGGGTTGGCTGGTCCGATAAGCTTTCATCCCTTCGAACAGACTAAAGAAAAAGACCACTTGATCAGATCGAGCCTGCCAACCATACGCTTCCGAACGCTTCCCATGACATACGCTGGCGCATAATGGAGACAAGTACTGGCAGGATCCAGCTGAAGAGGTCCGTAAGGTCTGATTTCCGGGTCTAGCCATCCGATCTCGGGATCATGCTGACATATGAGCATGTGGTCCGTGAAGGTAGCTCCCCAGACAAATTTCATGTCCTCTGGCAGAGACTTTGGGTTTTGGGTCTTGGTCACCTTGAGCTTGGAAGGCTATGGCAGAGGAAACATCGTATCAGAACGAGGTCCGCTTTGCGTATGACACCTTGCTCTAGCTCACGTCCAAGATCCGAAGTTTGTGGTCTGCAACATATTTGCCCGACAAGTCGGTCGTCCCGGTAATAACAATTTCTGAGCCCTGAGTCATTATGGTGCGGAAGTCTGCTTGCTGCTTGAAATTAAGGCTATGCTCAGGAGCTATTAGATAGCTAGCTAGGTTTAGGGTGCACAGAGGAATATCTTGTCGAACGAGGTCGAGAGGTTGCACCAAGTTATCGGGCCCAACAAGGATGGGTGGTGACTCGATTTTGAGCTGCAATGGCTGGCTAGGACTCTTCGGGATCCCGATTCTTCGGCCGATCGGGTCGGGTCTGACCGATGTCACCGTTCGCGGCTTACGCAATCGAAGCGGAAGAGGAGATGATCTCTCGGCCGGAACTCTGAAGATGCAGGACATGCTAGACTGTATCATATATGTCGACTCGACCGAGTTACTACACTGAAATACTGATAGCGAAGCCGATGACCATTAGACAAAGATGGTACGGCGATGTTGCCGGATAGGACGAATACGACAATAGGCGTAACAATGCGTTGAGTCGTGAGATTGACGGAAAATTCCAGTCAGGCGTTGTCGCTTGGAGTCCTGAGAAGCGCCGTCAGGGGATAGCCATCGGTCACATGTCAATGATGCATTCGCAGCGAATCCACCAGAAATCCCACAATGCTCACCGCTAAGCTTTGATGTCAGTCAAGCTCATCGATGCCAAGCGAGCTCGTGCTGCATCGGCCTCAAATTCGCGTTCAGCTTCGCGCATTTGGCTGATAATAGTCTTGAAACACTGCGCTTCTCGAGGATCCCTCCATCCGTCCGACGGTCCTGCGTCCTGTGGCTGCGTACTAGGATCATCTTTGGCGTTTTCAGATTCAAGTAGAGCCACTTGACAGGCGTCAATCTGTTGATGGATGTCTTCTGTAGTGAGGTCATAGGGAGCCATGATTTCGTAGGCCTGACAATTCGTCCAAGACGGTCAGTGCAGCTCACACACATATGTGAAAGGGAGGGCATAATCCTCACTCTGTTGATGCCCTTGGACCAGAATCGTTCCTTGCGAACGAGCTCATGTATCTTCTCCAAATCTTCCAGGCCGGATCTGACACCCTTGCAGTTATAACGCTGGGTTACAACTAACTCAGCCAACACGTTGAAGGCGGTACGATCGGGACACTGCACTCACTTGGTACAACATCATGTAGATCGCAGACTCCCAATCATCGACGTAGCGATGATTATACGACGCCTTCTCGAGTTCTTCAAGCTGCGATGCGATGTTTGCGTTCATCTTTGCTAACCGCCCTTGTAACCTCTCGACATCTGCCTCATCAGCTGTAAGCATTCTCTCTTCGATGCGCTTCTTAAGGCCTGCGTAGTCTTTGACGTAGGCGTCGTGATGTTCTAGGAGCAGCGACATTTTGTGTATCCGCCTACACATAAAGTATTCATTCGCCGACCGATAATCATCCCGATTGACCTCCCAAGGCTCGGGGGGCCGCTTGATGTCCTCGAGCCGACCTCTCCGTGATCTCAAAATTCGAGCGTGTCCGAAATCGACTAGCACACACTGTTGAGGACCGTGAGCAATGGTTCGTAGTATATTGCCCGTGTTTAGATCCCGGTAATGCACTCCACATCGCGACAGAAGGTCCAAGGTTTCGAAAAGATTCCGGTAAATAGAGAACAACGTATGGACATCGATATCCTTCTCGAGCGGGACAGCGGGCACCGAGAACGTCGCGATGATGGACATACGTGTCTGATCAGCACTAGCGGACCAATCTTGGATGTCTATTCCGCCTTCCGTCTCGCCCTGGACGAAGCCGATCGGTAGAGGCAAGTTCGGCTCAAGCTCTGGTTCCGGCACCAGCGACTCCTTTTGGTCCTGTATCCAATGCAGAACATCGAGCTCATGCCTATGCAGATGTTTCTCGATCCACGTGCTCTTGATCACCAGTCGCATTTCCTGACCGTTCGGAGGTAAAAAGCAACCTTGAGACAGCGGCTCGACCGTAGCCACCCAAACCGCAGTTCTTGGTCCCCAGATCTGGCTTGTCAAGGAGACCTGTTCGATCTCGACCACTTTGTAACGATGCAGATTGCCATCTATTGATCTTATGGCGATTGCTGAATCCGCTCGCGGAGGTTTCCATTGTTCGAATAGTGAATGGGCGGGCCCGCTCAAGAAAGCAACGATGTCCACGATCTTCCCGTAGTCTTCGCGGTTCGCGAACGAGTAGCCAGCTGACGTGCCGTATTGGATGCAATCGGCATGCCATAATCTAAGGACCGGGCCGCAGAGCGTGAAGAAGAAAGCACGGCCGACAACCTCTCGTTTTTGGAGTGTTCTGCGCTGCACATATCGCTTGACAGTTGGTGTCGCTCCCATTCATTCCATTACATCAACGCTTACTAGTTGCACCAGAACACGTCCTAGCAAGGAGTCCTTCAGGTCTGCTGCCATGCTGACCTTGACTTCGCCGAAAGAGACGTCTTCAAATCCAGAGCTTTCCACATCGTGGAAACCGATATACACCTTGTTTGCCATGTCGTACCCGAAGTATCTGAAGGAATTGCCCGACTGGAAAGTTCCACCACCATGCTGCTCGGTGCTTTCTTGAGGTGATCCAGCAAAGCGCATTGCTACCGCATTGGCAAACTCGACGAGATGGCTTCGAAGTTCCGCGCCGGATCCTCTGCCTGAATTCTCGAAGCCTGCAATCGAGGAGACAATCTTGCCTAGCGGGGTGTTCTCATCCTTCATGTCGGCGACAATACCCTCACGGATCTCTATCTGGGTTCGCCATGCCTCTTCAGACATGAACAAGGGGTCCAGGATCAAGTCCAACATTTTGGGGTCGAGCTTGTTCCGACATGACAGCACTTCTATTCTTTCCAGATCGAGTATATCATCGTACGAGTCTAGAGAGTCGAAATCGGTATACGGGATATTCGGGTCATCATCCGCTGCGACAACCGCGCCGTCTACGAGCCTTTCCCATGGCTCAAGGGGCTCTGGACCTAGCCCTGCTTCTTCGACCTCATCGACTTTGTCCAAGGGATAACGTGCCTCGTACGTGCTGTACGTAGAATCCGGTCTGGCAATCCCATCCTTTCGATTTCGAGTATATGCATGTAGCGTCCTGTACCTTCTATCGCCCTTGTCCCGAGTTCGATCTTCTGGCGTCACGTCTCGTCTGATCACCCTGTATATGAAGCCATGCCGATTGGATGCTTTTCCCGACGTGGCTGGAAGGGTGGAACCGTCGGCCATGATTACGCTGCGGTACACAGCATCAGGAATCAGGAAGAAGGTTGCGATCCGTCATACGTCAAGATAAAAGATTCATCGATCATCGGTCCATCGACATCACGAGCTGATTGTGTGTGTGAACCCCTAGGTGCCAAGTTGGGGGGTTTTGTAATCCGCGGTTCGCTATTTGTAGAACTCCCGACCGTGTTTCACTTCGACTTCGGCAAGGCGCCATTTTTTGCGTCAGCCAGGAGCTGTTTGAGCAACGTAACCAACTTGCGAATACAAAAGAACGGCTGCTGTGACGATACAGGAGTTGACGAGCCATATAACTGAAAGAGAGGCGGAAAGAGTGAGGAATTCTAGGGATTTTCTTGATCTGCCCCTGCAGTACACCCTCTCGCCGCTGCGCTTCGTACGAACACACAGTCATGCCTGCCAAGGTCAACCACGAGAAATTAGCCGAAGCGTTCCTCATCTGGGCCGAAAACGCCCTCGGGCTGACAAAACTGGAAGATTACGCTCAGAAGCACGACAAGGTCGTCTTTCTCGACGAGTTCGCTCGCCTTTTCGCTCAAAGGTACAAGTATGCCTACAATGAGAAACAGTCGATGAGTTCTCCCGAAACTCCGCAGGGCCACAGGACCAGCTCTGACCAAAGAGGTTCTGGACGTGAGAACCAAAGAGTAGCAGCATGGATCACTGCAAATCCGACCCGTCATCAAGAACTCGCGACGGCTGTTCGAGATGGTGTGCTTAGAAGACCGGATGAGCTGGTCTACCCTAAGTGGCAATCTCATCTGAAAAAATGGGAAACCCTTCTGCATCAACCAGACGGCGTATCTCTCTCTCAGGGGCCGTTCTCCTCAAACGACAGTATCGAAAAATCGATTATTACTCAGGAAGGCACGGACGGTTCTGCCGTCTACAACGAGCGCAGCGACCGGGAAGAGACTGACGATGAATTGGACTGAAGGCGGAGTTCTAGGTGTCCTAATGTTTTTGTATCTCGTAGTTGCCGTCATGCTGAGGCACCGAAAGAGACCATAGAGTAGCTGTTATGGCAGGGCACGTGATCGACTGGCGTCACGTCAGCTTCGGGCATGCCCACCTCATCAGTTCAGGGGCTGAAACAGCACTCCTTTCGATCCAATTCGACGAAATCGGAATAGCACGTTGTAGGGTTAGCCTATACCTTGTAGATTCTTGGCCTATTTAGTACATGATTCATGCTATAGTGAAAGACTAAGACACATTGCATACGTGGTGTGATCAAAAGGAATTGACACCATCTGACAAAATCTGCCTTTCATAATGGTAAACAACCTTGGACAGCTCATGGCATCAGCCGGGAACAAAGCTCAAGAAATCGCCGTGGGGGGTAATATCGATCTTATCACCTGTCAAATCCTTTTCTCTTTATTGGCAATCAAGGAAGGCATGGCGTCAGGGGGATATACGTTTGAAACGATGCCAATACCCGTTCCTATCGAGCAGCTGATAGGCGACTTTTTCGACAACGTGTTCTTGAACCCCAACTTGAACACGCTGGACGCTTTCCAGACCGAAATGTTGGCACAGTACGCTTCGCCAAGGAACCCGCACGTTTGCCGTCCGGATCAGCCAACCAACCCGAAGATCATCCATATAGGGAATAGGAAGTGGTTGCGGAAACACTCGGGCCAGGTTGTTTGGGAGATCATTACCCGCGTCTTCCACCTTCACATGGCAGACAGGCCATTAGATGAAGACGGTTTGGAACGCGAACCAGTCCTGGACTTGGGAGTGTTCCAGGTGGAAGTGCGGACCGCATGGTTGAGCTTTAAGGACTTCTCTAGAGTGGAGATAGTTTCTGGAAGTTCTACTATCCACACGAACGTCCTCAATGACTCTACACAGCACGAGCTCACAGTTGGCAGCTCAAAGATGACGTTCGGCGGGACCAGCACGATCGACGGAACCTCACCGGAGACAAGACTGGCTGTTGATCAATGTCTCCGCAGAAGCAACAATGCAGCGACGTGTTCATACGAAGATGCCAAGAGAATCGCCAATCACGACGATATCGATATAGTCACGGCTCAAGTCCTACTCGCTTTACAGCAGGTCCAGACATTCGCGCTCGCCAGCAAAAAGCATGCTGCTGAGGATCCCATTAGCATAAGGAAAGGCTTGAGCGACATCGAGATTGACACACTGTTGCGAGCATACTTCCTCACTTTGCTCGAAGATGGGAGCTTCGAGGCATTACGATATGAGCTATACTCCAATCTAGTCGTTAGAACCACGCGAAGTCACACAGAATACCTCAATCAGGATGTTCTTGACCTTACTCCTGTTGGGATATGGTCTCGAGTCAGGGCGAAACGAGACCGAAACCATGCTGTGTGGATTTCCCTGGACGTCTCTAGCATGGGACTTGACTCATTCCGGGGAAAAGTTCAGACAATGCGGAACCATTATCGGCTTCGTATAAAGTTGATGAGAGGCAACCGTCCTCGGTGGTTCACCGCTATGCCTTCTGGGGAGGCGGGCATCACGACAATGGAGAAGCCGCATAGCACTGGAAGACTGCTCTCGGTCTCGAGCATCGCCGCACCGATGAGCAACACTACAGCTGCCGCGATCGGAGACTACGGATCTCTCAGCGCATCGACGGGAAAGTCGAATTCCTTGGCCCCTCCCTCGTCGTCGCAAAGGCATTAATAGGGCACTCAAGCCCATGAACGACAGGTACATTTCGCATCGAGAACTGTCGCTGTGGCTTAACATGTCGTCACATCTTACCTCACCAGAAAGATTCCTTGATTCACCCTTACTGTTCCTGTTGTTGCGTGTGTGTATGTTTCACAATTCGATATGTATATCATAAATTCTTGTACCGATGTTTTATCAAATAGTCATAGATGTGAACGAAGAAGCTTAACATATGAAGGGAACCGGTTTCATGTCTCGCTAAAAGATCACGGGCTATATCGCGGTAAGGACGATGGTCGAAGCGCGGCGCGCTTGTCACGCAATCTGTCCATGACCTGAAGAGCGCCTCCTTTGATGACTCCTGGCGGAGTCTGCATTGCATGCCGAGATTCCAATATCGCGATGACACAAGATGAAGCTATAAAGACAGAGCAGGGTCGAAATTCTGGCAGTGCGCCCAAGGAGCGATGACTGTAAGGCTCACTGAAGCACAACCGTCGCCACAATCGATCCCCCCTCCCTGCATTCGCTTTGCGACATTGTTATCCGTAACAATCAGCATGAGTAACCCTGGAAACCAAGCGGATCACATCACTACTGGCGGAGGGGCCGACCGATCTGTCGCTGGATACGCAGCTCAGCAGATTGCTGTCGGCGAAGACACTGACCTCATTGTCGCACAGATCCTATGGGGTCTTGATAAGGTCAGCGAGAGCTTGCAGGATGCAGGTTGCCTTAGGATGATGAGCGAGAACAACGTTTTTAGAGTCCCGGTATTGCGGCTGGTTTGCGATTTCTGTGAGAAAATATTCAGAGACGCAGATTTGGATGGCTTTGCTCGGTCTTTGGTTCGGCTGCTGAAACAGGAACATGTTCTTCAACTTCCTGAATTTACCCTACCCAACCTTGGCGAACTCGGTAACAAGACCTATCTGAACGATCGGCTAATTGAGAAAGTCGACAACGAGTTTGATACTATCATGGGCCTCTTTGAATTTGTGGAGCCCACAGGTAGACAGCTCGATTGGGATTCTATCCGAGATCTGGTGGTCACGACTCGCGGGCATTACCGGCCGCGGTCAGTCGCTCCACCTGTGGCTACTCCCCGCAGGAGAACACTCTGCGGCTCTACATTGATTCCTGATTATAACAGCAGTGACACCGACTCCGAAGAGAGTGACGGAGAGAGTACCGGATTTCAAACTGCTTCAGCAAGCACTGCCAATCCACAAAGCAGCTGTGACACGGCTAGCAAATCGTGACTAGGGTGATGCGCCCTCGCTTGTCCAGAGACATTCGAGAAGCACGCAAGCGCAAGTCGTCCAAAGCTTTGGGGGTCTGTCTGGCGAATTGCTATTTCGAACTTGGAGATTTGTGTGTATACATCATCTGTACCACTCCTAGCGATTACCCATAAGTCGTCCGTAGTCATCTGCATTTCAAGGCCTGATATCCGCCCAAGTTCGTGTCTCAGCTCGCTCTTGCAGCTTGCAGCGGTTGTGACGCGGAGGGAAAAAACGCGTCGAGGGTCATTTAGCTGGGATATGGATGGCCATACCATCGTTGTTCAAAGGGGTCACTAGCCCAACCTGCTATACCATCCCTTTCCTCATCATTTGCAATTCAGCATTCGTATCATCTTAGCTTCGATTCTCAAGCTGGAACTTGCCGCGTCGTTCTTGCAGGTCGCGCTCAAACGCTTGCAACTCTGCCGACCTCGATCTTCGCAAGCACGAGCACACGAGGGAAGAACCCTATCAATCGATTTCGTGAACGGCACGGACCGACCAACTTTATTATACCAACACAGCCCCCTGCAATCAATCTTGATTTCCTCTTGACTGCCGTACCCCTTTCATTCCGCCCTCAGGATGAAATCGCTTCGCCGTTCCCTCAACTCAGACAAGTCCAACAAGGATCAAGGTCATTCCGTCACCGGACCTCTCCCTACCCCTCTTTCCGCACCCATCATGGGAGGCTACGGCGATCCGACGCTATCTCGACCATCAGCCAAGGTCGCACCGCCTCAAAAGGTCATCAAGGCTACGCATAGCTATCAGAGCACCGTCCCCCAGATCTTGAGTTATCAGAAAGGGGACTTTTACTACGTCACGGATGAATACCCGGGAGATTCTGTACAGCCGGAAGGATGGTACGGGGCACTGAGTGAGTGGGATTCCGGTGCAGGACTTTACTCTCTGCGTCATGTCTACGACCGGAGCGTGATCGTATCGTTCGTGACCACGAGGACAGGACTGATACCCCTTCCTCGACCTGCCTTTCAGATCCTCTAAGCAACTCGAGAGGTCGCGTGCCGAAAGCTCATTTCGAAGAGTTCAAGAAGGGAGGACGGACAGGCCATACGGCCAACGGTTCCATCGACAAGTAAGCCCTCGAACCTCTTTCCATATCATCCATGCTCTTGACTGATGATACTGCCTTTCGCGACAAGCAGCTCTCGACCTCAATCCCCTAATACCTTTACCCCTTATGCCATGTCCCGCCAACCCTCCCAAGCTCCCAGTTTGCGTTCGAACGGTTCATCAGCTCCCTCGGGTGGATATTCGCAAGGTCACCAGCGTCAACAATCGATCGGGATGCAATATCAGGGGTATAGCGGGGCGTCGGTCACGTCGGGAAGTGCGAGCTCGTCTTCTGGTGCAGGAGGGGAGAAAAAGGGTCAACCGTGAGTACTCGAACACGCTGATTAGGTCAGATGGAACCTGTTAGCTGATAAGGTAACCGGACGATGGTAGGCTGTATGCAATCGTGCAGTATGATTTTGCTGCTGAACGGCCGGACGAGTTGAATGCGAGGGCAGGGGAGCCGATCATCGTTATCGCTCAGAGTAATCACGAGTGGTGAGTCCTAATTATCAGTTCCGAACGTACTTCAGATTGAAGCTGATGTCATTTTGCTACCAATCAGGTTCGTGGCCAAACCTATCGGTCGCCTAGGCGGACCGGGACTCATCCCCGTGTCCTTTGTCGAGATTCGAGACCCCGTGACGTCCCGTCCGATCGAAAACGTGGCCGAACTCTTACAACAAGGTAGCGTACCCCAAGTCGACGCTTGGAAAAAGGCAGCCGAGGATTACAAGGCGGCGAGCATCCCACTGGGATCGTTCGATTATCCTCAATCTGGTCAGGGTCGACATCAGGCGGACGGGTCTGATCGGGGTAGTTTCTCCCGAGGAACACCGGAGAGGAAGGAGAGCGCGGACGAGGGTGCCAAGACGGACGTTCAGTTGAGGGACGGGGAGATCATCTCGACGCACGTCAAGTCGTTCCACTACGAGGCGGAAGCGTATTGGTTCAGGATCAACGCGCTCTTCCTGCCTGACGACCCGGACGCACAGGCCGTCTCGCTCGTACTCTACCGGCTGTATGAGGATTTCTACAACTTCCAAATCACCCTGCTTGACCTTTTCCCCAAAGAAGCCGGGCGGGGAGGATCGAGGGATAGTTACCAAAGCGGTACTGCACCGGCAGAGAGGATCTTGCCGTACATGCCTGGACCGCTCGAGCAGGTCGATGTCGATATCACCAATACGAGACGAGAAGATTTGGACACGTACCTGAGGGAACTGTTGGCACTGCGGAACATGAACGCCGAGTACATCTTACGGCACGAACACGTACTCGGATTCTTTTCCCCCGGTCCTGGTGACATGATGGAGAACATCTCCAGGAGGCAAGCGGATACGATGGCCGCCGAGGTCGCAGCGACCCAAGCAGCCGACGCCGAGAATTACAGACAGAACGCTCAATCGGACGTTCATGGTAGTGGTGGAGCCGATCGACGGTCAGGCGAGTTGGAAGATCGGTTAGGCGACCTCCACGTCGGTTCGAGGAACAGCTCGAGCACGGGTCGAGGGTCTCCGATCACCCCGAGTGAACAAGCGTTCTTTGGCAATGGGAACGCCAGGACGAGCATGAACGGCTCAGGGTCGGGTTCGGGGTCTGGACACGTCCCGCTCCGCAGTTCGAGGTTGTCTTCCAACGCTTCGGCACAACATCTGGCGAGAGGGGGATCGCCCGCATCGTCGAACGGGCCTGGAGGTGTAGCGTCGCCGCCTACGGGGACGAGGGGCTTGCCCTCGCCCTTCTCACCGGGGATGGCTACCGGTTCGACAGCCTCCTCGTTCGGATCCGGGTCGGCCATACCAGGTGGCGGACGACTGAGCGGTAACCCGAATCACAACGGTGGAAATGTCCCGCTGCCTCACCAAACGTCATCCCCTGCAAGCGGGACGAGTACCGCCGCTGCCAACGGCCCGGCGTTCATCAAGATCAAGATCCTCGATCGGAATACGGACGACATGATCGCCATCCGAGTCCCACCTCGGGTGACGTACGACCAGCTGGTCGACAAGGTCAGGGACCGTCTCGTCGCCCAGGTATCACGGTTGCAGTACCGGAATGCGGCTGGCGGGGAGGAGTTTTCGGACGTGTTGGACGATCGGACGTTGAGAGAGTGGTTGGACCGGGAAGACAAATTGGTGCTTTACGCCGAGTAGTCGTCGGCCTGCTCGGATTCAAATTGCCCGAGTCGAGCCTTTGGTCGGGACGGCTCTCTTTTCTGCGCCAGGATGGCGTCCACCTCTTTCTCTCTTCGTATTTTCGTTTCACCCTTCAATTTCGAACGTGGTCATCGTATCATTCGCTCTTTGTTCCGTCATGTGTTTATCGTCTCGTCAAGTTTGTGTTGTATCTAGGCATTGCCATTCCGCCAACGATCGTGAAACATCTTGCCGCTGATTGCCGTCGTCGAGGTTGATGGATGGTGGCGATTACCCGATTGGGGTTTTAGGTACCGGGCAGACGGTTTACGACGAGTCTCGGGTCAAAGATCTCTCTGCCCTCGGAGCATATGGGCCATATGGGTTAGCTCGATGTGACGCCGAGGGGGACGAGCGATAAATGTGATGCCGTCACCAAAAAGTCATCAGGCCAGGCAGTTGACCATCGTCGTTCTCAGGGGTTACCAGAGATCTAGAGAGGGTGGTCTCTGATCAACAAATCGGTTCCAAAACTATCCACCCCTTGTTGTATCGATCATCGCGCCAGCCTCGAGAGATATAATGCAGACGCAGAGATAGAAGGATCCGTTCAGCACCAGGTTTACACAGCATAAAGTCGTCGATTCACGATAATTCGCCGGTCAACAACAAGATCACATAACCTAATAGGCGCTGATAACCTCATATCGACGCTCTTGATCGCCTTTTGCGGGGTGGGAAACGGCTGAACAGGCAGCTCCTCCATACGGCCTCTTCCGACGCTACCGGAGTCCTCATCCGAGCGACCTCGTGATTAGGTTCGAGTGCTCGTCGCTAGCTAAGGCTCGGTCGAGATCAGCTGTCGACAAGGCACCGAACGACGACAAGGTGTTGTTGACATAATCGTCACCAGATCACCAGATACTGAAGAGAAAGACACCATATCGCATCAAGCCTTACCTCGCCAAACGACATCTAGGACTACCGTCTAACCCGCTCCAGAGCTCTCTCAATCTTTCGACCTCACGCACCTCGTCCCGTCCCGGTAATGGGTCAATCCTTTGAAGATCCCAGTCAGAACAACCCATACAACTCCCACTTTCCGTCTTATCACAACCACCAACACACGGCGATAACACCAGTCTTTGGGAACGAGGAGCATCAGCTAAACTTTGAGGATCTCTTGAGGGTCCAGGAGGAGCAGGGTGAAAGCAGCAGCGGTCGTCCTAGCACCAGTAGCAAGGCGGAAACGAGCGGAGGAGGTGGAGGGGATCCGTATACGTATAACCTAGGTCGGACGAGTGGGAGCGGTCCTCCGAGTCGACAGAACAGTGGGGATTCGTACAGACCGTCATCGTCTTCGAACGGAGCGTCTGGGTTTCAGCAACAAGGTCGGCATCCGCAATCTCAAGGGTCGAGTTCGAGCGGAGGATTTCAGTTCCAACCGAGACGGCCGTCCAAGAGGCAATCGACCACGGAGGAAGTGCTGATCGCTCGACTACAGCGAGAAGCTCAAGAGCAGAGTATCCTTCAAGAGCAGTCGCAGAGAAACTTGCAGTTACAGCACCTCGCTAGGATCGGTGCTGAAAGTCAGGGCCACCAACAGGCCAATCAGAATCAATCCCCCGATCAACATCTCCCCGGATCGGAGTATCGTCTTAGCTATCACAACCCGAACCCTCCATCCAGTGACCATCTAGATTTTCGACAAGGCGAGGACACTGCGAGTTACCTCTCTGATCAGGAACAACAGGAACTCTTGCAATACCTCAACAACTCGGCCGGATTATCGTCCGGGGACCCAAAGGACCAGCTCGATTTCGCTCAGACCATCGAGGCTGGCCCGTCTTTCCACCCTCCTTCGCTCCATTCGGCTCCTCCCATCATGCCCAACAATAATCACTTTCACAATCACGCTCATCTCGGTCAAGAACAGTTCTCCAGCTACCGGACGACGCATTCGGCTTCGGTGTCCCCTCAGCCATCGCCTGCTTTCCGTACGGCTCAGATATACGAGCTACCTCTGAATCAAGACCCGCTCGTCCTCGATGGCTCGCAGTACCGACACGGACCACGTCTGAGCGTCGCCGGTCAAGGTCAAGCTCAAGGGTTCCGAGGAGGTCATCAACGAAATCGATCGTTTGGCGCCCAATCCGTTTCTTCTTATGCCGGGTCGATACACGGAGGAGGTCTCGAGACGCTAGAAGGCCTGGAAGATCAGTTTGCAGCTGGGTTGGGAGGACCGGCGGAAGGCTACGAAGGAAGCGATTTCGGAGGGATGAGAGCGGCGGGAATGGGGATGATGAGCGGGGTTATGAACGGTCCTCCTCAGGGCATGCCGTTTGGGAACAATCACGAGTTTATGGCTTCGTTTAGTCCTCGGTCTGGGATGATCAACCCGGCCTTGGCTGGTCGGCCGGGCAGATTCCAGGGGCCCAGCAGGCAATGGAGCGAAGACGATCATGGTGGAGCTTCGGATGCGACCGCTCAGTGGAGAGCAAACTTGAAGGCCCAGATGATCGAGGACGGCTCGGAACGCATGTTGAGCGAAGAGACGGTGCTGGTCAAGGAGCCGATGACGTATGACCCTCATATCGACCAAGGGGTGGATGTGAACCGGATTGAAGTATCACCACGCGGAAGCCGGTTCAAACTGGACACGCGCACGGGACTTCAGGAGCCCATGTCAGAGTTTGCTCGTCGGATGAATTCGGAGGCGTCTGATTATACGCTCGAATCCATGGCTTCGTCGGGAGAGACGCATCGAAATGAACCGGTCAGCGGGAACTTGGTGGACGAGCAGTTCCAGAGAGAGGTCATGAACATGTTGAGGAGTCAGATGAATGCAGCGGATCAGGAGACGCAGTCGCAGTCGCAAGGGTTGGCCATGCCCCCGTTACCGATCGGAGGTGCCGTACCGCCACCGCGTGGTCAGGCTCTACAAGGCCCAGCGACTAGCCCGCAACAGTTCCTCGAAAGAGTGCAAGGTCAGGTTCGGTCTATGGCTCCACCGACGTTTGTCAGCTCGCCCCACTTCAAGTCGGCCGGGACGTTCAACCAGACCAAACCGCATTCACCGCCCGCCCTGATTATACCTGACAGCGGTGTCTCTTCGCCCAAGTCTCAGCCCGTACAGATGCCATATCCACATCAGCGTTCGCAGGAACCAGTACCATCTCAGCTCAGGCACCATCATCACCCAGAATCGATGCCTCCTCCCCCTGTGCCGTCTCTCGGGGGAGCTCAGATGCAGTCTCAAATCCCGGCACAAAACAACATGTTCCTTGGCATACCGTCCGGGGGTAACTTGACGATGAGGGACTCGTACCTGTCTCCGATTGGGCCAGGCGGGCCTAGTATCAACATCGTACCCAGCACGCCCATCAGTGGGCTCAAGGATGGCAAAGGGATCTGGGAAAAGCTGGCCATGCAAGCACAGGCGGCTCAAGGCTCGAACTCTTCGCAATCTGCCGAGATCGGTACACCATCATTGACAAATCACCTCGAGTCGTCTGCAGAGAAAACCTCGAGACGGGCCTCGCACAGCGGTAACTACATTCAGCGAGCTCCTATGCAATTAGATATCGCTACGGCGAATCAGGCCTTGTTCCAAATGGCATCAGCACCGAACACGGCTCCTTATGCTGCAGGAGTCGCACCGGACGCGAATCGAGCTCTGACTGCGCCATTCCTCCGGCAGCGTTCGCGGTCGGAAGGTCAGATGCAAAACCTGTTCTCGCAGTTTGATATCGAAGCCATCAGGCAGTTGTTTGGAGATCAAGGTTCGGATGAAGCTTTGTCAGTGTCGGGGCACTCGTCTGGAGGGATGAGCAACCCGCCTGATGCAGCTCCTGCAGTGGACCCCAAGATGGTCATGGCCGCTTCGTTCGGAACAACCGGCAACTATCAATATGATACCAGCAATCTTAGAGGATCCGGCGGAAGCGATGCGGGACATGGAGAACAGGCATCACAGGACGCTCAGGGCATGTCGGACGCGGCCGCTTTCGCAGCGCTTGTCGGCGGGCAGAACGGGGAAGGTGGACAGAGCAGCTATGTCATCACCGGTGTTGATCCCAACGGTACAACGTATATCCTAACTCGTGATGGTCGCCGGCTGTCATTCGACTCTCGTATGGCGCGAAACCTCGCTCTCATGAATCCGACCTCGCCGGACTTTCAGCAGACGACGTTCCATGGGAGCATAACGGGTGAAGACGTTCATATGGAACATCCTGATTCACATCTCGGTGTGTCCAACGGTTCCTTCCGGGGTCGACCGTTTTCCCGTGGCGCAGGCCACGTGAGGGCTGTCAAGAGCGAGGATCTCCGAACAAGAGATGATGGCTTCGATGACGGGAGGTGAGCACAAGTTGGGATGTCTTATCTACCGTTACTACGAACTGACATGCGCGAGTGCTTCAGGTCCGACATAAGTGGCCTCGGCGACTACCTCGACGCGCCCCAGGTCGACAAATCCTCCGGTCGTTCTCGAAGTGGCAGCCGATCGCGAGAAGCTAGTCCATATGGGCGAAGAGCGTCGTCTCCGTACACGAAGCCGTTACCACTTGGTCACCAAGCCGAACCAGCATCGAGGCAGACGCTGGAAGTCCACCATGGTACGGTCCCGCCACCCAACGCTGCTGGACGAACCCGGCGTCTGTCCTCTGCATCGACGGCGAGCGATAATCCACCGGCGCCTCTCAAACCGGTCAAACAGAAAGTTACCTCGACCAAAATTGAGAACGCTGCCAAGATCCGGAGGACCAGCGATGGACTGTTCATTTGTCCCATACCAGGGTGTGGCAGCACATTTACGAGGTATGTCCAGCGTGGATATCATCCATAAAGCTATCAAAAAGCCTTACTGACTTTCGAGCGATATCCAGGCAATTCAACCTGAAAGGTCACATTAGATCGCATAACGAGGAAAGACCGTTCTTGTGCAACTTCCCCGGATGCAACAAAGGTCAGTCGCTTTCCCCCGAGCTTGCAGTCGATCGCGTTACTGACCAGCGGTAATCAATATAGCGTTCGCGCGACAGCACGATTGCAAGCGACATATGCAGTTGCATGCTGGAGTCAAGCCTTTCGAGTGTGAACACTGTCATCGGACCTTTGCGCGTCTCGATGCATTGACGCGGCATCGTAAGTCCTTCTAGAGCTACTGTGCGAAATGGATGGCCCACTGACGATCGCAACTCGCAGACAAAACCGACTCTGGTGCCGACTGCGCTTTGTTTCGACCACTTCCGACCAACCCTGATGGATCGCCTTTGTCTGAAGCCAAGTACCGCGAGGAGATCGAGCAACGCAACAAGGCAGCCAAGAAGGACCTCAAAGCCAAGTGACAGCATACTTAATAGAGTTCGGCATCGCATGGATATCTTCCAGGCTTACAGTCAGATGCAATGGACATTTTATTTTTCGCTAGACTAGATCTTGGGGTATAGCATTAGATCTTAGCACTTGAGACTTCTCGTAATGTAATGGGTATTCTTGTAACGGGCCACGGGTTTGTAGAGATGTCAGGTTCCACTAACGTCATACGTGTCAGCCTCGGCCCAGCGCGACATCTCAATAAATTTCGTCGACTTTTGAATCTATCTCACTCTCTACGTTTGTCTGCGTCCGAATCTGTCCATATCGTTCGTCTCGATCGAGAGGTAGTTTCTTGAACTTCAACCTACATCGTCGTCATAGTCAACACCGTAAGACCACAGCTCGAACGAGAGCGAGGCTGCAGACTCCCGACAACCTAGGGCGGACCCATCAAACCTTTTCCTTCTCGGCGACGAACTGGTTCTCCTCATACCCGTATCCCTGTTATCGTAATCAGTACCGACCGATAAGACAAGGGGTATGGGCAATTTTAAAGAACCAATAGAGAGTCGATCGCATCTTCGGATGTCGATTGACGATACTTGATTTTCAGCTCTTACGCCCGGGATTCTCCCGCTATATGGCTATGGAACTCTACGAACAGGCAGACATCACTTGTAACTAAATAGCATTTCTCCATGAATCCATTCGCCTGTATCAACGGTCGCACGATATCTTGCCTGTGCCATCGGCATGCATATGATACATGTTCCTCGGGCCTACGCTACACCTGGATACAGTTTGCACGAACAACCACGGCTAAAGGCGGTCACTGGTAAAAGAATGCGACATTGAGCACGAGAAAGACGAGCAACGTCGGCCATGCCACCGACAGCGCATCCTTTGCGCTCCTCGCCAGTACCCCATGTCGTCCTCCTAACGCTCGACCGAGGATGATCAGCTGGTCACGACCTATCCACCGTTTCCAGCGAGATACCGGAGCCGAATCGAATACGAGCGCCATAACCGTCTTGTCCTTTGCCTTGGCCGCCGCTTGCCAATCGCTCATCCTCGATACCCGTCGATTCGCCTGGGGTCGCCTCATCGATCCCATTGGTGTGCCTGCGTGGCTCGGGGATTCGTCAGGCATCGACTGAAAGTACGACTGAGGCTCGCTAACCAACGGTCTGCCGTCTTCTGTCGGTGCGAGCGTGTTGGCATAAGACGTCTGTCGGGGTCGAGGGGTTTGACCAAAGTAAAGGGCTTCCGAATTGGGGCTGTTCCCACCCGAAGTATCGTCTTCCTCCATGATCAACGCTTCTGACCGAGGACTGCCCAGCGGCGAGACGGGCGCGCTCTTGGTGATCCGCCTGATCGGTGCCAAACTCGGCGGTCTCGATCGAGATCCAGTCGAGATGGTCTTCTCTATATTGGCCGGGCTCATGTGTAGATTGCTTGACGATCGCCTCGAGGGCAAGGTCAGGGGTACGACCAGCTCTCCCCGTTTAGCCGTACGTTCGGCTTGCAAATTGGTCGCACTTGGCGACCGACTGAGATTCGGCGACAGCGTCCTCGCGACTTTGCCTCCTGCTTGAGCGAACCCAGCTTTCCAACCTCCATGTCGATGCACGGCGTTCCGGAAATTGATCCAGCAGAGTACCAAGAGTGTCAAGATGCCCAGCGGCAAGTATCTCGCCGTGTAGATCTTGATCTGGTCAGGCAGGAAACACGGCATGTCGGCGTGCGTCCGATGAGGCAGGTTGAGAAGGTTGGGATCCGTCGGCGGAGGGATGAGGGAGAGGAGCTGGAATCCCGGTCGACGGATACCCATGGCCATCGAGAAGGCCTTGAGCGTGACCTCACGAACGCCGTTCGGATGTCGATAATCGCAATAATCATGATCGTCACCGCTACGAGAGAACGTTTGGATGTAAGCTTCTCGATTCTTATTTCCTATAATCGCGCTGGACCCACCTGTAGATGACACTCGGCTTGACATTATTCAAGAGGAACCTTGTTGTCTCGCTTCCCAACAAGTTTTGGTACCCGATCCCAGCGCCCTTCAAGATCCGACCCCGTTCTCTCAACGGACCACACGAGGCAGATTCGGGCCTCGCCAGTGGGATGTGTGTGATCAAGATTCTCGGATCTTGCGGCTTGGCTGCGAGTTGAACAGAGAACGACCAACGTCAGCATTTCACCTCGCAATCGCGCCCACGTGCCTTGACTTGTTTGACACTAGTCAACTTACCTTCTCCTAGCGATTTGACAAACTCGATCACCCCGCCCGGTACACCCTCCCACTCGCCCAACTGGACCTCGGCCGCATACCTCCGGTAATCTTCTTCGACCAAGCTCGGAGCGTCGAGCATGATGAACGTATGATTGGCTATCGAGACTAGCTCGTTGGGTTTCGAAAAGCTGCGAAGCGGGGCGTATGTAATGAGGTCAGGTTGGGTCAGCTACACACGGTAAGCAGGACCGTAGATTTCAGAATGACGCGGGTACTGACTGGTCTGCGAATCGTTGTTTCGAATGCGGGCTAAATAGCCGGTTCGGTCCGAGTCCCTGGGTAGCCCGAGCAGATCATCACCATGATCAGCCTCGATCTCGCTCGTGACCTGGACCTCGAAACTCGACTATCGTGCTCCGACTCACCACGTCATGATTCCCGGCAACGTACCACATCCCGACCCCCTCGCCGACCCTAAAGATCCCCCTAAACCTCGCCAAATAAGCCTCGTACTCATCCTCCCCAAAGACCCCTCTTCCCCAATCCATCATGTCCCCGACCATGATCACCCCATCCACCTTGCCCAGTCTCAACGCGACGTTCCAAGATTTCCTCATGTAGAGGTCTATTATCCACGTAGAGACGGTTTGGAGGATGGGATGACGGGTTGGGTAAGAGAGGAGCGGGTGAGGGATTTGAGGGTCCGCAAGGATGAGGATGTGGGTAGATTCGGGCGGGGTAGGGTTGAAATTTGATCTTGAGGACGAGGACGAAGAGTCGAGAGAAGTAGATGTTGCGATATGGAGGCTCGAGTCGGGGAATTTGCAATCCGAGACCGAGTGGAAGAACTATCGTTTGATCAAAATAAAGCGGTACATGCGAGAAAGATGTCAGTCACGATATGGATGAGATGTGATTGATACGGCTGATCGTAGGAGCTACTGAGGACTCGGAGCACTCACCACGCCGACCTCGTACCAGATGACGAGCACGATCCACCCAAATCTCATGCCGAGCAGGACAAACACCTTGGACTTCCACCTCGACCTCCCTCTTCCCGTCACACCGCGCTCCCTGTCCCTATTCTTATCGCCGTCCCGCTCTTTCTCGTAACCATATCCATGTCCGTTTCCAGCCTCGATACCACCGAAATGGTTGCTGGCATTCGGACCTAATGAAGAGAACCCTAAGCCTCCCGCACTCGTCCCCGAGGTATAATCCGTCAATACGTTTCCAGCCGAACTTCGTCGGCTCGAACTGCCTGACGGTGGGGACGAATACGTGTTTGAATTTGAATGCGCGTATGGATATGTGTTCGAATTGTAGTTCGGGTTGTAGTTTTGGTTGTGATTATAGTTGTGTTGCGGGATGGACCGTTTCTCAGGATCATGATTGTCGTAGACGTGGTGGTGGTGTTGATTGGAATTCGCCGAAAAGTCTTGACCGAGGTGTTTTGTGGGCATGATCGCGAGCGTTCTTTGCTTGCTGATTCCAAGATATGCCCGAGTGAAGTAGCTAAGCGATCAGACCAGTCCCAAGATGTCAAGTGGTCGACACTATTTGGTCTGGTTTGAACTGTTTGAACTGTTTGTCCAGATCGAGAAAGAGCTAGGAGAGTCATCTTCCCCAACACATGGCTCATCAATAGCGCTAACTTGGTGTCGGTCGGATGCTATTATCTGCTTCCGACAACGTCGAAGAGGGCACTTCCGACGGCGTGATCGTCATGAAGAAATCATCTGCAGCTGCAGACAGTTAGTAGTCGTGAGACCTCGACATTCTGATGTCAGACCAGAAGCGGCCGATGGGCACAACCAGGAAATCATGGTAAGCGAGCGTTCCGGTATCAGCATCACCCAGGTTCAAGAATTCGCATGAAAATCAAGTTCGGTGCACACGGACGATCATGTTCGCTATCGATTCCGGCTCTACACCTATCGTACGGTATCACCCGCTTTTATAGCTTGTCGTCAGGACACACATGGCCCACACTTCCTAACGAACTCTGGAGCTGATACCAGAGTCTAGACGTCTCACGCCGGAGCTGTATGACCCTTCTCGTCCGAATGTCCGAGATCCCGCGAAGGCTGGACGAGCGAACGTATCCGTTGTTTGAGCGTCTTCAACTGTATTCGACGCGACACATCCCAGCAACATGTTCCGTCAGCATACACATACATCTCAACGCGAGAGACGAAGAAAGCTGTACTGACCTCAGGGAACCCCCCCTCGATCTTCCTATCCGAGACCAAAACCCATCCATCCTCCTTGACCACGACCCCCTCGGGAACCTTCATCTTCGACTTCCCATCTTCACCTTCTCCGTTCGGCAAGCTTAGATTGTTCATCCACACCCTGAAACGACCGGCGTTCTCCACAGAGGGGAGGATGGTGATACTCGCCAACGTCGGGCTGGGGAAGGTCAGGAAGAGTTCGGTTTGGATCCAGGTTGCTCGGGGTGCCCTGTAGGTTCGAGAGTTTCGGTATTTGCAACGATTAATCAGCCTTGATCGATGCGAGTAAGGCAGAACGAAGAGGTCTATTCACCATCGACACTAAGACGACACGCAGCAAAGTACAGGTCAGCTCCCGACTCGCCCAAGTTACGCTACGCCTCCCTAGCGAACTGTTGATCTCCGCCTACAATACCCTGGCATGCATATCGGACCTCAGAGACTCACCCTATCACAGTACTCGATATACACGTTCGGTCCGACCGCAAGACTCGGCGGTGAGAACGTCGCCGCGTTCATGAGGTCCTCGCCTTCCGGGTCGCATGGTTGTCCCGATTGTCCTTGCCCCGTCTTCTCCGCAAGGTCGGTCGAGGGCTCTGGAGCTGTTATTCTGGGGTCAGTCGTGGGGCTCATTCCTTTGCTAGATGTAAAGATGGCGGTGCTTGTGTGATGGTTGATATGGTTGCTTGATCAAGTGCAGGAGCGCAGCACCAAAGTGAAAGTCGTGTTGCGTGTTGGTAATCTCGAGCCATGGAAGATCGGCTTCGTCCGGAAGCGGATGGGCGTCGAGAAAGATATCATCGTCGTTTATCGTCAGATCGCATATGGTTTGCGTACAGCATCGCAATGAGCGCAATGTACAATGTCAGGTTTAACATGATCGACACACTAATGCTTATCGCTGGACGGTACAATTACATGGATGACAAAAGGACCGACCCGCGACCCGTAATTACATGACCGTCGAGGCGAACCGAATTTTGCTCGAAAATCGAGTCCTTCATACCTTGAATCGAAATCGTCCCTGACCATCTGCTCGTCCGTCTTGATCTTGTCGTCCTCTTCGATTCGTTCAACCTCCTAGACGTTCTCGGGACCGACATCTTTGATCTCGGCGTCCTTGCCTAAAAACCTCTCCAGAGCCGGGGGAACCTTTCTGTCTTTGGCGGCAGGGAGGTCGACGAGGATCGCGCATGCCGTGTAGCAGGTACTGGCCATCGCCTGGAAAGGGAAGGTCCTCGTAGAACAGCGTGGAACCACGGCAAAGTCGAGGTCGGATTGAGATCGCGTGGCGAGAAGTCGATGTAAAGGTGAAAGTTTGTCAACACTCATGAACCCGATCGATCTTGAATTACTTTCACAAAGGCTCGGCCACTACTCACTTCGTTGCCGTACGCAACATAGGGATGAAGCGAGTCGTACAAGCTAGGCTTGGCGATCCAGACGACATCCGGCCGAACTTGACATCCCCAGTCCAACAGCGTATCGAAAAGGTTTGAAATCTCGCATTGTAACTTTAGGAACTCGGTCTCCTCAGCAAGCACGAGGTCGGCGTAAAAGTACCAGGATGACGGAGCGAGCTCGATCTCACTAGGCTGCGTCTTCTCGCCCTGCTTCTTGTAGACCTGGAACTCGTGGGCCCTGTTTCCTTGCCAATCTCGATCCCGCTCGTAACTTTGACCATCAAAGACCGCCTTGAACTTGAAACTGAGCCCACACTGCTTGAGCACGCTCAACAGGGTCCTATCGATACCCTTCAAGCGATCCTCGAGCCCCTTTAATTTGACAGCTCCTCAATCCCCCGCGTAGGCGTGTCGGAGGCCGAATCCAAGGGTAGCGCCTCTGGGGAAGAAGTTCTTTGCGTTCTTCGGGTCAAACAACCTCGAGAACAAGGCCAACATCTCATTGGCCCTGCTATCTCCGAGTAGGAAGCCCTTGGCGGGATCTCCCATTGCAAATTCAGGCTGGACAGCGGGAGGATCGTAGTAGAAGACATCGTATGCCAGGGTGACGCGCGATCCGGATGTTACGGGCAAGACCTCGTGCTCACAGTCGGAGTAGAGGAAACACCAGCCAATGGACCCGACTCCGGTTTCGGTATCAAGGACCTGATTTGCCCAGTCCACGTTGATCTGGGCAGCATCTTGTCGTATGACGAGGTCGCCTCCGGTGAACTTGGACGGCAAGCAAAAGGTGAGAGTGCCGAGGTGAGAGGATCCCCGAGGCGTGCTACGAAAAGAGTCCCATCGAAAACGAGGCGAACCCGCGTCTCGATTGTCAGCCACTGTTATAGCATCCGCGGTACGCGTATCGCACACCCGCGTCGGGTAGTTTTACAGGGACCTCCGAGGGGAGTTCCCGTACGGAGTATATCTAGAACACCCCCTATGTGTTTACTGTAATGTAGTACTAGTTGTACTACATCCGTTATTACATTCATTACCTTACCCTTACCTTCTAGTCCCGTGTGATACTATTCCAGGCTTGCAGGCAAGCCTAATAGAATAACGGATCTACAAACTTCACCCCGACTAGAAACCCCTACGCGATGAACACTTCGTTCACCCAGTGTTTCCGTCCCGATGGGACCCCCCAAGGAATCCCGCCAGGGATCTCGCCTGTGCTGTCCGAGGATGGACAAAGCCAGCAGGTAGATGGGGAGGGAAGGTTTTTGTGGTTGCGATCGACGGACTCCGGAACGGAGACCACCGCAAACGAATTGCGGGTGTTTGCCAACCAGCAACCTCAAACGCAGGCCACGCCGGCCAACAACATGGGAACGGTCCCCCCACAAGCGGTACCAACTTCTCCTGCGAGCAATCCCGCAGCCACCTTGACTCCCGCTGCCGCCGCGCCGGACTTGAATGCCCTCTTTCAATTGATGTCCAACATGCAAGTCCAGGTGCTGGAGTTGGCGAGGGCAAGGGAGTCGCGGTCGTCGTCGGACGAGGCCCGGGCCAAACTGTTTAAGTTCGGAACGCCGGACAAGTTCGATGGCAGCAAGAAGGAGAAGGTCCGAGGGTTCCTGGACCAAAGCAACCGGGAATTCGAGGTCAAACCGGGCGTCTACGTTACTGACCGCCTGAAGATGATGTACGCGGAGTCGTACATGGAAGGACAGGCCGCCGACTGGGCTCGGGAGTACTCCACGGGTCGAGTGCCGGCTACCTGGGAGCAGTTCGAGCAACTGCTCATCTCCACTTATGGTGGAGGACGAAATATCGCGGCAACCGAGGCCGAATTAGTTCACTTAAGGCAGGGCACCAAGAGCCTCGCGACGTACATCACCGAGTACAACGACCTCTTGGCCCTCCTCCCCAACGTCTGCGAATATTCTCGCCGGATGCTGTTCAGGGCCAACCTGAACCAAGCGTTCAAAGACGCCATCGTCCCTATGCCGGGCCAAGAAACAATGACCCTGGCGGAATTCCAAATGGAATGCCGCCGGTACGAAGATCAGGCGGACGCCAGAAGGCATATGTCCTCGGGAAACCGCTACAACTCGGGCGGTAACCGACAAGCGAGTAACCACTCCGCTCCTCGTAACCCCGTTGTGGTCAATACCCCCGTTGCGACTCCTACCCCCGCCGCCAACACTTCCACCGCTGCTCCCATGGAACTCGATGCGGGCAGGATGAGGCGGAACGACCCCTGCTACCGGTGTTTCCAACACGGTCATGTAGCCGTCAATTGCCCCAACCAGAGGGTCCCTGCCCCTGCTTGGTTCAAGGGTAGGAACAACGGTCGGATGAACGTCTCTGGTGCCCGGGTGCAACCCGTCGAGACCGTCCCGGAGGGAGGTTGGGAAGCCGAGCTTGCGAGGCAGAACGGAGAGCAGCCTTTGCTCTGGACCCCGACTGATTAGACGTACGGTTGTGTTGTTATTGGCTCATCATTTGTTGTACCCCCACGGCAGGCCCGGCGGGGATGTTTTTATCACCATTCACTTTTTCAAACACTCGACTTCACAGTTACTACGAGAAATACACCCACCAAAGTATACGCCATCAAAAGGTAACTGTACAAGAAGTACAATACGAAACATGTCCCTCGCGAGGAGTAAACGCACATTACTGAAGAACACAACCTGAAACAAGTCCCTCGCGAGGAGTAAACGCACAAGTCCCTGGCGAGGAGTGAAACGCACAAGTCCCTCGCGAGGAGTAAACGCACATAGAGAGAGGAAGGTGAAGTCGGGACTCTATTATGGTATATCAAAAATACAAGAGAAAAAGAGACCCCGACGTAAAAACAACCCGGAGAATACAAACACGACAAAACCCCAAAAGACCCGGAAACCACTCACTCGTCGCCTTCCGAAGCGGCGACGACCTTCTTCTTCTTCCTCTTGCCGGCGGCGGAAGTCGGCGTCGGGGACGGAGGAGGGGAAGGCGTAGGGGTGCGGAGGACGTCGGCGTCGTACGCCTCGCCGACCGGTCCGTCAGCAGCGACGGGGGGTTCTCCAACATCCTCACCATGCCCTTCGAAGAGGAAGTCCCGGTAGGACTTGTCCTCGTCCCACGCGTCACGATCGGGGATGGTGACGGTCCCGTTTTCGTTGGCGACGTACGGGTGCTTTCGGCACCACGACAGGAAGTACCTCTTGCGGTACTTGTCCTTGACAGCGAGCCAGGCGGGATAGCACCGGGTCTCTACAAGACAGTCGGTCTTGTTCGAAAGAAGGGGAAGGACCTACGCGAAAGGCGAACGTTAACTCCGAGGCAGATTTCCGCCGGGGGTCCAAAACGGAGCGACTGCTTACCATGAGATTCATGATCCTCTGGAGTTCGTCCGCGACGGCGATAGCCACCGGATGGGGGACGTTGGGGATCGTGAGGACCTCACACGCCGCTTGGTACCGGGTGCGGATACCGTAGGCCGGATCGAAAACCGTCATGAAGGTGGACGGCAAAGGGGCGCACTTGATGTTGGTTCCCCGGCAAGGGAAGCAGGAACTCCCCTGACCAGAGGATTTCCCCGCGTCCGGTAGGGGGTGGCGGCAAAAGAAAATGCCTTCGAGCTCCATCACGTTGTACCACCCTTTGACCCCATTTTCGGCGGAGAGGTGGAAGCGGTCCTCGTGACCGAAACAGTTGAGGCAGCACCACTTCCAGCCACCACGGTACTGAGCCTACGTACGCACGATTGGAATCAGCATACGACAACCCCACCGGAGAGAATAAAAGAAAAGAACAATACATACCATCAAACCGTCGAACCCCGCGACGTTTCCCTCCTTCCACAACTTCTTGAGGGAAGGGATGGAGATACTATCGGCCAAGAAGGCCGTACGAGCAAGTTCCTCGGTCTTAACTTGCTCCTCTGAAGGAGTGACCAGCATGTTAGCCACGGCGGACCCCACCAAGACGGATATCACTCACTCTCGCCGGCGGATTTGGTCTTGGGGTATACGAAACCCCTAGCCCGATCTTGCTCGAGCTTCGACGTCCCCCTCGGAGTCGACGGGGAGTACGGCTTATCGCCGTGGTTCTTGGTAGTCTTGGGAGTGACAGGCATGTTGAATAGAATAGGAAGGTAGGCAGGGGATAGATAGCGCAGGGGGGGTAAAGTGAGTAGTAGCGAAAGGTACCTACAACTTACTCCCCACTTCGCAAACGCGAACGCGAGCCCTTTTATACCCTACATCCTTGCTGCTACGGCGGCCCAAACAAAAGAAGAATTGCGGTACTAGCAACGAGAGCAACTAGAACAATACTATTGCTATGGATATGGGCATATGAAGAGAGGATATCGTACAGCAACAGCGGCATAGACGTCTACATCAGCGACGGTCTCCTTTGTTTACACCTCCCGAACAATGAGTCGGACATGCGCCCATCCGGATGTCCGCGCGAGGACAAAGAAAAGAACAACAACGAGACGCGCCCCATCGGGCCCGAAATTCGGGTATCCCTGTGAAACAGGCAGACGTGTGTAAGCGACGAACGCTTACCGGTGGGAAGGACGAAAGAAGAGAACAAAGGCGCCTACGTGAAACACGAGCGGCGCTGGCCGATCTGGAATCTCGGCCTAGGGGGGGGATCCTGTTATAGCATCCGCGGTACGCGTATCGCACACCCGCGTCGGGTAGTTTTACAGGGACCTCCGAGGGGAGTTCCCGTACGGAGTATATCTAGAACACCCCCTATGTGTTTACTGTAATGTAGTACTAGTTGTACTACATCCGTTATTACATTCATTACCTTACCCTTACCTTCTAGTCCCGTGTGATACTATTCCAGGCTTGCAGGCAAGCCTAATAGCCACCTCGATCGCATCTCACTTTTGTTGACAAGACATATAACGACTCACTCTCGATGAGGCTTGAAGAATCCGCCAGTAGCGTAGACGTTCAACTTGTGCAGCCTCGCCGTCAAGCGTTTATCCTCGAGTTTGAGTGTAGTAGGAAGAGTGTTCAAGACATTGGAAGCGTCGATCAAGTCGGCCGAGAGCGCAAAGTAGGGTGGCTACATATGCGAATTAGTTTTGAGATGCCAGTAACAGCACAAGACGGAATGCTTGCAAGGGAAGAATTCGGATGACAAGAAGAACGAGGTTGGGAAGGTTGACTGACCTTGATCTTGTGCGCTTGACGATAGGTCGGGTCGTAGACCGTCTCGCTTCCCTTTCCGTGCTGAGAAGGAAGCCCGGCGTGGTAGACCCTTTGTACATCTTCGGCCGAGAGGGGAAAATCGTAACTAGCGACCGCGGAACGAGTAGCCTGACCCTGTCGCTTGACGTACAAGGCTATCTTGCTGACATCGAGCTCGGAAGAACGAATGATCCCAGTAACGGCGAACGATGGCGCCTCCTTGGACTTGGCATCAGCAACATACTGTCGACGGAGAGCGAGCGAGGTGTTGTACTCTTGGGTCGAGGTGAATTTATGAGGACGCATGGTTGGGGGATATGTGAGCCAGGTTTGTGGCGATGGGGGATGTCGATTCGCATGGTCGGTGGGGCCATGATAATATTACTCTGACCCTTTTATACCTTTGGGCTCCCCAAGGTTCCCGGTCTAATCATCCTGGAGCAAAGCTGATTCAACCCCTTGCCCACTTGCCGCCTGCCAATAGCTACCAGCCAAGTTGACGCGGTCCCGGTTTAAATTGCACCTATGTGGAGTCATACCTAACGGGATATGCCATTATGGTCACCGTACATCGTAGACAGTGATAGAGTATGAATACAGGCTAATAGACGTAGAAAGTAGAATGTCCACATGGCCACATATACTTTACCGTACCAACAACACGATTTCTGCCATCTCGATCACTTGATCGCCGAGGCCAACGCAACAAATCACGTGATCAATCCTCTTTCGGAATTCCAGCCATTGGCCATTGTCAAAGTGGTATGAAGGTCTGTACACATCTATAGATTTGATTATGGCCCATGATACACCACACACATGCACATCTACCGATGTAGAAGGGTCGGTCGATACCGACGATCACACCCTGGCACGGTAAGCATCGACACCCGCGCGGAGTTGTTCGAGGAACACAAGGGTAAGGACCGTTTGCGGGCATAGACGGACCCTGTTGAGATCAAAACCCAGATTGAGTCAGTCCTGCACGTTCCCATTCCTGCCAGCGATCAGCTGTCTTGCTCACCAAGCGGCAGTCCAGCCTCGGAAGAAGAACTTGAGACCTTCTTGCTTGACGGCAGTCGTGATGATGGTGGGTATGCTGGCTCCGCCCTTGGCGGCCATCACTCTTGACTTGACGACATCAGCGGGAGCACAGATGGCTGATAGCGCGATATAGTTCACAGGTCAGCGAAACGATGCGTGGTTTATCCGCAACTCTTCTTGCACTTACTGGTAGCGACGGTCCCGGCCAAGAAACTAGCGCCAAACTGCAAGATCGGACCATCCCTCGACCCCTTGATGCCCAGCAACATCTTCTTGAACACGTCGTAGGAAGCCAACTGGGAAGCGTTCATCAAGATCGCTCGCACCTGTAACAGATAAAGGCATTCGTCAGCGTCTCATACCAAATGACGATGAACCCGACCGGTACAGGAATCGCCACTCACAGTGTTGGGCTGCCATCCACGGTAGAGAGCCAAGACACCTTCATCCTTGACAATCCTGTATAGTCCCTGGAAACAATTCCGGTACATGAACCTCTCTCCGATGGGTTTTGCTCGATCCGAAGCCATCCTGATCAACACGACCTCTATGCGGCGAGTCGACAATTAATCTCATCGCAATCAGTTTCCAATACGTTTCTGAAAAAATGACTTTCGACCTAAGCGGCCGGACTCACCAGCCGGTACACCCAACAACCCAGCCATTCCACCTGCAGCAGCACTGGCTCCGATCATCGAGACCAGACCCGGGTTGGGGGAGAGGAAATGGTTCTTGGCAAAGTCATACGCTCCGAAACGGAATGTCGAGTATGACAAGCTGGAGATATGAGTGACAAGATATCAGGTTTGGTTTAGCCCGGTAATCCTGGTACAGAGAAGATCCGCATAGATGGTGGAGGACTCACGCTCGGAGCATCGCAGCCGTCAATCCATCATACACTCCTCTTACTCCTGTAGCCCACCAAACGAACAAAAATCAATCGTTTCCGAATTTAGCGTCCTGCTTCGAGCTGCTGACCGACCCGCTCGTCGAAATTACTCTTGCTGCGAGGGCAATATACTCACCGTGCTGTTTGACGATCCCTCCAATGAACCCAATCGTGCTCTTATCGTTCGCCTTGGCAGTCTGCATCTGGACTTTTGTCAGGTCGAGAGGATGCCTGTTGGTATGGCATGAAACAAAGGGTCGAAGCGTTAATTCATAAGAGGAATACGTAGATGACGATGATAAACAGGTGGACTTGCGTGAAACATGTTGCCATGCCCGAAGCGAAACCTATGTCAGGAGGAAGAACGATATCCAGGTCAGTATATGTTTGCGGTAAATATAGCAGAGCGATAGGGCCAATTGCGATATTAAAATCGTACTTACCTCCGAGCCTGTTGGTCGTTTCACATAAGATAACGATCACATCCAGGCAGGTCCATGTGAAACGGTCAGGCGTCAACCGTAAAAATATAGATTGAGATGGGAACAGGCGAGTGCATCAGCTTCTGTCCAGAATCTGAAAGCAGTCGCACGAGCGCAGCTTCGAGGCCCATTCGAGCATCCCAGCTCAAAAAGAGCTCAAAGAGCTCATCCACCTTTAGCAACCTCGACGTACATGAAAGGATACGGCTTCTTTTGTCCTCCAACCGGTCTTGCCGGCTGGGCCGCTGTCCTGGCGACAGGGGGGAGTGCTGGTATCGACATGATTGGCTTTTCGAAACTTTTTTTGGGTCGTTCGGCGTTGCTTTCGCGGAGTAGCTGAGTGGGGGCCTAGACAGGGGTGATTGAGAGTGAGGACCAGACGGAGGGTATATCAACGAACGTGAAGAGAGTGAGACTATCGAGTTGTTGTCAAGGCAGTTGAAGGAGATTGTACGAGGGTTATGAAATTTCCAGATGTTGGTTGGTCGGTCGTTCAAGCCGACGCCGAACCTCTGCTCGCTTCGGTCCGGCAGCCATGTTTTCGAATATTTACGGTGTCACAAATCGAAATTACATCCAAAACACCCTGGCCAGACTTCTCCCGCAACTCACGACTACCGCCGCAGATTCCCGTAGACCCAGCACCAAGGTTCGACACGCGACAGGATGTCGATATTATAAGCGACCCGAAATACAATCGTATGTCATACGAACACCTTCCCTTTCTTCGATTGACGATTTGCGGCGGAGGTCAAAGCGATGTAGCGTGATCAAGCCGCGAGCGTAAGTAAACCTCAGCAAATACCAGCCAGTAGCAATGTCGAACGCTAATGACCTCAAAGGTGGTCCCAGGCTCGACCACTCCTCGACCGGACAGCATGAACTATATGGCAATAACAATAATGTTTTTACATCCACGTTCGATCGCACTGATACACCTGTTTGTTGTATACGAGAGGAGAGAGACACGACTCTATCCTCCCCTCGGCGAGGTAAAGAACGAGAAGAGAGAGAAGAGGCAAGGAAAAGGATGCAGGAAAGAAAAGGGTGAAACGGTATCCAGAGCAAGCATCGAAGCATACCCCTTGTCCGCGTTTACAGTCGGTACAGAGTTCTTGCTGCAACGTTCCAGCCGGCAGAGAGAGGGAGAGCGAAGTCGACATTCTTGCTCCAGGGGCCGGGTTCCGAGGGCGAGGAGATTAAGAGGTAGGTCGAAGGGGAAGTTTCGTTCATACACGCCAAAAGAGAGGCAAAGAGCAGTAAATGTTGGTCCAGAGATCCTCTCGTCATCTTGCGCATCTAAGAGAGTCGTCGGGTAGCAATTTTGGGTTGGGGAAGGGGGTTGTTGTTTTTTGGTATCTTCTATCTTCTTCGTCGGTCCCTCGCGCGGATGTTTTCCTTACATGTAAGGAGCGAATCCCTGCTGAGGAGCGAATCCGCCGAGGTTTCCGTTCTCGATGGGGACGATGCCCATGTTACCGATGGGTCCATCCTGCTGCTCGCCTGGTGCGGGAGCGTTGTATCCACCGGGTCCAAAGGCCGAATCGTTGCCGTTCTGGCCAGCGGGAGGGAATCCGCCCTGGTTACCGGCAAACTGACCGTGAGGCCCGCCAAATTGTTGTTGACCCATGTGCTGGAAACCCATGTCGTATCCACCACCCATGGCGCCCTGGTAACCACCGTACCCGCCCATACCCTGACCAGGTCCGGGCCCGTACATGTCGTTCATGGCGTTGTGGTGCATGTTGGGGTGACCGCCCATGTGGCGGGGGTGAGAGTAGTGACCCCCTCGACCGCCGTGGTTGCCGTGGTTGCCACCGTGTCCACCGTGACCGCCGTGCCCATACCCGTTGCCGTAGTTGTTCATGCCCAGGTTCATCATACCCTGTTGTCCCTGGTAACCGCCACCACCGCCACCGTTGTTACCGCCCGCGCTGCCCGGACCACCACCACCGTAGTGATCCTGGTGACCGTGTTGTTCACGCTGCAGCTTGGACTGAATTCGCTTGCCGTAAGGCGTGTTGCGGATCATGGGCAAGATGGGTCGGATGTGGTCGACAAGCTGCACAAGCGCGGAATATCATCAAGGGTGAGTAAAAAGCACTCGCTTGCAAAGACTCGGACATTGCACTCACAGCCATTCGTTGAGCGGGGTCAGCATAGTCCAAAGCAGTCTGGACGACATAGTTGGCAAACGAGTCGCGCAAAAGCTTCTCCAGTCGGCCTCGGCTCAAGAGCTCGGCGACCAAGATCTTTCGGAGCTCGGGGTCGGCCACACGGATGCACTATTCGGAAGCAGAACGGGTTAATTAGTCCTGCCTCGGAGAGTGTGACAGGAAGTCGGGCGACTCTAACCTTCTCAATGACGTTGGAGCTGAACTTTTGCACGGACAAGACACAGACGTTGCCGACGAATTGACGGATCAAAGGCTCGCTGAATCGGACGTCGTTCAAGTCCAAGACGTATTCTATGCAAAACGTCCAGTCGTGGCCGGTCGTCAGATTTTGAGAGAAACAGCATCGTATCAGCAAACGGCAAGCGACTTACGGACGACGTAGTTTCCGAAGGGGTCCTGTACCAGAGTCAACGCGTGGAAGGTGATTTCGGTGACGAGCTGCACACGCTGCGAGTCGGTAGCGTGGTCGATGCATCGCTGGAGGACGCAACATCCGTGTCGATGGGTAGCAACCTCGACGCAATGAGCGGCAACGGCGTTGTAAATGAACTGTAATGGCGAGTAGCAGCTTCAGATCAGCACGGAACCCACAAGCCATTCCTTTAAGCACACGCTTATTCGTGCTCACCTGGTTGTCCTCCGGGATCAGTCGGTTCAGACACTTCTGGATGACGTGGTTCCCGTTCAAATCCTTGATCAAGGCCACAACGTTCAAGCTAAGGGCAAGGATGATGCTCCTGATCTGGTTAGGCTGCCTAGGGTTGCTGAGGAAGTCGATCATCTTCTGGACGGCCCTGGTACCGTGCATGTTCAACGAGATGCCAACGAGATCGTTAGCAACCGATTCGCAGATGACGTTGCGCTGCTCCTCGGTCGAGTACTCCAAGAGCTTTTGACAGAGGTAGTTGCCGAAGGGGTCTGTCAAAGTTGCAAAGAAAAGCTCAGCCAGCGTGCTCAATGAGAGGTACACGACGATCGACCTGTTGCTTACCGGTCATGAGCTCCGGGAAGTGACCGTAAGTTTCCCTAAAGATCATATCCCTGTGCTCGGGAGCCTCCTCTTCCAGCTTCTTCTGCAGGTAACGACACCCGTGCTGGTCCTTAGAGAGGGACAAGATCTCGCCTTGCAGATCCTCCAATCGCATCCCGGCAAATCGGTTGTCTAGAAGATCACGAGGTGATATGTATAAGCTTCCCGCTCGTCACCTAACTCTGCTGTTAGGTCGACTCTGTGCGGGCGAAGACTCACACTCTCGCTCCATGTCGGCCTTCTTCGATCGCATACCCATCCCGCCTCCAGGGTAAAGCGCACCCGAACCAAAGTTGTCATCGTCGAACCCGTAGTTCTCGTAACCTCCGAACTGGTGTCCACCCAACGGAGCGATTCCGGGTGCCTCCATGCCGGCGTACAGAGGGTCGGGTTGGCCATAAGGCTTCTTGCCCTACGTGTCCCAAACAGTTACAAAGCAAAAAAAAAAACGAAGAACATCAGCAATACGCCCCTCAAGCCGATCAGGTGGTTCATAACCTCACCCTAGGTCCTCCAGCAAGAGGGCCGAATCCAGCAGGTCCGACCTTTTGGAACGCCTTTGCCAAATCCGGGTTGGAGAACCCTCTTTGACTAGCGGAGAGACCCTCGAGCGCCTGTCCTCCAGCGATCCCTGCAGTAGGGGGTCCGTTTTTCCTGAAACTCGACAGACCTCCGAGATTTCCGGGGTTCAAAGGCGCACCGGGGGTACCGGGAACGGAACGGCTGGGCATAGGAGGCAGCGAGGCGATCGAGGCCGACATGTCCGCTCCACCGGCGTTGGGACCGGTAGGAGATTCACGTCGAGAGACGTTGGCGCTGACAGCGGTCCCGTTCGGGGCACTGTTGTTGTTGTTACCAGTGCCGTTGCTCGAGACCTGACCGCTGACGTTTCCGGCAGCGGTGGAAGCCTGGGCGGAACCAGCAGCAGCGTCGTTGGCCGACTTCGGGACGCCAGAGAATTGAGGCCATTCCGAGGTCTTCAAGCCGGTGTCAAACGGACGGTGGGGGAATCGCTGGTTGGTCTGAGCCAGAGGTGCCAGGTCGAGCGCGGCGGACGAGGTGGAGATCTTGGAGTTCTGCGTCATCTAACCGAATCAGCATGTCGCCTATCGAAAAGAATGTGGTCTCGTGACCGGAAAGGCCGCTCGACTCACCTTGCCAGCCTCCCTCGCGCCGGCCGGTACGAAACCTTCATCCTCGTTACCCAAGTTCAAAAAGTTGACCGAGTCTGCCCAGACGACCGATAACATCCAGCAACGACCATCAATCATTCCATCAGCTAACATCCTGCAAGCGCTCGTATCGAGTCAACCGCATTCGAAACTCACCCCTGGCTCCTTCAGCACCGACATCCTCCTCCCGTCCCTCTCCGACCTGACCCGTACTCAAACTGAGCTTGTCCAACCCGAAAGTCTCTCCTCCAGTTGCAGCTCCTGCAGGGGCCATAGCGCTCGTCCTCCTGCTCCCCGGCATGCTCTTCGCACCCAAGCCGACCGACTCGGAAGACCCCTGAGCTCCGTTGGCTCCGAGGTTGAACCGGGATTTGCCCTGGGTCGAGGGAGATCCGTTGATTCCAGGGAGGGTGGATTGCCGGTTAGGAGAAGGAGACTTCAACTCGCTCCCGTTCGGAGCAGAGGTCGAGTTGGTGCTGGTTGCAGGCTCGACAGTTGAGACCTTGTCCTCCGACCCGGACTTGGGTTTGACATCTTCCGATTTTGAAGCCATGGTTGTCGTTCGTATCGAAGTTTTCAGAACCGGTTGATCGTCCTGATCACTCGTCTAGCTCGAGCTAAGCTTTTTTCTGAAAGACTTGTTCAAGATGTGTAGAAAAGAAGGACGAGCTAGCGATTGCGAGCTTGACTATCTTATCTCCTGATCGTTCGGGGAAGAACGTCCTGCTCGGTGTGTAGTTCAATGACGATGATGAAAGGAAGGTATCCCTTTCCTTTGGTATCCTCGACAATAGTCCTTTTCCTGGGATGGGTCGTAGCGAGAGTAGCCCTTGCAACGTAAAAGTTACTATGCGCTTGTTGTGTTTGTTCGCTCGACCTCGGGAAAGAGGTGTGTGTCGATTTGGGAATGAATGTAAAGCTAATTTACAGACGCAGCTATTCAGAAGCGTCGACGGAGGATTAAGAAAGAAGCGTGGTGGATGGCTAGACCTCTAGAGTGGTGGTTGTATAGCTGAGGATTGTTGCTCGAAGCGACTTCTCTCTGGCTCACTGCACTGCCTGGCTCGCGCAACTGGCTGCTTGCTGCTGCAGCAACTTCGTTCGTTAGCTCGCAATCAAAATTTGGTCAAACGGCGGGTTAACGGCACGCGACAGACAGGGGAAGGGCAGAAGCGGATCCAATCAGAAGCGCAATCCTGGTCATGCCGGCATCCCATTTCCCGTCACAATCTGATAAGCGCGTCCGCGAAATACCATCACGTGACTCTCAAGAACATTGGCTGCACGTTCTGATATGCCAAGAGTCAAGGTCTCGAATATGGTATTCACCAACCAGCCGATCATTACAATGCTACCTTACATGCCGATGATATCAAACAAGACCGAACAGAGATCCCCAATGATCTGCTTCTACTCGTCGGCATCCCTCTCTCCTCGCGTCACCTCCCTCTGCCTTGCTTCGGTGGCCACGGCCGTCGTCTCGATTCCCTCCATCCCGGCTCCGATTGCAGTCACAGGAGACTGGGGTAACGGAGCGGTATGCCAACCGATTGTGACGGGTGGTGAAATTGCCGGGATCATGGTTCCCATCGCCATTGCCTATACAAGTCCGAGTGACACCGTTTCGACTCGTGGTCAGCTTGCACTCCATGTCAATAATGAGGAACGAAGTCGATTGCTTACCGTCTCGGCCGACCCTCGGTTCGTAAACTGAACGACCACCTTGTCCTCGACAACCACCGGCTCTCTTGCCAAGACATCCGAGAAATCAGCAAACCACTCCTTGACCTGTCTCATCGTCTCCGCCTGATCCGAAGTGACGGCCGGTCCAGCCACGGCCAGAGCTTTGGGTCGATTGTCGAGCTTCAGCGAGCGATTTACTCCGGGGTTGGCGCCGCCCCGGGTCGATCCGCGGTAATTGTTGCCTCCTCGACCACGGTAGCCTCCTCGAGGTTGATAAGACGCTGCGTCCGGGTTGATGCCCATGCTCGAAGCCTGCATACGCATGGAATGAGATACTGTCAGCAATTTGGATCTATCGCAGCCGTGCCCCGTCGCCGGCGACCGCCACTGACCTGATTCTTCAAAGCCGCCAGTTGAGCCCTCAGCTTGAGCGTCTCCTCATCGACCTCTTCGTCCTTCTTGTCCTTGCTCCCCTCCAACTGCGCCTGGATATTATGCTCCTCCATCTCGTGATCTAGCATCTCCTGTATACTGTGCACGCCATCCTGAGGCCTACTCTGCACCCGACTCTGTTCTCGCTTCTTTGCCAACGCTTCTTCCCTCGCCTTGGTCTGCGCCTCGATGATCCCTTGAAGCTTTTCCACGTCGATCCCGGCGTTGGCCTGTTTGATCACGCTCGATTCGCCGATAAGCTCTTTGAGCCTCGTCTTCAATTTGGTCTTCTCCTCGGCATCCTTCGTGCCCTCGAGTCGAACCATCAGGACTTTCTGTTCAGCGACGATCTTTTCCAGCTTGAGTCCTCGTTCTCGGACTTCGGCCAGTTGGGCCTTAATCTCCGGGTCGACGGTCGGCAACGTAGAGGTTGATGCAGACTTGCCAGCGCTCTGGAACGCTTCTATGCCCTCCCGATCGATTTTTCGTAGGTTTTCCAACAACGGCGCCGAATCGTTCAACGCCTTCTGTCCGACCTCGCCTTGACCCTCTCGTGGACGGTGCCAGAGGATCTTGACGTGTCGATCGCCAAAGAACGATTCCTTGCTCAACCACGCCGCGTGAGCTTCCCGGTTTGTCGAAAACGCTACCAAGGCCTTTTTCGCCCGGGTCTCCACGGCGACATTGGTCACGGTTCCAAACTGCTTGAACTGATTGTGGATGGATTCGAGGTTGAGGTGCTCGGCAGGGATATCGGCAACGACGAGTGTCGTGGATGTGTTGTCCTTGGGCGGTCGGTTCGAAAGATCGCCGTCCCAGTCATTGAAACCCTCGACTCCCATTCGACCACCACGACCCCCTCTTCCGCCTCGTCCACGACCCCGGCCGTTGCCCCTGGCACCACCCTGCTCAAACGGTGGGAACATGCCCGGCATTCCCATTATGAATGGCATCATCCCGGGGGGTGGTGGGCCACCGGGAGGGAAGGGGAACATTCCAGCCCCATTCGGCGAACCCATTCCAGGGAAAGGTCCCGCAGGTCCTGCCATCCCGGGTTGATCTGGCGAATATTCCTGGCTACCAGCCGCCCGTGCCGCTCCATCTACCTGCATAGAACTCTCCGAGGGTGCACCATCCTGCTGCTGTTGTGCGGGTCCTCCTGGTCCAGCTGGTCCTACCGGGCCTGGGCCGTTGGGAGGAAACGGCATCATGAAGGGGAAAGGCATGGGTGGCATACCGCCGCCGGGCATGCTGTACATAGTATCCGGACCATGTTCATATGGGCATTGAATACCTCGTGCACAGAAGCCTTTATCTGCAGGAGGAGAAAGCGTGATCAGTGACGAGGAGACAAGAACGTGCTCGAGATCCCTTTGTGAACTTGCGACTTACTATGATAATCGAAGCAAGGCTTCTTTCTCCTTGGGTGACCCTCCATACCGTTTCCAAAAGCAGCTCCACCTCGTCCTCGCTTGCCTCTGTTCGAATCGTGCCCCATCGTCCTTTCATCCATCCCAATTGACCCTGAGGGACCCGCTCCCTGGTTCCCATCGTTCAACCTCGTAATTTTGTTCCCCCCAGCTCCCGCATCCGTCATCTCGACATCGCCCGATTCTGATAGTCTTCGCTTTTTCGTGGCGGATGAAGGTCCAGTCGGAATTGCTTTCGAATTCGGGGTAGAAGAGGGACCGGCGGTAGGCGAGAGGTAGGATTTGGAATGGATCGCGGTGTATAGTGTTTGTGCGAGTTGAGGTGCATCTGTTTCGACGAACTCGGAGATTTCCTGCAGGAGCCGTAATATTTTATTCAGCCCCTGCCAAGTCTCCATCAATGTCGTTGAATACCAAGCTAGCTTACCTGAGAAAGTTCATCCGAGCTGATGTTTGCATTGTTCTCGATCAAGGCAAATAGGTAATCTGCCAGTAGCTGGGGTTCTGCATCCGTTCTATCAGGGATTATGATGAATCCGGTTGATAATCAGTAGGGTTGTAGCTAACAGAAGCTATCGATCTCAAGGTGCCCGTTGGAGTCGCAGGTCGAATCGATCCAAGTTGCCTTCTCGGAAACACTCACTGCACGCTGACCGCCTTGAATAAGAATGCCTTGAGCTTCGCCCGCTCTTCATCTGTACGTTCTGCCATATTTTGTATCACTATCAAGAATCTATGTTGATCCACAGGTTGACATGTGGGGTCACAAAGTCGATTGTACGTTGTCGGAATGGTTCTTGAATCTGAATCGAAGTTTGATCGTCGTTCAATTCGAAGATGACGTCTCGTCAACAAACGGGGCCAGACCAGAGCGGGGTTCATGTAAAAGCGCGTCGAGTGGGGCAAGCGCGACGGTCTCTCCCCTTCGAGTGTTTCAGGTGTTTCAGGCTGTCCCGCCCTCGGTGTCGCTCAGTCAACCGATCCCTGTCTGTAGCATTAATTCTGCATCAAGTATGATATAGCCCACAAATTACAAGCTCCTTTGACATAGATATCGGTCTCGACGGCCTTACTTCGTTGCTGTGTTCCCTTCCTGCCGATAGATGGATGTTCTTCCGCCAATAGAGCTTCCTAGGACAGTCGCAAAAGCAGCCGCTCATAACAACGGTATAACTGCGACCAGGGATAACGTGAGTAAGTGGAACAAGTTTCGGTGCTGATCTTGCCTACCTCCGCCTTGGTTGACTCTCCGTTCACGGCGTGTGTGCACAAAGCCAATGCAATCTCCATCCATTTCTGGCATCTTGCCTTATCCCCAAAGCTGTTCGCGAGCGATTTCAATTTGCCTCGTGGTGCCGTCATCCACCACTACGTTACTCACTCCGCGAGATCTAAGCTCAGGTTGTAACACGTCCGCCACAACCAATCCACTTCTTCGCTCGGATACGTCTAGAAACGATCCCTTCAGTCACTGTCAAGTGCGAATCGAGCCAATTTCGTGGCGCGCTTACCTTGCCTCCACGTTCCATACATCCCTTGGCTTGCTGAACATAGTCAAGAGCATCATCATAATCCGACGTCCGCCCCCGATGAAGGAGCATATCTACGGTAGCGCGCATCCATCTGGGTTGAAGCAGGCATAAGGATTATGCGAATTTGTTCTCCTTATCACGATTGCCTCACCTGCTCTGCTGCGCCATATTATCCCCATAGGTCGGAGAGAGAACGACCCTGAGGATCTCTCGTGTCACCTTATCCGCCACTACATGATCGATCAATCACTTTGATTCTCGACTCTTCAGCGAGGGGCTCATATGGTAAATGCTCACCTTCCAATGGCGTCTTGACGGTCAGAATCAGTGATGCCATGCCTTGTAGCGTTTCCATTGATAGCGCGCCAGGTTGCATTTTCTAGTAAGAACGGCGTTGGTATAGATGAACGCTCTTGGTAAAATCACTCGAAATCAACTCACCTTGGCCATCATGCTGATCGCTTCCCAATCTTCCAGTTCGACCATGATCTCGCATGAAAAGATGTGTAGGGTGGATACCATATTTACGCAAAGTTTCTGGTCTAGGTCCTGAGTCGGCTGAACAGTTTCCAAGATAGCCAAGCATTCTGGGATGCGAGACTTGGCCCGTTGGAGAATGGCATTCTATGGCGTCAAGTCAAAGTCAGTGTTCAGTTCTCGACAAGATGTAAATCCAGCCAGGTAAAGGCTGACCTTTTCTTCAGCATTGACGATCTCTCTGCTTGCGAATACTGCGATTCAGCATCGACCGTCAGTATCCGAGTTGCCAGTGGCGTAAGACCGTTAATCTCACCCGTGACGCAAAGGCCAAAGTAGCGTACGGTTGCTAGCTGCAACTGAAATTTGGGATCCAGCTCTTGCATGGGAATCGATTTGTAACATTCCATCAACTAGAGTTCCCGTTGCGTCAGTTTGATGAGTGCTATCTGTCGTGTTGACAAGGGACTTGCCTCGGCTGATGTGTCGAGCATCGAAACGAGTCTGACCTTGTCTTCCCATACTTTTACCGCCTCGAAAGATGTGTTGTATGCGGTCTTGTATAGCCAGGCAATTTCCTTATATTTCGTGGCAAGTTCGTCTCTTGCACGGATCTCTTCGGCGAACCTAAGACCTGACCACAGTAAAGAGACTTAACATCCACGCGATCAGCTTGTTATAGGGGGGATCGTCTGTACCTCTTTGGAAATAGACGAGTAATTCCGCATAGATCTCTAGGCTACTCCCAGCCGTTGTTAGGTCGAGGCGGCTATAGTATTGCGATGTACTTACCCGACGACTTCCTCCTTCAACTGATTGAGAGACATCTTGATCAAACAACTTGAACGCAATCTTTTAACTCAAACCTGCACGTCTCCGTTCTCAAAGCATACTCTCGAACCCACCGGACTAGTGTCAGCTCTTCTACTCCCTTTTCCCGCATTCCCGTCCTCTCGAGGGTCTCCAACAAGGTTGCCAACGCTCTCGCCACTACCGTAACTTTTGAGGCTTCGTTGGCGGCTTGTCTACACTTGGGAGTTCAGTCTCGGTGTTGTAATCCTTCAAAAGAGGAAATTCGACTTACACTGTCATCAGCAGGTGAGTTCCATCCAGATCCTCACATGCACCCATAGCGCGTAAGGCATCACAAGCTATGAGAGGAGAGTTCGGTTATTGATTGACGTCCTCGACGCGAGTGGCCTTCAAGTGAAACAGTAATTCACCCTGGGGAAGCCGCTCTATAGAGTTCAACGATCAAGGTAAGCTCAAATTGGGCATCAAGCATGAACTCGCAATTGACCTTGACGCAACGCGATAAGGAATTGCAGGTATCTCGTTTCCGCACTCTTCATGTCGCACGTTTCGAGGATATCCTCCGCCTCATCGAATTTTGCTGCCTTGATGTATCCCAAAGCCGCTCGCCTATGATCCCATTCAGCACGTGCACTTGCAAGCTCCACCCTGACAACATACCTCTTGCATTTCTCGACCTCGGATGCAGTCATCTTGGAAAGTGCTGAATGGGCTGCTAGCGAGACTGAGACGCTCATGTATTAGTGCATGAACAATCTGTCAATCAGAATTGTCCTCACACCATCTAGCGCTGGCCTCGACGAATTTCAGGTCTTCCTGATCGCTTAGCCAATCCGCCAACTTCCAGATCACCTATTAACATGCAGGCGAATCTTTTTAGCGCTTCGAGATAACTGAATAAGGCATCTTGTACTCACAGTCGTACACGCCATAGCCTGTCCAGCATTGAGTCCCCCTGCGTCACTCCGATGAATAGCTACAAAAGGATCCCATGTCAGCAGGCGCTTTTACCACTCGTGCCACAAGGAAAGCTCACCGTTCATTGCCTCCTCCGCCAACTTCAAGCAGATAAAAGGTTCCGAGCCAACTCTGCTTTGCAAGTGAAGCAAAAGCGCTAGCAGTACTCGATGAGCAAGAGCCCATATCTCGTCGCCGCTGTTCCGAACCAGAACTTGAAGAAAGTCGACCAAAACTCGGCCTGGTAAACCTGCGTATTTTTCGGCCGTTAAGCTCTTCGCTTCCCCTATCAGCTTGTTGACGTTGAATTCGGTGATGGAAACGTTCTTGACGATTTCCTTGAATACTGCATACACGTCGGGCGCCTCAGCCTCCCGCATTTTCAGTACCAGAATCATAGTGTAGCGCAGGTTTTGGGATTGATCTTCCGCCTGTAAGTCTTCATCTTCGACCAATTGGCGTATGATACCGTCAGCCCTGTCCAGGTAGGAGCGTTCCAAGGTAGACGCAGCCACGGAGGCCTGCGCTAAGCCCTGCATAAGAGCCACTTTCGTCCTCTTCCATTCCACCACGGGGCCAGGCGACGTCTCATATGGCTCGAGTATAGCTAAACCGCTGCGCAACCAGTTAATAGCGGTTTCGGCTTTCCTGCCTACAGCTTTGTCATGGGCCGAAGCCTCAGTCACTGATTGATCCGAATTCTCGGTCGGCAAGTCCAGAATTTGGCGTCCAGCTTGCAACGCTTTGATCGACATTACATGTATCTGCAAAACAGTGTTCAATGAGTAGGAAAGAATGTATCAGAAGGGATGTGAGGCCCGGATACGAACATCTCTCATTTTGAAGTCGTCTCGAATCAGATCTATGAGTCGATAACGAAGCGGATGAGCAAGGGCAGACTCGATCAAAATCGCGCACCTAACGTACGGCTAGCTTGCTGGAAAAGCGTCCAAGCGTATTCGAAATTGCATCTTTGCATATCCTGACCGACGCACAATTTCAGTCAGAAGTAAGTTAGAATGGGTAATCTCTATACGTCTGAAATGCTCACGATATCGAGCCGAGCCAGCAGATATTCTATCTGTACGAGAGCCTTCTCTCGGTCGCTTTTGCCTTCTACTTTGACCTGAGCGTCTTTCAAGTTCTCATAGTACTACAGATTCGCCGCCTATCAGATCAGCCTCCGTGTACAGCCTTTGACTCGACATACCTTGGCAGCCTCGCTCAGCACTTCTTGCGAATCGAAGGTGTTTCCGACCTCTAGAAGTCAGCGTAATTATCAGTCATGCCGATGAAGCGGCTTGATACCGAGCGATACTCGCCGAACAGAGTCACCGCGGTCTTCGCTGAGACGTGAAGGTTGCGGAAGGTAACTATGTCGACGAGATCAGCCGCAAAATCGAAATGGGTAGAATCGGGGAACTCTTGGCCTACAATATGTATCCGGTTTGCTATCGGTTCCTGCTGCCATCAATGCCCAAGAAAGATAGCGTACTGAAGGGACGCTTTAAGCTTAATTGCGCAGAAAGGACGCTAATAGCAGAACCTCGACACTTCGCACTAACCGACTCCCAACGACCGCCGGTAAGCTTCCACCTCCTCCTTCACCGCCGTCTCCGTCGAAGCATAATTTGATATCAAGGCGTCCATCTCTAGTCCTACGTTCCACAAGTCGACTCCTGAACAATCCATAGATTCAGTGTGGGCGAAGACCACAAAGGACCCGTACTCAAGATCGTGATGTACCCTGCCCGTCAAGCCAGTCTCGTTTGCCTGCGTGAGCCTTTGGCTTCGTTGGTGCTGATTTTGAGTCAGGCTCTGCTTCCCGTCTACGTTTCCGTTCCTTCCTCTCCGCCTTGTCAATATGGTGCAACTCCTTTCCCAACAGCTTGATGCTGGCTGCTAGTCCTCGCAGAGCTGTTAGTATGGTTTCGGGGATGACAGGTAGCCGATCGCCGATGCGATCGAGACCGTCCAGCTTTTGGCGAAGCGTAATGTACCCGGCTGTACACAAGGGGCTCGAACCAATTAGATAATCGGAATGCACAGAACAACAGACTCACACTGTACCCTGCGAAAGGTTTCGTCCACATCAGGTAAGTTGTCGGTCGGACCGGCCCGCTTGTCAGCGGCTTTCTTGACTAAAGACATGGTTGTAGGGCTCCGTATTTGGTATGATCAAAGGAAGCTGGGTGTGTGGTCACGGTAGTCATCCACGGAGAACACCTTCAAGACTAGGTCGTTGGATCGATGGTCGATGGTCGATGGTCGTTGATTGTTGATCGAGTCTGGCTCGCTCGCGCTCGAGTCTTCGGCCGATCGAGGAAATCGGCGTTGCGCGAAATTTCCAGGAATATTCAATCACGTAAAATATGAAACGCGACCGTTTTTGATCGCGCTGATATCGCTCAAGCAAAGTAACAAGGCTATGATACGGATTATGAATCGATGTTTATCTTTTCAAACAGTATACAACTTTCTCATGAACTACAAACTGCCTGTCTTAGGCTGACCTATTCAGCAGTGTACTTTCCACTGACGACGGCCTTTCCGACCTCCTCGAAACGCCATCCTTCTGATGTACCCTCGGGCGTGACAATGGACAGGTTGAGACCACTGGTAAGTCCACCCTGACACTTCCACTGAAGACTGACTCCCTGCGGTTGACCAACGGGGCCATCGGGAGCGCTGACGAAACGGGCTACGATCTTGCCAGCAGACGCGGCAGACTTCGAGTCGAGATCGACGTCTGTCACGTTCCAGACCATCTTACGCTTTTCGGCGGACCAGGTACCACCTGGAGGTTTTGCTTGGACACCGGTAACTTCTGGTCCACCTAGACCGGCGACTACAGAGACTTCTGACAACTTGCCGGGGGTGCCTTCGCCAAACGGCGATGTGGATGAAGCGGCAGCGAGACTCCTAGCCAAGCGTCCTTGATCGTTGCTTTTGTAATTGATCAAGAGACGAGTCTCTCCAGCGGCCGTCTTCCACTGCGGGTGAACCTCGATCGGAGCGAACTCTCCTGCTCGTCCTTCGCCGACATGCAGCTGGTATTTGAACAGTACCGGCCTGCTCGACTGGGAAATGGTCGCACTGGCAAGTAGCTCGACGTTTAGGTAGTACTCGCCGGGTTTCTCCGGAACCTGACTAAGATACTTCGGGTTGGGAGCGACCTTTTCCAGCTCCTCGAACTCGTCCAGACGGATATGAACGGGCCCGACTCCATTAGCAGGGATATATTGCGGGAGGTCCCTCATGGTCACGCAGATCTCTCCCGTGACCATGGCCTTTTGAACGAGTCCTCCCTTTGAGATGGCATTGACGGTCTCCGTCATGGTGGCGCGTAGACCGGGACCAGCAATCGCAGGACCATTTTGGTCAAAGGGGTTCATGTTTCCTACCACACTAGAGGGGCTAGATACGTTCGTGCTGTTAGGCCTTCCGGTGAACTGCGTGGTAAGGGGGTTGAGACCAGCAAAGGTTCCCGTCCCGGTAGACATGCCAGTCTTTCCGCTCGGGAAAGAGCTGCCGGTGGGCGTCGCGAGAACTTCCTGTACCGGCGACTCGGTCATTCTGCGTTGTTCTGCGGCATCCTCCTGTTGCCCTTGCAGCTTCAAAGCCTGTGCAAGCGGCATGTCGTCGGGAAGGGTATTGAAAGTGGTGTTACGGACGTCGCGCCTGCCCCGAATGGTATTCTTCCTGCCAGGCCCAGATGGAGGTTTAGCAAGCAGGGTGCTCTGCATCTTTTGCAATGCTGCCTGGCGTTCGCTCTCGTCTTCCTCGATAGGGAGCGGGGCCAAGGCCATGTTGAGCTTGGGAGCAGAATAAGTACCATTGGCACCTGGTGTAGGGAGAGGAGAGACTCCGTCCGTCTCGTCATCTTCGTCATCCAGAAGATTCCTAGGGGCTCCACTGGGCCTCTCCCACGGCGCCTGACCACGGTTCTCGGGAGGCAAGGTGAACCCGTCCGCATCAACTCGAGGAGTCTCGCCATCGGGCTGTTTGATACAAGATCCATGGTCAGTAGAAGAACAGAGCGCTGAAGGAAGCAGAGAAAGTCGAACGACTTACGCTAGCAATCGGCGCCCCACCCCTGCCAGTCTCATAGCTGTTTCGATCGTTCATCTCGTACCCGTTCATCCCAGGTGCGAGCCCGCCCCTTCCAGCGTTGGCTCCAGTAGCGTTCGTCCTGACGGTAGCGTCACTCCCAGCACGTCCTCGTCCGCCGTTCCCGTTGTAGGTCGACGAACCGCCACCAAGTCCGACATTGCCCAATAAGGAGGATTTCCTAGAGAACTTGGACTTCAAGGTCGAGGTCAACGAGGATTGTTCGGGTTTTGGTAAGTTGGTCTCGATAGTCGGCCTGGAAGAGGAAGAGTTGCGGTTGGGAGTCGAGCTATGATTGGAGTCAAGGGTAGGTCGACGCATAGCTGCAAGCAGGCAGGCCCAAGGTTTAGATAGATCCTGTTCATTCAAGGACGTGATCACTCACTCGAAGATCTTGCTGGCGTGCCTGCTATGCCTCCGAAGCCACCCATCTCCCTGACAGAGCCTCCCGAGGGAGCGGGTGCGGCGTTGGCGGAACCGCCAAACTTGATAGCCATGCTTCGGACTTCCTCTTCGACCTCCCACCCTAGCAGCCTGTTCATCCCTCTTTCGCTTCCTTCGACCCGCCTGTTGCCGTTCTCGGCCATAACAGTCTCAAACTTGACCCCGATTTCCTTCAGCTCGGTCAGTCGGTCCAACGTCATGCTTTGATGAGCCGCTATCAAGGTAGGCAGGATCCCAGCTAGCGACGTCGTGTTGTTCTGGAGGTCGTTCTGAGCCATCTGAAGCTTCGAGCCGCCTTTCTTCTGAGCCTTTTGAACCTTTTCTAGGGAAGAGTCATACGACTTGACCGTCTTGCCGGCCTTGTCTTGGATAGAAGAGATTCGGCTCCAAGCAGAGTTCCTCGACGACATCGATCGAAGAGGCGATTCAAATTCCCTAGAGAGAGTATCCGACAGCGCCGTTTGAGAAGAGGCAGTCTACGGTTACACAGAGTTTAGTCAAGACGCAATGTCGGCCAACCCGGCTATGGACTCACCTCGACAACCTCGCTCATCACCCTTTCCCAGACTCCACCTTCACCGCCAGCATCCCTGCCTACACCCGAATCCGCAAACTTCCTGACAATCTTGTTGAGAGCAGCCGCATAATCAGCTTCAGCGGCGCTCCTTGCTCGAAAGTAATCGGCAAGGGTCTCGTTGAATTGGTTTGACCGTTGTGAGTGCGAAGTCAGGCGGGACAAGAGTTCTTTAGGCGGGACGGCCTGACGGACAGTGTAGCAACGGGGGTAAGCTCATGCTGCACTTTCGACTAGCAGGCCAGCTGAGTTCATTGAGAAATGGGCCCGTGCTCACCGATAATTGAGACGCCCAAAGGTCCTCGGGCAGAGTTACAGAGCTCATCCTTTCCTGTCAATCGGTCCAATTCGTATTCAAGTTGATGCGCGCGTTTCCGTACCAAAGAGAGACGACTATATATTTCCAGGCTTTCGCAGATCCGCAGCCCTTCTCGAATGATTTTTGAATCTAATCAGGTCGAGGTTTGCAACCAAGGGTCGACGAGGTCCACGAATGTCCGGAGTTTCAGCTATCCAGACTGACGTCATTGACTGCTAGACTGAAAGGGACTACCTATACGCACCTATGGATGTCTGGCCAACGAGGAAAGGTCTGTCAAGTTGTATCTGAAGCAACCCTCGGCAAAGTGTATAGATTACCACCTGAAGTGCAAGGTCCACATCATCGATATCGAGCCTATCGAGATCATTCGAGGTCGACATAATCGGCGTCAGTAGGTAGATGGCGGGTCCGGACGATGCCAAAACGGGATAGGGGCAGGGGCAGATTCGGTTACGTAAGCAAGAGTCGGGTTGCCGGCGAGAAGGTGTTTCACTACAAGAGTCCAGATCCATTTATCGGGCACGGTACTCCGCCTGCCTAGTCTAGACTCGAGGACTAGCGGACTAGGTGTCTGACTGTGGTCCAATATGGTCAAGCTTGAGTCGATGCATTGACCCAAAGAACATACGCAAACGTGAAACTCCTTGCGGAGAAGGCACCCACCAGCGCGGCTTTGCCCATCTTCACGAGTAGCGGGACCGTCTCCTTCGCATTCGATCTGGCATGACATGTATCGGTTTTGCCACAGCTGTTCGAGGGTCCGCCTATGTCCAAAAGCATCCATGCATCGCATAATTTGAGAACAAGCGGGTAGTCACAGACGGCAGTCAGGGCATCGTACACAAGCTATCACCATCGCGCGGAACAGGGTGTCGGTATGTGGCTGCCTTGTTTGAGGCATACACAGGTCGATACGTCCGAGGAACGGCCATGCCTGGGCCACACAAAAAGGTGAAGATGAATCCGATAAAAAAGCCCCATCGACATCATCATCGTTACATCATCCCTATTCCCAGGTATCCGTCTCTGCACACCCAACGACCACGACGACGGCCTCGTCCAGTCCCGATCCGCCTTATTCCTAAAAGACGCTCGAGATCCACCAAAGTCCTTCACCGACAGCCGTTGAGCTAAACTTCCATCTTGGATCGGTTTAGTTGTGCTGATCGTGACAAGATGGGCCGATTGTTTAGCCAACTGGTTCGAACCACACAAACGTGATCTCTCAAAACTCACCTTCTCGAATCCGATCTGAGCGGCACGCTCTCGGAAACACTGTCGGCAGATCATAAGACCGTATCGTCTATATCACGGAGGCCGAGAATCGAGTTAGTCTCGGGACACTCGATATGGTTGCCCGAATGAATGCAGATTTACCGGATGAGACCGGCCTGGTGAGCACAGACGCGACTGTTCAAGAAAGATGAGAGCAAGGTAGTCAGCCACCATGTTCTATCGAACTTGACTAAGCTCCTCCGGCATGCAATCGGTCCGCGTCACCCTCAACCATCCGCATTTTCTGCACCCATCGCCAGCACGTCGCCAACTCCGCTGACGATGCATTATTCCTGCCTTATCTCCAGCGACGCCGATCACACGCCTAGATGCCCTCTGAATACGCAATCACTCACCACTGCCTCGAGCCCTTTCCGTAGTTTCGGGGGTGAGAGAACCAAACGTTAGAGTGAGCCCTGTGAAGTGACACAAGGTGAAGACGTCGAGGATGTCAGCTTGGCTGTTCCTTGGCTATTGGTGATGCGACCCGGCAAAGGTGGTGGTAGGGCGGCCTGGAGTGAAGGGAGGTAATGGGCCAGGGGGGTCGGACGGCAGAATAAGCGGTTTGAGGATGGGCTAGGATCGGGCAGGGTTTGGGTCTTCCGGGAGATAGGAAGGATGACGTCTGAGTGTTATACGAGGAGTCGATTGCCGCTTTCTTGCTGAGCTCTATTCCTTGTTAGGCCAGTTTGGGTCTAGCTAAAACTTCCACAGCAAGACATGCTTGTTGGTCGATTGTGTTGCCGTATCCCGGCTACGTCGTCCATGCTGAGTTCTTTATCTTCCGGAGTTCGACGTCTGATGCGACGATCTGCCTGGTATCACTTTTGGTCTTGATGTCCTCGTCTTGGTCACGATCCCTTTAGTCCAGCCTCCCAAATGACCCAATCCCGTAACCCAAACCGAGTCCCGATCTCTCAAACCGCTCTCCTTGACCCGAATCCTTCAACTTGCCCACTACCTTCCCAAATCCATTCAACAGAAACCTAGGAAGAACCGTTCGATTCCCCCTAGCTTTCCCTCTAGCCCTGATCCGCCCACCCTTGTTCGTCAAGGAAGGTTCCTACTAACATTTTGATGCGGTTTTTGCTGCGTTTTCTTCCTGGTGTGAAGTCGACGGTGAGACAGACGGTGAGGTTCTTGAAGGACTAAGAAGACTGGCTGAGCGGAGGGGAAGGGGCCGGCCGGGGGTGTCTGCGCAGAGGAAAGGGTTCAATCTCGTCGATGTCGATACGAAGAGGTCGCTCGGACGAAAGCAATCGAGAGGCGCAAACCAGAGAATTCCGCGGTGCAACGACATACGGCCACGGCTCGGTCAAAGCACCCTCCAGCAAGAACGACGCGTTGTGATGGGATTGACGTCAGAAGGCGGACGCGCAAAGAAGCGCAACGACAAGCGCGTCGGTGATAGCGCCGATGATCGAAATACATACAATATCGTCCCGGTTGTTGCTTGCATAACCAGGTAGCCAATGACAACTATGACATGATGGGCAGGTATGATGGAATAGCGAGGTGACAGATTTGAATGACCATCTTGAAAACGCGGGGAAGCTAGCTACACTACGAGACGCGAGTAGAGGCGGAACTAGAGCAAGAATGCAAGAATTGGGTCATGGCTAGAGACAGTTTGAAACAGTACGATGAAGACGAGAAGAGATCGTATATAAGCCTTGAGAAAAGCTCGGATAAGGAGCAGCAAGCTCCTGTAGATTGTAGGGATCGTCGCTGCGATTCGCCTAGAACATGGTGTAGAGCGCCTCGCCGTCCTGCTTCCTCCTGGTCGGTTGAGCCGGTACCTATGAATGATCCGATCGCATTTTATTAGCCGGTATCTCATGCGATTTGAAGCTTGCGGGACTGGTAGTCGACCTACATTCGCGTTCCTGCCGAAAGTGAAACCGACCCAAGCGTTCTTTTCGCCCCTTCCACGCTCGGCGACGGCCTCAACGTCGGCCTGCTTCTTGAACACTTCGGCGTATTTTGCCATGTCCTCGGGCGAGCTGAACGAATCAAAGTACCCGACATCCGTCTCGTTGTCGAGCATGGGTACGAACGGTGCAGCTTGTTGACGAAGACCCTTGAAGGGGACTTCGCTGTAGAATTTAAGGCCCTGGACCTCTTGAATAGTGGATACTCGGTCCTTTGGCGAGGCAATAAGGCTGTGCGTCGTACATGTTAATCAGTTTCGGTTGTGTGCAGCTTCAACGAGTACCCGCCCGATCTTATCTCTACTTACTGGACGACCGCCTCCCAAGCCTGATCGGTCAAGTTGAAGATCAAATCCTCGGGCTTGTCATATACCGGCCTTCGCAGCACCTTCGGCCAGTTCTTCAAGTTGACCCAAGTCTCATCTGGCGTGCTTCCCGAGAATGGAGGGAAGCCCTGCGATATTATGCAAGTCATCAGCGTCGTGACCAGACTTCTTTCAGGCTGCTACCTACACAGAGGAATTCAAAGAGAATACATCCGAGTGACCAGTAGTCCGCAGAGAAGGTATAAGTTTTGCCCCGCAGAACCTCGGGAGGCATGCTGTGTTAAGGAGCAAGGCTCGGCACATCAGTAGATGTTGGAATTTGCGATCGTTTGAAGTACTTACTAGTCCGGCGATCCAACGACCGAGTCGGCCTATAAAACAGGTTAACAATCAGTAACCTCGCCCTCGATCCTCTTTGCATGGCAAGAAACCCGACTTACATATCGAGGCTCTGCCATCCTCATACTCTTATACATCGTCCTCCTCTCAAGAGTACTCCTGACGACCAGGTTCTCGTCCTTGACTTGATCGAGCTGTGTTGCCATGCACGTCAAGTCAGTCAATGACTACCAGCACAGCAACGAGCGCAAAGTGACCTGCTAACCTTGTTCTTCATCGACTCGATCTTGGCCGGGTTGAGGGCTCCAGTAGCCAATCCGAAATCGGTCAACTTGACGTGACCCGTAGAGTCGACCAGGAAGTTCTATAACAGCGTCCGCCTTCTTATTAGCCCCAAAAATTCGACGGCTTTTTTTGCGAGCCATGCCAAGCCATCCGCCCTACCTCTGGTTTCAGATCTCGGTGGATGTACCCGAGCTTGTGAAGCTCGCTCACGCCCATGAACATCTCGGCGGAATAGAACCTGGCGTGTTCCTCCTTGAGCACTCCCGAATTGTTCAACAACGTCCTGAAGTCTCCACCCGGGACGTATTCCTGCCGATCAAAGTAATGACTTGGTCAGATCCTCAATCGACTCCCGAGCCCATGCCCAAACTTACCATGGCGAGGTAAACATGATCCCTATCCTGGAAAGCGTACAAAAGGCTGACCAACCAAGGCGTCTTGGTCGCCGTCAAGATGTCCCTTTCGATCAAGACGTGCTTGACCTCGTCCATCTTGGCGAGCGTCGTCTTTTTCATCTTTTTCAGAGCGCAGACTTCGCCCGTGTCGGCCTTGCGGGCGAGGAAGACGGATCCGTATCCTCCTTGTCCGACCTGTACCAGCAATGCCGGACAAAACGCGTCAGAAGTGCAAGAACAGCAGGGATGGCTGTAAACTATCGGCTCGTAGCTGACCTGTGCAATGATCCTGAACTGATCGACCCGGAGCTTGATCCTCCTCTTCCTCAGAACGACCCTTTCCCGTCCGACGTACGACTTGAATTCCTTGTTCATCTCCTCCTGAGAAAGCTATATCACGCACAACACACCACAAAGTAAACATCCGATCAGCCTCAGAGGACTCTTGCCTTCGATCACATCGCTTCAGATTGCGGATGAAGACAGGCTGCAGGGTGTAGACTTACTCCTCGAGCGGCAACGTCGTTCTTAAACCCAGCCGTCCTTCCCTTCCTCGCGTGCAGATACCCGAGCAAGTCGAAGTAATAGTCCAGGAAGTATAGTTGCGCCAACGTAGCCTACACCGTTCGCCGTTCGCAAGCCAGGGCTCATCAGTCTCCATCATCTCTCAATTCGTAGAAGCGAGACAGGGTGAACGCCGGGACTGACCTTCCGCTTGACCTCCTGACTGGCCAAGATCTCCCTTTCCCACAAAGCCAACTGCTGAGGTCCTCCCTGATCCTCCGCTCGCTGTCCTTGCTGTTGCCCTTGACCCGTGGCGCCGGACCGGAGGACGGTCTGCATCTTGACGTCCTCCTTCATCCTCCTTCCCATCCCACCAGCTTGCTGTTGTTGTTGCTGTTGTTGTTGAGGTTGGAGGTTGATCCTCTGATCCTGGATCGAAGGAACAGGGACCCCACTTCCTGTCGACCCATAAGCCACTCCGGGAGCCTGTGCGAGAGACTGAAGGTACCCAGCGGGAAGCATGTTCGGGTTGACGGTGGTCATGTGGATGTCACTATCATCCCCGTTCGACGGATAGGCGGTCACGGCCTGGGCGTGATGAGAGTCTTGTTTCGGGTGCAACGAACGGTTGGGGACTGGAGGAGGGGGCATGGGGTTGTTAGCTGTCGCGTGGTGGGGGAGTCCGCTGATCTGGTGTTGTTGTTGTTGCTGGTGCTGCTGTTGTTGTTGAGCAGCCGAGGTGGTGATATACACCCCTTGCTGCGTAGAACCACGATAATGAACTTGTTCCCTCGAAGGACTAGGAGGGACCGAATACCCTCCTCCGGTCGTCGAGGAATGACCCGTCCGATCCACATGAACCGGGATCTTGCTCGGGGTACCTCCTTGAGTCGGAGTTCCAGGCTGGGTAGTCTTGGACCTCGTCTTGGCTGCCGGTGATCCTGGGATCGATCCGTTCGAGTTGGAGCCCGACATCTCTTGTTGTTGCGATGAAGAAGACGTCGAGGTGAGTTGAGACTTCATACGGGAGAACATGGTTGCCAAGGTGGACGGGTTGTCCGAAGATGGGTTTGAAGGAGCTGGGGGCATGTCGATCCGGAATGTTTACTTGATTATTTGATGGAAATTAACTAGCTTTATATGTACGCTACGTGGCCAGTGGATGATGGGAGACGAGGTAGGGTTGATCAACGATCTATTGCCGTTTCAGAAGAAGCTGAAGGTGGTGTCGATCAAACAACAACAAACACAGCAGACTTGATGAAGCGACGCCGAGCGGGGTTGGCGATCAGGCGACTGCAGGTGATTCTTGTCAGATGCCGTTTGCTACTGTGGTCTGGTTGGTACGGTGGTATCGACGATGGCACCATTCAATGACAAGTCGATGTTCCCCATCATCATCACCGTTGACCGTCGTTGATCGATCAACGGTTGTGAGCAGCTGCCCCAAGCCACTTCTGGATCGTTTGTTTACATTTTGGCACGGGGGGGGAGAGTCAAACTGATCGATCATAACGCATAGACGCATCCGATTTTTACGAAAACGCATAATTCGCCGATTCAATCGTTCATCATCTCATTGGACTGAACTGAACACAAAAGTTGACGATGCACATCAAGTCATCTCGCATCTTGAGCAGATCAAGAGCTTTTCACATACATAGCTGATTCTAAGCACCTAGGGAAATCAATCAGCTGGAAGTACACACCATGTTCGCTCGTTCAGCAACCCGATCCATCGTACCCGCCCTGCGCAAGTCCATCGCCCCCAACCCGACCCCATCCAGCTCGACCTCGGTCGTCCGATCGTTCAGGTCAAATATCTCTGCATCCAGTTCGGCTCGAAGTGTGCATTTCCAGGTGCAGAAGGTGGCGAAGCGGGCGTTCCAAACGAGTGCAGGTGAGTCCAATTGATGTTTCGTACAGCTTAGTGATCTCGGTGAAATCGAGTTGCTGATCTGATCATATGTGACGAGGTGACAGTGGTCAAGCATGGTGATATCGAACGACCTGCTCCCGGAACAGGGTGAGTCTAGCATCCCACTAACAGCTCAGTGTTCCCAGAAACAAACCTCCCTCTCTTCATCTTCTTTGTCTTATAGCATCAAGATCACCTTCCAGGACTCCAAAGGCCAGACAGTAACCCAGGTCGAGGGTAACGAGGGCGACGATCTCCTCTCCTTGGCTCACGAATGGGACGTCGACCTCGAAGGCGCCTGTGAGGGCTCGATCGCCTGTTCGACCTGCCACGTGATCCTCGATGCGGAGAGCTACGACAAGCTGGAGGAACCGGAGGACGATGAGAACGACATGTTGGATCTGGCTTTCGGGTTGAGCGATACGTAAGTGTCGCGCTCAGAGGGTGTCCGTTGGGAGTCACGGGGTGAGAGCAGGTATGCTGATCAGATTCTGTCTCTTTCGCCCTCTAGATCCCGATTGGGATGTCAAGTCAAGCTGACCAAAGACATAGATGGGATGGTAGCCACCCTGCCTTCCGCCACCCGGAATATGTAAGCTTCCGTCTGCCTTTTGAACGTGAACCGCATTGACTGGTTGTCTGTATGCTGAACCTCATGCATTGTGACGTGTTTCGTAGGTATGTGGATGGTCACAAGCCTACACCACACTAAAGAGATCGCTGGACACCTATATCCCTGCCACCTGATTTCATCTCACCCCCTTGATTGACCTCTATCGTTGTGTCGAAACGAAAAAGGCGATCTGCAATATCGTCAAACGATTCCTTCCTACCTATCTCTGAACCCAGCCTCTGTCCCGCCGCTATCTGCTCGTTGTATCGCCATCCGCCTCGCATGCCGCATAGTCATTCTAGTCATACACATACATGCTCTACTCCTTCAATGATCACGAACAAGCCCGACCGGGAGTGCAGTCGGCAGAGCCACTGACGAAGCGGTATGTTTCTTCGCGGATCCCACTCTGAAGGTCCCACAGAGTGGAATGCTCCCCCGACGCAAATCAGAAAGCAGGGTGACAGGAACCTGCAGGTGAACCCATCCGATCCACAGATTCCCCTTGCCGATCAAGCCGTTATAGACATCAAAGCCCAACTCAATGAAGAATTACATAATGGTGAAAAAGATTGACATTGAATCAACTTTGGGCTTTTGAGGGTAGAGCGTGCCATGCCGCAGAAACAAGCTGGAATGCCACAATCGCGAGCTCGAAGTCGTTGCGAAATTAGGGCAAGTGCCTAGCCGGGTAAAACTTTCAGGATACGGGCGATGTACGGACGAGTCAAGCATCGAAACCCCTTTCCTCGACCCCTGTGATCTGGAAGAGAATCGTTTCATCTTGCTTTCGGGGGAGATCGATCCCGCTGGCACATCGAGTCTCGCCGTCACCGCACGACATCTCGAACGTCGAGACGGAAATTTCATGGGTTCAGGTAACCAAAGTCGCAGTGGGAAACACAAAACTTCTAGTATCGACGAACAAACATGGGATTGCTTGCGATTCTCGATGATGATTGATACTCGAGAGTCAGCCTTCGCTTCAGCTGCAGGCAGCCGGTCCGGTTGATATACAATATCGTCGTACAACCATCAGATACAAGCGAAGGTTCTCTAGTTGCATCGCCCTCAAGCCACAATGTCCTCCCCAGTCCGGGCTTCGATATCCTGGTCGAGATATTTGACCGTCCTTCCTACCCATCCGTCCACAGCGCTTGGTGTCCTTCGCTTGACATAAGTCAACAGTGTCATCGCCAGCGCAAACGGTAAAAACTTGGCCGACCTGTTATACCCGGCAACAGCGGCGGTCAGTCATTGACGCATGGCTCCCCGATCATGAACATCGGAGCCAAAACTCACGCTCGGTACTTCCACCAGCCCTTCTTCAATCCGACCTTCCACAAGCTCGCCAAGCTCAATCTGAACGTATACATTCCCAATTCGAGCCGCCGAGGAGACGGGACGAGCATGATCCAGCATCCCGCCAGTATCCCTCCGATCGAGAACCTGACGTTACGCAAGCGCGGCTGGATCAACATCTAGTCGCAGCATACGGCCACGACCACCTAGCTCACCTAGCTCGAGGCAACGTCGTAGGCCCGAGAATCCTTTGAAACGCGCACACCCAAGCCTGAAACACAATCAGGCGATTAGCGAGAAAATCTGAAAACTCTTCCGCACGATCAACCCACCCATGCCGTGCCGATCGACAAGGCGATCAACGCCGTCCCCCTTGCTGTCGACTTGAGCCATTTCAGCAGGGCAGCAGGTGGGCTAGACACATTGAGGCAACCCCGCTAGTCAACACCTGCATTGCCACCCTCATCGTATAGATACCTTTCGTTGCTCACTTCTTGCTAACCGTCTTCCACCTCAACAGCGTCACCAACCCACTCCAACCGCCGACCAGCCCTGCCGCACTAGGAACTGCATCCCCGACCGCTTTCACGTAATTCTTCACGCAACTAGGTTCCATAGGATGTAATGCCGCACACATCGCCCGATCGTGTGCCGGGTTTGCTGATCGGAAAATCGTCAAGAAGGATTCGTACTGTTTTTCTATCCCTGGAATGGACGGAAGAGGGAAGGGAGGATGTGGATGAGGCGATTGGGTGAACATGGGGAACATGGAGAGGATTGAGGAAGGATGAGGGATGGATTTGGCCATGTCGCCCGAGAGACCTAGGGATTCTGCCGTTGGAACGTATCGAGTCGAGCGCTACGTATGTCAACACTGGGACCGCATCAGTATCGGATTACATCAGCCATGCGAAGGCCATCCTTGTACTTACCGAGACGATAACATCCTTGTAACTCGTCGGGAAGCAATCCCCCTCGAAGACCGCGGTGTACAGCAACCACCCTTGACTGAGGGGGAACAGCCACCAAGATCCTCCTGCACGGAGCGCGTTTCGAAGGAGGACGACCAGATCGACCTCCCCTGCACCTTGACACCTTTCACCCAGTCCATCCTGAGACTCTAGAGCCAACTGGCTCAGCTCGTCCGTAGATACTGAACCCGGATCCTTCTCTCCCATCCAATACGGCCGATGCCGCTTCGCGTTCCGCACATGCTTGAATCGTGATTGCGCCCATGATGGTCTCCACCTCAATTCACCCTGGTCGATCTTCCCCGAGATATACCGTGCCAATGCCAACCCGGCCGCAGTCGTCGAGTACAGGTTGAGCTGGGCAAGCCAGGTAGGAGGTAAGAGCACGCAGAGGGGTGCAAGCAGGAAAGCAGGATTTGTTGGTAAAGCCAGCTCCCGAAGCACTGAGCTGATCCTTTTACGGTTCTTGGCGGAGCTTTCGCTCAAGATGGAGGTCGCTGGGGTCAAGACATTTAACGGGTCCTCCAGTCCTTCGACCTCGAGCCGTGATCGTCTACGAATCAGGTTGAACAGCCGAAACAAGGTGGGGTAAAGCGAGAGGAAGATCGCCGTCCGGATATTCTTCTCCAGCGGTCTCAAGAGGGTCTTGAGCATGTTCGAGATGGACTTTCTCGATTCTTTCCTACGAAATGATATAGTATCCGGAACGCACAACGAGTTTCCATTTTAGCTCACATATTCCATGTATCTGATTTGCTCAGCACTTTATCTTATCAAACTTACCTTCCTACAGCTCCAAGCGTCTGCAATAGCCCCAAACTTCCGAGAAAGACCTTGAGGTGCAGTTTGACCAGCTGTCCGACCTTGATTCGCTCAGCCCGGGTTAGCGGTCTCATGAATGAATGCTGGGGAGACCTAGACCCGAACGAGGGCTCGCCTGCACTCTTGTCTTCCATCTTGAGATGGGACGTATGACGAGTATGAGGTTCTCTTCCAGGGAGAGTCAAGTCGAGTCGAATCGATATAGAGAAGAGTTGAAGGGTGAAGAGAGAGAGAGATGAATAGCTTCAAGGTCGCTGTCGCGACTCGAATAACCGGGATCCCCGCCCCGCCGCGTAATGGACAATCGCCGGAGCCAGCAAGCGAGAGAGAGGGTGAGAGACGTGGATCGTGACAAAGGAAGGTCGACCGACCAAACATGTAGCACATCAGCAGCGGCGTAGATCTAATCAACCCAGAGGCCAGAGGGCCTTCCTTTGAGATCAGGAAGCACGCCGAAGCAGAAAGCAGAGGGAAAAGACGATTCTTAGATAGCTCGCAATCTCTAGCCTTTCGATCGATCGTGCTGTCAGGTACCCTAAAAGGTATTCGATATATGCATTCAACCTGCTCGTAGCAACACATCCATCTGATTCTCTCCAAACTGCTATCTTAAGAAATTTATGTTGACGCCTGTATGCTGAATTCGATAAACCCGTCCTTGATGCTGCTTCCTCCTCTTCTTTTCCGGTCGAGCGACAATTTAGATCTGCTCGTCCCACTATAGATAGTCAACCCGAACAGAACATGGGTCAGCCCATCGTATTCTGACCCGAGTCGTACGCGCACATTGCCTTGAGTGAGGTAGACATTAAGGTTGCCAGACTGACCTTGAAATCGACTCCCCAAGGAGGGTTGCAGAACCTCTTCAACTTGCCCGAATCCTTGGCGAACTTGTTCAAGGCCTCGATGTCCTCCTTGTCGAGATCGACGATCTTGAGGTTCTTCTCAATCCTCGAGGGGGTCACAGACTTGGGCAGAACTGTAGGGCAAGGGGCAAAACATCGCCTTCAAGTTAATTCCCGTCCGGTTTGCGGTCGAAAATCTAAGCAGATTGCCGCGGACTGACCGACGATCCCCCTGTTGTTGAGGTAGGAGAGCAAGACGTTTCCAGCCTCGATATCGTGCTTCTTGGCAATATCCTGGACGATCTGTTCCTTCATCAACGGCGAGCCGGTGGATCCGAGGGGAGAGTAGGCTTGGAGCACGATCCTACATATTGAGAGCGATCGTAGAAGCACGAACAATTCAGAACATCAGCGAGAAGCAAAAAGATACAATCAAGCCCCCGCGAGACTCACCCTTTGCTCTTGCAAAAGTCGTTCAACTTCAACTCCGGGTTCAAAACATGCACTTCCATCTGATCACAAGCCGGTACGACCTTGGCGATCTTCAAGATCTCTTCCAGGTAGGCGATGGAGCAGTTGGATACTCCGATCGCCTTGACCTTGCCCGTAGACATGAGGCCCTCCATGGCTTGCCAGGTTTTGATGTACGACCAGGAGTCGGTGTCCAGGTCTCGGCTGCCGTCGGGTCGGGTGGGGAGGTAGGGGTCCTGTGGGTCGCAGGGAAACAGATGGGTGGTACTTGGGGTCAGCTAGAAGTCGACGGAAAGAGACAAAGAGCTCAGCAGTCAGGCTCACGTTTCCCTTAGGGTTGAGAGGAACAGGCCAGCTGTGTGTCGAGACGATGAAATTTCGGATGTTGGCTGATCGTCCAACCACGTTGAAGTCATCGAACCGTTCTGCACTCACTGCATCAAATAAAGATCCACGTAATCCAACCCCAACTTCTTCAGACTCTCATCCAGACAAGCCTCCGGGTTTCGGTGGTAAGTCGACCACAACTTGGTGGTCACGAACAGCTCTTTCCTGTCGATCCCAGACTTCTTGATTCCCTGGCCAACTTCCTCCTCGTTCTTGTACATGAAGGCTCCATCGACGTGACGGTAGCCGCATTTGATGGCGGCCTCGACGGCTTGGGCGACTTCACCGGGACCGGCTAGAAAGTCGAGGAGTCGATCAGCTAGAGAAATGAGTTTCGAGTCGTTATGGACAATGTGCTTACACTGCCATGATCCCAGAGCGACGGCGGGGACTATTGCAGAATCAAAGGCATGTCAGGCGGCTGCATCAAGGTCGATCAGGACGTAAAATGACGCACTGGTAGCGCCAGTGTTGAGCTTGAATTCAGTCTGAACCATTGCGATTGTCTTTTCTATTTGCTTTTCAGAGAATCAGAGAGGTATTTCTAGGTCAAAAGGTTGTACGGATGCTGCGCAGATAGAAGGTTGTCGCAGGACGTGATTGACCTCATCTGATCTGTCGATATATACCAGCTAGCTAGCTGCTCGCTCCTTGTTATAGCTGGTCGTTGGCGTCCGGAACGATCTCGGCTAAACCGGACCGGTGCATGCCGTCGCCAAGCGATAATATTCCCCGCGACATCATCATCCCGCATCCCGCCATCCTCAAACTACAGAGTTCACTTTGAATTATGATCGATGTGGTATACAAATGCAAAGTAGAGTCCTACATACATCACGCATATCGCGCATACAACTTTGAAATATCCTATGCAAAGTGACATGCCATTCCGAAAAGAAAGTCCCGAAACCAGATTACGAGCAGAACATGGCCTCGGTCAACCTCTTCTCGTCCGAATCCGAAATCTGCTCGGCCGCAACCACCACCCCTCCAAGCGTATGCATCGTCGGCGAGACGCTCATCCGTTTCTGAGTGGGTGATCGGGATGTCCTCGAGAACGAGGCGGATTGAGGGATAGATAGCTGTTCATCAAGGTTGAGAGGAACGGACACCAAGTGGTTCAGAGGCGACGCGCATGGAAACAAGGGGATTAGCCGTCGAAAGCCGGAAGAGGGGTTCACTTGTCAAACTCGAAAAAGGCTTCAACTCACCTTGTTCAAACCGTACACGCTCTGCCTGATCTGTCTACTCCCGTTCCTGCCCAAAATTTGCGATCCAGAGCTGGTCGACGTGGGATACTGTTGATGCTGTTGTTGCTGCTGATATTGTTGTGGACGCTGCTGCTGCTGTTGTTGGTGGTGATATGGCTGACGTTGATATTGTTGTCGGAACTGCTGATGCTGTTGTTGCGGTTGCCCGTGTTGACCGGCACCGCCATGGACCGGTGATCGCTCTCTCCCCACCCTCGAAGGAGATACGCTCGTGTTCCCCCTTGAACTGGAAGTCGAGTTCGGGCTACCTGCATCTGTAGGAGAGGTGGTGTCTACGACTGAACGCTCCTGGGTTGGTGCCGAATTCGTAGGGTCTTGCACGTCCTGAATCAATTCGAGCGGCTTGGCGTTCGCCGTGCTGGCATCCTCTTTCTTCTCCTCCCTCTCAACCTCTTCTTCGTCCTCCTCCTCGATCCTGTCGGTAGACAACACTCTCACAACGTCTGTTGTCTCCGAGTTGTTGATGGGCGTGACGAGTTGTTCCCCCTCCACCGCCGCCTCGCTCCCTTCCTCCTCGTCGCGACCCTCCCCCGCTTTGTCGGTGAGGACAAGCGAAGGAACCCCCTCCGACTCTTTAGAAGTCGTCCGGTCGAGCGGTTCCACAGAGGTCGAGCTGACATCGAATAATGGCAATGGAGGAGGCAAGGACGCGGCGGGTTCCAGCGGCAAAGCAGGTTCGAAAGACGAGATTTCTCCAACCTCAGGAGAAGCAGGGAGCGGAATGTTGACTGGGTCGACCTCTTCCGCTTCCTGCCCTTTTTTCTCTCCTTCGTGGTCGCCCTGTGGGGTAGACGATACATCCACATTCGCCGGCTCAAGCGGGGCAGAATTGTCCGGTTCCACCTTTGATGGAGGCATGACAACGGGCTCGTCTTGAGTAGAGACCTCGTCGTGCGCAACCCTCTCTTTAGATCCTGCTGAGCTAGACCTCCCACTCGACAATCCTGCAATCACCGCTACATCTGGTCGAGATGCAGGTGCAGAGGCTGGAACCGTACTCTTCTCGCTCCGGACCGAAGCCGGGGTAGAGTTGCTCCTCTTAAACTGTAGAAAGAACGCCCGGAGACCTTTTGCAGGTGCACTGTTGTTTGACGTTGGTGAAAATGCTGCTGTCGACTGTATCGTTCTCGGTACAGCAGGAGGAGTGGGAATAGCGGTCGTGCTCAGACTGGACTTGGGTATCGGCCGGACACCTGAAGCCGATCCGGTGTCTCTCGAGCTGATCGATCCGCTCGAAATAGGAGATGCGACGCTGGACGATCTTTGAGCCTCTTTGCGAAGATTCGTCAGGCTTCGAGTCCATCCGCCGCCGAACCTTCCCTTTCGAGGAGGTTCTAGGCGAGACTTCTGGGGAGAGTTGGGTGCGGAGGTGATGCTACTCATTATGATGGATGGTGAGGGGTATGTCGTGTGCAACCGAAAATGGTGATATATGATCCTGGTATCGGGGTATGCAAGTTGTCCTGTGGCCTGTGGTATATTATGTTAATGCGATTGGGAACGATGGAAGGGGACCCCAGAATGTTTGATGGGCCGTCCAACTATTATAGAGCCAGTCCCCTAGCTAAATCAATGAGAAAGGCCTTGGCACGAGGTCGTCAGCTGACGGTTCGTACCAATGATCAAGGGGTGGCTCACTGATGGAAGAGTTTCAACGGATAGAAGGTTCGATTATGGATGAACGAAACACGACAACCGCAAGGGATACGAATGATGTTGTTTGATCTCCATCATGAGGATGATTCGATAGACCGTCGTCCTCGTTCAGTCGTAGTTTTCGTCAAGCTTCAAGCTAGTTGTTGTCATTTCGCCTGGCCCGCCTGACCGGCAATCCCGACTCAGGGGCGTATCGATCGATTGAGACCGCTCGTGCGACCTACCCCTCGAGGTAGAAAGTCAGTCATCCAATTTCGCCCCTGGACCCATGCGTCGGAGAATACGAGGAGGCGGGTCGAGGAGGGGAGGGCACATGATCGAACTTGATCCCGTCCAAATTCAAAACAAAGCGCCTCGCGAAGGAACGACGCTAGAAACAGAACCTCTGAACAGGCAGGGGGTCCCCGCGCGATCGAAACAAGCCACTAGCGAATCGCCGGGAAAAATACCGAGGAGGGACGGGTAAGCGCGATGATGCGCTTCCCACGCCGCGGGTCGGGAGGTGAAGCGTTTCAGGTGGATAAAGGAGGTCCTACCGAATTAAAGCTCAATTCAACTCTAACTTCCGAGAACCATACCCGTCGCCGTACATATATCCTGCGAGGTGGTAGTGCTGACGATGTTAACAAGACGTTTCGACAAGCTGTGACAGACAGCCTTGCATAGTCTAAGCCGAATGATGAAACGCCACCGACGATACGATTCCGCTCACTCCCTCCCTACATCGGTTCGTTCGGCTACCTCGCTCCTGTCTACGCTACTTCCTGATGTCACAGTTGAAGGCCCGTCAGGAGGTACAGAATACCTTCATAGGTCCGATTTGTTAGAGCGATTACAAGAGGACCTGCCCAAAGGTCAGCGATGCGATGTCTCCCGTCACGCTTAGACCAGAATATGAAATCTGACGCGCACATGCTATGCCAATCTGCCTCCCCATAGCCCGAGATGAACTGAGAAGATGGCAGACATCCGAGCACAGATCTGGATACAACAGCTTCGGTGCCTTCGTCGTTTGCGCCAACCAGTTGAACACCAGTGATGGCACAACCAGGCTGTGCGCTAGTTGCCAAACAAATGCCGCGAAAGCACAGAAAGAGGGCAAACCATACCAACATTACTCAAGCAGGTGCGGGACTTTAGATACATATCGTTCCTTGGTACAGGATCTAGGGGCATTCTGCGATCTAGTTGCCCAGATCTACAGGGACGCCGCAACTTGTCTAAGACGTGCATTCGAAGCGGAAACTCCCGAAGATGAGGAACACGAGATCCCCTGGACATGTACGCACGACACTGTACAGCCGGATGATGCAGAGCCATGCTGTTGTCCGACATGCGCTATTAAATTCGTCGAAGAGGCCAAAGCATTATCGTCAGACAGGATGCCCAGCATGCAGAGCGTGAAGAACGCATACACACTGGAGCGGGAAGGCTCGTTGCAAAGTCAGACGGAGACTACATACCTTCGGTCTATCTTCACCGTACCGGACAATCCGGCAGATCTAAAGCGGACCACAACCTTGAATCGTTGGAACTCTGATAGGAGCGGCTGGGACTACTGTGCCAAATCTCAAATGCACCCCAGTCAGATCGTATATGATCTATCCGCTGCAGCTGGCAGCATCATGACAATTCAGGAAACGGTAACGGACTTGCATGAAATCTTAAATGCCAAGATAAGGGATTCCAATGCCGATGGAGAATCCATCACCAGCCATCCCGAGTCTTTGACCGTCTATAGGACAGGTGTTGTCGCCCTGCCAAAGAGATATAAGCACATTCGCAGCAGGAGCGATGGGTCGTACCTCAGCATCACGTCGGTCCTCTCTCAGAATCAGAGCGAGACTACTCGTGCATTAGGCCGACGTAGACGTAGACTATCAAACTCGTGTAAAGAAGCAGCCTCAGAATTGGTGTCTGCGATCGGAAGCTTCCGCTCTGACCAAACGGCTCAGAGTCGTTAAAGTCACGATTTTCATACATAGATCGCTGCAGTCTGCCGGGAGATCGCCCCTTCTCAGCGAATGATGTACTAGATACAGTTCTCACAGAATGAATGAGGTTGAATAGAAGTCTCGAGCGAATGGCAGCCGGAGTGTCGGCCTGATCAGTTTCCTTACGCAGGCTTTGTCAAAGCCAAGAGAATTCATCTTGCGATCAGAGGCCTGATATGCCGGGAATCTACCATTAGTTCGCCGATGTCCCAAAGCAGGGTAAGAATGCCGCAGACACGATATCAAATGGTCGACGCGATCGCATTCGACTAGAATCAATATTACCAGAAGCGGAGCTCAAGCACACCACTTGATCTCAACGTGGTCCTTCGTAGAGCATTCGGATGTGTTTGGTACGATATCCAATCTCCGAGCACAACGGAAGCGCTTGCTCGATCCTGAAAGACATCCCTGAAATAGGCTTGTAAAGGACAGCAAGCTTTGTGTTAAGATCGGCACTAGACGCGTGGGGTTTAACGTCCGACTGAGAAGTCTAAATGATCCACCTAGCAGATAAGATGTTATCAGCCCAGAGCTTAAAACCTAGCGAGCAACCTTTCACCTTCAGCGGAGTAGACTTATGGTCTGTTGCAGCATGTAACTGCTCCCGAACGGTGGCTGTTATGCCTCATGACCCACGATGAGGGAATCAAAGGAGTCAGCGGCGTGCCAAGATACTGTGACGGTCCCGAATACATATATGACAGAGGACGATTCTCATACAATCGATAGTTGCTTTATTTCCGATCGAGAAGTCAACCCCTAGAATACCGATACCATGGCTTCAAGCAAAGACAACCAAGAGATTCCTTCAATAAAATTGCAGCGTGAAGCAGATGGATTTAGCGGTAAGTTGTCTTTTGTTCCTCTGCCCGACGAATCGATCCTCATGTGACGATCTCAAGATTGGCATCGTGATTACACCGTTCAAGCCGGGGTAGAGTCTCACTCAGTTCGAGATGCTGTGAGCAGGTGCAGGAACGTCCTTACTACGGTCCGGCAATCACTCGGTTGTTCCGACCCAGAGAGTGACCCCGACATCCTGGAGACCGCAAACGAGGTATTTACCAGGGTAGGTAGCGTCTTAGCGAGTTTCGACACAAACGATCTTGTCTTCACGACTACAGCGGATGATGAAGAAAGGGTCAAAGCTTTGAAGACCGCATATACGCGAGTACTAGAAGAGTGTGAAGAGGCGCAAACCCGCCTGAAGGGTAAGTCTGTTCGTTTCTACTCTTCAATAAGCGATTACGATCGTCTATACAACGTCCACGCATTCTTTAGGAAAGAAAAAGGTTGTTTCCGACAGAAGACGGGGCAGGACCGGTGCGCTGTACGCGATGGCGGTAGCGCTTCAAGGCGAGTCGCACAGACACAGATCTAGGCGACGAAGCCAGTCGAAAGCAAGAAACAGTCAATCATTGTCCCAGGACCCTGATCAGGTTGCAATAGCGCCGCAAAGCCCAACTAGCTCAGCTCGCCCGAGACAGCATGGGAAATCGAGTGGACCGAGCAGTCCTGTCAAGGCGAAGAAACGTGGGGACCAGCTTGTACTTGTGCGTAAGAAGTGAATCGCCCTTACGGGTTCTCCAACTTCACTTCGATGGACGATCAATAAAATGATATCAATAATACAGCATGACTCCCCTGCCGCTTCGAAAGGCCCTCTGCCACGAAGCTGAAGTTTCAGGCTAGCGCCCGCGTTATTCTTTATCTTGTCGAGGCGGCCCTGCAGTTGATGTTTCAGTCGACCGACAACAATGCCAACTGTATTGACAAGTGAATGTGTACATGTTAAATGATAATCCAACGATGATTAAGGGAGCCGCTCTGACCAATGTTCGACGAGAGCTTGTCATCATCAAGAAACAATCTCGAGTGTAAAATGGGGAGTTGATTGATGATTTCAGCTTATCGGTTTCCCTTTCTTGCATGACAAACTAGGCCGGGATCCCCCTAAGGCACGAGACGATAATCGATGTTTCATGAGATCACTTCCCATCGGATCGATTTCGATCGAAGCGGACTTCGAGCTCACCATCGGTATGCCTGGGCGGTTCACTGATATCTGGACAAATCGCGCGCGAAGACTAACTATTCGTATCAAAGCAAGCCCTTATCTGAGGGAAAGAGGCCGGTTGGCAGAGTAAATCGTCTTGTGATCGTGCAATCACGCTGAGTTCGGTCAGAATCGTCTATGATTTTCACAAAGGCTGTTTTAGCCGATAGATTATCACCACCACATGGCACGACGACCGGCGAAAATTGGTGTAATCAAAGCTATATCAAAGTATAATTACGGCATCATTGCTTGGACTCGTCTCGAACAGTGGCTCGTATGCCTTGAGACCCGCAGTGCCATAATCAAAGGAGTAACATTAGTCGTGGCTGGTAGACTGATCAGCTCCAAGATATATAGTCAGACCCACCGCGAGGTAATGGCTAGAATCGATCAGGTTCGTTATTCATATCCTCGTTGATCGTTGAAAAACATAGCTCGTACATCCAAGATGGAACCCAATCTTCAGACTAGCATGGTTGAATCTTCGGTCGCAAGATTGACCGAAATAGCAACCTCACTAACCGGTAGGCATCATTCCCTTTCCTCTCGGTCACTCTCGAGATACGTCAGAAATTCGATGTAACTATCTTGGGTTTCTAGATACCAGTCACAACAGTATTGAATCCCTCACGGACGCTCTCGAATACGTAAGGAATACTCTCGCCATGGTGGCGAGCATTACTCGCGGCAAGACGGACTCGGACACTATGGAGGCTTCTAAGGAGATACTCAAGCTGGTGAAAGGTAGTCTTCCTTCTGGTTCTGGTCGATCTTCCCAGAGCAGCTCCAAAGCTTCCAACGGGTTCTCCAACGAAGACCTGGAGACGCTGCAAACCAAGTACGCTGAAGTCCGCCAGGTGTACGAAAAGCATCGTGGGCCCAAGACCGCAGGTATGAGCATACTCGCTTTGAACCACTCCTGTATGCTATGATTGATTGAACTGCTCGATGATCATTGATCCTAGTCACGCCCCAAAAAAAGAGAATGACGACCTATGGTGAAGGTCGGGAGGGCCCACCCGTGAGCCTTGCCGAGTTCGTCGGGAATTCTTCGTCTCCAAGTGCCAAGCGAGAGGGAAAAAACAAGCACCGCCGCCCTTCGAAGCTACGCACTTTCTTCCGGGGCGGGGCGAAGGGTTCTCCTTTCGGTTCCCCTGTCAAGGCCGAGGCAGGCTCGTCGGACCCTCAAGCGAGTCCTACCCAGCTCATTCTCACCAGGAAAGATGGTCAGCAGAAGGTCAGACGGCGTCCCACCCAATGATGGAACTCGTAGGTTTCTCATGAATCGCAATGCGTTCGTCCCATCTCGAATGTACTCTCCCGCACTCCAGTGGGTATGCTCAGCATGTAACGAGTGAAATGCCTGCAGACCATGAACTGCGTCGCTGGAGTTTCATGTTAGCATTTTTTCGATCGACGTGTGCTTCGGCGATGCAATCCGCTTCGAAGCATCAGGGGTATTGAGACTCTGCCAAAGTCCTGTATGTTGCCGCGACATTAGTGGTTCTCGAGCGTCGTGAATGGTCAATACTGTATGACCGTAGGTGTCGATCAAAGTTCAGGCGCAGGTTTGATAGCAAGTTTGGCGTTTCGGATACGGGGACTCCTTGACCTGAGACTCGACGTTGCCCGCGTCGACCCCGGGAGCCGACGGGGGGCCGGGGCGGACGTCGTTTGCTAGGGAAGGATACGTCATATGTCAGCCGGGGAGGAGGTACAAGGGTAGACTTTTGGCCTCGTTTGCCGTGCTTATGACTTGGTATAACTCTGATCTTCTCATCTCTCACTATCACTACTTGTTCATTGGCGGCCTAGCTACCACCAAATCTATTCCTTAGCAATCCCCATTCGAATCGATCGCCATGGGTCTTCTTTCGGGGGCGACCGACGCTATCCGTCGACGAGGATCCGATGCCAGTCATACCAGCGGTCCACCTGGTAGTCCCGACCGAGGACAAGCTCCGGATGGTAAACCAGACGATGTCGAGATCTTGGACAAGGAAGAAGGGAGCGTCTTGTCGGCCATGATCAGTCAACGTGCGTAGCATAGACGCTTTTCGCTTAGACCGGGTGACCTTTCGCATATTACGCCGCTGAGCTGACCTCGCCTCCGCTTCTATCATGTTGTGACTTTGACCTTGATAGTGAGGATCGGGATGGACCTCTCAAAGATCACCTTTCCGACTTTCGTTCTCGAGCCTCGATCCATGCTGGAACGTATCACCGACTTTATGGCTCACCCAGAACTCATGTTCAAGTACGTACCATAACCCGTCGGACAATGGTCATCTCGAACAGGATCTTTCGCAATCATGCTGACTGATTTGCTTCTCCCGTTTCACCCGTCTTCGTGTATAGAGCTGGACAAATTCAGGATCCTAAACAGAGGCTGCTTCAAGTGACAGCATTGATCTTGGCCGGATGGCATATCAAGCCGAAAGGGTAAGCCGCACATCGCCGAAACTCGTACCATTCCTTACCGGCCGAACTGACATCCTGGCTTTCCGTATATCACTTGATCAGTGTCAAGAAACCGTAAGCTTCCCTCCTCCTGTCCTGACTCACGATTGAAATGCCTCGTGCTGAAAGAAGTCATCACTTGCGGTCTTATCAGGTACAACCCCGTCCTCGGCGAATTCTTCCGATGTACCTACACCTACGAAGACGGCTCGGAAGGGTTCTTTATCGCTGAACAGGTCTCTCATCATCCCGTAAGCGATCTCTCATCTATGATCTGGACATCAGAAAAAGCACGATAGCTGATAGGAAACGGAACGAAATTGGTTTTCTTTGGGTTCGATATAGCCTATTTCGGCGTTCTTCTATACTTCGCCGCAGAATGGGGTTGTTGTTACTGGAGAACTGAAACCCAAGGTCCGTTCAAGCTAAATTATGATGATACATTCTTCTCTTTAACTTACCCCCGACTCGCTCCTTGCTTGATAGTCTAAATTCTTGGGCAATTCAGTGGCGACGATCATGGAGGGTGAGAACCGGGTGAGGCTGTTGGACAGGCCAGAGGATGGCGAGTACACCTTGACGGTAAGTCATAAAGTTGAAATTCTCCCATGACTACACTAGCGTACTGAGATTTGACTCGAATCGACGTAGATGCCCAACATGTTCGCCCGAGGAATCCTGTTCGGCAAGATGATGCTCGAACTTGGAGACAGCACCGCTGTCACCTGTCCCGCCACCCATTACTCGTGTGATATCGAATGGAAGACCAAGGGCTGGATCTCTGGAGGATACAACGCTATCGCCGGGCACGTTCGAGGGCCGGAAGGTTCGGCTGGGGAAATTACGGGTCATTGGGATGGATTGATGGAGTTCAAGGATAAGGGTGGGAAGAAGCAGACGTTGTTCGACGCGACGAGGGCGCAGGTCCGGCCGAAGACCGTCTTGCCGGAGGATCAACAGGAGGCGAACGAGAGTCGACGGTGAGTCTCGAATGCTTTTCCAGGAACCGTCTGGTAAGAACGTTCGCTGATTGCCGGATATTCTCCTGTTGGTTGCTAGACAATGGGCAGACTTGACAGCTGCTATCAAGGCATCTGACATGGACGCTGCGACCGAGGCCAAGGCCAAAGTGGAAGACGGACAGCGAGAGATGGCTCGACGACGAGAATCCAGCGGACAAACGCACCAACAGCGATTCTTCCAGCCCGTCGGTGACAAGTGGATGCCCAAGCTGAACCTGGACCAGTAAGTCACGGAGCCTCATTAGAATTCTGGTAACGACATCCACTTACGTGTGATCTACAAAAAGATTGTCGAAAGACCCAGCAGAGTTGCTGCGAGCCGTCAAAGAGTTCATCTTTGCCGACAGCTCGACGGCGCAACAGCCTCCTTCTGCTACCAGCCGTCCAGCGCGATCCAACACTGGTGCTTCACAAGCATCAGGTCTGTCCGCCCAGAACCAACCGATCTCCCCCGTTGATAGCTCCAGGCATGCGACGACCGCTTCTATCGCAAGCCAAGATTCGTTTGCGTCCGCAACCTCTGACCTACGTGAGTCGAGGCCTATCTGCCTACGAATGTTGTATGTGTCAGCTGATGTAGACTATGCCACACTTGCAGCTATCCGAGAGACCGCTCCTGGACCACCCGCCGGCCCGCTCATGACACATCCTCCGACCCAGTACTGATTGACACGAACCACAACAATGCTAGTGCCCTGGATCCGTGTAATTAATGTTATGTATCGCCGATGCTGAGATTTTTACAGCTAGACATCGACTTGTGAATGTAGTGCGCACGAAGCCGCTTGATTAATGTTCGACGATATGCTCTCTGGTACAAAACCGAGTCAAACGAGTGTATGGCTGAAGAGGAATAGCCGCGTTATACATGTTCCGATTCTCAACGTCTCTTCTCTCTTGTCGTTCTGTTTCATCGCAGCTCTCGTAGATCGAGGGTAGATTTGGGTGGCGTGTTGGGCATTCCAAAACGAGACGGTCCGATCAAGCGATCGAGCGAAGACGCGGCAAAGTCAGAGTTGTAAGTCGTCTCAATGAATCCTGGACGATCAGGATCGATGTCGAAGACGGTCCGAGGCTTGGAATTGCTTTCTTTGAGCTGATCATGCAGGTCCTTGGCGAGGCGCTTGTAGTAGTCCCTTTCGCTCTCGACTTGCGTAAGCTGGAAGTTCGCCTAGATCATGTAGAAAGCGTCAGCGATATACTCGTAACGGTGGTCTAGGCAATACTCACCTCCCTGACGTCCAGCTGTAACCCGCGTTCTTTGAGACTGGCCGCCTGACTCTCGAATTGGCGAACTTGGTCCGATCCCGTCTCTTTTGCAGAATCGAGCGACTCTTGCAGCTTTTGCATGGTAACGCTCAGATTCTGCTCGAATTTCTTTCCATGGTCCTGGCGTTATCCGATACGTCAGCACTGATTTTCGGTGTACAGTATTTATCGCGACTCACGAGAGTCTGTCGCTGCTGTTCGAGGATCCGATCGAGATTACCGCGAATGCGAGACTCTTCTGATGTCTTGTCGCCCTTCTTTGGCTGAGACATCTCTGCTACCTGTTTTGGCTTTTCAGTACCGGATCGGTTTCAACATATTCACGTGCAGTATTCACCTTGGTTTGTAAATCGGCGATAAACTTTTGATTTGCCAGCAAGATGCTCTCCAAATGCTCGATTCTACCACGACAGTAGGCCAGATCCGCATTTCTTGCTGCCAGCGATCCTTCGTACATCTGCGCCGTTCTGGCGTTCTCCCCGATTCTCGTGCTCAACTGCTCGACGTGCGACTGCTTTTCTGCTACCGCGCTTTGTGCGGCGTAGACACGGTGTCGTGCCTCCTGCAAGTGTTGTTGCAAGGCGGTGACTTCTTGACGAAGTGATCGAATTTCCTGGTTCGTATGATCGTTCTGATTTTGCCTGGCCGATACGCTGTGCAACATGCTCTCGATCTTGAGCTCCCACTTGGTTGGTGCAGGGTGAGCGCGGCTGTGATAGCGGGATGTTCCGTTCGGTTGCTGCAGCGACATCTCGTTCGGATATGTGAGAGGTGAGCGGCGAGACACCTCTGGAGACATTTCAGGTAGACGTCTTTCGGGTATAACTGCCGACCGGATACCAGGTTGTCTCGTGAAATAGGGAATTGGAGGAGAGACGTGCGAATAGTTGTAAGGAGGTACTGGCGAGACCACTGGCAATGGAACTGTCTCCTTTCTGACAGAGGCATCGACTGTCTCCTGCGACTCGCTCTCCACGTCGCTGAGATCGTCTAACGGGATGATAACTTTTTCCAGCGGTAGAGATCCCAGACTTGATCTGGACCGGTGGACCGGGTTGGCCGTTGTACCGGCGACTTGATGGACTTCGGAAGATGGATAGGTACTGGGTCTTCCCGAATAGATCGTTTGACTTTCTCCTGATCTAACTCTAGCATGTACACCTAGAGGGGCGTCGAAGCTCTATCATAGCAGACTAAGGTCAATACATATAGCCCCTCATAAGCGGGAAATGGACTGTACCTCGAGCACATCTGCCGGAATCTTCACCGTATCGCTTGGCTTCAAGTCCTCCGGTGGGGTCACGGCAGCAGTTGCAAGAGAATGCAATCCAAGTATACTGTCTTCCAAATTCTGGGTGTTATTACCCTCCTGGATCTGCAGATTACCAGGATCGGATGACGCGTCCTCGACCTGTTGCTGCTGCTGCTGCTGCTGCCGTTGCACAAAATCAGCCTTCTACCTACGTCACCGTGGGCACTTGACGGTACCTACTTGACTCTCCGCCAATACGGCCATCTTGATCAAAGGAGATGGCACATGATCGCTGCCCGCCAGACTAGGCAATGGCGAACTCTTTGGTGTGGGCAAGCGCACGACGATCTTCTTTTCGCTGCGTGCCGAGCGCGTCGATCCCGTCTCATTCGCATCCATGTTCTTCGCGCTCGAAGCATCTTCCTCATCAATCGGGACCGTATCCCAGATCCCATCGAAGCTAGTCCCTCTGATGATCGTCGCCGAGTCCTCATCTGGCTGCGCTTCGTACCCAGACATGCCGCTCGCGACGGATCCTTCCGCTTGCTGTTTCGTGACTTTCGTTTCGTCATCTCGCGCGAGTTTCCTCCCGCTTTCAACGAGCCTCCTCTGACCGGGTCGCGGCAAAGCGACGACGACTGGGATACCGTTCTGATCAGATACAGGGGGAGCCTTGGTCGCTCCTCTTCCTTTTCTCGAAGGAGCCCGGCTAGGAGCCTCGCTCGCGATGCTCTTCTCTTCCCAATCCTTAGAGTCCGCCGTCGGCTCGTTCGCTTGAGATCGTTTCCAATCAGCAACATAATCCGCCCGATCTTGCTTATGCCCGACTCGTTTCAACTGTTGTGCGCTTACTTCCTGGACAGCAGGTCGAAGTTCGTTGACAGCCATGGTCAACAGTCGAGTATGAGCGGAGAACCCTGGTCCAGGTGCTTGCTGTGACTGATTCAACTCGGCAGGGCTGGAGGACGGTGGAGTGTCGTCGATCCTCTCGGTCGGCTCGACGGCGATTGACGCGTTGGCGTCCTCCCCGTCTAGCAATGTATCGGTCTGTCGAGGTGTATCCTCCTCTGGCTGAACAGACTGTCCGATATTTTCTTTTTGTTGAGCTGGAGAAGCTTGCGGTCCTTCCCCCAACCCACTTTCCCGGACTTCGCCCTTACTTCCCCTTCTCCCGCCTCTGCCCGATCCAACTCTTTTCGGACCTCTCGCCCTGCTTCCCCATCCAGAATCCGATATCCTCCTCGCGACGTCGCCTTGTAACCTATGCTGCGAAGGTGGAACCCCGTGTCCCAGCTGCAAATGCCCAGGGTGTTCCGTCTCGAGGCTCTGCGCGGCGAGGCTAGCCGGTCCGAATAGCTTGGAATTGGATTCCATCGGACCTCTCCCGGACTGTTCGTCAGCCGGTCCTAGGACACCCCATATTCCGGCTGATTCCTCGATCTTCTTCTCTTCTCCTGCAGCGACCTCACCATCTTCATCGCGTTTCTTCGTTTCCGCCTTGGCCTCTCTTGCCGCTGCAGGTCCAGCTCCAGCTCCAGCTCCTAACCCAGCGTCCCCCTGCACCTTCTCTTTCGCCTTGACGAAAGCGGGTTTCTCTTCATCCTCCAAATTCTCTATCTTGCTCCTGATAACCGCCTTGTATTCTTCTCCCCTCCTGTGCGCTCCGTTCCCGTGGTAAGGCTGACGAGATCGGGAGTTGTAAGGGTTGCGAGCGAGAGGAGAAGCGTTCGACCAGGATTGTGGTGGTTGTGAGATGGATGAAGGGGGTTGTGGGGATTCTGACGCGTTCCCGATCAGAGTATCGGTTCGCCAAAGGTCGTCTGGGTTCTCCGTTTTAGTAGGTAGGTTGATGTGTCCATTTCGAGGTGTCCTTCCGTCTTCTTGTTCCTGGTCGGACCTCTCCGAACCCTGGGAGTCCTCGGATTGGTTTTGCAAAGAAGTGATAGGCTTTTCCAGCGCGGTCGACATGGTCGGTTCGACGTACTCCTCTCCTTTCCCCCTGTCACCTGTAGATCCTCTGGCAGATCCAGAGGTAGAGACAGCTTCGTCCACAATCTCGCCCTCTCCCCAACCTCCCCCACCGCCGCGCTGACTGCCTTGCCTTCCGAGCTCGACAGCGTGTAACACCCCCGCCATCTCGCTCCTCGGCCTCCCTTCTCCCGCATAACCTTTCCTGGAATCGCTGAACTGTCTCCCTCCCCCTCTTCCTCCAGCCCGACCATGCCCTCGACCCGGTTGAGAGCCGTAGAAGGAACCCCGTCCTCCGCTTCCCCATCCACCCGATTGTCGGTCTCCACTTCCACGCATATCGCTACCACCGCCAACTCCTTGATAGCCTGACATTCCCGGTGCAGATCCTAGCCCTGGACCTGGTCCTCCCGAGAATCCAGAGGAAGAAGATCCAGAGACGTGTCTTTGGAATCCCTCTCGTTTCAAGTCCGAGTTGGAATCTGGATTCAGCGGCAACGAATGACGAGTTGGATGGTCAAAGGGCTGCGGATTGTGAGGTGCATGAGGGTACTGGTTCTGATTCTGATACTGGTGCTGGTGTGGCTGGGAGACGCGACGTTGGTGAGGATCGAATTCCGACCTGTCGACCGTGTTGGCCTCGGCTCCCCAGCCTCTCATTGTCACCAGGTCTCCGATTGCTAAAGCGTGAGCTGGCCGAGGTTGGCTAGAGTTGCCTGGCGAGTGGGTTCGCGAGATGGCGTATCTTGAACGGAGTCTTGAGAAATGTTGAGAGAATGAAAGGGATGGGAGACGAGAGTGTCTTTTTCAAGGGGGACGAGAGATCCGAAGAGGGGAATGTTTGAAGAAGTATAAGAGGAATTCCGAGAGGCGCGGCGAGGTGACGAGTTGTCTTTTACGTGGATCAGGAGACTCGCAACGTGTTTTGATGAATCCGATGACTCGAGATTGATCAGAATGATGGATCACGATCGAGCAACGACAAGGATTGATGGCATCAATCAGTCGACGGCATGATAGGCGCATGAGGGGAACAAAAGAGAAGACGCGCGCGTTTCATCAGCGATCAACGGTACGCGACGCAGCGACTCGTTCATGGCCACGGAACCAGGATCCGCTCTTCCAAAGTTTCACAACGGACTCGAACAGCCTGAACTACCTCATTCCCCATGTCGTCCTTCGTATCATCCCTCCTGCCACTTGCCGTTCCACGATTGCGCTTCTGTCTCCATCCAGCTGAACCGCAATGGAGATCCGTCATAACCTCGTCTAGTTCCAAAGATCTTCCCATTTCCGCCAATAGAGCAGCAATTCGCGCTGGGAAATTTGAGCTTGTAGTAGAGAGACTTCGACCGTCATCAGTTCAGCACGTACATATAGCTTCTGCATTAAACTCCACCAAGATTTACCAGCGAGTCCTTCGATCAACAGGATACGCGAAACCGCGAGTGACTATGTGCTTGCTCTCGAAGCTATCCAAATAGGCGCACAGGTTTCCATGATACGAACCGCTGAATTCATTGTTGATCAGAATACTACACACGGATTCTCTTAACCGGGGTAGCCATTCCAGGCTGCCGTTTCCTTACTGTGATACGAGGGCCTGAGGTGATCATATCTCTGTACAGACATCTAGATCCGGTCAATATCGTTCCTGAAAGCTGCCGACGGCTGACTCACTCGCAAGCATTGCAGTGATTCCACACACTCCATATCAGTCGCAGGTGCTTTAGTCGCTCTCAATTAGGACCTCGATATCAGGTCATACATGGAACACGTCTCGACGAAACTTGTGCCATCTATGCGGTCTCACCGGAATGCGATACAAGCAATACTACAACACCTACACCGATACTTCCGATCCCCCTACTCGGGGAACGCCCTGATCTCCTCCAACGTAAACCCGGCCTCCCTCATCCGTTTCCACCCGAGATCCTCGACCTCTTCGTCCAGATGTCTGAACAAGACCTCTCGCCACGAATCCATATTCCCCCGGAGTTCTTCGGGAGAATAGGTCGATGGGTCCGAGGCGTATTTGAGCAGCAGGGAGGCGTACGTCTCGATACCTATTTCATCCGAAACGCGTGGACAGATATCAGCTCGGGATTCCCGAATCAATTCGCGGGCTGGAGGATAAACGGGAGCGAGACAAGTACTGACCATCGTGGATAGCTTTGTGGCTCTTCAAATGCTCCCCACTCTCCCTTGCACCCGCTTTGAACTGGGGCATCCGTTTAGCCAGTAATGGGAAAAAGTAGGCTTCTTCCTATCGAATTCGAATTTTAATCAAGTAGCAGCGCGTCAGCTCGGCCGTGAAAGCGCCAGGATGTTCGGAAATGAGGACGATGAACTTACTATTCGGTGATGCATGTCGAGGCTCCTGTATAGTCCCTGAGATTCTTGCAAGAACCGTCTTAGGGAAGGCCCGCCTTTAGGGTACTTGTCGGCGTTCTATAGATCAACCGAGTCATATACAACAATGTCAGATCACGTAAGTTGATGTAGACCAGCAAAATTCAAGAGGATGTGAGGAGAAACGATAACTCACCTGATAAATGGCATGGAAGTTGTGCTTGAAGTGATTATGATACCTCTCCATCATATCCGCCAGGTGATTCCATTCCTTCTTCTCCCGGTCCGTCAATTCGGCATCGGTCTTTGCACTACTCGCAACGACTGGTTCTCGAGTCCGGCCCATGTTGGCAAGTGCGTGTGAGCTCGTAGAAAAGGAGGAAGCGGCGTTGAAGTTGAAAAAAGCTCTGGTCGTGTTGTTATTGAAGTAGCTAGGTCGGACTAGAGCAGGTAGGAAGGCCAAGGGTCGCATAAAACGATCCACCGATAAGACCGAGCTAACGATGAGCGCCAAAATGAAAGAGATCGATCTTATGTTGAAGAGCGAGCGCATACGATAACGAGAAAATGCATTTGAGCGTCCGAGGGAATGTTACGATCGAGGTGATTGAATGGGGTGTCGACATTCGCGAGGTCGATGATTGGGGAGGCAAAACGGAATTGACCGAGCTCGGTCTTCATGGTTCCAAAGTGTGTGGGAGCGATCAGTCAGCCATGTCACGTGATGTGCTGACGTGAGGATTGATGACGAGAAGCAAAGTTATCATCCGTTCGAAGCAACAGGAAGCGCGTTTGCGCTTGTCACGTTGATCTCGGGAAGTTCGGACCGGAGCGGTTAACCACGGAACCTCTAGAGCAGAGCAGCACTTGCTATTTAGCAATAGCAGACGACGGTTGATGATATATAATAAAAGAGAACTCTGATCTCTCAGCGTAATCTTTGCGTTTCCATCGTCCTGCACGAGCCAGAAATCAGTCACATAGTCTTTGATCGGCAGAAGTAACACCGCACAAATGTCTTCTGGAAACGATTATATATCCTCGCTCTTTGGCCTGCAAAGCAAGATGGCCCTGGTTACCGGGGGTGAGTTGCGGGCTTCATCTCCTGATCATATCACGCTGCGAGTAAAGCCTGATCTGTCATGTCTGCTATCTCTAGGCACCCGAGGAATCGGTCAGACTATGGTCCTGGCCCTGGCTCAGGCCGGAGCCGACATCATCCTCGTCCAGCGAGCCACTTCCACTCCCAACTACGAGACCCGCGATAAAGTCACCGCGCTCGGTCGTAAAGTCCACATCGTCGAGTGCGACCTCGCCGACAAGGCGCAGGTCAAAGGACTGTGCAAGAAGGTCACCGGAAGCGAGGGAGAGGGCGGGATGGGCTTGGTCGTAGACATCGTCGTCAACTGTGGTGGTATTCAGCGACGGACGCCGGCGGAGAACTTCCCGGACGAGGATTGGGAAGAGGTGAGAGATCCCGCTCTTTACACCCTCTTATTTCCGCAATATTGATTGATCTCCATTTTGGCCCTACATAGGTCCTTCAAGTCAACCTCTCGACGGTTTTCACGATCTCTCGAGACTTTGGCAAACACATGCTCACCACCCGAGGCGGTGTCTCGGGTGAGGAAGTACCTTCCCAAGCCAGTTCGGCGGATTACGGTGGACGAGGCAGGGGGAAGATCATCAACGTCGCCAGTCTGGTTAGCTACCAGGGTCAGTGAAGAGGAAGATAGGTTTAGGCTGGAGCTGCAGGGCTGACAGTCAATGATGCATGATGGCAGGTGGTTTGACGGTACCTGCATACGCTGCTGCCAAACACGGTGTTTGCGGAATCGTAAGTCCATCTCTCGAGACCAAGTTTCGACCGTCAATTCGCTAACCATTTTTTTTCTGATATCATGGTAGATCAAGGCCTTGTCCAACGAGTGGGCGTCCAAGGGGATCAACGTCACCGGCATCGCTCCCGGTTACATCGCTACCGATATGAACGAGGCTCTGATCGCGAACCCTACCCGATCAAGACAGATCATGGAGCGCATCCCGGCTCAACGATGGGGTGCGCCCAGCGACTTTGAGGGAGCCGTGGTCTTCCTTGCTAGTCGGGCGAGCGACTATGTTAGCGGGGAGACGCTTGTCGTTGACGGTGGCTGGATGGGACGATGAGGGAGAGGCTTGGACAGTAAGGGCTCCATGCCATCTGGTTGTACATTTAGGGATGACTACTGCGAATACATATACATCAACATCAATCCGAGTCCTGCGTGGTCGACAAACACTCGGTAGAGGCCTCCCGCTGCCTGTCTTTTTCGAAATTAACAGCCTCAGCCAAATCATCGGCGTTCAACCAGTCACCCCCGATCTCCTTCTGATAGTGGAGTGCGGCATCGAACAACTGGGCCGTTCCGATACCCCACCATCTGGTCTGGATACCCATGTCGTGGGCGAGCCTCGCTGCGGTCCTGTAACCTGTCTTCAAGCTTTCCGTCAGCCCGAGCGTCAAGACCTTGTCAATCGAATCCGATGCGGTCGGCGAGATAGAGTTGTGCCAATAGATCGGGGTCGTATCGTCCGAGTTCCCATTCCAAACAGAATTGGTTATGTTCGGGATTGGCTCGTCGATGCTCATCAGGGGTCCATCCTTGAAGATGAAACGCGGATTCATGGGGATGACTTTGCCGTAAGGCGTATTGCCAGTCCCGATGACCGTCAAGGGTTTGATATCGACGTATCCGTCGGTCAGGTCGGTGGCGCCTTCTTTCCGTCTGAACGAAGTCAACAAACCGGCATCAAATAGCGGTTGGAATTCTTTAACGAGCGCCTCCCATATCTTGTCGGTATTCTCTTTCTGCGATATAAAAGGTGGCGTGTTAGCGGACTGCGTGATAGATTAGCTGGATAAAGAGAAGAAGCGCTGCTTACCAGGTCGATGGTCAACAACAAAGTCTCCCCTGGTGCTCCCTTGTCAGTGAATATACCGTTCCACCCATGTTGTCCTTGCGGCTTCGGTCGGCTAGTAGTCTCGTTGAGTATCGACATGATCGGATCCAGGTAGACTTTCTTGAACGTCCGTCGGGGATCAAGATCGTTGAGATCGTGTCCGATCAACAAGGTTTGATCTGCGGGTATCTCTTCCGGCGCACAGCTAGAAGTATTGATACCTTTGCCGTCCTCGTACAGCCAGAGATCGATCTCTATCGATGCGACGGTGTTGTTATAAGCCGTCCACTGCGAGTAGCAACAGCTGTGTCAGTTTGTACTCCGCATGTTTCCATTAGTGACCGAGCATGATGCTCACGAAGGGGCTGTCCTGGTCTTCGTCGTTATGACTATTGATATAGTTAACCCTTTGATCTCGAGGCTGTCCCCAGAGTCCTCCCTTGGCAAGCTCTTGCGTTAACTGAGATTGTCCAGTACAGTTCTGCTTCTCATCGTCCCCGAAAAGCCCTCGCTCCTGGACGCCGTCTTTTACGCCATCGTGGTCGCGGGTGTTAACCGAGCCTCCTCCGTGGGGAAGTGCACAGGTAGAAGACATAAGAACAGAAAGTAGGAGGATATGAAGCATGATGTGTTGGGCGAGTAGTTGGTGAAAGGATTGGGATGATCTCACGATTGGAGATGAAGGAGAAGTCGGAGCGGGATGGTGATTTATCGTGTAAGCCGCAGGATAGATACTATGTTGGAGATTAATCTCTCAGCTAGACCCCTCTTGTATTCTTCCGATTCAATGGCATCCTAGATGAAACCGGATTTTGGTCCTGGGGTGAGGATTGAAAGGACGTGTCGTTGGGCTCAAACATCTCGCGCGTCTGAAACGCGGTTTATATTACATACGCAGCACAGTCACTCGGCATTGGAGATCCAATCCTGCTCCCACTCCGACTCCAACATCCAGTCAAACTCAAGCTCCCTGAGCTCGCTAGCCGACAGGACTCGCCTGGCTGGCCCGGGAATGCCGTAATTGTTGCTGTTGCTGTAGCAATGAGCTTCGTGATCAGACATTGCGATGAGTATCAATATCTAACGGCGCGACTCACCCCTCGGTCGGCCCGGCTTGAGCAGCAACGTCTTGACTACTGCTGCTGCTGTTGTTCTCGTCGATGCTGTTGTGCTGCCGAATGCCAGCTGCCGGAGTAGTAGAGATGGACTGGCCTCTACTACTCTGGCGCACTGGGTACCCAAATTATTCGTATTGACACCGCGAATTCGCAAATAAACCACCTCTTTTCTCGAGTTTGACAAGAGTTGGACAACGAGCTGAAATGTGCTCCTCGCTTACCAGAAAAATCGCCATTGGGTGTCTACAGGTATCGACCTAAGCACTTTTCCTTTCACAACCCAGGGTGCGCCGGAAGCGCTCGTCTGGCAGCAGCACCTTCTTCTAGGCCGATTCAAGCTTCAAGGCCTGCAGCATATTATGCCCGCGACACCGACAGAGAAGCCTATTGTCGGCGAGAGGTCATGATACGGTCTTACGGACGTTTTTAGCGAAGCAGATGCAGACAGACGATCGTGATCGAGATTCTGGGAAAAGCTCGACTTTTTCGAGTAGCTTTCACGCTCATCCGGGGTTCCACGGACTTTATTGAACCGACTGGAATTCCATCATGCTCGATGGCTCTCGTTCTCAGCTATCCTCCAAAGGACAAGGTTCAGGGTACTACTTCACCTCGACCAGATACGACTTGTCATCCCTCCATCCTTGATTCCGACGCCTGGACGGCTCATTTGCTAAGAGCGCAAGATTGGGATATTCACACCACATGGACCTTCGATCATTGCAGCATATGGCTTGGCCGCCTGTTCCATGCTGTGTATCCTCGTCGGTAAAGCGATGCGCATACATACATGTCACTCTGCATTGCTACACCTCTCCCATTCACGCATTGATATGCACGAACGGTCTAGCTCGTCGTTGCTGCTGACGTCGGTGCCTCCTGCGGTACGAGCTCCACCTCCCTCTCCACCCTCATCGACCCATTCCGATCCCCCTTGACACCGACCGTATAAGTATACCTGCCCAACTTTCTCACCCTCTCCCCGGCTTCTACCCTGCCTTTTTCTTTCTCCTTATCCGTCCAAGCAAAGTCTAGTGACTCTACGGGGATCTCGTTTTCCGCTTGCAGCTCGAACTGGAAATACCGAGCGAGGTCCGACGGATGGATAGAACCAAAGAGTGTCTCGGTGGAGGAAGAAGCGGGGACGGGGAGGGTAAAGCTGAGAGGGATGAGGGAGGAGGTAGTCGTCCATTCGGATTTGGAGAGGAGAGGGGCCGAGGGCGTCTGGGTGGTTTGAGGATTGGGAGCGGTGGGAAGCGATGATGAGGCGTTCTTGTCCTGGTAGGCCCGAAAGAGCGACAAGAATAAGAGATCACGCAGATCAATGCGTGCGATCAGCCGGGACGTCTTGAAGGTACAGAATGCGAAGGTTTTCGAGCTTACGGCGATCATGGCCTTCAATACGCTTTTCCGCTTCCAGGGTACGTAGACGGCCTTGCCTATAGACACGATCAACGTTTGCTAATCAGCACACATGAACGTCTTTCGACTCTTGAGCAATATCCGGGCGATAATGACCTTCCGGGAACAAACTGTGCCTCATCCTACCGGGGTTGACCTGGACGAGCTCGTCTGCCGCACATCCAACCAGCTCCAAATCAGCCCACCTTCTTCAGCCCAATTCCGCGTCTCTCCCGACTCACTGCCTTTACCCAGTCCATCAATCGTTCGTACCAGTCGTACGGTTATACTCCGGGAAGAAGCATGTCGCTGTGCTTGTCCTCGTGTTAGCTTGCACAAGGCGTTTGGCGAGTTGCAGGCAGGTCAGACTCACGCATTGGCACGAGGCGTTTTGTAGGGGTGCAAGTGCCGCTCTGGGCCGCAATGAACCGATGGCGAACGACATGATTGTTTGACGGGTGACAGCTATCGGTAATATATTCCTTGCCTTTATACCTGGTGCACCTGTTTTGGACTGTGAGGTCGATGTAAGATCAAGAAGTTGTCGCAAGCTTCGAAGGGTGCTTCTTGATATCTCGATGGATGGATTGTCGTGATGAGCTGATCCGCGGATACGTAATTGATTGCGAGTAGTACAACCGGTTTCAATCGATCGAACGTTCACTGAGCATCCACCCTGGCACATCAGAAGTGCATGCAAGTTTACGAGCTATGACATGGTGGGCCACCACATACACACCGGCAGAAGTCGATTCACCACCAGAGCACATCAGCTCCAGGCAAAATCCAATAGCTTATACCCCGTCGCGAAAAGTAGACCCACGTTCTCGACCTCGATCTCTATCGACATACCGCTCTTGTCGCCTCGCCTCCACTTTTGACGTTATCAAACCGCATCAACTTTGCAGAGTACAACTCGCCACAAACTTTTCGACCTACAATCTCTACACTCTTGCCCATACCTAGCTCAGCACAGTCAGAGCACAAAAAAGCAAGTCGAAACACCTAGGAAAGAGCTCGTCTAGCTGCTCTACAACCCTTCAACCCGGCCAACACGTGTTCCCCCCCTTGTTCACTTCGCTGAACTGGGAACACGTCTCGGCTGCACACCCTTCTCTCCGCCTGCAATGAGCAGCACGAACCTGCACGTGTATTACCTTCAGAGGAATATCACGGCTTTCAAGAAATACCTCGATGGGACCGAAGTCTTCGAGACCGGGCCTGGTAGCGGGAATGGGAGTGGCAAGGAGAAAGATAAGGACAAGGACAGGTCGTACGGCTCGGGAAGTCTCCGACCTGGATCAGCTAGCGGGCCAAGGAGTTGGACCTTGAACCAATTGAACAATGCTCCTAAACGTCCTGACCCGAACGTCAGGGATTCTCTAGGTCGGACGGTCTTGCACCTGATCTGCAGTACCATCGGGGATCCGAGATCATACGACTACCTCTCTATCCTCTTGCACCATCCTCTCATCCAGATCAACATCCAGGATAGCGAATCAGGATGGACGGCACTACACCGGGCCCTCTGGGTAGGCAACCTCCGGGCTGCGAGGGAGTTGATGGGGAGGAACGAGATCGACCTAGGTCTCAAGGATTTCGAAGGGTTCACGGCGTTTGACGTTTTCAACTCTACTTGTGAGGGGACCAATCCGGTGGATGGAGCCAAGGGGACGGATCTCTATACTTGGGGAAGTAACCGGAATTACACGTTGGGTTCGGGGGATGCTACGGACAGGGCCTTGCCGGAACGGGTCAACCTGTTGAACCAGGTGCAGGCTCGGTCGGCCGAGGCATCTACAAGTTCGTCGTCCAATCACGCTCATGTTACCCCGTCAACACCGGATGAGCAGGTTTCGGAACAAGCCGGATCGAAAGATTCAGGTTCGGTCGGGTATGGCGAGTCGACCAAGTTCGATAGGGTCGGGGTGGAAGATGTCGTCATGTCCAAGTTTCATACGGGAGTGTTGAGCAGCGAGAAGCGAGGGAATTTGAGTTTAGCGGGGTTTGGGTCGAATGGCAGGTGAGTCGATAGCGGTCGAATTCAAGTTTGCGTCGCCCGATGAGCGGAATACTGACGGTGGCCGAGTCGTTTGAAACCCGTCTCGCCAGGTTGGGCAAATCAACGCACTCGCAATACGCGCTCTTGCCTCAACAAGACCTTGCGCACTTGGATATCGTCTCGATCGCCTTGGGACAGGATCATACGCTGGCGGTGACCTCGGGAGGTTATATCATGTCCTGGGGACAGAACCGGTTCTCACAACTAGGTTACGTGATCGAGGCGACCACTGAGACGGTGCACAAGGCGTTCAACACGAACGCCAGCGAAGATGTCCAGGTGCAGGTCCAGCCGAAGCGGGTCATTGGGCCTTTGAAGAAGGAGTTTGTCGTCGGGGTCGCGGCGAGCAGGCTGAGCAGCGCTTGCTGGACGAATGATTCTATCTGGACATGGGGGACGAACAGCGGGCATCTGGGTTATGACAAGGCGACGAATCCGGTCCAGGTCCAGCCCAGAAAGGTTACCGGGATAAGTCAGTCGGTCATCGACATGGCCATGACGGATTACGCGACGGCCTGTTTGATCGAAACGAAAGAGGTGCTGGTACTCCATCACGACGCTGTGATCAAGATCAGTTTCCCGACACAGAGGTTTCCTTCCGATTTCTCGGTCTACCGGCCCCCACAGTTTGTGGCGAAACCGAACATCGACAAGATCACGTCATGCGGAAACACGGTTGCCGCCGTCTCTTCCCTGGGAGACGTCTTTACCTTCAACCTGCCTAACCCGGTCGACATTCCCGACATCAAGACGTATACCGTCAAGCCACAGATGGCATGGGCACTAAGGAAACGGTTCACTGCTGTCAAGGACGTCGCGCTCGGGTCCGATTCTACCATCATTCTGTGTACGCACTCGGGTCACGTGTTCGTGCGGCAGAGACAGGGAAAACAAGTCAAGGTCAACAGATTGCCGAGGTTACAGCGGATCATCAAGGTCGCTTGTAACGAAGTAGGGAGCTTTGCTGCGATCAGGAGTGACGCGACTCCGGGCGAGGTCGAGGTCACCGGTCCGACGCTGAGCGAAGACCTCTTGAACCTCTTGCCCCACATGAGACGGGTGGTTCAATCACCGTTCGGCAAGGCGGAGAAGGTCTATCGTCAGGATCATGAGGATGAGGATGATGGGGATTCGGCCGTCTTGCAAGATATCGAGGTGGCCATGCGGATAGCTATCATCGATGCGCAATGGCAGACTTCACACGAGAGGGCGACCCTGGGGACAGATTTGTGGCTGGTCGCTAGCGGTCGGAGGGTACCCGTACATAGGATGATTCTTTCGCACCGGGTGGCCAAGCTCGCTTCGATCTTGAAGAAGGAGGCCGTACCGACGGCACTCCAAAACTACATGCGGTTCGAGGTCGGCGAAACGGGAGAATGCGAATTACATCTCCAAGATATGCATTTCATCACCCTCACCTTGCTTTTGCAATACATCTACTCGGATGATTTGGCCGCCATTTGGGATAGCCGGGTCTTGTCTAGGGTTCAGTCGAAAATGCCAGAGTTCCGACCAGACGTCAACAGGATCAAGCGGGAGTTAATCCAATGGTCAGAGACACTCGAACTGGACAAGCTGCGTGGACCGTTGGCATCGACGGGCAAGGTCGCCGTCCCTCAGAGTCTGGGTAGCACGTGGAAGGCGTTCTACAGGGATTCTCAGGACCCATCTAAGCGGGCGGCAGGCGAATGCGATACCATCTTGCGCCTCAGCGATCGGGACATTGTAGTCAGCTCGATCCTCCTGCGGGCCAGGTGTCCGACGTTTGATGCCATGTACGCGGACACGGTATGGACGGAGGGTCGACGAGATCAAGATGGGCACGGGCATGTTGTGGTCGACATGACTCATCTGCGATTCCGCTCGTTCAACTTGGTCATGCGGTACCTACACGAGGGGACGGAGCAGTTGATTGACTATGGTCGTGAGTACTCTCGCTGATAAGAGTCCATATATTACCCATGAGCTGAAGCAGTGCGCGTTTATACAGACCAAGATACCCTCGACGGGCTGCTAGACTTTGTCTTTGAGACGCTGGCGGTATCTAATTTCTTGCTCCTAGATCGACTCGTCCTAGTCCTTTCTCAAGTCATCCGTCGCCATGTCGCTACCAACAATGCCGCCTCGCTGGCTTCCGAAGCAGCTTTTCACAATGCGATGGACCTCAAGCGAAGCATTTTTCTGTACATCGCTTGCAACCTGGAAACCATGCTGGAGAACGGTTTTCTGGACGACATGGATACAAGGATGCTTAATGACTTGTCTTCGTTCATCCAGGACAGGCAAGGTTCGAAGTTGCCGGTGTCTCGAAGTGGCATCCTGGAAGATATGGCCGTGCAGCGGGAAGCCGAATGGTTGGCAAATCAGGACATCCCACAACTGAAGGCTCGACCCCCTCGCGTCTGGAAGCCCCGATCGCCAAGAATTTATGCTACACCGCCTGCGCCTTCGAAGAAGGCCAAAGGAAAGGGGAAAGAGAAACTCTCGTTGTTTGACGTCCCTGCCGACAATCTTGATCCAGAGGATGTCTTCGAAATGGAAGACGACTTGGCTTTGCCCGATTCGGTACTCAGCCCGCCACGTGGGTCAACACCCTCGAAGCAGGTCTCAGCTGCCTCTACAGACGGGCCGAGAGGTACTCCTTGGCGGTCGTCTGGAGTGGAAGCAACGAAAAAGTGGGTCGGGCTCCGGATACTCTCAAGTTGCGCTCGCTAATTCGCACTTGCCTTTTTGCACCTCGCAGGATGGATCTGCGCAGTATTATGGCAGAGGCCGAGACCAAGTCGCCGAAACTCGGACCTTCCACCCCTCCTACGGCTACACCTGGAAAGTATCTCCCACCTTCCGCTCGACGTACCCCGTCCATGGCGGGAAGCACCGTTTCTTCTGCGGGTCCTCCAGGGATCTCGCCTGTACAACCTATGACGCCCGGAAGCGTCCGAACAGACCGGGCGGGATCGTGGCGAAACACGGTCCCGGCGACGGGCTCGCCTGCTGCTTCCGCTTCAGCCTCGGCTTTCCCTACTCTAGGCTCGACCCCTACTCGACCGAGTGCACCCAAGAATCCGTCACAAGCTGGACCTTCGAAGAATGACGTGATTGTGCCGACCAGGCAACCAACGGTCTCGAGAAAATCCTCGTGAGTGCGGTGTCGTACTGAAGTAGAGCTTGCGCTTAGGCTTACCAATATTTCGACTTACAGCGAGCCCGCCTGGATCACGCCAGTCACCTACTTTTCGCCTCCACCCCCAACACTGGCAACCTCACCTGGCCCGTCTGCCGCCATGTCATTGCTCGACATTCAGCAACATGAACGCGACGCTCAAGCTCAACGTAATGAGCTCAAGATGGCGCCCAAGAGCTTGCTTGAAATCCAGGAGCAAGAACGCAAGGACGAACAAGCCAAAGTAGCCGAGCTCGAGTTCCAGCGCTGGTGGGCTGCCGAGGAAGCTAGAGTTGCTGCTGAAGCCGCAAAGACGAATGGCAAACAAGGGAAGCGCAAGCCCTCAGCACCTGGCCCGGCTGCTGGAGATAGACCTGGACCTGGTGCCGGCCAGGGTGCCAGTCGACCGAAGCACAAGAAGAAGGGCAATGCAAATTCTCAAGCGGATACCGCTCCTTCTGAAAAGAAAGGCCAACCCGGCGAGCCCGCTCATCCTAGACCACCCAAAGCACCCAAACCACAGAAACCCCAACAAGCAACAATACCTAAAAAGTCAGCACCTACAGGGCCGGCCAGATCAACACCAATAACAGCGCCGACGCCGATGCCGCCTGCCCAAACATCTTCACCTATGCCAGCCAGTCTGAACCCCTTTGCCAAACCGTTCGGGTTCGTCCCGGGTCCTCCTGCAGGGCCTCTCGCTGATCGCCGTGCGTGAGCGAACGACTCGACAAAAATGTATGTATAGAATCGCATAGATGAAGCTACGTACCAATGGAAGAAAGTTGTATCGAATGACCCTAAGATAGGGCAATGATAGTTGTACAAAGGTATCTTCCGTACCAAACGGTCACACGATCAAAACGACTTACGTAATCGCTTCTCAGCCTCAATCGTCATAGATCCCCGTCTCGGGACTAGCGATTAAAAGTTGGACTCTTCCCTTTCTGACATCGTCTTTACTCGTCGAGGACTGTAGAGGTGTCCAACGTTCGAGCACTCTGTCGACCTCTCACAAGCTAGTCTTAATAATGGCATCCCAAGCCTTTATGGCCGCAGGATGGGTCCCAGAACCTGCCACATCCGAGTACGTTCTCAATTGATCGCGAACACGATGAATTGGTCCGTTTACTGATGAGGCTATCTTCCATAGCGGTATTTGGGGAGATTCTTTCTTCAACGGAACTCATCCTCCTCACAATCATGGCAAAGCTCCAGTCATGTAAGAATGGCTGCTCCTAGACGTGCAGGGCGGCCGAATTGCTGAAGAAACACCTGTTTCCCGTAGCCCACGCACGAAAATCGGCAAGATGGACTGCCTCTTCCTCCTTCCCATCTTCGCCGGGATCTCCCTTCTTGTCCTGCTCGTCCAATGCTTCGGACCCCAAACATACCGTTTTGTCTCTCAGAAGATCTCCAACATGCGTGGATACGAAGCGGTGCCGGTCGAGGATGACGAGGAACCCGAAGCTCCTCCTGCTCCCAAGACCTACATGCCTTCAGAAGGCTTGGCCAAGGACTTTATGAAGCGTGTCCGGGACGTCGGAGTGGTGGCTTGGACGTTCGATTTCTTCAGGCTCTTACTCGTCATGACTCTGTTGGCCCTGAGCATCTACGCCACTGTAGTTGCTCACGCTCCAGCTTTGCATGGCCATCCGGGGGAAAACCAGAACAAGGGTTTCGATGAGAGCGGGACCGACATCTTCGAAGCTCTTCGAAAGAAGGGAGGCAAGAAGCACCGCAAGAACAGAAAGGCCAAATTTGACTTTGTCACGCAAGAATGGATCGAGTTTGGCACGACCGTCTTCTATGTGAGTTGCCGAGCAGAACATCCATAAACATCCATGTAAGAAGCTGATTGTAGTTGTATGTAGGCGTACAACCTCGTCCTGTGCGCTATTCTCCTTGGTCTTAAAGCGGGATCGTCAATCAGGAAGATCATTTCCCTCCACCTTCACCTCATTCTCTTTCTCGCCTGGCTGGTCTTTGCCTACAGAGATCTTTACCCGCTTCTCACCCGCAAACTCACTCCCGTGGACGTTCTGCATGCTCCTGCATGGTTGACATGGACTAGGCTTTCCCTTTTGACTGTCACTGCTGCGGTGATACCGGCTTTACAGCCTCGACGATACTTTGAGCTCTTAGCTCCGAGATCGATTATCAACTCAAACTCGCAATCTGACCAGAACGAAGCGCCTGTACAGCCAGTAAGCTAACTTGTACTATGCCAAATATCAAATCTAATTTTGGCATTGCGAGAAAAGCAGAACAGAGCCCCGTGGTTCTTATCGAGGTTCATCCCCGAGCGAGAATCCAGGATCGAGCCTCACATTACGTTGACGTTTGCTCAGTCTGCGGACGGAAAGATAGCAGGTCCAGGGGGAAAGCAGGTCGCGCTCAGCGGAAAGGAGAGCATGCTCATGACGCATTGGTCCGTGCCGGCAGCCTTGACATATAGTGCTGAACCTCTAGCTGACGGATCCACCTTAATCGATCTGACAGGATGCGTTCGATGCACGATGCTATCATGATTGGCATCGGTACCGCAGCTAACGACGATCCGCGACTGAACGGCAAGTATCATATGGGCACGTCCGTGTCATTTGATGCCGTGACTGATACCTTCCCAACAGTCCGCTTGTTGCCCCAAGCTTACCAATCAGAGACCCCTCAACCTATCGTGCTGGATCCTCAGCTTCGACTCTCTCCGACAGCACGCATGTTGCAAGCGCTCCATGACGAGACGACTCCGCATGCCAAGAACCCGTGGCTCCTTTGTCAGAAGATTCAGGATTGGGACCAGGATATCAGGAAGAGGAAAGCGGCATTAGAGCAAGCGGGGGCTAGAATCATTGAACATGATATGCCTGGAGGTCAGTCCCCGAAACACATTTTGCGCTCGATGTCGGATTGCTGAATGCGGAATCGCGTACAGGTCGCATGGATTTGAGCTTGCTTCCTACCCTTCTCCGTTCTCTCAACGTTCGCTCTGTCATGGTCGAAGGTGGAGCTTCCATCATCGACCAATTCCTAGTTACGACTTGCAACGATGAAACAGGGCAGCAGCGTCCTCTGGCCGATTGCGTAATAGTCACGGTCGCCCCATCAAACATCGGCGACGAGGGTGTCGCTTACGGCGCAGGAAAAGGTCTTCAAGCTATCAAATCAACTTTTAAGGGGATCTACGCCGAGAGGTTTGGTCAGGATAGCGTTCTCGTTTTCCAGCCCTGATCGGGCGCCTCCCCATTTTGGATCAGACTATGCACCTTCTCTTCATTTTGTAAGCGCTATTATAGATGACATTCGCTTAGGATGGAGACCCGCCGTATATATTACAACGACGTCTGTCGGCTAGATCTTGCTGGACTACTGCTCAGCGATATATTGAACGGTCTAACGCTCGAACGGTAAGGGTTATCGATCTAAAAGAAGCTAACGAAATCGGCATTCTGCTCGATAGCATCGCCGGCGGAAGCGTGCAAGTTGGAAAAGTCCTCCTCCTTGTCTTCGTACTGCTCGATGTGGCGCTGTTCATCTCGATGATGTTCGCCTTTCTGAGGTTTTCTGGACACTTTCTCACGCTTCGCTGGTGGACTAGCCGGTTCCTTTGGACCTTTGGCTGCCCAGTACTTCTTGCGATCTTCGTGGCTCGTTCTTCCAGTCACGATTTCGCCATCCTCTTGATCCTTCTTGGAACGCTTCGTACCTCGAGACGCTCGGTCCGTCGGCAACGTGTCCTGGTAGTGCACGGTTTGCGCCGCATTACTAGGACCAGGGTTGTCAACGATCTCGATCGAGTCCTCGTCACTGTCATCATCGACCTCGATGGGTCGGTGAATCCCCCCGTCCTCTTCATCGTCTAAACCCATTTCTGCCTCTTTCGAACCACGAGCGTGACGACGAGCTAACTTTTTCGCCTCTTTGGCTTGTTGACGCTCCTCCCTCCTTTTCTGCTTCCTCTCGGTCCTCGTCAAGGTGGGCGGAACCTTTTCCTTGCCCTTGTTCGCCAATTGATCGAAATACTGCATCTCATCGTCCGAGTTGTCGGTCACATGCTGTTCATGGGGATCAGCGTTCATGTGGATGGCAACATACTGTTAGCAAGAGATTGAGGTCAGGTCAGGCAGTCGCAAGACCAAGTCGACGACCGGATCTCACCTTGTCTTGAGTCCTGGAAGCATGGGTTCTTGGAGGCGATTCCACGGCTCGATCGCTACGCTTGCGAGATGCGCCGTCGATGTGCGAAGCTTGGCGTCGTGCGGGAGCCTTTGACGCACCCGGAGGAGGCAGCCTCAGGATATGTTGCAGCTCTCCGCTCCAGTAGAGGTCGTTCAATCCTCGTCGATGATCAAGGGTCTGTAATAGGTCATATGGCCTGTAATCAGCTGGAGTGGCAAGCACGTCCGTCTGGCTAGGACCATCTCTCACCTCGACGCTGAATCCGACCATATCCTTCAACATGCTCATCTTGGTCGAATCCCATTCACCCTCTTTGTTCAACCACAATCGCGGCTTGTCCGCCGATTTGTATGTCTGCCATTTCCCTTTCTGCGACTCGATATTGTGATCTAAGATAGTGACAGCTCGGGACCAGCACGCAAAGATTCTCCCGATGTCGGTAGAACCCTTGGAGATGTTATTGGCTATCGTATGATCGGCTTGTCAGCCCAGCTGAACTCGGGCAACAGGAGCAAGAATGGCTTACACGAATCTTGCGGGTCTTCGATTGCGATGTTTCTGGGATCCTGATAACCGTAGATCCATCCCTTCGCATCCTTACGGAACAGCCTTCCTCCGTCCCTCAAGGAGATACCGTACCTGTCCCATTCGAAAGTACTGTAGCGCTCGAAAAACTCCTGGAATAAAACACCGAGGTTTCGCAACGGATCGATCTCCTTGGCTTGAATCGCCTCATGATTCTACCGGTGCGGAGAGATTAGCGAACGTCTCGAAGACCGAAGAAGGAAATGGAATATTCTCACTTGAAGGAAGCTGATGACCAAACAAAAGGTCGAATAACTCCCCAGACCTCCCAAGAACACCTCGTTGAGCTTGTATTTCCTCATGTAAGCCTTGACTAAAAGCACCAGGTCACGAGCGACAGGATATTGCTTCAAATAACCTCCGACAATCCGTGACGCTCTGATTCCGCCATCGTCATAGACGGAGATATCGACCGAGATGTTTCCTGGCAACCGCAAAGTCTCGGTGTAAGGGCTTGGTCATCCGTGTGTTCCTGCCCGCGGACAACGTACCTTGAAGCGTCTTCAGCTTGATGATGGGGCATTTGGCCTGGGTGATCATCTGTATGCCGGCTTCGTTCCACGGTCCGCCAGGGATGATTCGGTTGACTCGTAGAGCTGAGATGATCCGTTTAAACATGGCTGTGATACCTCTGACCAGCCTGCCAGGTACGGTCTCCTTGACAATCACGATATCGATGTCCCTGGTTTGAAACCAAGGTACCCGCTGTCAGCCATCCCCCTTTCGCAAGTTCGAGCGCGCCCATACTGTGGCTCACCCTCCTGGCAAATACAACTCGTTGACATGACTCCCAAACGGTTCGATCTGCATTTGAGGAGCATCGTTCCTAAACTCTCTCTTGATGGTATCCAAAATCAAATCGACTAGCATCTCCCTCGTGTGGTGCTCATGCTTCGTCGGCGCTAGCCAACGAGCTGCAGCTCTGCTCTCCTGATTGAACCTGTAGATCGACCAGGCGGAGCGGGACTTAGTCGAGAATGGTCGAGATGGAACAGCGCGAGGCTTCCGACTGGCAACTTACAGCTTCCAGACGCTCGCCGGTCCTCCCATATCTTCGTTGAACCACTCGACATCGGTCACCCATGGCAGATATTCTCCACCCTGATTCTTCGAATTATATCCGTATTCATCATACTCGCCGTCATCCTCGCTCAATACGTCTGCCTTTCGCTTGTTGTCTTTCCTTTCCTTACCCTTCTCTGGCCTATCGGCTTGCTTATTTCGCTTTTGTCCAGAAGATGAGGACGAGGCTTCGTTGTGGTTATTGTTAAGGTTGTGAGACAAATATTTCTGAGCAGGAGGCGGAGGTGGAGGAGGAAGTTGCATCGGTTCTCCAGAACCTCTGATATTGAGCGGGGAAGCTGGACGTAAGGGAGAGTCGTATCCTCCGGTGTAGGTCGGTCCGGCAGGAGGTTTCGGTGGTAAAGAGCTGTGTAGGGGAGGCAGAACGTGTGTAGCAGAAATGGCATCACCTTGGGCGTTTGTGGTGCCTATTTATCGCCGCAGGTATTCGACAGGTTTCAGTTTGTCGGGATAAGAAGGCGGACACCATCGAATGTCTACACTGACCGTTCTTCTTGGCAGAACTGAAATTCACACCTCGAGACCAGTTGTCGTCCGAGGAAGATCCTCCATCGATGTCCATATCGTCTTCCTCATCTTCTCGATCCTTTCCTCCCATCGGAGCCCGACCTTTGATGTTGATTCCCTTCGTGGGATCCGGTCCACTCGCACTCGGCTCCACACTCAACCCAGGCATTACCTCTTCAGTGTCAAACGAGATAAAATCGGCGTCATTGTCAAATGAAACGGGTTTCATCTCGGACGAGGAAGAGGCAGCAGGTTGAGATGAAGACTGAGATTGCGAATCGGCGCTCGGTGGAGCGTCTTTGCCGAATATCCGTTTGACTAAAGACATCATGAGTGGCTAGTTCGATATTTGTGGGGTGTGACTATCTCGAGCTGGCTAGTAGATATAAACTAACTCTATCCAGTTGCTGATCGAGATTCCGAAGCAGAGATCTAGCCGAAACCGTTCTTTCGAAATCTCGATTCGAAAACGGTTACGCCTCGATCTCTTCCAGATATCCGGTCGGTCGAAGTGATCTTCAATAGATGGGCCACCGAGCCAAGATGCTGCCGGTGTGGTGTTTCGAGGTCTCGCTAGATTGACGGTTGTGCCGAACTAGATCGGTCGATCGGTCGTGATCTTGTATAGCTAGTATGCGAGTTTGCAGGAAGAAGTAGGAAGCCAGAGGCCAGAGGAGGTTGTTCGTGACACAAAATCAAACATGAGCCGGCCCTTAGGCAAAATGACGCGATCGAAAGAAAGCGCGGTCGGGGTGCAAGTTGGGTTGCCCTCTGGCCTTCAATCTATCAATCGCTCTCTCATATAGATATACCTAGATATACCACAAATCGCTAGCTCTAGCAGTACACCAGACACATCGCTAGTCATGTCATCTTCAGCTCGAACTGCACTCCGACTCTTGCGACCTCTCAAGGTCACCCGATCGACCACTGCTGGACCTTCCCGACTTCCCCTGCTCACTCCTGCCATCCGCACGTTTAGGACGACCTCTGCCCGGTCTCATGCACCTATCAAGCCGGTCATGGCTCCTGCTGCCGAAGCTCCTGGTAGTGTAGCACCTTCTCCCTCTACTACGTAAGCTCGATGTCACTCCGCGGTGAGCGAAACTTTAGCTAAGTCTTCTCCTCTCCTGTTTCTGCATCTCGTCTGGATGGACTCGAATGTCGATCGACCTCAGGACCTTGTCAGCAAGCGAATATGAGAAACATTCGAATGTAACCATGGAGATGTTACACGATCAGCTGGAAGCGCTCGTGGAAGAATACAGCCCAGAGGGGGCCAACGGGTGGGAATGCGAGTACAGCGTGAGTACATGCAGAAAGGTCTATATCCACAAATATCTTTCACTCGTATCGAAAACTACTCGCCTCAAGGATATCGAGAGCTGATGATCAGCTTTGTGTCTTGCGTGTCCGTTTGATCCGCATGGACGATAGTCGGGAGTGTTGACGTTGTCGTTAGGACCGCATGGGACGTATGTGATCAACAAGCAACCTCCTAACCAGCAGATCTGGTTGAGCAGTCCCTTCAGGTCAGTCGTCCCTGTTGTCATATATTCCGCTTGTGTTCCGAATTGCTGAAAATTGTCCTCCGTTCTCCAAACGCTCCGTTTTCGACACATAACGTCGTCCACCCTGACAGCGGACCCATGCGTTTCTCTTTCATTCAACCCACTACCGCCACGAGCACTGACTCTGGCGCACAAGGCGTCTGGACATACGCACGGGATGAAGTCACCCTGGGAGCACTGTTGGACAGGGAGATCAGGAGCGTGTTGGTCAGCGAGGTCGGGCAGGAAGAGGCCGATGCGTGGGAGGGTGCTGGGGTCGAGTAGGTATCAGCGCTGAGAACGGTTATTGGAGCTGGAGAAGAAGTCGATCTTGGACAATAGTATGAAGAAGTAGATGTGTACCTGGATCAGGACAATCTCGGAAGATTACGCCTCGACAGTATGATCGACATTTCATCACGACACCGTTACCCAACTGCAAGCGGCTCGAGCTGCGTACCTCTCAACCCCACCAGACATCTATCTGCTCTTCATCCCGCTACGCTTCGAACGTGTATTTACCCTAGTAGGAACCTTCTTTGCTACCCGTCAGACTGGCCCGTCAAGCCTGGCCATCCGCTGTTCGATGGACTAGCGGACTAGCTAGCTTATAGCTGGATAGCTGGATAGCTGGCTGATCAGTCAATCGGCCGCCGTGATCAGCTACTGCCGTAATCACCAGGCGATAACAACAATGCATATTCGTTCTGACATTTTCACTGCGGATCCGCGATTACGTTGCCGAGTATCGGTGACGTCACCCATTCTCGACCCCCGCTTTTCGACCCCCGTCTCTCTCAGAGGATGCGTTCACTCCTCGACATCACAGATCAGAAGATCAGAGTACTCACGTACTCTAGAGTACTTTCGAAGCTCTCTTCATCCAAGAACGCCTACAACGTTACAACACAGTGCTCTCGCCACCAGTTACTCTTCGTGAGTCTTTTATCAACTTGACAGGCCGTCATCATTCGGGGCACTCATCCACCAAACTTCATCCCTGTAGATTCGAACATCATCACACGAGCAACATGGACATGAACATGCGATCCCAATCACCAAAGTCTGCCGCCGTTCAAGAAGGCAAGAACGCTCAGTCGACTTCTAAGGCACCGTGAGTCAACTTCCACTTATAGCAACTTCCTCGTCCGAGGGCGATCAGGCTGATTCCCACCACGAATGACATGATGCAGGGCTTCGATGAGCATGGACCCCAAGAAGAAGGTCCCGGAGAACAAGGCTGCCGTCAAACCTCCTTTTGCTAAGACGTCGATGAACAGCTTGTGAGTCGCTCCTTTCTCTTCTGTCCATGATCGCAATTCGAGTGCTCACAGGGCGATATCCTGACGGTCACGTTTAGCATGAGCAACCTTCTCCTCATCGTCTTCGCCATCTGTGCCATCTACATCTGGCGAGTGACCGTTTGGGCCAGCGAGGCCGGCGGGTACTGGGCGTTGATGACCGGAGGTAGCGCCAAGGCTTCGGCGGCTTCCGCTGCTGCGGCTGCTACGAGCGCTGCTGTCGCCAGTATGGGCACTTCGGCCAGCTCTATCACCGTGAGTCTGCTGCGCTCGAGCGGACACAGTGGTTCTGTCTGATAACAGAGACTGATCCGATTCTTCATCCAACTCTTACATAGAAGCAAGCCAAGGCCACCGGTAAAGCAGTCCCTGCCGGCAAGGGCAAAGTCGTTCCCGGCAACGCCGACGTCCAGTCCCAGATTTACGCTCTGGCCGAGTCCTTGGGAATCAAGCCCGCCGACCTCTCTTCCGCCATCCGACCCTTGATCGACCCTACCGTTCCCAATCCCGCCGAGGAGGCCAAGAGGATCAAGCAGGAGATGGAGTTGAAGGCCGAGTTGGAAAAGACCAAGGTGGAGACTGTCGCCAAGGAGGAGGAGCACAAGGGACCTGGTATCATCGAGGTCTTGGAGGAGGCTTTCTTGGATTAGAAGAGATCAAGCTGATGAGGGGATGGAAGGAGGACTACTGAATGGATAGACAGTACGAGGAATTGCAAGGCTGAGATCTGATCTGAGAACGGCTTGAACGGCCTGATATACATGCAACATGAACGCTCGATATATGGCGTGCACACTCATGACGATCAGAGCCCTGAGCTCCCTGAATTACCAAGTGATTCAAGCGGTAGATCTGGGCAACTCGAAGGGGAACTCGTGTGTCGTGTGATTTTGCAATCTTAACGAATATTCGCTCTTGTTGAATAAATTGACGTGACGCGTTGGGAAAGCGACGCGTTCCCCCGAGTCGCGAGTAGGTTGAATGAGAATCTCGTCAGATATCGACCTCACATAATCTATCTACCCTTGTACCCTTTGCACTCTCGCGACCAATCCCAGACCTCGCCTGGCCAACGAGATCTTGTTGTTTCTTGTACGCATGGAGCTTCCCACAACACCTCCTCCTCGCAAACCGGCGGTCCTGCGCACTTACGGGAAGAAGCGGGAAGCTCCGCTCTTTCCCATCTTGTCACCACCTTCCCTCACCAGGTCGGATTCGTCACGGTCCAGCGACGACTCTTCGGCACTACCATCGTCTGACAGCGGATTAGGGATCTTTGAAGATGATATCAAGATTCGAGGATCTTCGCCCGTAAGCGAGGATGTGGTCAAGGAGGAGGTCGTCGGGGAAGGGCTGCGATGGATCAAGAAGAAAGTCACGACGACGCCCGTGAGATCGCCGTTCAGCCCGACCACCTCGTCGTCACAGCCGGGAGCTTCCGGTTCGAGCTTGAGAAAGGTCGAGAGGAAAGGTCAAACCTCGAAAGCCTTGACCTCGGTCCAGGTGCCTGGCCAGTCAACGTTACGAGCGTTTTTCACTCCGAAGCCCAAGCCGGAGCCGCTCTTCTCTACTGGACTATCTTTGCGGGCCGAGGCTCAAGCTTCTGTTTCCTCGTCTGCCAAAGACGACACTCTTCCTCCTCCTGTCTCGCTGAGTCACAAGCCCGGTCCTGGGACATCGCCGCCCAGCAAGCCCGCGGACCCTATCAAGAAGCTTCGTCAACTCCACTTCAAACGCCCGTCCTCCTCCTCCAGCTCCTCATCATCATCATTCACGACCTGCAAGAAATGTAACATGTCCTACATCCGGGGCGAACCTGATTCGGAGGACGAAACCCTGCATAGGAAGAATTGTGAAAGGGTAGTTGATGGACAGATCTGGGACGAACGCGAACGAGATCGGGTTGGGGGAAAGAGCTCGGTTGGGAAACAGGTTGGAGGGGAGATCGGGTTCGAGAAGAAGGGGCAGCAGGGGATGGGTGGGGTCAGGACGTATAAGGGTGTTGGGAGAATACTTCAGATCGGAGGAGCGGTAGCTGCCGGTAATCCAAAGGTCAGAAGAGCGCAAAATCCCCTAGTCCAACCGGGTTGTTGTAGGATGACTGACAGCCAAATCGTCTTGCGTATAGGTGTCTGATATCCTCTCTTCGGTCGACACGGTACTATCAGCCCCTTCCCTCCCTTCCGACATGTTGAAACAATGCCAAATTTTCCTCTTCATCACATCATCACCGACTCCGCCTTCATCTAGTAAACGCCTGGCGCCAGGGTCGATCTCGACCCGCAAAGTCAAGGGGAAAGAGAGGGTCGTCGGATGTGTCGTCGTTCAGCCAATCAAGTGGGGCATGAAAATAGTCAACAACGTATCGGCTGAGGAGGATAGGGAGTCGGGTAATGGCGAAAATGTGACGGGGAAAAGGAAGCGGGAAGATCTGATCGTCGTGGGAAACGAGATGGACATGGACTCGGTAGATGGAGGTGTACTTTGCTAGTGAGTCTCGGCCGGCAACATCAACCGCCTGAGAAATCAGTTCGCTGATCGCGTTATTGCAGTCCCGAGAGACATTCCGTCAAACTAGGTGTTCATCGGATATTCACGGTCCCTTCGTATCGAGGATGCGGGATCGTCAAGTTGTTGCTAGACGAAGCGTGTCGAAGCGCGATCTACGGGTACAAGGTGAGTCGATGATTCTCCGAGTGTCGAATTGATCTTGCCGAAGATCGGCTGACGAGGTCTCCACAACAGTGTGATCCTCTCAAGGGCGACGTTGCCTTTTCTCAACCGACTCAGTCTGGGAAACGGGTGATGGATACGTGGGGTCAAGGTCAGATCTTGGTGTTCAACGAGGACGAACAAGAAGGAGACGAGAGCGAGTGATGTTCTCCGTAGGTGATCAGGGTAAACAGATAGCATACGGTGTACAATTCATGCAGGAGAGGAGGGAGTTTATTATGATTACAGCAGATGATGCTCAAAACCGGCGTACCGGCTTTGTTGAGTGGACTAAGCAGTTTCCGCCCATCGCTTGTCGTTCATCTGCGCCTGGTAGGAAAACTGCAATGGATTGGGATGAATCGGTCAGCAGAACGTCTCTGCACAGTCGATCCACGATCAGGACGTACTGCTTGGAACCCGAAGGTCAGGGGAACACTTCCGAGTAGGATGAAACCTGATAGCAATGAGGGATGGTGAGATTTACCTAAGCGAGGTCGATCGGTGACTGGAATCTCTCACCTGCCCAGAGACAGAATAACTGAACGTCTGTCCCCTGATTTCCTCCGCCGTTGTTGTTCCCATCATGGCCGTAACTATAACTGTACCCTGCGCTCCCTGAAGAATCGCCACCGTAGTAATACCCACTTCCACCTGAATTGCAGTTGACGCCCTCGCACCGCTCAGTCAGCGACCGGTAGTAGACGTTGTTCGCGCCGTTATTGTCATTGTCGCCCGTAGAGATCCCGTAGAAGGACTGCGACATGTAGGCACAACCGATGAAGAGTTTGAGTAGTGCTAAAGAAACCAGTTGAGGTGTCAGCGAAGCTCGATCGTAAATTTCATTCTTGATACTTGACATACACAAACCCTGAACATTGTCAAATGGTCAAACCCGCTTTCAGCCTCGTTGTCAAAGATCGGCTAGGCCATCATGTCCGGCACTCACAACAATGAAGAACGGTTCCCGGATAGACTGGCGCGGTTTGTATGTATCTTCGTATCGCAATGGAGCCGACAGGTGTGTGCCCTTGAAAGTTTGCATACCCCGATAGGCTCCGTTGTCCGGACTTTTGTATACCAAAGCCAGATCGCCCAGGCCCACAAAAGCAGCAAAAAGAACTAAGGCGAATGAAAGCTTATTCAGTACCGTGTCGATCTCGGCCTGCCGCAGAGGGCTGATCGGGAACACTGACTGAGAGACACTTGAAAAGCCGAGGAGAAGACGAGCGAGCCGACGTGTTTCGGTACATTTGTCAGAGCGACATAGCCTGATTGCGGGCCACTCGGGTCACGATCGTAGCCCCGTGACGCTATGAATGTTCACCCGCCATTATATTTGCTGCATTAGCGGTGGTCTGAAAAGTAGAGAGGGTAGATGCTTACGGTACGAGTTGCCGTAGATATCATGGTACCTCTGCATGCTGTTGTTGAGCTATCAAAGCGAACAATGCGAGGTCTGAGTATGTTTTGCGAGACAAACCGATCTCGGCGCAACTTACGATGATGGACTCCGCAACGATGACGAGGACTGATCGGCAGAAGGAGGAACGATCAGCTGTCACCGGATGGCGAGACGCGGCAACAAGGCTTACTCATGATGAGAACAGAGATGAAGCACCATATTCGGCAAATCATGATCCAGAACCTGTCAGAATATGCTTAGATCAGATACCTGATCTCAAATACAGGCAAGCGTCTTGCAAGTATACGCACCGGGGACCGGACTAGAAAGGGCATCATCTCGCTGTCAGCTTGTACCCCGGCTTTGGTTGCTATCCATAGTAGACAGAGATCTCTCACATTCTCAGGTCCCGATAAACGTCTCTTATCGTCGGCCATGATGTCGAGATTATGAGTGTTGAATAGGGAGGATGAGTGTTATCGGAGAAGAGAGGTGAGAGGTTTGTTGCCGGATTTCAGATGAGAGAGCTAGGTGTATAGGGTGTAGGACTAGGGTACTAGTCAGCTTCGGATATCATTGGGATGTAGGACAGTAAGTCTCACATGTTGGAAAGGGGTGAGAGAGGTTGAGCGCTGTTGGGGGGACGGTGTAGGGTGAACGGAGCGGGTGAAGAACAGTTCATTCCAAGCTGCGTAATGTCCAATTAGACCCGACAACCCTACCGATCTATATACAATGGCTACGGACTTGACACACTTGAACAGGGCTATGCTATCGAGTGGAGGCGTTGTCAAAGGAAATGACAAGGAGCAGGACTCGCTACCTGAAACAGCGACGTTCATGGTGAAACACCCTCGTCATTGCACTGCGTCGCCTTAAAATTACGCGAAGGTCACGTGCTGACGTCACTGGCACTACCTAGCCGGGGGGCAACCACCTCGTCGGACCAATCTCATCAAAGGTGAAAACGAAAGTTCGAAAGTCTTGGATCAAACGACCATGTCTTTCGGTCGATCATCTCTCAACAATCCATACCTGCTACCTTTTACAGCTAGAACTCGATTCACCGATTCGCATACCTTTCGCACGACCATGTCTGCCCTCTTGCAAACTGCAATGGCCAACGCCTCGCTCCAATCCGGCCACCCCCCTTCGCCGGCCAAATCTAGCAAACGCCTGCCATCCGAAAAGGGCCGGGCCAGGTCGTCCGCCTCAGCTTCTTCGAAAGATATGACGGATGAGGAGGACTCGGAGGATCATCCTGGATATAGCGATGATGACAGCGATGATGATGAGATGGTCAATCTCGCCACTCGACCGTCAACTCCGGTATCATCCCATTCGCGAGAGCGTGAGGGACAGGATAGCCACGAAAAAGCAGGGAGATTTGTCGCTACTCGGGACCCTGTGAGTTGTCTGACTGAGATATCGTGAACGATAGGAGATCACACTGAACGTTCGTGGATTTGTAGGTCAAAATGCTGCCATCAAGTATCATGCTCCGAGTCTTCCTCCAGCTAGACATCAAGTCCCTGGCTCGTTGCGACCGAGTCTGCAAGCGGTGGCGTAAATCACAGACTTTGAACTATAGTAAGCACAGTCTTCCTCGGTATTCTAGCTCTTATATCTCAGCTCATTCATGTCTTTTGTGTCAGCCTGGTTCCTTCACACCCGGTCGTTCACCTTACCCCAACTCAAGAAAGACCAAGACGGCAACTACATCAACCGCCAATCCGCCGACTCGGAGGACTATGATCCATATGACAAAGCCCACTGGCTGACGATGTTTAAGACCCCCGTCCCGGCGTCTACGACCCCCCAGTGGTCAAAGCGCGAATCCAAGCAGGCCTGGCGCCTCACCTTCAAAGGCCTGATCACCCGGAAAGAAAACCCATCATCTGTCCAAGACTTCCGGGTGGACGTCGACGCGCTCTCTTCAGGGCTCGCTACACCACTCGGAGAGCTAGAGACGGGGTACGGAGGGAACAGCCGACCGGCGAGTGGAGCTTCGACGCCGAAGAGCAAGAAGGAGATGAGGGATCATTACAAGTCGCTTCAGGGGCGAAAGAGCAAGGGGAAAGGAAATCTAGGTGGAACTCAGAGAGGAGTCAAGGATATAGGAGGGGCTGGCGAGGATCGGTTCTCGGCGCCATGGTGATCGTGTAATACCGGTTGTCCGATTCGCGTGCTTGTATAAGACTGCATCATAATTCTCCTTGTACGAACAATGCCATTCCTCCGGGAAATGCCCAACGGGTTTTGGGCGAGAGGGAATGTCGGGCGCAAAGACCCGGCGTCGCATTGCTACGGGATCATGTCGTGATATTTCGTCATATGATATGGCAGCCTACACTTTGCAATGGACCAGCCTCGCTTCGTTACTCAATCTCGTGCGTCTTTTTCTGAGGGTTCAACAAGAACAAGAGCGTCAGCTAAGCACCAAACTATGGCTACGAGACGGAATCTGACGACTTACCCCTTCGAAGTGCAGGGACCAGCTGCTCAACAGTTTCCTTGCATTGACTTGATCTCCCGTGAGACTGTATCGCAGAACGAAGAAGAGATCAGCACTGTTCAGACGTGGCGATCTTGAGGGCACGACTTACGAAGGCGTTCCATAAGTGAATGGACTCAGGAACCAATAGGTGGCGATCGTGAGGACGATCAATCCGGCGGTAACTGCCGTGCCCGCCCTGCTCGGTGTAGCCCGGACGATGGGTCGTAGCCTGGTCCTGAGTCCGGCCTTGCTGACTGGGTAGTTGACTTCCTCGGTAATCACAAAGTTGAGGACACTGCCGGCGACGAGTGCGGATGCCAAATGAGCGGGAAGGTAGTGGTGCAAGAAGAGCTGCCTCGACATCAGGTAGAATGGCAAGTAGTGACAAGCCCAAGCTCCGATAAAGAATCCGGTATTACGGATCATACGGTTGCGGATACCTGCAAAACAGCGGTCAGATAGGCACGTATATTTTGGGATGCGAGCCCATGACTTACGGTTCTCGATAGGTTCAATTCCACGTCGTCTTGCCAAAGTGTCGGCTCCGATGACACCGACAAAGACGGACATGGCCATCACGCAAATCCACCATGAAGCCACATTCCCGATCAGGTAGACCTGCTTCTTCTGGTCGTTCTCCGTCCAGAAGCTGATTCCGCTCATCAAGAACGGCCAGCTAAACGGTGAGCTTTCGTAAGGATGCGAGGCGGTCAATCCGGCATTATGTTGGAGCATGAGGATCTGTAGTTCGGCGAATTTGAGGAAAAAGTTTCGCTTCTTGGCGGGCTTGTTTTCGACGTGAACGGTACGGTTCCTGAAGTCGTGACCGGCTGCGAAGAGACGGGTAGGCTGATCAACGATATGTACATGCCTCGGTCTGGCATCGAAACTCACAACCATCCGAGATGATGTCGTCCACGAACCAGATGTTCGATTTGTCCAACTGGGCCTTGTTTCCATTGATCTCTTGTTGCCCGTAGGCCCAATCGGGCAGCTTGCTGACGTGAGTCCAGAGCGCCACCTTGGTCGGCATGTGAATGAGCCTAAAGTGTCCGGACTTGCTTCGGAACGGCTCTCCTTCATGTGCATCGTTCATCTGAATCTGGAACAGGGTATCGTTGTGTCGGATGGTATCGTTGACGGGCCAGGTGGTAAATTCTTGGTTGGTCGGCATGAGCGGAGAAGCGACATCGTGCGTTAAAAGGTTGGACTGCGTGTTGACGTGGAGAAGCTGGACGACATCGTTATGCCGGACGATACGGCCTCGTCCGCTGTCGGGGATCTCCCTGGTCGGAACGATCTGCCAGTTGTTGTTGGTATCGTTGTGAGGGTAACCGGTGACCTGCTGACCTGCATATTCGGAAAGCGAGCGAGACATCTTATCAACGTTCTGTGAAAGGATGCTGAAGGTGTCTGGCGCAGCTCACCTTGCGAACTGATCCTCCCGTCATCATACTGCAGAGGATATCGGTCCAGGTGCGAGTGCAAGAAAGTCTTGGTATCCTTGTGCTTGAAGGTGACCGTATCGTAGTACCGCAACTCTGTAGTCGCAAGCGGCCGGCATCCAGATCGATTTAGATTTATCAGCCAGAAACCCTGCTCTAGCCCACAACCGGTATGTGCATACCTTGGCTGTTAAGCAACAACTCGTTCCCCCGCAAAGTCTCCTGGAAAGCCGGAGACATGAAGGTGTCTCCCGGACCAGAGTAGATCAGGATCTTGAAGTGGATCCAGAAGATGAACAGGTAGACCATGAAGGGGAATACAATTAGACCCCAAGCCCGGGCCAAAAAGTGTCGTGTGAAGTATGCCTAGATTGCGAAACAGCATGTCATACAAGTCAGCGAATCCTCGGTCGAAGAGACAACCGGATATTTTCGGAACTTACCATGCTGTGCCCCTTTTTGATATCCAAGATCCCCCACAGATCCCAGATCACCGCTCCCCCGATCGTTGCAAAGGTGAAAAGCCCGACCATCTTGCACCCGAGCGTGCAGGCGAGGAAGAACCCGGTTGCCATCAAATAAGCCCACCATTCCGGGGTGAATTCGCTGGAAAGAAGATACAAACACGATGCGACCCAATTTCGCAATCAGGTGCTGCTTCTCGAGCCGAAACAGGTGTGAAACGACTCACCGGTACCGATACTGATGGAACTTGATGTATGATAACAATGACAGGCTCATGAACAAGATCAACGCCGCATCGAGCAGGATCAATCTCGATTGGGTGATATGAGCGTTGTCTGTCGATGTTAACCACGAACGATGCGAGTTCAGCTTCTACTTAAAATCTTATATGATGACTGATCAAGGGAGCCAGACTCACCGAAGAGTACCAGACAAGCGCTAAAGGCCGCGACTATCACTGGGTAACCTGATTCTCGCATGATCCCAAAAATGATGGGCACGGTCAAGGCGCCCATCATGGCTACGAATCCTCGCATAAAGACATATGGGACCTGGGAGATGTATGAAACGTTTAATTCAACAACTTGGTCTACCGATATCCTGCGAGGTCCACAAGTCGATAGCTAACTCACGTTGTTGTCCGCATACTTGTCCCCGATGGCGTCAAAGCCAAAATCCCCATCGAAACCGCTCATCCACCCCGCCAACGCATTCAACAACTTGGCCAAGGGCGGGTGGACATCAAAGTAGTATTCCCGGCGGATGTATTGAGCTGCAAAGGCTCCGAAGTGGACTTCGTCGAAGCTGTTCGAGGTGATTATGGTTATGAGGAGAAGGAACGTTGTGTTGGGTGAAATTAGCGAGTAAATCGATGATATAAAACCATATAGAGAGCTGAAGGGAGGGACAGAAGAGGAAGAGGAGGAAGAGGAGGAAGAGGAGGAAGAGGAGGAAGATCAAAGGACAAGGACAAAGCACTCACACGACCTGATCAGGATACCCGATCCCCCAGAACCTCACTGCTGCGGCGAAACAAAACAGTACGAAGCCTGTCAAGAGGCTCGCCCGTTTTTCCCTCTTGATGCTTTCTAGTAAGGTCTTTCCTGTCGGACCGGTCGTAGAGTTTGGGTAGGGTGATGTGGGGGAGAGCGGTTTCGAGCGGGACTGCGGTGACGAATCGAGGTTGATCAGTTAAGATGGGAATCTTGATCAACTCGACTAGCCAGCTAACAGCCGAATTGAAGCTAAGCGTGTCATCAAGAGGAAGCACCACTCACCTTGTTGTCGTCATCGTTATACTCGCGATCGACCAATAACCCTTCCTCCTCCTCTTCTCCCCTCACTCGTCGTCTTTGTCTCGAGACGGTATTATCGTCATTCAGGTGCGCGACGTAGGCCGTGCCCCCGGCTTGCGGGTTGTTGGCCGGGTTGTACGGGTTCATCGAAGCCGTGATGGGCGGGTCTTCGCTAGCTAGATAAGGATCTTTTGGTGTTCGTGAGGGTGGATCGGGTGTGCTGATATCGCTCTAAAGAGTGGATCTTTGATCAAATGTGTCGACTTTCAAAGGGCAGGAAGCTAGACACGTCTCGTCGAGAGTCGGCCTGATTTACTTCCGGTGACTGTTTACGGCAAGTGAGGAACAGCTTCCGGTACGTCACGTGATGATGTTCATGCCGGTTGGATGATACTCCACCACCCTGCGTCATCAACGAGATGGTCCGGTGAGATGCATGATCGACATGATACCGTTATGGTACATATCTTCTTGGGTCATTACGACTATCACGGTAAGCTCGTTAGTACTCGAGATTCGAACTCGATCACTCGCTGACGTGAGGATCCTGCAGCGGACACGACTCCCTCATACGATGTCCCAACATCCGACTCGTATCTTCGGGCGATGTTGCGGTATGGCAAACGGACACGGCTTGGTCGTCTCCCATCCTCGAGCAGAACGGGTCAGGCTCGCTAGAGGACTACTCGAGCACCGATACCATACCAAAATACCAGCAGGAACCCAAGCGGTACAGACGAACATCCGGCTTGAGGACAGGCGTCAGACCCGATCTTGCGTTCGAAATCGGCGCTATACCGTTTCTACCACAGCAACAACGGCAATTGAAGAGACTCTACCATTATCGCAAACACCATCTATTACATCCGTATCGACCCACAAAACATCCGGCACCGCGGAACCCCGTCGACGTCTCATTCTCCGTTCAGGCGGCTTCGGCATCCCCAAACCCCATCCACCCTCGACTCCTCCTTCCTCGTCTCCCAGTCCTACCTCGGCTACCTCTTGGCCCCGTTCATCAACCGACGCGGATTCCTTGAAGATTGCCGAGGGGGGTACAAGAGCGGTACAGATAGGCGAGGACGCTTATTTCTTCGTCAGAGGGTCTATGGGCGTCTCGGACGGGGTCGGGAAGAACAAGGTCCAAAAACCTAGACCCAGATCTGGACCCGATGATAGCTCCGCTCCTGATTCTGCCGGGAAGGAGAATGTCGGCGGCGCGATGACTGGACTTGTCTCCAGGATCTCGCGCCTAGGGTCGACGCAGAAAACAGAGACAGAGCTACAGAAACGAGACCCCGCCCGATTCTCTCAATTGCTCATGCACTTCTGCGCGGCCGAGGCGGATGCTCGAGAGACGGCTCGGGTCCGCAGGAGGAAAGCTCGAGTTGCTCAAAGGATCCGAGCGAGCCGTGATCACTCGGACCGTGAGGAGCAGGAAGGAGATCCGGGAGGTAGGGGAGGGACCGAGGCGGAGGTGGACGCTGCAAAGATTGAGGAAGCAGGAGGGGAGGGGATGGATCCGATCGAAATCATGCAGTTGGCATATGAGCGTACGGTCGATTGCGTCCGCGCCGAGGTGAGCGATGGACGCAGAATTGACAGACTATCACCTGCGACTGATTTCTCGGCATATCTTGTCGGGAACGGCATATAGGGGGTGCTTGGCTCAGCGACCTGCTTGATAGCGGTACTCGACGGTGAACAGCTACGGATAGCAAACTTGGGGGACTGCGCTTTGGTCATCGTACGCAAGGGTCAGGTCGTCTTCCGAACCGAAGAGATGCAACACGGTGTGAGTCTGGCCTTGCGACGAAATGCGCGAAGGCGAGTCGAGTACGATCCGATCCGATGGCTAATATGGATCGTATCCTGCTGTTCTCGGTGACTGCAGTTCAACTTTCCTTTTCAGCTCGGGACTGACTCGCGGGATGGACCGATGAAGGACGCTCAGTCGTTCTCGGTGACGGTGGAGAAGGGGGATATCGTGGTGATGGGTAGCGATGGGCTGTCGGACAACCTAGTGAGCCTCGAGACCGCCCGTAGGGGCCAAAGACCTGTCACCTAATTCCCAGCTCATCGGATTGGGTGATCTTTGCAGTTCGATGAAGAGATTCTCGACGTCCTCTCCACTTTCTCCTCCCCGTCAACTCGTAACCATTTCATGACCCCCGACCCTGACATCAATCACACACCCAAATCGAGGACATCCAACCCGGTCAAGATCGCCTTTACGCCGCAACGAGTCTCAGAAGCCTTGTGTCTCGCGGCGAACAGTGCCAGTCGGGATATCGAGGCGATGAGTCCGTTCATGTACAAGGCAATCGATCGGGGGTACAGCTTCGCCGGAGGAAAGCAGGATGATATCAGCGTGGTGGTCGCTCTTGTAGACGCTATCTAGAAGGGATCAATATCGATACTGCTTGTACCTGGAAATATGCATGGCTCTGTGCGGGTTGAAATGAAGCATGTCTCATAGGGTGTTATATGACGTCTGTGAGACATGGTCGGAGATATAAGACCGTTGCTGCGGATCAGACGCCGATGCCTGTCGGGAAATCGTCCCGTCAAGGGTAACAAGGAAGTGGCACAGCGATACGTGGGACGGAAACACTGCCCGGGGTTGTCAAGAACGCGAACAACGAAGTCGACGCCGGGGTCGTTCGTCGTGGATCGATCGTCACCCGTCGTGTTTCATTCGGAGACGTGATGCCTTTCCATACATGCATGCGAATTGTTGGAAAGACACTACGAATAATGAATAGCGGATGCTGTACGGGCCAACGGGGAAATGTGAAGGAAGGGGATACTACGTAGCGGTACAAATATGTTCAAAACAGTATCGATCATACTTCCGGTAGGTGCCCGCTGCCATCCACGTCCCCTCGTCAAGGAACTCGTTTCTACAGCTGGGCGGACACCTTGCCCCCTCCATTACTCGCTTTGAGGTGGGCCACGGTCGTTCTAATCATCTCGATACTGCGCCCCTGCACCCGTTGCACGCTGACTCGAGAACCCGACTGTGTCGCTAGTCTTTCTACGATGATCTGAAGACATACCGGAAAGTTCCCGCCTGCTTGACGCAGACAGCGGTACACCTTGGATCGACTGGCCTCCTCTGCCCTCTTGGAGCGTCTTTGTCCTTGGAGCCCGCCTTTCGTCCAACCGACACCCCCGCCGCTCAGCCTGAGGCCACGCCAGCTTAGCTAGGGCTACGTGGACCTTGCCGAGTCCATGCGACCGACTATGTACCCGGTTAGGCGTACTAGTACGGGTTAAGGTTTGTCGATTGCACTAGTTATACTTATCAATTAACTTAGTATGTTCGTGAGTGGCCGGGGTCAACTCCGATTTTGTGGTCTAAAGGAAGTAGAGGAGGCGGGAAAAACACTCGGGCTGTTCATCGTGTTGCTCAAAGTCTTATACCTTTTCGACAGCCAGTGACGGAAGCATAGAGTGGCGGGAAGTGGAGTCTAGTACCCAGCCTCGCTGTAGGCAGAACAGCAGAAGACACATAGAACTGGACGATGTCGTCATCCTCTGGAAAACCGTGACGAGGCGGGTATGCCGGGCCTGCCGACGGGACATCTAGTGGAGTGGGGTGATCCTTGATTCGAGATTAGGGTCTAGACGGGGAAGAAGGACGGGGACGGGGTGAGCGGCGAGTGCCAAGGTCTCCTCCGTCATCCTCGTTTCGACAGGTCGTCACGCCGTTCCGTCTTGTTCCGGGGTTGAATTCCCATGCGGAGAGATCCACCGGCTACCATTTGCTCGATTCTCAGCTCCAAGGAATGGGATCGCGAAACGTGCGACAAATTTGATGGCGCGATGGGGAAATCGAGGTGGATCGAGCTCGCTCGGGATGTTTCGAAGCTTGCGCGCCCTGACGACGGGCTTACTGCAGGCGCGCGCGTGTTCGAAACCGCCCGAACTTGATGAAACGCTCCCATCAGATCGCGATGCGCCCTGAAGCGACGAGATCAAAGTCGAGCTTTGTCGTCCGGAACAAGTGAGAAACGTAGAGCATACTCAGAGCTTCATATGTACCTAGTAATATCGACGTTTAGTTGACTCGATCGTACGTATCTGGAATCCGGGTGGTTGCCAGGTCGCGCTTGAAACAACGGCGACAGGTGTAACCGAAACGAGTGTGCCTAAAAGAAGGCGAAACGCGCAAATCACTCGGCTGTGCTCCTTCACACCTCCGCTGCTTCAAACGCCGTGATCTTGGCGGCTACAAGCTACAAGCTACATGTGCACATGTGCAGGGTCATGTGGCCTTCAACTTGACGACCGAGTCATGAAAAATTGGGGTAATGACGCCATGGAACGTCCCCGCGGCTATCGCCTGTCCAGCTGCCCTCATGCTCGGCAAGACGCAAGAGAATCTGCAGCTGTGCAGCTGTGCAGGCTAGCAGCTAGCAGGCTACGAAGCTACGAACGTGTGAGCCGCATGCTAGTCATCGTACGATCCTCTCCAACCGTCAGCACCCCAATTTTTCGCCGCTGCCCTTCTCCGTCGCCGCTTCCCCAAACAGTATATAGTCTGACCGGAAAAAGCAAAGTCTACTCCAATTCCTTTCCTTCGCCACCTCCTCTTTTTCCTTTCCTCATTCATCGCTATGTGCCGACCTCACAAATCGACCTTAGCCACGGGCAGTTGACGTTCGGGAATCTTCCATGGTCTTGCTCGCCGGAAGAGGATTCACCGAGCCTGCGGTGTCGTTCGAAGTCTTGATCTAGCCTCGCACGCTCGGCAGGTGGGAACTACCGGTATATCCTTTTGGGCCCGAAGGATTAACGACATTTCGTAGGTTCCCGAAGTTCCTTGTGGCAGGGACTGCAGTACTCGAAGTGATTAAAACATCCACCCTTACCCGCCGACGTTTATACGGAAGCGGTGCGCATGCCGCTGGGTGAGGCCTGGTACTGTACTCCTGGACTATAAAGCTTTCGGGGAACCGGTTTCGGGAATGGTGATGGCCTGCTTGCAGGTGGTGCAGGATACGTGCCCCCAACGAGGGCATCGGTAGACTGCACGCGACGAGGTTGGAACGGGTGGTACCCCTTCTACCGAGCCCTGATCCGCTACCGACTCCGACCGTTCTCCGACAGGTAGTACAGTAGCAGGACCTACCGGATTATGATCGATGCTGTTTTCTCTTCGCGTTCTTACTTGTAATACTATCCATCTTCCCTTGTTCGCCCTCTCTTCTATGAAACCTATCATTCATTCGGCTTCGTGCGTTATCGTATCGTTCGCTTTTTTCTACGCCTCATGATCTTGCGACAGTGTGCTGGGGTCAACGATGCCCAGGATCGATATCGTCGCACGATTATGCGTAACTTTTTACCATTCTATATGACGCTGCGGTAAAGAAGCTAGTTCCCGACCCGCTATACTCACTGCAATAACGTCAACCAGATGGTGAACCTTGACGTGGGGCAAGTCCAGTCGACAACAAAGCACAGGTGATTTGCGAAGGAGATAACCTTTCCGCGTCGGCCTTTACAAAAAGCAATCTTCCAGTTCTGACGTACAGGTTAGCTCTATCGCTGCTGTTTCCATCGTGCATGATCATGTGGTCGTGAGGACAGCTGGATACCCAACGATGCCTAACGATGTCTGTTTCAGGAAGATGGCACATGAGACCATACCCGCCATCATCACTGACAGCAAAGCGGTACAGCCGTTCACAAAGTACCTTTCCGTCCCTGAGGGAAAGCTCGTTTCAATTTTGCTCATCTGGGTAGACCTTTCGTCATTAGGTCGAGCAGGACCGCACCTCCTTTCAGCTATGGGCCTCTATGTCCGGTCTGGCTCTATGTGCTCGCGCTCTCGGCCGTCGACAAGGAAACCAGATAGAAAGGCCGTGGCCTAGAAAGTATACCTACAAGTCATTCAGGAATTTAGTGCGAGTCGCTTGCAATCGTTCTCCTTGCGGCCGGATATTGTTCTCCGCTAGCGTTGAATCAGGAGGCTGGAAGTGAAAGGATAGCTGATCATCATATCGAGCCATCCAGGGACCGAAGGATTTCAGTGTTACGCTGCGTTAGATGACAGAGACAAGCGGTGGATATCCCGGCGAGGTTGCACAAGCAAAGTGGGGGGGTTGTGTTCGTCTAATGGCTTGAACAGTGGAGACCATCGATGTAGGATTGATACCACAAGGTCCTCGATTGTAATTCGAGAGCGAGATGAAAAGGACAGGCATCAATTTCTGCCAACGATACAAGATGACGCATCTGGTCACCGGTGCTTCCTGCCATAAGAGGACACCATAAGACATCATACTTGAGAATTTGGCCATCCAAGTCATCCTATCTGGACCTCTCGCCCTGCGCTTCCATATTTTCCACTATGAGCACCTCTTTTCCGTAGCGACGGTCAAGCAAGCACTGAATAGATCCCAAAGAGACATCGATGCTTGTTGATCAGCTTGCAACTCCGCTGATTCATGGAGAGCATGGCCGTTTTTCGATCCGTCCAATTCTGGTGATCCGCAAAGCTGCTGCAGTAGTATGAGTAGTATTCACCATTCAAGCTGGAAAAGATGTTCACGAAACATCGAATCATATATCCACATGACGCAAGCACAAACGATGAACAATAAACAAGACCAACTGCAGAAACCCAAATGGCATACAAATAGAGGCGATCGATACCCCATCTTCCCGGTTCAGCTCTCCATCCTCGACGCTTTCTTTCTTTCTTCTCCTTATTGATCGTCCTTTTTCTTTCGAACTCACAACCTCCTTCGCAAATCATCCCTAACCTCATCTCCGCTGGTGGCGACGTCGCTTTACGAGGCGCTGCCAAAGACCGAAAACCTCCGGACCAAGCTCGGTCCGAATTCCTCATATTGCGCCTTGGTATGGGCGACATTGTAGAACTCGGGGAGCGACGCCATCAAGCTTCCTCCGTACCAGACGGCGAACCGTTGTCTCTTGTGCGAGATAACGTTTACCTCGACTCCGCTTGACTGTGCATCAGGAGATGTATAGGTATTGATCAGCGCTCGCTCGTTATATCGATGACAGTATCTCGGGGCCAAGTTGGACGCGACCACTCACTCGCATGTGACTACCACTCGCAGTCTCGCTGTTGGCAATCCTCCCATCGACGATATGCTTTACGTCACGTTGCAACCTCCTGCCGAAATCCTTGAACATGGTCGAACCTCCAGAGAGGACAATGTTCTAATAGACCGGGAAAATTGAATGGATGATCGTGTTAGTAAGACAACGATTTCACCAGTCCGTCATCCATACCACCCACCTTGTAAAGCCCTCGTCTGACATCGATCGGACTGGTCTGAATGACGGTATCGACGACCTCGGGCAAGGGGGTCAAGAAGTCCGACGAGTAGATTTCCGGGTTGAAGAAGATCTCAGGTGCCAAGAACCGCTCGTATCCGACGTCCACGTCGTAACGCTGCAGCATATGTCCAGACGAGGACAATAATCAGCTTTTGCGCTCTGGTCGGATCATCGTGTTCGCGTATCCCAAACTAACCCTTCCGGTGACGCTGTGCTCGCCGGTGAACCTTGCAAAGTACTTGTAGGGATCCGCATCGGTCTTCTTGATCTCCTTGACGATGTCCTGACAGACGTATGTGTAATCCTCCTTGATCTTCTCAGCCCTGCGAGTCATAAAGTGCAACCATCGTTTATTAACCGGACGGCCCCATGTTCACGTTGAAAACATCATGTGCGCTACTCACACCCTCCACTGGTCCTCGGGCGGGATAATCGCCTGTTCACCCCGGTCTCTCAAGAGGTTGAGGACGAACTGAGTGATATCCCTACCGGCAATCGGGACGTGCTTGATCGAGGACCCGATGACGTATCCGTCGGCTACGGGGATGGTGTCTATCGAGAGGTGCACGAGTTGGTGCTTTAGCTCGATCCACAAGTTTACGGAGAGACGGGCAATGAGAAGACAGGGAAAGCTGCCGCGGCACTCACGGGTAACACCGTCACCACTATCGATGACCACACCCGTCAATGTTCGATCGGCGACCTTGTTACTAGACCACGAGGCCGCGAGGGCCAATACGGCCTGGACGGCAATGTATCTGCAAAGTCGCCCCCGTCAGAAGGCGATTCTTGATCAGGCGAAGAAGCCGGATGTTGGAGACTTACAAGCCTTGGACGTTGAAGCTCTCGAACATAATCTCGGCCGTGTTCTCCCTGTTCTCGGGAGCGTTGAGAGGAGGCTCGGTCTAATGTTACCGATTCGACAATTAAAGGGAAAGATGGAAGATGGTAACGGGATGGAGGGATGAGAAGGTGACGTGAGAAGCAGAGAGAAGTAGTTCGGGTGGATCAGGTCGCGAACTATACCGCCACGATGGTCGCGACCCGGACTCACGAGCAGAACATAATGATCCTCCGGCTCAGCCCTCAGATACTTGAAGATCGTCTTGGCCCAAAACCTCTCCATCAAGTCCCAGTTGTCAATCTGCCCATGTTTGATCGGGCTGTGGACGTTGTAGGTCTTTGCGTTGGCTACAGCTTCGTCTCCAATGAAATAGTCGAGGTCGTCGATCCCCCGCTTGGAAGCTAGATGTCCGGGCTTGTTGGCAACAGGAGGACCTCGTCCACCAGCGTTCGAGGAGGAAGATGACGAGGGGGAGGCGTGAGTCGCGATGGCTGTGGGGAAGACGAAAGAGGGCTCCGAGTTTCCAGCGAATCCCTAGTGAAAACAGAAAGCGCAAAGGTCATAAGGTGAGAACATTCTTGCTAGCATTCGACCCGGATGGAGAAGTATATGTGACTTGCCGACTTGGAATAACCGGTACCATTGCTGCGGTAGGGGCAGGGCCGCAAGGGATTAGCGATGCGATCGAACGGCGCGGCATTGACAAGCATGGAAAGACGAGGAGACTCACTCGATAACCAAGGGGGCGAGTCTGGACATGGTGAAGTGGGTTGTGCGTAGGAGATGTCCTGCTGAATGTAGGACGTATACGAGTAAGATGAGATTGATGATTGTCTCTCACGATTCTCTGAACATCGACGACGTCGAACGGTGCAGCAGCAGCAGAAGGAAGGGGATGACGTCTTGGTGAGCTGGAAACACCGCGGGAGGCCTGACTCGATAACGCATACTGCAATGTGGATATGCGTTATTGATGACAGGTTTGCCTGGTCCCGGGGTGTGGTGCGCCGCGAGCCCGGTCTTCCGGTCTTCGGACATGCGCGGACGACGATGAGCGAACGAAATTAAGGGTCGAGGTCGAGTTCATTCCGAGTCACAAAGAGCTCGAGTCGGCCAGTCGCCTGGTCGACATCTCTGCTCGTAGTCAGAACCTGACATAAGCTCGTGAGCCTGCGCATCCTCAACCTCGCACAACTCTTGCTGACTTAGTTCGGTGCCGCTCTTCATAGTACCTTCAACCCTTCTGACCACCATGGCTTCGACGTTCTCAAAGACCGGCCGTAACATCATCTGTATCGGCCGAAACTACATCGATCACGCTAAAGAGCTTGGGAACAAGGTCCCTAAGGAGCCTTTCTACTTCTTGAAACCTACGAGTAGTTACTTGCAGCATGGACAGGGCAAGATCGAGATTCCAAGAGGAGTGGTCGCTCATCACGAAGGTGAGCATTGTTGTGGTCAAGTCGCTCGTGAATCTTTTCTGTTGAAGAAGCTGAAACGCCCACCATGTCTTCTCCTTCATCTTCTGCTATACCCTCTAGTTGAACTCGGAGTAGTTATCGGTAAAGGAGGCCGGGACATTCCTCCTTCCAAAGCGTTCGACCATGTCGCTGGATACAGTTAGTACAAAAGTCTTCCTTATCTTGACTCGTTCCTTCCCACTTCCTTCTTTCCTTCACTGGCCTATCTTCGACTCTTCGTTCTTACACAGTATTCGATTGCTTATCCTGTGCGCCCGATTGCTCCCCATAGCCCTGGCGATTGATGTGACCGGCCGAAACATGCAAGACGTCGTCAAGGGGAAAGGTCTTCCCTGGGCTGCCGCTAAGGGGTTCGATACGTTTGCTCCTGTCGGGTTAGTTTTCGCACCCAAGGGATCTCAAATCGTGATGCCAAGCTGACCTTTACGTCCTGTCTCGCTTTTACATCTCGCTTTTTACCCGTGATCCTCCAATACCTGCCGATCTCGGAACTATCGACGCAAACCTGCACTCATCCCGCCCCACATCCAGCCGCTTCATCCCGAAATCCTCGCTCCCGGATCCTGACAACGTTGGGCTTACCCTCTCCATCAATGGACAGACGAAGCAGTCCGGAGTTACGGGGGATATGCAATTTAAGATCCCACAGTTGATCGGGCATGTTAGCAGTATCTTTGGGCTCAACGTGAGTCATTCCGCTTGCGTCTTTGAAACTGGATGTACCATACCGAGACGTTGGGACTAGAGGTTGTTGCATCGCCGATGGACATCTCGCTGACCCGATCCGCTCTTCCTGTTCTATGTCGATCTTACAGGAAGGAGACCTAATAATGACCGGTACCCCCGCTGGAGTGGGCGAGATGAAGCCCTCGGATAAGATTACAGTTCGGATGACTTCCCCTGGGCTAGAGGGAGAGGTGGTGGACGAGTTGGAGTGGGACTGTGTGCAAAGAGAGGGAGGCTATGAGTTCAAGGGCTAGAATGGAGGAGCGGATCGGGCCAATCCAATGGACGTGAGGGATTGGGCGAATTTATACACCGTGCCGCTCGAAATGGTGCTCCTTGAGTCGAAAAAGACTCTTTCGAGGGGTTTTGGGCCGACATGAATATATCACATGGGTTCATAAGATACGGGCTATCGATTGCCTGTTGGTCTCCTGAGCGCGAACGGATGGACTTGAAAAGACGACCGGCTTGATCTGGGCGGTGTGATCCAAGAAGTCCGTTGCTTCGAGGCCAGCTCGTTCCGGACAACGATGCTCATTCTCCTCCATGTGACGAAGGCCTGGAGATACGATTGACCGTCTGATCCTTCGGATCCTCGGTCAACAAGTCGTTCGCTCATCGGATCGAGGAGCTCTGCTCGCATCACAGACGAAAGGCACAGACGAGTTTGGTACCGAGAAGAGATTCGTGATGGGGATGCTCGTCAGCCAGGATCCCGTTGTTGAAGAACACTGGGCCTCGCACGCCGGTGCTGGGGAATGTTCAAATTGCTCGACGGCTCTTTGATCCCGGCTGTTGCAAACAATCCAGCACGATCAAACAATCCTCGACGTGGAGAAGATCGACCCATGCGTCTTGAACTCGAGGGGAAGCGTTCCGGTACGAGGTCTGAGGCGCGAAGATCAACATCCTGGACCTGATGTGTTGGACGACCATAGCGGCATATCGCATCACATCGCGTCGAACCAGGAATAGGCTCGACTGCGAGATCGATCGTTCGACGGCAAGCTACTCAGCTGTGCCGTTCTTTTTTCGGGGCCGATAATATATAGCATACTGCGCGCTGAAAATTCGGGTTCGATATGAGGCCAACTCGTATGTCAAGTGATAATTTGGGAACGATCATGCGATCACGAGGGTTGGGTTATGTTTGTTTCAGGTTTTGCGCTTGCCGGACAAGACAACAACGACTTCTCGCAGTAGAGACTCCGACGAACACATTCCACGTCGCAGTTACAACGCCAGCCAGTTGTGGTGGACCACCTTACGTGACATGGGGACATCTGTTCTGCTCGCTGAGACCATGAATACGCATTCGAAAGAACCACCGGTTTCATGACGCGTTGACGAGCAGCGTTGATAAGCAAAGAGACGCCACACATTCCCTCTTCGTCAGGGAAGCCAAGGCCAAGATGCTGGGCCAAGGTCTAGCCAGCTAGCCAAGATCAATGCCAAACCTACAAGGGGAAACGCGTCCGAGTACAATAGGATACGAGGTGTATGGCACACGTATGGATGACACGGAGGGGACTCGAGGTGGAATGTCCCTGAACGTCGATCGCCAAGCCGTAAAAAGATCTGCAACCGCATCCACAGCACAGCACTCAGCGGGGGAGAGGGCAGAGGCCTGAGAGGGGAGGTGGCTGAACGCGCTCTTTTGCGTCGTCGGGTTGGCCGGAAGAGGCTTTTCGACGGTTCCCACGCGCGGCAACAGAGGCAGCAGGACTGCGCGACGTTGCGATTGTGGGATGGCGGGTTCTATGGGCAGAGAGGCGGGGACCGTCATTGTTTGTACTTCACTCGTACAAGACCGGATCGATTATATGATCGACCTGCTTCTGAAGTGGTTTGGATCTTGTTTGATTCACGAATCCTCATTCCACGCTTCCCACTCCCAAACCCCAACCCCTAGTTCGAATCTTTCCAAATCTTCTAAACTCGCAAAAAAAAAGCAACCCGTACCCTCGACCTATCAAACCTCCAAACCTAGATCGAATTCGACTTCCCGCTGCTGTGCAAACGGATCAATATCAATCTAGTCCCAAGGAAAGAATCTCGAACTCGCCCTCCTCCCCTCTTCCCGGATCGTCAGCCCTCCTTCACCATCCCCTTCCACTCGTCGAATCGAACCTTCCCGGTGGATTCTCTTTGATCAGATCAAACTTTGATCAGGTCAAGCCTTTCGTTTGAGAATAAACAAAAAGAAAAGGTGAGCCATCCCGCTCTGCTCCTTCTCCGTCGTGTCTTTTCTCCTGGGCGTTTCGTCTCGTCTCTCTCTGGTCGGACCTGGGACCCGCTTTGGATCTTTTGTTCGATCCGGACGAACAATAAGAGTCGACGAGTGTTGTTTCGAAACAACAACTTCGTCCCCTTGATCGGGATGCGATGGTCCTTTGAAGAACAAAGAGGGTCCCCCCCGCGCGTGCACGGTCACGATCAGATCAGATCATCAATCCTGCCTCGCTCTCTCTCCCTCTCCCGCTCTCTGCTCGCGCTCGCGACTCACTTTGGTCCATGGTCCCAAGGCTCCAAGCACTTTTCGCTCATCAATCTCTCTCTTCTCTCTTATATCATCACCACCTCGGTCCTCGTTCACACACACTCCACACACTCCACACACGCTCCACTCTTCACTCCACTCATCCTCACGGCGATACCTCTTCAAACCTCGACTTCACCTCACCTCGACGAACGCGGCTGTGCTGTTTTCTCGACCTCTCAACCTCATCAAACCGCCTTCCTTCTCCCCTTGGGTCTCACCTCGAAACACGACACGACGCCTCTTGTCCATCAACTCTCTATCGACACTTGGCTCTCTCGGTTCCGCTGAACAACACAAACTCTTGGTATATCGACATCGTCGTCTCTCTTGTTCTCTCGACCGACATCATATAGATAGATAGACGCTTGACGCGGTATCTTCCTCTCTTGTGATCTCAACCACCTCTCCATCTTCTATCATCAACCAAACACCTCGACCTCAACCTCTTCACCATGGTTCACTCTACCACCGCCCTCACCCTCTTCACTGCCGCCGCCCTCCTTTCCTCGACTGGAGTCACCGCTCACTTGCCCGGCCGTGATGGTCTGGCCGCTCGACACGCCCACGTCCCGGCTCACAAGAAGGCCGCCAGTGCCGTCGCCGACGCCGCTAGGTCCCTGATCCCGGACCTCGAAAAGATTCGACGGGGTGCCGACGACATTCTCGCCAGGAGCTCGGTCGCCTCAGGATCGAAGCAAAAGACGAAGCGACGGGTCAAGAAGAGGAAGAACACGTGTGTGCCCCAGGTCGGGTTCAACGTCACCAACCCTACTTCGCCGGGTTCGTCTTCTTCGGCTTGGGCCACCTCTACCGCCACTGCGACTGCGACTGCCACTCAGTCCGACAGTCAGAGCAAGATCGGCAACGAGCACATCGCCACCGGGTCTGCCACGTCGACCGCCTGGAGCTCGGCTAGTAGTGCGGCTCAGTCTTCATCGGTCCCCAACCAGCAGTACAACTCGCTCTGGAACCTAGAGGAGACGTGGAGCGGTAACTCGTTCTTTGACCACTGGGATTTCTGGAACCACAACGATCCCACGCACGGAGTTGTCAACTACGTCGATGCCGGTACTGCCGTGAGCTCTTTTTTCCCCTTCGAACCTTCATTACTTGATCCGCTTGCTGACGTCTCATCCTCGCTATCTTCTGATCATTCGCAGTGGAACGAAGGCCTCGTCTCGATCAACGACAAGGGTAACGCCATCATGAAGGTGGACACCACTCAATGGATTAGCGGCAACCGTAAATCCGTCCGACTTCACGGCAAGCTCGTGTTCACCGGAGGTCTCGTCTTGATGGACGCCGTCCACATGCCCGTCGGTTGCGCCACCTGGCCCGCTTGGTGGCAGAACGGTCCCAACTGGCCGATCGGTGGAGAGATCGACATCCTCGAGGGTGTCAACAACTTCAAGATCAACCAGGTCTCTGTGCATACGGATAACGGGTGCACCATGCCCGACAACCAAAAGCATACGGGGTACTTGACCACGGGGAACTTTGACAACCGAAACTGTGCTTCGTACGCTACCAGCAACCAGGGTGAGTCGCCGGACGCGGCTCGAAGGCATGATTCGGAAAGGACATTTGGCTGATCGCTTTCGTTTGCCTCTGATGACTTGCAGGTTGTGGTGTGCGAGACGCCGATCAGACCGCTTACGGTGACGGATTCAACAACATCGGAGGTGGTGTCTATGCCAGTAAGTACAGGCGCTCACCTCTTCCCGTCTCACCATCGCATAGACACTGACTCGAAATCGCTCTCGCTACAGTGAAATGGGACAAGTATGGTATCAACGTCTGGTGGTTCAACCGTAACAACATCCCCGCCGATATCACCGCCGAGCAGCCCATGCCCGACCAGTGGGGTCTTCCCATGGCCAACTTCCCTTCGACCCAGTGCGACCCTTACAAGTACTTTTACGACAACATCAACATCTTTACCAGCACCCTCTGCGGAGACTGGGCCGGTGGGATTTGGAACTACGCGGATGCCGGCGAGACCGAGACTTGCGCCCAGAAGACCGGGTACGCCAGCTGCGAGGATTACGTCAGGAACAACGGAGACAAGTTCCAGAACGCCTACTGGGAGGTCGCCTACGTCAAGTACTTCAACTCGACGACCGAGCTATAAGCATGCTGCTGCTCGGATCGTTCTTGTTGGGTTTCTTGTTCTCTCCGATATTTTCTCTTCCAACCGATTTGGACGCCTATCCACTATAGAATGTACACCCCCCCCCCCAATCAGTGGATCGAGCGGACCTTCCCCCTCCTCTCTCTTCTCTCTCTCACACTGTATTGGAGCGAATGTATACGTACCTCTGGATCGGATCGCCATCCCCTCGAAACCCTCTGGCATCGCTTTCGCCATCATTCCCTCGCCCCAGAGCTATTCAGGCTGGTCCTGTTACTCTGGTCGTGCGGTTGTCATGGCGGAGACCGAGAGAATTTGAACGTGCAATCTCGATCTCCCTCCCTCTCCTCCGGTCTTCTTCTTTGGGTTAAACGGAAAGAAAAGAGTTGTGCTTGTATTCGTATCACTTGTGCAATATGAGGGAATATACATCCATGGTGTTCCACGTTCGTCCTCTTTCGATTAACGCATAGTGTCAACGATTCGCATGCTGCCCACGCTACATACAACCTTGACCGGAGACAAACCCTTGGAAGTTCGCCAAGGTCGACGGCGTTTACTTGCAGATCCCATACTGACTGTCTTTTCCAGATACTGTCATTGAAGAACACCAAGCCCTCCAGGACAGCGCTGGAGGTCTGTCTGATCTGCTTGAGGGTTGCCTTGCGATGGACGAGGCTATGGAAGTGGACGAGGAGGATGATCTGGTCGCTCAGGCTGTGAAAGCGAGCGCCCAGAGGAAAGACCAAGCTGAAGACGCTGCGGCCTGGGAACACGACATTGCCCGGTGGAATGACCTTATGATGAGCCTTATCATCATCCCGATCGGCCAGCGACGAAAAGGAGGAGGAGGTTAAGAAGATCAATCATGATCTTCACCTTCTGGAGAAGAGGTGGAAGCATAAGGCCGGCGTCACTGGGTATGCAAAGTGGGTCGGCAGCTGCGTTTGAGGTTCCTTGGTAGAGCTCGATGCGTCACCATGCAGATTTTGAATCACGATGTAGCCCCACAGACAAGTTAAATAATGATGCTTCTTATATCAGTCCACTTGTCATGTGTACCGATAAGAATCTGATGATCGTGGTGCATCTACAAGAATCTCGAGCGACTCCTCCACTGTCCCACTATGGGCTTAAGTATGACCCCCTTGTTGCTCTCCCCGCCCATCGGGCCTGCTTCCTGCGAAGGAGCCGCGGCGCCGGCTGCGATTGCTGCGTGTCCTTGGGTTGCGTCATATCCTCGTTGAGCACTCAGCCAAGCCTCCCGCGTCCGTTCCTCCTCGCCGATCAGCTTGTCTTTGATGATATCGACGTCGGATTTACACATCCACGCGATGTCGAGCGCCGAAGCGAGAAGATCGCGGAACCGGTCGACCTTCAGCTGCAGTTCCTGTCCGAGTTTTCGGTGGCTGGACGAAGCCAGAAGGAGATGTGGAAGGAGGTTCGACACTTCGTCTATGTGAAGCGTCAATACGGGGAAGTAACAGTTACATCAGTCGAGATGCTGGGACGATATACGTGTATCAAGCAACTTACCGCTCTTCTCGTCTACCCTACTAACCAGTCTACCGAGACTGTTCAAAAGATATTCGAACTCATCCACAGTGCCCTTCTTTCCTGCCGCCTTTCTTCGAGCCTTTCGACGCGTACTCGATGTCACCCTGCGAAAGCAAGACTAGGTTACCATTTCATTGCAGACGATAATGCTTCCCCACTAGACGCACTTCGAGGCACCCGTGACATTCGAGGTGGCGGATTTGGCAGCGGTGAAGCGTGTGAAACCGGTCACTGCAGTTGTCGCCTGTGTCATTACGTCGACGTTTTCTAGCGCAGGTTCGGATTCGATCATGAAAAACGAATCTACAGCAGTACGTGTCGAAATCGACCACAACATCAGCTGATCGTAATTCGTTCTGACGATCGACAGCAGACTTGCCTGGATCTTTGTCCACCTTGGCACGTAGCTCCTTGATCCTGTCCATTTCCTTCTCAAGCTGTCCTTCCATCTCGTCAAACGTGTCGATGAACTGCTCATGCGCGTCTTCCAATCCAGGATGCAGGCTCGACTCGATGAGGTCCGGCTTGTTATGGAGCGCGATCTGACAGTAGTGGTACACAGGATCAGCGGTCAGATTTATGGCAGATCTTCGGAAACAGAGACTCACCAGTCGCTTTGCCTCGGCAAATTGCGAACCCCTACACAAGACATGTACGGCTTCGCTGACGCCACCACCATAGTCGAGCAAGATTTGCGCAGCTTCCAGATGGCGGGCGTGCAATGCCAGGTATTCTGCGAGGAGAACAAAATTTAGCTAGACAACTCGCCGCAAAGCTCGTGCGTTCGGCTCACCGGAAACTCGCTCGCACATATCGCTCAGCTCCTCGACAGCTAGCTTCTCGCTGATGGCCAACGCGAATAGCTGTCGCCAAGCGTGTGCATGCTCGTACGCTACCATCGCTCGATCGAGCCTATCTGCCAAAACAAACGCTGTAATTGGGACGGGTGTTAACAGCGCTCGCACGCAAGGCCATCTCAAGGCTCACCTTGGGCTGCCTCGGAGAATTGCCGTTCCTCGATTAAATGCTCGCCGTAAAGAACATAGATAGCCTGAAGCGGATGACATCAGTGGAACGCAAGCTAGACCAAATTACGCAACAGGATGTCTTACCTTCAATTCTTCGGGCTGACCCGACCACAACCGCAATGCAGGGATATAAAGATCGTGTCGTTCCACATATTCGATGGCTTCTTCGAAATGACCTGTTCAACCTAGTGTGAGCTTGATCTATATCCGTTCAGATCTACAGCGCGGCGAATTACCTGCAGAGTGCAAATGACCAAGAGCACGTTCCCACCGCTCGAGATGGTCATCGATCCGGTACCGTTGATAATCCTTCTCAAGAGCACGAAGTTCCCTTAAGAAAGGTAAATATTCCTTGGGGTCCTGTGGAACGTGATCAATCAGCGGATGCATTGACACTCGATGGTACGGGAAGACAAGAGACAAGTCTACCTTTTGCGAATATTGGGCCACCATCAGAACCAATTGGAAATCGTACATCCCCAAGGCGACATCGTATAAGTGATTGACGTTTGTCAAAAAGATGATATACTTGATGGCGTCTTGCACGATCTCGGGATGAGAGGCTGTAAAATCGCTCATCAACTTATGTATCGAACAATCGCACCGAGCAGTGCGACCGAACTCACATTTCAGCTGCAAAAGAACTCGGAGCCCGCTCTCCAAGTCAGACGGCGTCTTGCAGACATGGGTCGTGAGCACAGTGTCGATATATTTCACGAGATCCCGACCTTCTAGCTCGCTTCGAAGGCTATCACAGATCCGATTGACCTTCTCAGGATCGGATTTGATGGCCGACCTGGAAAGAAGGCAGTACGACTTGGTAAGCGGAAAGGTATGGATTCAGTCCCCTGAATACCCACCTTGATTCGCTCATTCGAGAATACAGAGTCGTAGTGACGTCGTCCGGACTAAGGCAAAGAATTATGTGCTCAGTATGGAATGCAAGGACTCGTAAAAGGGAAAGAACGACTGACCTGAGCCCGGAAACGAAAAGGTTGAGATAATCGACCTCTTTGACCTGATCCAGGAACGTGGAGATGTTCTGCTGAAAAGCCGATGGGTCCACGTCGTAAAGGATGTTGAGGTCTATCCGATGACGGCGGCAATGCAGGAACGCCGATCGGTATCGCTTGCTGTTGGTATGCGGGAATGACATCAGAAGTGTTCTGTGTGTCCCAGTAATAGGCAGACGCTCACGCAAGGATATCGCGTCTGACAACTTCAAGTACGAGCGGACGAGGGTTGATAGACTCCAGGTTCCCGCGAGGCATCTGCAGAACTAGGCTCATCGCACTGGGCACGACGGTCACGATTTTCGAGCCTCGCTCTACCCGTCGGCTTTCCCAGATCCGCTCCCCTTCAACCAACGGCTCTTCCATTGCGATCCTCCGAAGAACGTCCAGCGATGCGTATTTCGACTCGTGTGAGGTCGTCGTGTAGATCAAGAATGTGGAGGAGAGTATCATGGACGTCGCGTCCGAAGCAATCAGTTGGGCCTCGTGTTTAATTGGGCCGTCCGATACCAGACTCTGGTCGTCTTGCTCGTCGACATCCTCGACATCGCTAAGGGCCACATTTTCGCCTGATCCCAACACCCATAACTTTCCCCTATCATTCATGCCGAACAGCAGCCCCTGGGCGGCAGATGAGCACACATCGAAGCAGAATTCGGGAAAGTGAGACAGTTGCCCAGCATCTATCACATGACCTAAGTCAGTGTACCATTTGAAGAAGTAGAATGCCTCATGTCTTACCTGCAGGTCCTGCGACTTCTCCGGTGGAAAGGACCGCTAAAGGCTCCCCTTGAACGTCATACGTCAATCTCCCAAGCCTTCCGTTGATTCCGACCAAGCCTGCTGAGGCCTTGCATAAAACATCCTGCCCTTCGATATCCCGAGCCAAGCCGCACACCTCGCCGGCGCCTGTGAGGATCACTTGCCGCCACTCGGCCTGGTCCAACTTCAGACGATCTTCCTGCGTCTTTTCGGGCTTTGCAACGGCACCGCCTCCCCTCGCACCAGCTAGGGGGATTCGAGTGTGTAGATCGAAGACTTGATAGGTGCCGCTATTGAACAAGGCGACCAGCTGGTCCGAAGCAGGAGCGAATGCGACATGGACCGGAACGGAAGGCAGGGCTATTTGATATGCCGACATTGGTGGGGGAACATTCTGAGACCGAAACGGCGTTATCAGCAATTGATCTGGAAGAAGTACAGTCAGTCAAGTGAAGCCACATACGTAAAAGGGGACTTATCGAGCTTACCTCCGTCAATTACAGCTACCGAGCCTGTGTCATCGGGAATTGCCAGCCGCGATGTAGCCGTTTCCCACTCAAACGTCCTCTGCAAGGCGAAATCTGTGTAGTGGGACGAAATAAGTGAACGTGAAGAGAAATGGAAAAGCAGTCGCAACTCACCTCTGCCGGTCAGGTATAATACACCGGGATTTTCCTGATGCCATGCGACCGAGGTGAATCTCTGTGAGCAAGATGATGGCGGCAGGATTTCTTGCTTGAGATAGTAATGGTAGTTGTTCATCGTCCATAATTGTACTGCGAGATGCCTAGAGTCAGCCAACGAGCAGTTAATCGATGAAGCGAGGCTACGGTGCTCACCGAGATCGGCATCGTCCCTCTGAATCCAAACAGCAAGTATCTCCGAGTCACTACTGTAGGCCAGCTGCTTGACGTGCCAGTCGCATTGACCCTGCTTGACGAGTGCTTCTTTGCCTCGATAACGCTCGTCCTCGCGCAACCTGAACTGCCCGTGCTGCAACCCGTTGCGCTCCAGAAATATGACATCCTTTCGACCTCGATCTTCACCCTCGCCTTCGGCTCCGCCATCCCATCCAAATCCTTGTACGGCAGCGATGAGATTTCCCGCTGGTCTCCAGCTTATGGCACCCTCCAGACCGTATATCGGTTCACTCGTTGCGCTCAGGGCTATTGGGCTCCGAGCATATACCCGGACCTGTCTTCGGTAGTCCCCGGCTCGCGAGGAGGAGGTTGAATAAGGGTCATATGAGCTGACGCAGAAGAAGGAGCCATCCCCCCTCCAAGAGATTGTGGGCAGCTGATGATCCAACGGGTTGGCAGCGGGCAGGCGGGTAGCAACAGCCTGAGCAGCCGATTTGCCTAGGGAGCCATGAAATTGTGTTTGTTTCGATCCCCAACCGACGTTGATCATCTCGTCTGCAATGGAAAGACATTGTCAGCACTGCTATCTGGAATGGTGGAGACTGTTGAAGAGCCCTTACCTTCCCCGTAGTCCTCCGTCCGCAAAGGAGCTTCGTAGATGACCTCGAAATCTCTTGACATGACGACAAGCTGATCCTCGCCTGGAAAGGTCGCGACGGTTTAGTCTCGGTCTTCTTCTTCTTCTTCTGCGATTCATCAAGGGGTCTGAGGCATACCGGTAATCAGGACGACCTGTTCGTCATCTGGTGACCAGGAAGCAGCCTTGATTCCGGAATCGATACTACCGACAACGTAAGCCTACACAATACAAGTACGAAGAGATCAATTGAGGGGTGGCTATCACACGATAGCTCAGTGAGCGAGAGACACGGAGAGACATACCTGTACAAAACCGTCTTCCTCACCGGTGTTGTCATATTCGTCTCGATTGAGTTTGAACAGAACGATATCTCCGCCAGATGTGAGGACCGAGATTGCAGCATCTTCTGCCAAGTATCTGAAAGAGATCGCCTCGCAGGCATCCTCAGAGGTAGGAAAGAAGTTGTTTGTAGGGACTTCCAGCAAGCAGATCCACTGAGACGTCGGTAAACTCAGCTATCGCGGGAGCGGTCGAGCGTAAGCGAAAGGCAAGGACGTACCTGCAATATACGAGTGTCACCGTTCGTCTCTGCCTTTGAAATCTCGAGCTCCACCAAGCCCGAGTCGTCCTTCTTCTCACTGAGAACATAAAGAGTGTCGTCTTCGGGGTTCACAGTCGTCCTAGTAATCCTGCTGCTCGAGCGGGTGACGCGAGCTGCGTCGTGAATCCAAAGATCGGAGAAGGTCCCCGTAAGATTCCGCATGATGACTGGTTATGTTTGACGAATGTCTACAAATGGTCCGGTGTACCTTTCCAGGAGATCTTGCAGATACGCAAAGTTTTAGACCTTGAAGGTTCGTTCACCCTCGGCCCTCGGCGGTCAGCTCGCTCGGCCAGATTACGAAATATGCCCGACCTGGGCATCGCTCGATCGACTCGCGCGCTTGTTTCTGCACTCCTTCAAGGGTTGTCTCACAAGCTCACGATGGACGAGCTAAAGAAAACAGATGACATTGGCGCTTTGGTTGCTGACTAGACCAAGGATGCTGTGGCATGGGAACATGACATCGCCTGCTGGAGCACATTGGTGAGCAATAGTAGGAAGAGCCAACTCAATCCGCTTGTCTGAGCTGATCTAACCCACAGACTCAGATGATGAGCCCTCCGTTCGCGAGCTAGCTCACTGTATTTCCTCCTGTCTCATCAATTTTCAACGGGACATTTTCTGTATTGGACGATTTCATCGTAAAAAGGATTGTACAATGCAAAAGTTATATTTTCTTCCAATTAAATACCACAAAGTAAGATTCAGATAATCCATGTCTTCCGTGCAACGGCTACCGCCTCTTTAGATCTGCGCTCTGCTCCGATCAAACGCTTGACCTTGTCCAGCCAATGCCAACATTCGGTCTAGGCGGCGACTTTCTTAATCAGGCCAGGTGCGGTAAAAACCAGGGATAATGGCAGGACATGAATGCGGTAGTATACCTCCTTCAAAGCAAATAATATCAGATCATAGATGGTTTTGACAGTCGCAAAGAACCGTACCCTCATGCTCGTCGTCCTGCTCTATATGTTCCCCCATTCATTTTCGCTTCAGATAATTAGCTTCCCGTCGTCAAATTGGGGCTTCGTGATTCGGCTTATCGTCAATTCAAGGTCTCGAATCATCGGATGACGGTCGACGAGAATCATGCCGCTGCTGAAAAATAACGCCTTTGATAATCAGGAAGGATACAACCGATGGTCCGCATTTCTGATCTGCTCATGGTTTTGGCATGTTCCGGAAGAGTCAGGATCAGTTAAGACCCTTCATTGGAGATCGGTTTACCCATATTAGCTGTCGAATTTTCGTAGATACGCAAGAAGGCAAAGTATCCCGTGCTTCTCCGATCTGTGTCTCACGGAATGAAGAAAATCGCCACTCTACAGAGGTCGAGTCGTCGTCAGTTTGCCGACTCGAGAATGCAAGCAGAATACTACATCCTATATCATACCCTCTAGCAATCTTCGCACGCTCTGTTCAATTTACAGACCGCTTCCCAGAGTATTATGGATTACAGCCTATACAACCAACTTGGAGATGATCACAAGCAACGACATGTAAGCAATCCGATTGATGATCACGCAGCATATCGTCGAATCTGAAAATCGTCTCGCATACCCCGATGGACTGCCCGTAAGCCAACCGGTCACATCGGTCACGTCAGCTTCGTCTGCTCTTCCGCGAACATCAGGGAGACGATTGACAGAGATCCGACTTACTTGTCAGTTCGACGTGGTTACAGGCCCTCTTTGACCAATTTCAAGATCTTCTTCCTAACACAGTGTTCTTGCCGATGTCAGCGATATATCGATCTAAAAGTTCAAAGTCCCCTGCACCATCCTCACTTCTGGACATTTGCCCAACTCTGTCAGCGGAAAAAGGTCAGCCTTACGAAAGTTCACAAGTTGCGACTTTTACGCCTCCATCCTCACCATGTGGAGCAGGTTCGGCACTACTCCGTGCGCAGTGGCCACTTGAGAACGATGCTCGGCGGTCACCGAATTCAAGGCGATTTCCAGCAACTCGAGGGTGATGGTTGGGTGAGAAGGCTTCATTGGGGCTTGGCAAGAGGTAGAAGAACCGCCGACAATAGAATCCTTGACGCTGTTCTTCTTATGCGCCGTCTTCTTGGGAGAGGCTTTGGCCTTGGGATTGGGCTTCTTGTCCGGAGAAGGTGGAGCAGGAGTCGGTTCGAGTTCTATACCAGAGGGACGACAAACTCATTCGGTCGTTTCGATAACAATGCTGGAGGGGCGCAAGGGTACTTACCGTCAATCTCGTTATTCATGGCGGATCACTCGAACGTAATGGGACACAGAAGATGGAATTTATGAATCGTCGAAGGCTATCGAATGATAGAGTCAGCAACTATACCGCAATCGGTGTGGACATATGTATAGGTTGTTCGATGAATTGTTTCTGGCTCAGCGGTCGCTTCCCGACACCACCTCCGAGCGATGCTTCTTCGATCGGCGTCATAAGGTCTGCCATGTTCTATTGTTCTTGCCAACACGTCAACGCGATGATCTGCAACTGCCGCGCAGATTTCAAATCCGTAGGCGAGACGTCCGTCATCGGAGGATGAGCAATCTTCCAAACAGTGGTATCATTCAACGATGAAGGCGGTTGAGATGCGATCATATGATTTATTGCAGGGATTCGACCGTGTATCACTTTGCGGGAGTCCCGAAACCACTGGCCACCTCAGCTGAAACCTGGCTTCTTCGCTGCTTGATGCCTGCGACGCCATTCCTCGAGCGCGAAATCTTGATGACGTCAGTGCAGTCGCAAGTCAGATACGCGTCGCCCCTCTCCTCTGTCTGATGACGCAGAGCCATTTCGACCTCGACGTCGTTGACTGGGAGGAGGAGCGAGAGAGCGAGAAAGGAGTCCAGTTCATGTTCAACCTCGACGTTGAACCTCTTTCTTGTTGATACAGCTCTTATCAACAGCTCAACAGCCATCAGTCGAGATATCCGACAGCGACCGACACAATAGAATATTCCGCGCATCCCGTTCAACAACATGATGGACCTTCAGTACCTCTGGGCCTTGGGTCACTTGGTCACCTTGACTTCCGCAGGTTCGTTCGAGCTCGATTTAGTCAAGTCGTCCAGATTGTACTGACTGACACGACTCTCGATCTTGCGATGATCAACAGCCAGGATTCTCTATGCTTATACTATCGGGATCTTCTCCAAGACCATCCCGGGCTTTTGGTACCATGGTTCGTTGCCAGAAATCTTTCTGCCTGATCGCTATCAAGCCCTGTCTGACTTACCCTTGTTGTGTCCCAGCCGCCTATGCTGGAGCCCTAGTCTCTTACTCGATCGTCGTGTCAAAATCCCTCGGAGTACCTCAATTCAACAGGGCTTACCTTCAAAAGGCGATGATGGAGGACAACGCTCAATACGGATTCATGGCCGTTTACTGGTTCCTCTCGAAACCCGTTTACTGTGGGTCATACGATGAGAAAAGCATCGATCATCACCTCGTTGCTGACTGTGCATGACGTAAAAATAGTCTCACTCTTGCCGTTCGCAACCTTCTCATTCTTCCACGTCCTGACCTTCTTCCGAGGAACCATCCTTCCCAAGATGTTTACAGCGTGAGTCTCGCGCATGACCTTGTCGTCAAATTGTTCGGCGACTGAATCTTTGTATTGCGCTCTGTGACAGACCTACCCCCGCGGCTCGACCCGCCGCTGGATCCAAACCAGTTCAACATCCCGTCGTCGAGAAGTACGGGACCTTGATTGGAAACTTTATCAAGCAGAACTATGACCGCGCCATGTTCTTTGTCGCCTACTCCGAGGTCGGCATTCTGCTCTGGACCATCTTGAGGGCTGTCACGTAAGTCTACACCGTGGCTTCAACCTTTACATATCTGAGATCGACCGCTGAAGATTACCTATACTGCTTTCGTCATCTTAGCCTTCGAGGCTCCTTTACCACCCCTTTGATCGTTTCCCAATGGTTGCGAGTCCGATATCTCTCCTCCAACTTTGAGCGCAAGGTCATCGACAACCTCGTCATTCGACTGGATCACATGGCTGCTCAGCAATCTCCTGCCATCAACAACGTTTACAAGCAGGCCAAGAGCGTCATCTCCATGTGGGGATCGGCCGTCTCGACTCCCAACGCTTCCGCCAACAGGAGCACCGCCAGTGCTACCGGCGTTAACGCTGGCACGCCCAATGCCGCGGGAATGAGGGAGAGGACTGCTGCAGCGGGAAGGCGATGAGGTCGGTAATTATCGGCTAGTTTGCACGTCAACATCCCGTCTTTGGGAATGTGAAGTGTCCATAGACGACCGTACAAGTCAAATACTTCTTCACAAGGATCGACAAAACAATACGGTGTAAACGCCAGGTGATCCGTCGTAGTAGATATTCCAACATTTCCATAATGCACGTCCGAAAGAGATATCATCCAGCTCAATCCAGTATCACAACTCAGCCAGCGATAAATGCATATCCCAATCAGCTAGAGCTTCGAACAGGTTGCTTTCGAAGTGGCCATTGATCGTGGTTGCAGCATAAGGTGGCTCTCGCAGAGCCGCAGAGATCCCACGATCGGACTCTGAAAGACAGCTGAACATTTGATATTACATTCTTATGTCCAGCTTGGTCCCGACCAGTTCGGATGACTGTCTCGGAGGGGAGAATCTTGCCTCGAGGACCCTCGCGTCGGCTTTGGTCGGGATCTTCGCTTGGAGGGAAATCTGGATCATCGCGCCGACGTGACGACCAAATCTGAAGACATTGTTGAAAGCGCGACGGAGTCTCGGTCGAGATCAGACTTAAGCCATCGAACGGAGAAGACAACGAGACAATCATCAGGGCGGAGAGGACCGCCTTACTCGCTGTCGTTCCTCGGTCAGCAGATCAGGCTGGGCCTCCCTATGAGAAATATGCGGTGCAATCGGCGAACACGTTCATGATGGGCCCAACCGTTCGCGTTACGTAGCGGGAGACGAGGCCAACGAGCATGACCGCAGGTTTTATAGGTCGAGACCAATCACTGGATACTCCGCTTAGGTTCATGAATAGGACCGCATCCAAATGTCGAAGTACACGTGCAAGCCAGGTTACAGACCTCTCTTTACGGGTCTGTCGGCTGACCATCCTCCCCTGGTCCATCCGTGAGCCATGCGGCAAAGTTGTCCAATCGCTTCTTTTCTTCGGCGTCCGCCTCGTCTGGGTCGAGATAATCTTCACCGGTACCACTCTGGCGGAAACGTTCCTTGCCGGTATAGATGGAAGCTTCGAGCTGCAGTTCAAGTTGGATCAAATTAGCTGGACATCCTGTTCTTGCGATGTCGAAGTGAGGCCGCATACGGCCGGAAAAATTTACCTGTTGTCCGCCAAAGAATCGTCCATTCATTTTCTGAGTCAAAATGTTCAAATAAGCCCAGTGCTCCCGGAGCGTGTAAGATCGCAATGTACTCACAAGGATACACGCTTGCGCCGAGATAGCGTCCCTAAACTTGATTGTGATGACGCCCTCTTCCTCTTTCTGCCAACGGCCCAGACAATCCTGATAAGTCGATTCCTCCGCCTGAGCTCTCCTGGCCACTTACATCATACAAAGTCACGTTCGTAACCGTCCCGATACTCTCTGCCTCCTCCCGTATCTCCTCCTTCAACTCGATCGCGGCGCCCGGATCGGCTTCCAACTCGGCCAAGGTGAAAGCGTGTTTGAGAACGACCACGCGGGCATATCGAGAGTTGCCCGCTGGTGGAGCTTGTGGGTTCGGGGCAAGCGGGTCTTCCTCGTCGGCAGACGACCAGTCCTCCAGTTTGCTGAATACGACGGGAGCAAGGTCTAAGTCAGTATCATATTCTACGTAACCAGCGATATGTGGATGCAGAAACTATTTGTCCGCCTGGACGGACCACGACATGCTCACCTTTGCAGCGATCTGATTCGCTTGGCCGCCCGTCTCTGCTCCTCGGTCAGATTCTTAGGCACCTTCTTCTTCCCCTTTGCCTTTTGCTGCCCGACCCCAACACCGAGATCCTTGACATCCTTTTCTTCAGCAGCAGCCTCGTTCTTCTCCTTGACCTTCTCTTCTTCCCGGCTGGGTTTCTTGAACTCAGCCTGGGTCACCTTGATGTTCCCTTCCCCTGAACCGAGGACGAGCTCGGTATCGTCGAACAAGGTACAAGCGAGGTCGACCGAGTTTTGTTTGAAGTAGGAGACCAGAGCGTCTCCCTTGAAGTTCCCCTGAGCGTCCGTGTAGAGCTTGACTTTCGGATTGCCGTCGTCATCGGTCATCAACAAGCCCGCCCTGCTGAATGTCGATGCCAACAGTTCGACGGTAGTCCCTGGAGGCAGGTTGGTCACATAGACGGTCGTGATCGGTCGAGGAGCCTTGGGAGGCTTGGCATAGGTTTTCGAGCTGGAAGCCACAGCGAGATCGGAGCCGGCAGGTGGCGGGAGACCGGTACCGGCAGAAGGGATGGGATCGTTAGAGGTGTAATCGATCTCGGCTTGTTTCCGTTTTCGTTGGTTCAGGATGTGTTGCTTGGGAGCTACGGGAGCCTGAGAAGGTCAAATTCGAATGAGATAGTCAGGTCGAGCAGAATAACTAGCAGCTGAGCATAGCGATTTACCTCTTCATCCACACCCTGGACCGCATAAGCAGCTTGTTGCGCTTTCAAAAGCTCATCCGTGACCTGCAAGACGTTTCGGCGGAGAGAGACCGAGAATATCAGCCTCCATCTGATATCACTTGCATTCAAAATGACTTACGATCGGTATCCAGACTTGAGCAGCCTCAGCCCACTCGTATTCGGCACCGTTTTCGTCCTCGTACTGCCACTTGGAGACGTTCCGATCGTAATGTACCCGTGGGTCCGTATGAAATTGGTCGGGCTTCGGTGCGTTTGGTGGTGATTGTACGGCAGGTGCTTGTGTGACACCCAGTGCGTTCGGTCGGGGAGCTGACATGATAGTGGATTGGGCTATTGATTGGATATTTAGCAACTTGTGCTGGTGTGTAGGTGGGTGTGATCTCTCTCCGTGACGACATCACCCTGAAGAAGGGAGCTGAGGATCGATTGCTGATTATGGGTCAAGTTGAATATTCGTTATGTGCGAGCGTGTTGTCTGCAATCGATCGTTCACCAAGGTTCGGTCATCGTGCATCTTCGGACGAGAGCGATCGTACAGGTCTACAGGTATACAGGTACACATATACACATCAGCGACAAGGCAACATCTCCCAGTCCCGCAAGTCAAGGATCAACGGAGTGAAGCATGAACCGTATATGAAACTAGCTGGAGGCAAGACTTCGAAACATGGTCAACGCACCGCGTAAGAAGCATGACATCTAACGAGCACGTGCTTATCAGGTCACAAAGGGAATAAAGGAGATCAGTATTCGCTCTCGCTGGGACCTGTTCGCTCTCGCTGGGACCACAACGGCATCATCTCAAAGAAGTCTTGAGCAGTAAGTATTGTCAGTATTGCGACAAACAATATCATTGGATAGTCGAGAAAAGCTTAACCATGTCGACGAACCATCAGGCAAGCCAACTCCGACACAGGGAGACTGCGCCCAACGCATCGTTCGAATCAGGGCCTCAAGCTGTATGTGTTTGTTTTTCAAAGCCTACCGGTTTTCAGCTGATACCCGACCTTACAAATGCCTACCTCGTATCATAGATGATGGAACAACCAAGCTCTTACGATGGCGCTAGACCCGGTCGACCAGCTTCGTACATGGGATTCACTAGACGTCGATACTTCTTCTGCCTGGTGTTCCTCACGTCCATCGTCGCCTTACTCTACTACCGGTCGCCCCTCTCAACTTTACCGAGACAAACATCGGCTTACGGACAGACTGAACAGAAGGAAGACTCAGAATTCTCGCCGTTACGCATCCCCTGGACGCCTAGGCAACGCAGCATTCTCGCTTGTCAAGGTCCCTACACGCCTTCCTTCCTGAACTCTACTCCGCCCTTGGCGGCGCCACCTGAAGATGCGCAAGGTCGGCCATACGACTTGATCGGGGTTGTCATCGTGAGTTATCTACATATACGATTCTGAGGCTGCGTATACAGGATTGACCCGTTCTTCCCGCCTGATGAACAGCTGCAACGACACACAGCCAGATACCCCACTACCAAAGCTCTCGCCAAGATTTTACATGCGCTGAACAAGATCGAGAGGCTCCCATCCGTCGCTTCAGGAGGCCAAACTCGCAGCTTGGAGGACTACGTCAAGTTTGTGGAGAGCTGGAAGTCAAGAGCGGGAGAACTTACAGATGAAGGCCGGAAAATGTGAGTCGAGCCTTGTCGTGGTCTCTCTGTTCTCCCCATGTTGAAATTGAGACGTTACGCGGTCTGGTTCTTTTCCCCGACATATAGCGCCCATGAGTTCGGACTTCTCTACCGAGCTCGGTATGCTGGACTTCTCGATGCGCATGCTGAGGATGGACCTGCGGTTTTCGTTCGATCTAGCGGATCGGGAAGAGTGGTTGAGACAGCTGGATACCTGATCAATGTGAGTGGGTTTACATGTCCCGCCTTTCCTCATCGGGGCGACGAAAGGTACCGGCATATACCACTTCTAAAGAGGACTGCAGGCGCTGACAGTCCTTCCTCCTGTTACTAGGGTATGATGAACCGAACTTTCCACATCGGGAACAAGGGTGACTTGCCCAAGCCGGATGTAGTTTTCCCGGCCGGGAAGGTGAGCGTATCTCACTTAATCGATCTTGTGGATATTTACTAACGAGTCGATTCTTGAATATCCTTGTCGCAGCCCGCCGAAGGTAGAAATCCTATTGGTGAAAGCGAGAGTATCGGTCCCGAGTGAGCATTTCGATCATGGTTTACATGCGACTATCCTGATTAGTATCTACTTGTATCACGAACAGGTACGATCATTACGCTGCGATCGGTTCCCAAACATCCCGCTCGTACCTACACACATGGGCTTCGAGCGTCTTGCCCCATCTGCGGCGGATACTGGGAGAGAAGCCCGGCGAAACGTTGCAAGGAGTCGATGCGTTGGCTCTGATGAGCTTGTGTGCCTTTGAAACGCAACAACCGATCACCGGACTAGGAATGGCAGTGCCGTGGAGCTCATGGTGTGACACTTACCGATCGCTCGGGGACGAGAGAGAATTAGCTATATGGGAGGGGTATGCTAAATGGTGAGTATGGCTTCGGGAAACGTCTCTCTCGTATTCATCAGCTTCAGGAATCATGAGAGGCGATCGCTGAACGATCTGGTTTGCGTCTGACGGACACAGGTACGATGTTACCAAGTGGCATATAAGAGGACCGGGTAATCCAGCGGCGGCCAAGGGTGGAGTGAGTACTCCCCTTATGCTTCTCGAATGACCTAGCTGATGTCGGTTAAGCAAAAGCTTCCATGGGTCGGGGACCTTGACCAGCGTGTGAAAGATCTCGGTTCAGCATCGAACGACAAGGATGAGACGCTCTCAAATCCAGGGCCTCGGGTATATATTGTGAGTCTATATCGATATGACCACCATCAACGAGGGGGGCTGATAACGTTCGAAAAGGATCTGTCTCACGACAATAGGATGTTGGCCATTTACACTGCTCTTGGGATTCTCTATGACAGCCCAGACAACTATAATCAGGGTCGATTGAGTCCTTTCGGCATGGTTTTGACAGTAGACATATACATTTCAAATGACGGGAAGGGAGAAGTTCAATACAACACAGGATGAAGCGAAGTCTCAATCTCGGGATGGTAACCTGCGCTTTTCCAAGTCGTACATTTCACACATCACTTGTACCTCCTCGCCCTATGTTATGTACAGTTAGAGAAGTGTTTACTGTACCTGTTGATCTAGTAACGTATGATCGTCGAACTACTTTACATGCTAGGCATAGAGCGACACTTTAAATAATTGGTAAGTACCGCTTGATAAGGTCTACATCTACTCGTGATTGAGCAATACTATACATTAAATCGAGACGAGATCGAGGAACCGTTCAATATTGTACTCCAGAAGATCCATCTGCATCTGTGAATCCGGTCCCCTTGACCTTCACACGCTCCTTCTCGGCTCAAGTCGGGTGTAGCCTGGGCCCGGTTTCATTCGTATATTGGTCTCAAGATGGTTCATCTCACGCATCAAGGCCTGTTCTTCTTCCTCTTTACCCCCTTCTTGTCGGTATCTCGCAAGGGCGAACACCTGCAAGGCATAGGGGTTAGCTACTACTGACTTCGTTTCAGAGGTTGATGGTCGTCTTACCTTGTTCATCAACGGGGTCATGTCCGCCTCCAACGCCCTATGATCTGCCTCGGTCTGCGCCTGGGCCTGGACAGACATCTGTAGCATCGAGCCAATCAGATCTTGGGCTTGACTCGGTTGAGACTCGCTGATCATCGTGCCGTTCAGTTGGCCGGCCAGCTCGCCAGCGATTTGGGCGGCCTCAAAGTCTCGAGCTAGATGTTCCGCCACGATGGCATCTGGATACCACACCGAAATGGTCACCGTGTGTCCGGAAAGAAGACAACTTGCCGTGATTTCGAATACGAGTTGCTGCGTATGGTTAGCTCTTTACAAGTAGGTATACGATATGTGAAAGGCTAGGCTGAAAACGAAAGTTGTAAAGGACGACGAAAAGGGGCTACACCGATGTCGTGAATCTATATCGATATGATCACCATCAACAAGGGGGGCTGAATTTGCTCGAAAACCTCGACCTTCGCCTGACATCCATCATCGTGTGAGCTTCTCATAGAGAGAGTCAGCTTGGTGCCTTAGATTCCTCATCCTTTGTCGTTCCCCCCTCTGCCTTGCCAGGTGTAGATCGTGAAGGTCTGTCATAGGGAAAAACAAATACAGTCAGCTGCCGAACTTATAAGGCATCACTATCAAGACGCAGGAACGCACGCTGAGCAAGACGGTTGATGTCGGAGGTGGTGTTGTCGCTGTTGTTGTCGCTGTTGTTGTTGTTGTTGTTGTTGTTGTTGTTGTTGTTGTTGTTGCTGCTGCTGGTGTCGTTGCTGTTGTCGAGGATCCCTTGGCTTGTCCCCGAATCATCTGAAGAGGAGTCCGAATCGTCTGAAGAGGAATCCGAATCGTCTCCAGGATACCAGCTCCCAAATCGACCCGGGACATCCGGAAGAACGATCGCTTCGGGCTCGGACTCGGACTCCGATGCAGACTGGATCAAGAATTAAGACCTATTTCACGAGAACGTGGGTCGATCTGATAGGAAACTCACGAGCCAGTTGGTAAAGAGCTCGACCTCGCTCTCTCCGTCATCGCTCTCTCCGTCTTTGCTCTCTCCGTCCTCGGTCTCCTTCCTTTTCGTTTCGCTCTCCCCATCGCTGTCGTCATCAAAAAGCTGGGCGAAGTCTATGGTATCCATGGGTACTGGGTCGTAGGGGCGTGAGAAATGTGGTATGAGGCAAGGCTAGCTGTATAGCTATACAGATACATGTATAGCTATGTAGCTGTACGATGAGAAAAAGCGATGGAACAGCACTCGATGGGAGAGTCCGAGCACAGCCTAGTGATCTAGTGAGCTAGTGCATGCGATCAGCCGACCCCTACGGTGAATCTCGCTTAGCCGAGATGATCTTCTTTGGGGGTGGGTTGAACTTTTTTGATGAGACTCCTTGTGACCGGAACACCTCGGTAGGTTTCCCCCTTCGCTACATCAAACGGTATAAATCAGTCATTGTGCACGCTAATACCGCCCATGTTGGGCTCATGGGAACCGCAGAAGCTGTCCGCACACAACTGGCCCAACATTGTGACGCCATCTCCTGAGATACATTGGCAAACAATGGCGAGGTCTTGGTCGTCCGTCGTCGTCGTTGTCGCTTGATCCACTTGGTTTGATCAGATCGCGCGCGCGCCCTGTTCCAGACGCCACTGATTCGCGACCGAAAAGCTTCTAAAACGTGTGAATCGCTCCCCCAGATCCCGGCGACAGTGCTCAGACCCGAACCCGAAATCGAACGTTCAGATCAAACATCGATCTCGTGATCAGAGATCGATCGATGACGTCTCTGACAACGTAATCAGCTCGTCATCGGGCTCCACAAGGCCGCAAGGCTGTGTCAAAGAAAAAGCGCATCGCATGTTGTCGTTTTTTCCTCTTTCGGCAAGCGGCTCTCGTCGCCCGGGCCTCTTGCCTTGGCACAGCTTATAACCACGACCCCCAATTTCTCTCTCTCTACATCACTCGATCATCGATTACTCGCCACCGAGCACTCTTCCTCTCCTAATCTCACTCAATCACTCAACTAGTAACTCTTTCAAGACCCAAACATTATCGAAACAGACCGAATACAAGAGAGAGGAAGACGAATGAAGAATGACGAACTGGTCCGGATCGTTATGCACCAACACATATACCTTTTCACGGGAACGATGTAAGCTCCGCCATCCAAGGGACTGTGTTCTTTGTGCTTCAACGGTATGAAGAGATCTGTTACTCATTCTGTACGATTCTCGTCGAATCTGTCATAGGGCTACAGCGGACTCGCAGCACTGGATCCCGGGTGCGGGAGGGCTCATACGTCGTCACCAACGACTCGCTTCAACGGTCGACATACCTCCTGAGGATGGCCGTTGTTAGGACCCTCACCCATGGGAAACCGACGTCGGTCATTACGCTTCGAAAAGATGATCTTGTTTCCCCTCCCAGTCTATCATATCGGGTCGCGCCATTTGCACAGACAAGAGGGGATCGGAGAGGGTACACATAAGAGCCTTCGGTGCTCAGGTGATACTCCGGATGCGCGGTCTGAATCTCGAATGACTTGCGGTAGTCGGTTCGGACGGGATTCAGTAACCTATACCGAGTTGCAATTGCGACGCTTGGGTATTCACGTATTGAGTGGAGATTCCCCGGGAAGGAACGCCGCGCGTGACAAGATCGCTCATAATGGCTCGAAGCGTTTAGACAAGAAGGGCCTTGCTCTAGACGCCTTGTTCGACGACCTTCTGCGGTAACTTCAAAGTACACGGTGGCCTCTGAAACTTCGCTTGACGAGGAAGCCGTTGGAACTGTCGGGCGCGATGACTGTCGATTTCGAGCTTGCGCTCTGGGCCTATCGAAGGATCAACACCCACTGGTCCGAACCTCCTTGCTTCTTCTCTTAGTCGTCGCTTGGACAAGAGGAGCGGGGTCTCATGGCCTGCTGTATGGCAGCCATAGAGATCTCAAGTGCGCAGTCCGGCTTTCGGATGTATCGGTGGATATGGATGAAACCAGTGCTCGGACGCAGTGTACCCGCGGCGAAGCTGGACGGGTTACTAGTACTGCGCACAGGCATGGTTGGTCTGCATCGTTGATATTGTTTCTCCCCTCAGGTCTCCCAGCACTGCCGTCTGGAGTCTGTTTGGAGGACGGACGGAATTTGCAATCGCCAGACGAGGACGATAGTTCTACGAGACGAGAGCGATAGTACTCCGGGTACGTGGTCCGAGCTCGGAGGATCAGACCCACACGGTCGGGGACGAGCCTTGGGCACACCACGCACAACAAGCCAATGGGGAAATCGAAACATTCCGATCGATCATGATGGGTCATGGGCGATCGGCGACGACCTTCTGCCCTAACACAGCGAACAGTCGGAACCACCGCCATTAACTTGATCGGGGGTACTTTCTCAGTAACCGTGGATAAAAGCGTCAACTGTCGGTTTCGGGGACTTCAGAACTTATTCCAGCTTTGCGTTCTTTCGAGAGCGCGAAGTTGGGGGCACGTCAGTATGATTACAACCGAAAGAGGAAGTCTTGCAGACCAACTCAAACTAAAATCTCGCGAAGCACTGGCACGTCCCGTACCTCTCCTCCACCTAGGAGTTGTACTCAAGGGACGATGTGCAGAGACGGTATGATGACAACCCCCCCGATATCCCTCTATGAATCTGAAAGTTGTATCGATTAGCGTTTCAATTTTAACATGGTTTCAACGATCCGTGAAAGCTGCATTTTCGAGTTTCAGATGCCCTGCCTCATGGCTCATGCCTCACGCCTCAATAACGCACCTTCATCAGGTTTGTGATTCGTAATTGTAACTCTCGCAGAGTCAGCGCATCACGTGACTCGCCGTCGGACATGGCCATCGCGAGACGCTTATTATGACCTGTTTCGCAATCCATGATCATAAACTTGAGTGCCGACGTGCTGAGCTAGCAGTGCGACCAATGGCTGGCACTCGACTTTGGACCCTCTAGGTTATCAAGTTCCGACGTTCGATCCTTTTAGAAATTAACGAAACATCAGCTCGCGATTCGACCGTAAAGATACTGCATACGGACAAAGATGACCTCCGCGCTCGACATCACAAGCGATCTTCTCCAGGACAACATCCCAGTCATACGCTTGCTCCCTGCACCCATCCCTCCGGGAGGACAAGCCACATGGTCTTCTTCCGGCCGCACGTTTCTCGCTGCTCTTTCTCCATCGAGCAACTCTTTCGCGGCATGGGTTGCGCCGAAGGTCGACGTGACAGCAAAGGCTTGGGAAGACGAGAACGGGATTCTTCAAGAGGAGCCGGTCACAAGGATCACAGATGTCTATGAGCCTGACAAAGCGATCTATATGGGAGCTTGGGGAAGTGCCGACGAATCTCTGCATGCTGTCAGTATCATTTCCACTGCGAGGCATCGTTGATCAGCAGCTTACCGTTTCTTGTTCCCATATCGTTGCATCACGTGTTGCTGTTTTCTACTCGTACGCCAGTTCTACAAAGACGCATTCACCATCTTCAACTCGGCCCAAGCCATCCACCAGGTTCACGTTGCTCCGCTCATGTCCGGAAACCTACCTCAGACCGATGGGTCATCATCGTTGCCCACATACGAGCAGGAGCTGGAGGTCAAACGCGTGGGCTATATGCGAGAGTTGGCGGAGAACTATATGGAGGCGGTGGAAGAGGTTGTCAGGGATACCCAGCTCGATGTGAGTTATGCTCTGTTAAATATACTACTGTCGCCGCCATGTCCTATGGCGGGATATATGTGCTCAACTATCGGAGATCAGGGTTCTCCGAAAGATCCTGCTAACCGCTTGAACTCGAATTGAGCTCGTATGCTGAGTCTTGATCTTTGCTGGTTGATAGGCATCTATTCGCGCTCATCACCTATCGATTCTCTGCATCCTGTCGCTGGCAACTTTGTTGTTCTTCCCTCAAGACGGGCTTGGCGACTCGCTCGCCGGGGAAGAGCTACTCGACTGGTTAAATTCGTATGGCGATGGTGATGGCTGGGGATCCATCTGCGACTCGGCCAACCGGCTGGCTAGCAGGGTCAAAGAGTGGGAAGAGGACGATTGGGAAAACACCGTCTGCCTGTGAGTCACGACTACGTCGTGGTGACGGTCCGGCAGGCTGATGATCTCCGTTCAGTTCAATCTTACGAGGTCCAGAAGTAGCTCAGCGACTCCTGCAATCCTTGTCCGACTCTCATCCGGAACCCCAGATCGCTTCATTTGCCAACATTCTCTCATCGTCGCTCGCCAAAGTTCCTCGTTCACGGGATGTCGACAAACACCCAACATCAGCTTCCTTCCTCTCGGCACATGCCTCCTGGCGGGAAAGACTTAGAGCCGAAATTTCCATCTTTTGCCACGGTCGAGAAGATCAAGGCGGATGGCTCGAGCTTGAAAACGACATTGACGGTATCGATCGGGCCGTCCTGGAGGAAGAGAGCGAACGTTGGGAACAGGTCCTCATGAGGTTTGCTAGCCTGATGTGGGGCGACCAAGAAGCTATACTCGAGACAGTGGAAGCGGAAGGAGGCGGTGATTGGACTTTGGCTTTGGGGATCTGGGGAGTATGGGTGGACGTCAGTCTGCGTAGAGACCGATATACCGATGAAGGCTGGATTGAAGGAGGAATGAGGTAAGTTCGTAACGGGTCTTTGTACCCCCTTCTCTGTTCTCATCGGAGATTCTTCGTTCATAGACCAGCCTTGGGAGCTATCACAGAAGCGCTACCGGTAGAGCCGACCAACCTTCAAGAAACGACCATGCTCGCATTGTGCAACAATGAGATTACAGATGTAAGTAGCGCTTGCTGCAAATTGTCAGACCCGGCCTGATCGATATTCTGCCTGACCGATTTTCGATATAGGCTCTGGTGCAGTGCAACAAGATGTCTTTGTGGCTAGCGACCCACCTCACCGATCTCCTCGAGAAGCTCAACCTGGTCGATGATGACGACGACGAAACGTACGAGCTTCCTTTGCGGGACTATTTCGTTTTTCAGTACACCGACATGCTGCTGCTCGGCCACGAAGGCTACTGGGAGGTCGCATGCGATTACCTCAGCGGATGTGGAGCGCAAGGAGTTGGCCGGATCCGAGAGATCTTGAAACGAATCTCGCTTAACATTGGGAATTCGCCGAACTTTACCCAGGCGGACGACAACGAGGATGCGGTGATGGAGGTTACTTCGATTATTGTTCCTCCTGGAGGAACAGCCGAATCAAACGATGATCTCGAAACGGTGAATGCGCTGTTAAAGGTTGCGTCGGACCACGGTCTGGAAGACGAACGACGTGAAATCTGTAGAGTAAGTCTCGCGTGCGTGAGCAGTGACAAGGTCTCGCAAATTGATTTGGCTGGTGAATGGTATAGCTGGCTGCCCTTCAGTTACTGCGGCAACAGAGATACGGCCAGGCGGTGGTCTACTGCATACACTCCATGGACACGCGTCTGTTAGCGGCGATCGGGGAGGCAGTGCTGGACGTGTACTGTTCAAAAGGTACATTCGGTGAAGACGGTTTTGGTGTCACTGAGATCCTGACGATGTGGGCATTCGCGTTGCAGGAACTGAGGCCTACCTACAGGCCGTAGAAACGATACCATCCTCGATCTTTACAACCGACGATGGCGGACAGTAAGTCGAGGCGCAGCAGGGCACACGATAAAGTAGTGTGCTGATGCTTTTTGTATCGCAGTCACGTATTACTTTTCCTCGCAAGGTTCAAAGAGTTCCTTGAAGCCTTGGCGGAAGACCGCAAACCTGATGCTGCCAAGATCGTACTCGCTTGTTTCGGAGAAGGTCTAGTTCCGGAGGGGTTCAGTGCTGTCCTGCTGCTAGACACTACTGAGCTGCTCGAAGGTGAGTTCTCTCGAGGTGTGTAAGCAGCTTTCAATGATTAACGGCGAGTACGGTCAGATCCAGAATTGTTGTTCGACGAAAACGATACCTGCGAGCTACTCCGCAATCTGGAAATCGTGTCGCAAGGTGCGACTCTTTCGCCATCCACCTACTTGAGGAGCCTTTCCAATCTTCAATACCGCAAGGGGATCGTAGGGAACGGAAACACCGACATTTCAAGTCGAATTGCACTCGAGGCATTGGACGCCGTACGATTGGCCGCGGCCCGAAATCGCGTCGACATGTATCTATAATCTGAAACGACTCTTCCAAACGAGTGTGTACACTGTAATGAACGTATTAAAACGAGTGTAGATCTGAGACCAATATGGAATCGCGTAAATCATTAGAGGAGAGTGTTAAAAAACTCCTGAGACCCGGCTCCTCCAGCAACTTGAACGCCCTTACGAGCGATGAGATCCGCTTGTTGTTCCGAAGCCCAGACCTTAATCGACTCGAAGTCCGATCGCGTAACCGCATACGAAGCCGAGGATTCCGTCCTCAAGCAGCGCATGGACATCTCGATGGCACGCGTCCTTCCACCATTGAAGGCATCGATAGCCTTCACGGTCTCTCGGAAGACGGTCTGCTTGGCATCAGCACCGGTGACTCCGCCGGCGAAGTTTCCGGTAGCATGAGCATGCGCTACAGCGATCGCCCGCAGCTCTTCTTTGACTAGGGTATAACACAAGCAATAGTTCGATTCGTCAGCATGCGAACACGATGAAACGCGAATAAGAGGCGGACACGATGAAAGGCGGACGAGGGGCGGACACGGGAATATGCGAACAAGATGGCTGAACCCACCTGCAGTCGAATGTTCCGAGTACCACATGATATACTGTTTCAGGATCTTCGAATCGCTCTGATATTGATCAGATGCCTTGAAGCTGACGAGCTTCGTCGCATGGGGCTGGATGCTGGTGGTGGTTCCTAATTCAAAGCGTCTTCTCAGGACTTGCCACTAGCAGGTGCCCCACCCAACTTCAGACCAGCAGCTCACCTAATTCAAAGCCCCTTCTCAGGACATGCCACTGGCAGGTGCCCCACCCAACTTCATACCAGCAGCTCAAGTTACGAGCCAGAGGCTGTCCATTCAGTTTCAAGTCGACTGATTTGAGGTAGTCATCGACTGCACAGAGAGAAGACGTAACAGTTTGTTACCGACTGCTAGGCGAGCGTTCGTCGGGCGCGGACGTACCTGTAGTACAAGGGGAATCTTTCTTCAAGGCCAAGTAGAGCATGTAAGCCTCTTCGTCGTTGTATCCTCCAGAGGCTGCGAAGATCCAGGGTCGAAGAGCCTTGGGTTCGGCTACCTTCTTGATCAAGAGAGCCTTAGGTTCGGCTACCTTCTTGATCAAGAGAGCCTTAGGTTCGGCCGGCCTGACGGGGGCCTTCATGTTCGGAACCGCCGACCCGGAGGTCTTCTTCTTCTTGATCGTCGAGGATGCCACAACGTCGATGGTATTGCCGGTTTTACCCATCGTGTCTGGTCCGGAGTCAGGATAAGGTCAGGTTGAGATCCGATACACGACGACAAGGAGAACTTGCTCACCGATTCGGACCGAGAAAGGAGGGATGTATAGAGCGATAGAAGTGTCTGACCGGTCCGGTATGAGAAAAGAAGGGAAGGAGTGTTGATGTCGCGAGCGGAGGTGTACAGGGATTATGAGGGGTATCTCTATGTTTGCGATCTTGTGATTAAGGGTGTCCGGATATGGTGAAGGAGAGATGACAGAGCGATGTCGGACAAGTCGATAGATGATATCGTCGATGATGATATGTGCTTCTAGCTTCTCGCCTCTCGAATCCAGACTAGACTCAGGCCGGCGCGGGGAGTCTCGGGTCTGCTTACGTTCATCTGACAGCGGCCGGACATAGTTGTTTGGCCGAGATCATGAGCCAGCACAGCGACAGCGACAACAACAGAGGCCAAGCGATCTGTCGGATCCGCGACGACAACAGGGGCCAAGCGATCTGTCGGATCCGCGTTTCAACCCTCCTTTGGCTAAGTCGAGGCAGGAGAGGGAGGGGAAGGGTCGCGCGTCTGTGCGCGCCCTGGCGGATCAAGCGCGTGGCGTTCCATGGAAGATCGCTGATCATCAAACAATAGCCGGCAGAAAGAGAGGGTAAACAAAGCGGTCAAGTCTTGTTCCGATCAGGCCGTTTCGACGGAACACGTTTGACCCTGGACGATTTCGGGGGTCATCAACATCAAAATACTGGCACGACCGCGATCACAATTTCGTTCACATCTCTCGAATGAGAGGAAACATGCGGTCGCCCTCATTGCCCTTTGAGCTGAACCTTTGCCACTACCCTTCCAGATGCTGGATGTCGGTCACGACGAACCCCACATCCCCGAGAAGTCAGCTGCACTTGCCAAGATCAAAACAGTCACGTGCATGGCTGAAGCTCGATCGATCGATGAACCAAGCAAAAGCGCAGGGAATCGACCGATCGATTCCGGCATCTCTCCGGCATCTTCCCCGCTGAGCTGTGGGAATGTTGTTGTGCTGGCAAAATGCTAAGCGCAGCCAACCAGCAGCCAGCAGCGACTCTTTCCCCTGCCACAGGCCACTGCCACGCCGCATCTCCCGTCAGCTGGTCATTCATAATGCCTAGCCCAGAATTCTTCGCTAATTCATCTCTCGACTCCCATTCTTTCTCTCCCTTCACACCACCTTACGACAACAGCAGGACACATCGAGACATGCATGTATGTACTGCCCAAGTTTTACAATCCCCACTCCAACATCTATGTGTGTACGGAGAAGGAAATCGAGGCATAGTTCGGTTCGCCGGCTAGACGCAGAAAAAATACGCTTCATTCGTGAAGCCAGGTCGCACCCTAGCTCGCCTAGAGCGGTCTATTCGAGGCTTGCCTCAATAGACCAAGAGGCCGACGATCCCTGTCTGGCGGCATATCGGAAAGTCTTTTACTCGACGCGAGAAGCCACTAGTAAGGGTCATGGTCGAGAGGTTATCCTCCCTAGCTAGGACATGACTCGCTCGGGCGTAGTGGTTCGGGATAATAAGAACGGTTCGGTCGCAAGCGGCTATACAAGTTCGGGTCGAGGGCTTTAAATTAGGACGTCCGTTCCTCCCGTCGTGGTCTTCCGAATTACCTTTCCTCCTTGTTGAGTATACCCTTATACGGCTCGGGTCTGAGCCGTGATGGCACAGAAACCCGGGTTTGGCGGGACCCTTACTGCCGGGAGTCTTTCGTAGCGTCGAGATTGGGGATCGTTCAACCGTTTCGGTGAAGTCCACTCTTCTCGACTAAAAAACATTGGGTCATGGGGCATCAACGAGCAAAAGAAGATGGCTCCTCGCTATGACATTCGGGTACACGTTTCGGACGATTCGCCTTCAAAACGCACTACGTCTGTCTCGTCGAGGGGGCATTTATGCCAAACACATTATCGGTCAAGGGCAATCATATACGTCTAGCGAGGAGTCATAGGAGCAAGGAGGGTTGCGCGGTATGATACGAAAGAGGGCAACGTATGCGGCGGGAACCGTGGCAGGCCCGCCTCAGTTCATCCCTCGGGGGAGGGGTCCTCAGTTGTACCGAGGTGACGCACCGAGCACGGGACACCGAGACCCAATCCCCCAACCTCGGCGAGACTCTTGAAGGGGTGAAGCCAGACGATTTCGAGTATGATTAAAACTACCAAACGGAACCCGAGAGCAGTACCATACCGTTCCACATATACCGGGCAACTAAAACTAGCGAAGGCTCTCGGGACTTGCTCCAAAGATCTATCTGCGTGATCTAGTGTGCAAAGCAAACCGGACGGTATTATGATCGGTCGTCTCGCTTCACCCTCTTTGATAATCTCTACTCCCCTTCCTTTTCCGGATTTGCGTTTCCCTCCCTCCTTTCTTCCGATGTTCGCTTCCTTATTCCTTCCCCGTATACGCCACGACGTTATTGTAGCAGAGTTCGATTCCATGCGATATGATATCTGCTGCTCTTTACATCTCATCACTTCGGCCAGACTGTTTCGACTTCCTTCCTTCCATCGCCTCGTCTGGCGGATCTTCTCGCTTTTCGGCCTGACTTGATGGCGGTAGACGTTCGAGATGAATGCCATAGCAACCGACAAACTTGCTGATTTGTGAGTCCCGCTCGAAGTCCGGTATACCCCTTGATAAGAATGCGTGCCGGACGATCCCGGCCACCATGGCACATCCCCTTGGGCCATCGAAACTGTTGTGCACAGGATCCGAAGCGTGCTGCTGAAGAATCACGAAGACCCAGAAGCTTCGGTCGATCTGACGCCAGGTTCAGTTTGGTAGTCGGCCATCGAAACCCGCCTCGAAGCGATGCAGAAGGATATGAACGCCTTGTTTGGCTCATACCTGTTATCGGTCGACCGTAATTGCGGGTTCCAGCAGCTCGAATGGCAAGTGAGTCTTCCGGGCGAGGCGCGGTCCGTAGTCACCTTGATGATGAGTCGGATCCGTATTCGTGTCTAGTGACGTCCCTTTATAAAGTCATCCCTTGGCGTGCGACAAGAAAGGTCACTCGATGTACAAGACACGAGAGCGGCGGAGTCTGAAAGTATCAAGAGCAAATACTAGTCGTCAGTTAAGATCGTTCATACCGAACGGGGAATTTGAACCGACCGCTGGATAATCAAGACTTCGAAGCGGACAGACCTTCGTGGGGACCTCGAAAGGCGACAGCTCTTCGTCGTAAGAGCAGCTTCTAGTAGTTGTAAGCAGGTGGCCTGCGTGGATCCTTCAGATTTTCCAGGGCTACTGCTGCCAGCTTGCGCAATATATAAACCGAGCGAAGACTTCGATCTATGTCACTTCTGGACCCGAGAGACGACTATGTTCCTCCTCCTGTCGCAGATTTGGATTTTGTCTTCACCAGCCTCCGATAATGCGTTCCCTGTAGGGCGAGCTGCTGAGATCCGACGGCTGCCATAGAAAGGATGCCCGATCTGGTTGGCTGAGGTCGAGCGAACATGCTTAGCCAGGCCAGACTCACCGCCACTTATGATATATCATTTTAGTCACGATGGGGTCACTGTGACGCGCCGAGAGGCACATCTTCATTTGCCGTTCAATAGGAATCTTGTCCTATGTAGCGATTTTCAATTTTCGAGGGTCGTCATCGTTCCTGGTTTATGGCCAAACACATCAGCTCTATCAGCACAATTTTCTCTAACAGCTCACGATGTCATGATTGCATGCCAACTATCTACCTAGCTGGTGGTTTTCAAGCTGAGGCAGATCGCTTCCATGTGGTCTTCCCGATAGATGCATGACAAAACGAGCTGGATGTGAGAGCCGGACTGCCTCGGATCGGATTGTGAAGCAGCAAGCAGTATGACTTCATTTCATCGGATAGTGCCAGTATCGTATCTTGTATGCGTTACAATCATTGGCAGTATGCATGGCCAGACGCTGGAGTTAGATGTTGCCTTTCGACCATTCGATAGTCTGGGCTCCAAGCTCGACAGCCGCGAGACCCCAATCTTCTCCGTGGTCTAGCAACGAACAAGCAACAGGGTAGTCAGTAAGCGAACTCGAGATACACTCTGCATTGCGCGGCACTACTAACTGTGTCCCTTTCCGTTTGGGCCTCGCCCGACACCCGCCCTATCCAAAGCCTGGTCGTCGGTCAATGCGGTGAGAACGCCGAAAATGACCGGGGTTCCAGTCTCCAGCTGGACCTTCATCAGACCATGCGTGACAGCATCACAGATGTACTCAAAGTGCATTGTGGAGCCCTTGATCAAGCATCCGATAGCGATCGCAGAGGTGAAAGGACCGGTAGATGCGCCCGAAGCAGGTGTAGGCGTGATGGAAGCACCTCCGGAGACGGCCTCATTACTGAGGAGGTTCACGAGGTTCGTAGTCGATGCATTCAGCAGAGAAGGTGCCGAATTGGACGACTGAACTTGTGCTCCAGAGATCAATCTAAGCGGACAAAGTAGATTGATGAGCTCAACTAGCGGGCCCGTCCCGTCCGTACTTGATGCTCACTGCTTGGTCGCAAACGGCAGCTCATAACTTCCTGGCACACTCTTGATAACGATGTTTTCCTCTTTGACACCCTGCTCCTTCAGCTTGTTGACAGCACCGCTGACGAGAGCGTCGATAATGGTAGCGTTCCATCTGGCGTGAACGATGAGGACTCGGTGACTCGAGCCGTCATATGATTTCGGTGGGGGAGGTAGTCCCTTGATGGTAGCGTCGGCCATTTCGAGTAGATTAGGAAGAGGAGATAGTCTAGGTCGTGGTATAGAGATCTGTTTGAGTGGATGGGATGGGAGGACTGCAGTTGTGGTAGATACATGATATACATGTCCGATTTGCTGCTCGGGTCTCCTTGATGATCCATGACGTGGATCCGAGCCCGAAGCGCGCCCCTTTGACAGGTACTCTAGCCTCAGACTGTTCGAGTTGATCCATCACATCGTATCACCATACCATACGCCATACGCCAATAATCCCTTGCAACTGCTCGTACTGTTCCAAATCTCACTAGGAGTCTGGAGTACCGCCAAGACCCTTCTTTCTAGTAAAATCTGGCAAGTCGTATTGATGCTGCGGCATCGCGGGGCGTAGATGTACTGACAAACCGCGCTGGCTTGCTACTCTAGAAGATGCGACATTATATACTGTCAGCAGCTGTGACGCTGGGTTGCACCGTCGCAGCAGGTGCGGAGTCGGTCAGAGAAAGGACGTCTACAGAGATGAAAACCGGGTCTGAGGTACTGGGCATCGATCCGTCTCGTGAGTTGTTTTGTGCAAGACAGTCCGCCGAATCATGTCAGACTGAAATCGTGCTCTTCTGTGATAGTCTCTCAGCTATACCAACCCGCAACCGGATCAGGGCATTCCGAGTCCATGTTCCAATGTCTAGACGAGAACAAGACTCTGATACCATTCCGAGCGGTCAACGACGACTTTTGCGACTGTCCCGATGGATCGGACGAGCCCGGCACATCTGCGTGCAGCTACATAAAAGGACGAAAGTTCTGGTGCAAGAACGAAGGTCACATCTCCGCTTGGATCTGGAGTTCCAGAGTGGGAGACGGTATTTGTGGTAAGTTGAAGCTTGCGCTTTCACCCTTCCTCGTGATGCTAATGACGTGCTCGTCCTGACCGCTTAACCCTTACAATTCATCCCAGACCCGGAATGTTGCGATGGCTCGGACGAGAATTCTTCCACATCTAGCATCAGGTGCCCCAACACCTGTGAGGAGACGGGCAGAAAATACAGGGAAACCCGTGATGCAGAGAACAAGATCAGAAAGACGGTGCGCTATCGTCTTTCATGCTTTCGAGCCGTGATACTGGGTTCAAGCTGAACGCCTAATCCTTGGATTCTGTCACGCAGGGAGCCAAAATCCGATCTACCTACATCTCCTATGCCAAGAACGAACGAGTCAGGCTTGAGACCCGGGTAGCTGAGTTGTCTAAGCAGGTCGAAGCGAAGAAGGACCAAGTGGAAGGCGCTCGAGGTCAATATCATCATGATCGCAGACTGGTCTCAAAAGAAGGAATCTCCAGCTGAAGCTTTTCCACGTCTTTCGATTATTCCCAGTCCGACTGGAGCGACTGGAAAGTTCAGACAGAGCGGAAATTGAAAGACGACAGAATTCTCGTAAGCATTGACTACGTTCGACATCAGAAATCCCCAAACTAATTCGACCGCTTCCTCCCCTTCGAACTTCAGCCTTGTACCTCTCGTTCTTGGAGCATCGAAAAGCGTTGTCTTCGTTAAGGCAGCAGCTTGGAGAAGTGCAACAAGAGAGAGAGGAATTGAAAAGTATGCTTCAAGCGCTCTATGAAGGGTACAACCCCAACTACCAGGTACGCCACAGCAATATAGCTTGGTCGAGCGGAAACTGATTCTACTGGTCTCTTCCCTACGCAGGACATGGCCGTCAAAGCGGCAGTCGTGGGCTTCACGGAAAAGTACGTTGCTCAGCCAGCTCAGAACTCGGACGAACAAGCTCCGGCAACAGAACCCACCAAGATGGAGTTCGACGAAGAGAAACTCGATGAGCTCGAAGGTGTTGATCTGGTCAATCTGGTCATGTCTGGAGAGCCCCTTGGCGACTCGGAGAGCGAAGATGAGGATAGTCTGCGTAGGTCTATTCTCGGTTTATTCTTGTTCATGATCCCTCAAAACGCCACTGAACTTCTCTCTGAGTCTGTCTATTAGTTTATCGCTTGGATCAATACGTCCCAGATTCCCTCTACGAATCTTACGAGAGTGTCCGAGACATCCTCATCACCTACCTCGTCAAGTTCGGTTTGGTGGGTGGAAACACGGCGTCCACCTCCAGTGGGATCGAGGCTGCCCGTGAGTAGAGGGAGATGCGAAAAAAAACCGGATCGACCTAAATTCTTTTCCGCGCTCAGATACGGCTGCAGCCCGAACGAGCTTCAGCGAATTGACTTCTCAGATGACCAATCTCGAGCGCGACCTCGATGGCGCAAAGCGATCGATCGAAAAGCTCGGAGTTGACTTTGGTCCGGAAGGCGAATGGAAAAAGCTGGAGAACACATGTATCGAGAAGGAGCAAGGAGAGTGAGTGCCAGCAAGAGCGGTTTCTGCCTCGTATGAGCGCGACACTGACTTCTCGCACCGGATAGCTACACCTACTCGCTGTGCTTCTTCGGTCAAGCGAGCCAAAAGAGCAATAAGGACGGCGCCAAACATAATTTGGGGTGAGCTTTGACTGCGGCGCTTGATGGGGCCGTAGCTGATCAACTAGAACCGCTTCGCCAGCACCTTTGCCAACTGGAACGCCGGACCCACCGCGCCGTCGGGGACCGAGCAATACTACTCAAAGCAATTATACAACAAGGGGTATGTCAGACTTTTACACGATCGTCGATCGGGACACTCGGGACTGATTCGACGTGCGAACAGTTTGAAATGTTGGAATGGACCCGAGCGGAGCGTCAAGGTCGATCTGTCCTGCGGTACTAGCAACGAGCTACTGCATGTTTCGGAACCTGAAAAGTGCGAGTACTACTTCAAGGCGACCAGTCCGGCTCTATGCTGGCCAATCTCGCCGGAAGATGCTCATGGGGCGAGCAAGCAGGCGTCTAGACACCATGCCGCTCACCAGGATTTATAACGGTCTGTCTGACTATACAATGCAATGATACAGACTGTCGAGCGATACTTGGCACAGGGCGTTGAGCATGGGACGATCATAGATCATAGAGAAGCGCGGCGCGCTAGTCGGCCCCTGCATGTAATCCTCGCTAGCATCCGTGATTCGTCATCATCCCACCGTGGCCGAGAGAGAGAGAGAGAGAGTTGCACCTGATCAGCTGCTCAGCTGACCTGATCACTATCACTTGACGAGCGGGTATATATAAGACACACCCACACCCACACCTACACCTACACAGGACCATCATCTTACTACCTCGACTCTATCATGGTACTACTACTACCTGCTCGACCCCCAACGTCAAAGTTTACTGCACCATGCCACAGACCACCCAAGCCGTTCTCCGATTCGGAGACGAGTACCAAGCCTACCTCGACAAGGAGTACCCCTTGACGGACCGTCCAGGTTTCGCCGTGTCTACCGTTCGGCCTTCTCAAGTCTTGCAATTTCCAGGGGTCACTTTCGAGTCCACCATGATGGTCCGTAGGCTTATGGAGGAGAACGATCGGAGGTTCAATATATTCGGTCGACCTTCTTGTAAGTCATTGCCTGGGTAGTTAAGACGAGGATGTTGCTTGAAAACAGCCCCGCTGACAACGGTACATGTCATCTCAATTCTTTGCAGTTGCTCACAATCACTTGCCTCATCACATCCTGACCTCATACTCCCTCGGAGCGTCGCCCAAGCATTTACAGGCCACTTTCGAGGCCAATGTCAAGGCCATGGCTCCTTTGCCCGCTCCGAACATGGAGGGCGACGAGTCTGACCAAAAGGGCAAGGAGACCAAGGAGTCTGCCGTTGGGAGCGATGCGAAAGAGCTTATCATCAATCAAGATAATTGGCATGACACAAAGCTTTTGGGCGTCAAAGAGTGAGCATCTCTGTATATCTCGCCTTGCTACGAGACGCTTCGCTAAACCTCGGCTTTTCCTCCTTTCGACCAGTCACTATCCAGCCTACCTTCTTTTCTTCCATAAAGAGATCGAGCGTATCGGTGGGATGGAGACGTTGGAAAAGTATTTCTTCTCCTCGGCTGCCAATTCGGGCGGTAAACAGAACAAGAAAGGACCCCGCATGTTCACCCGCCTATTCTCGGGAGCGTTCCATCCGTGGATTCACCTCGGGTTCGCCTTGGAATTCCGGGACCAGGTGACCCTCGCCGAAGCGTTCGCACAAGCTGCCATCCATGCGGGCGAGGAGCTCGGCTGTGCGTTTCCTGACAACTGGCCGACGGTGCCTTCGGCCAAAAGTCATGCAAGGAGGAGGTCGTCCCAGACTATCGATACCGATGCGTCCTTCATCGATCCGAGGAGGACTCAGGTGTCGGCTTCGAACATGACGGGAATGATGGGCAACTTGCATTCGAACACGACCCCCTTGACATTTTCGACCTCGGTTACCACTGGATACCGTAACCTCGCTCACGTCTCGCTTTTGGAGATCTACGCCGAGCTTTGTGAATCCAAAGACATTGAGATTCCAGCTTACGATCCGGACATGTCCATCAACGAACGTCTAGCCGCCGTCGTGAAAGGAGACCAAGGCGAAAAGATCCGGAAAATCGCCGACAAGTGGGGTCTGACCGAGGGCGAGTTGGTCAAGGCGGGCGAAGCGGACGGGTGGGCGAGGAGGGTAGAAGAGCTGCACATTTTGTGTACCTTGTTGGCTGTCGGTACAGGAAGGGCGGGCAAAGAGACCAGGGTAGACTTCTTCCTGGTCAGTCTGGCTGAGAGAGGGACGGGAAAATGGTGAACGCTCGTCCGCTGAACGAGCATTCACTTTCCTCTTCCTCTCGTACAGATGCACTGCTTGACATCGTCGATCTTCTTGTCCTCGGTGCTCGTCCATCTCACCCCACCTCACCGACTGGTCATCCTCAAGTCATACCTTACGGTCGTACTCGTTACCGCCCTGTCTCGAGGTAGACCACGGATCGACCCCGAGATTGTCCTAGCGCATACGGCTTTCCCGTCTCCACGAAAGGTCGCCAAAAGCAATGACGCACCTGGAAAAGACGTCGAGGGGTTGGATGAAGAGACCGAGACAATCGGCAAGTTGGAGGACAGCACGTATGGCAATTTCTGGACTGGGGTGGTCGATAATGCACTGCATGCACATGGTATGTCGCATGGTCGCAAACGGATAGCAGGTTGATCGCTCGTATTTCATCACGTTCTGCCCTTTCAGATTCGCACATCATCAAGTCGGTCAGATCGCTTCTGCTCTACTCTCGCCTCTACGGCCATCTACCTCCAGGAGGTCTGCTTGGGAGCTACAAGGGCAATTCCAAAGAAGAGACCCTTTCCGGTATTTCCAAGCTCGGAGGAGACATCTTTGCCCGTGCAGTGTCCGTCATCTTCGAACAGACTGGTTGGGCTCAGGATCGGGCTCAGAGCGGGGACGAGGACTTCTGGGATTTCAGTGCGTTGGGGTATGACGAAGCATGGAAAGAGCCGAAAAAGAAGGAAGACAAGAAGTGAAGGCTCAATCGGGATCACACACATCGCTCGTGTACAATACACAAACATCTCGCAATCTGTATGTACATCGGTTACTTTTGTCAAACAAGTGTATGAAAAAAACGTTTGCGATCTGAACCGCTTAGGCGTCCTCTAACTCGAAAGTCGATAGCCGGCCTTCACCAAGTCCTAAGACCACCCTTCCCTGATGATCTTCAATCCCTTCTTGCGGAAAGTGTTGTTCCAAGACTGTTCGTGCTCGTAATATGAGCCGGTTAGCACCCGTTTGAGACGTAATCCGAAACATAAAGAAATGATCCACCCCACATGCGTACCATCCTGAGCAACCTCTTGTCAACCCCAAACTGCTCGGCGATGGCAGCGGCATCTTCGTTGTCGCCTTTGGCGATGACGCGTTCGAAGAGAGCAACCACGACCTCGACGTCGGAAGGTTTGTACTTTCCCGGTTGACCGACAATGGTTTCCTTAGCTGTCGGTTTCGCTTGCGGTTTGCGAGGGGAGGAGGATTTCTTGGGGGATCTCGATCCTTTCCCTTCGGACTTGGTAGGGCTAGCTAACACACCATTGACGAAGTCAGTGAGACGGAGCATGATTATATGATGAGAAGGCAGGTCGAATCACCTGGAGGATCTTGCGCTACTTGTGGTTTGACATCGGTAGGTGTCTCTTCGGCGGAAGCTGACATGGCTGGTTTCAGGTTTCGATTCGTGATGTCAACGTGTAGGGAAATGTGGTCCGAGGTAGAACTAGATAGATTGCTTTGAGAGAGTATAACGAAGATCGAACGGAAGGATGCAAGCAGTCGTCGACTACTTGAAAACCTGCTTATCTATATATCTACCAGACAAAGAAGCGATTGGATAATTGGATGAACTTGAGGGTTCGAGGGTTCCTTTGGGTTCACACCGGTTTCTTTTGTTGCGACGATCCCTCCTTCTGTCATTCGCTCAGTTCTGCCAGCTGCCAGATTGGGGAACCGCGGCAGATCGCCACTCCGGCTATTCGACAAGCTTCTCAAGGCCAAAGAACAAAACACAAATCCGCCAGAGGCCAGAGGACAGAGCTGAAAAGCTCGGAACCTGGTTTGTACGTTTGTACATAGATGCGCGGAATACTCGTACATAGCGCCTTCATCCTCGTACTGACTTCTACACCCATCAATACACGACACGAACGCATCAAGCTCCTCTCTCATCGCTCACAATGTCGACTCCTGAGCCTCAAGATATCAAGCCCGAGGTCAAGAAATCTCCTGGTGAGCAGGGCTGCCACGATACAAGCGAGGCCTCGTATGCTAGTTGCGCTTTCGACGCAGCCAAGAAGCGCAAGGTAAAGGCGGAGGAAGATGCGGATGCCTCGGTCACTGATTCTCCCAGTACGTCCTTGCTTTCGACTTGATCCAAGGTAACAGGGGAAGGTTGATCTAACGTGTCCCCTCTGTCGGATCCGTAGCTAAGAAAGGCAAGACGAACCGCTCGACCGCTTCCAAAGGTTCGAGCTCCAAGGCCCGACAGACCGCTCCTGCCATCACTCCGGAGAACCTCGACCCACCTCTCACCGGTGCCAGGGACCCTCGATTGACTGTTGCATACATCGAGAAACTCATCGACGATAGTAATGCGGACAGTAGGAGGGACATTGCTGTGATGTTTGGAATTAAGCCAGGCGATTACGGTCAAGGTGAGCATGCTCTTCTTCAGCCACGAAAACCGGCTTTTAGCGCGGAGGAGCTGAACTTCATCGCCTGATCGTCTCAAATCAGCCTGGGCGGACACGATGAAGGTGAGTCAAACATTTCTGCCATTCCCGGCAGTCTCGACTTGGTTCATCGATTGCGGTAGCTAATGCAAACGCTATTCGTTTTCTCCATCAGTTTCGAGTCAAAAAGGTCATCCGCAGCGGTCTTCTAGGCAACCCGCCCGCTTGAGAGAATGTTTGTCTCGGCGTCTTCTGGCCGTATGACGGATATGACGAAAGGCCTTTGAGCCTCGATATGGGAGGGATGGTTGACAAGATGACAGAGATCATTGACTGTATCGGATGACAGATTTGTAGTTGGCTTTTGAGCTTGCGAGATAGGAAAGAGCATCATAGCGTCCTCGCGTCCTCGTAGCTCTCTCTCTCTCTCCTCTTTTTGTGTTTCGGAGGTTTTTAATCGAGAAGGCCGAGGTTACGGGAAAGGGGGCAACTAGGCAGGGAGGCATATTCAGATCAATCTCGTATCGACTACCCTGTACCCCCTCTCTTCTGAGCTTCTGCCTACCTTGCCAACGACTCGGCTTGGCACACGGATCAGCGTCGGGCAAGGGACCTCTTGACATCATCATCATGGTCGAACCCAACATCAAGATGTCAAACATGACCCGTCGAGGTTCAGGATCTCCGAGGGAATCTAAAGACTGGACGACCATGACTGCGATCGACCCCGAACGAAGAGGATCAGGTGTGAACCCCGAAATGGCCGGATTGATGGCTCCTCTGAGCGATCGGGACTCTGGCACACCATCCCACGACCACCATAGCGACCCTCTTTTGAATGCATGGGGACGCAGAACAGGAGGAGCCGAGGCTACAGCTCAAGGGCGGTTCAATCAGTTCAGCTTTCCGACATCACGGACGAGTTCCAATGCGCCGTCCGGCCGGTTCTCGATGATCTTGCAGTCCAAGCTTTTCCGAAACATCGCAGTCCTCACGACCTCTCTGCTATTGATACTCTCGGTACTGCATACGACCAAACCCGAGGTGCTAGGCAGCGGCCTTAAGTACATGTCGAACCTTCCAGGACTTTCACGACTAGCTCAACAGGAGATCAGATCGTTGGACGAGCGGTTGAGGGATCTGATGACTCGACCAGTCTTGGAGCAGTGGGAGCTGGAGTTGACGAATCGGTATCAGGTAGGTCGTATCGAGGATCCTGCTACCGCTGCCGCTCGAGTTGACCGCCATGTCACGCTCTGTTTTTCCGCAGTGCCCAATGTACACATACTCCAGGTGGGTTCACACCTGGACCTGCTTTCGCAGATACCGTTACTCAAGCCAACTTCTTGGGAACTCACAGGATGACTTACTTCTTCCATGAAGGAAAGGAAGAGCAGTGGAAATCGATCGGCCGGGATGACATTCGAAAGTACCGGAACAAGATGATCTCCCACCTGAAAGAGGTGGAGGAGAGCGGCGAGCCTCTGGTTTGGACACCTGCACTTGGGGGTCCTTATAAGCGGGGTATCATCCTCACTGGAGGAGAAGGCGTAAGTAATCAAGTCCTGCCCGATGTCGATATTTTGACTGACAGACTCTTTCCTCGATTCAGTCCACTATTCCTCGTCTGCATATACTGCTCAAGATGCTGCGAAAGACGCTCGGATGCACCCTACCTATCGAGATCTATCATTTCCCCGACGAGATGGAGGACGAAGCTGTCAGGAACGAGCTGATCGCATGGGGCGATGTCAGCGTCGTCAAGGTATGTCCCGAACCCCGAAAGCGGCTTGTGTCGTTGTCGATCAGCGAATATTTATCGCTTGTCCATCTTCAGCTGGGAGCCAAGACTTTCAACGGAGAGAAGAATTGGCGTGAGTGCGAAGTCGTTTCTGCGAAGTTGTCTACAGCATTCAACTAACAATCGCTAAATCTCCTATCGCTTCATAGATATCAAGAATGCCGCCTTCATTCAGTCCGAATTTACCGAATTTGTTTACATGGACAGCGTGAGTTATGTCGGCTGGTACGAGAAAATCAGATTGCAACTAAACTCCATCTATGGTTTGTAGGACAACATCCCGCTCGTCGATCCCGCTGAGCATTTCGAATCGGTCGAGTTCAAGGAGAACCGATCCGTCTTCTGGCCCGACCTGAACAAAGATCACCGTGAGTGCTCAGATACTTTCGCTCAGATGACACAAGGCTCGAACAGGAACCATTCGCAGCCGACAACGCAATCTGGCGTATCTTGGGGAGACCGTGCTCGGATGAGCACTGGCCCGCGGAAGCCGGTACGTCAGTTCAGGCAGATCAGTGAAAGGTTGAGTTGCTCATGTATGGCTGCACCTTTTACGAAACAGGTCAGGTCGTTTATGACAAGCGAGGCAACAACGGTCTAAATTTGGCAGTCTTGCACCTGGCGAACCACATGATGACTAGTCCCGATCTTTACGGATTTCTGGGATACGGTGACAAGGATACTTTCGTAAGTGATGGCGGCATGGATTGCGTTCGGGTGTAAGCGTCTGATTCCAAACTCGAAACCCGATGTCTCATCTAGCGGTGGAGCTTTTACGCTTTGGGTCTACCTTACCAACAAGCTCCCAGACAATTCGCCAGTACAGGAGGATTCCAGCGTCAAGGTGGAGAGCCCGATCCTAGCTACTTTTGTGGACACAGCAGTAAGTGAGGGATTGATGGTACGTTCCCACTTGAAACCCCTCTCACCCATCTTATCGCTCTGTCGTAGTGCTTCACTGGGGTCTCACGCCTCAGAACAAGCGAAATGACCCATCGTATCACCCTCCACCCGCTTTCTTGCATACCATCCTGTCAAAGCACCGCAAGAACCTCGATCCCGCCAAGCTGTGGTCACACGTTCGGAAACCCCGCTTGGATGGCATCTCGGAACCTACCCTAACCCGGACGCTCTACGAGTTTACGGGAGACTGCTTCGCCATCACGCTCAAGGGGCCGGATGGACTACCGAACAGCACGAACTCGATGAGGGATTACCAGGGCGTGTTGACTGAACCGCTGTCGACGGTCTTTGGGCCCAATGGAGAGACGGACGAAATTTACCTAGCTTTAATGGACATTGCTCCGACGTTTGTTGCTATCGCATAGGTTAGAGCCGTACTTTGATTTCGATTCTCGGTTTCGATAATATGGATATTGCGGTTTGTGAAAGTATTCAGAGAGCTCGTGGTAAGGTATGCGGAAACACGTACGAGCAGGTCACTACTGCCGAACGCTAAGGTTATCAGCCCTCAACATCGCTAGGGACCGTAGGTTCCGCTCCAACTCATCACGGCTCATCCATCGTCAAAGCCGGCGAGATGATGTGCCTGATAGGCCCCGCAGCACTGACATGAGACACCGCAGGGCCATCTCCATCGCTTTGCTGCGTTGTCCAAGACATCCATCGCAGTGGCGACCTGGTTGAAGTTGAGCACGCCGGGTTTAGGAGCGACAGCAGCGCTCGCCGACCCAACAGCGGCAGCGATCTCAACCATCTCGACCTTAACCGCATCCTTGTTCTGCCTAAACCACCCGAGCATGCGGGTCTGCGGATTAAGGGTTACGCGAGAGAGATTTGGATCAGCTTCCTGTCAGGTGTCGAGAAGTCGCGCGTCGCTATAGCACTTCCTTTCATGCAGGCAAGCGAGTATTTACTTACGATGTGGCCAAGATGTACAATGACATCAGGATGAACTCGGAATGCTCAGATCTGGGTGGCCTTAGGCAAAATCGAGTTGCCTTGGTCCATCTTGCTCCCCCTAAGCAAGATGTGCCAAGTCGGGCTTCCCCACCAAGATTCAGCCCAACTCGACAGGCCGCGGGCGATAGGTTCCCCCCTTGCCAGAAGAAGCGATGATGATTTTCTCGTTCTTGTCGTAACCCATTATGTATCGATCAAAGTGGAGATGTCGCGAGCGTGAAGAGAGTGTACAGGGATTATGAGGGGTAACTCTTGAGGAATGAAGAGGGAAGTGTTTCTCTATGACTGATGATATGGTGAAGGATATCAAGATGGCGGAGCAATCTTTGAATGAGTTGATCCCGTGGAAGACCGACATCGTGCCGCGGTTCCGTAGCTCTCTGTCATTGTCGTCAGGTACCGAGCGGCCCGTCGACGAACGAGAAGGAGCATTCTGTCCACCCTCGGCCAGGGAAGCAGGAAGCAAGCAGGAAGTAAAGTTTGCGCACTGGAAGAGACACCCAAGGACATGGGCAACACACACACACACACACACGAGCCACTTTTTAGCTGCCGATCGATCGGGTGAGAGCATATTCATCAATCGCATCAAAGTCCGGAAGCTTCTCAAAGACCCTCGAGCACGAGATATAGCTCATCGTACAACAGGTAGAGACATCAGCCGGATCCTAGCCACACTTCTTATCTGGGTGGGTAAACCTAGTCATCGGTGCATCGAGCTTGAGGTCTAGATACATAGGTAAGGCGACGCCACGGCTAGCAGATATAAGCCGCCGTATCAATCGACTGATCTGAGAGTTTCTCTTTGTTCATTGCCTCTTAACCAGGCCCGGACTCTTCGAATTGTCCAGGTGAAAGAGACCCGGCTGAACATTCGCAAAGACACCTTCGACCGCCGGTATACATAAAGGAATCCATAGATCGCCGGCCGAAGTGAACTGAGCAAGAGAGCGGTTGCTCGGCAGAACACCTCCGAACATGGTATTACGGAGTACCAGGAGCACTAGCCGGCTTGTCTTCTGGCTCGTAATCGGCACGGCCATCGTCTTCGTATTCTTCACATCAACGATCCCAAACGTGAGCGGTCGATACATACTGGCAAGTCAGCGCTGGAAGTTTCACAAGTCGGCTGACCATGCCTTGTGCGGTGATCTCCACAGGAAGATGACGGTTTCAACATCCTGGCCGAGGCTCCGAACAAAGCTCCTGCGTGGCACAGACCATTCCGGATAGCAGGTCTGGGTTTGGGGCGAAAGAAGCAGAAGAGGAAGAGGATTCTGGTGACAGGAGGGTCTGGGGTCATCGGTGAGCACCGCTTGATACGACAGCCCTCTTGATAATCGCCTCTTTTAAGCTCGCATTGCACTAATTCAGTTGCCTTTGATCGTTATCTCAGGTCTACCTCTGGTCAAGCGACTTATCCACGAAGGCAATGACATCTCCATCCTCGATCTCCGACATCCCTCTCCATCTGATCTCAATTACCTACGGAACGCCTCCACACCATCCTTTGACATTTCGTCGTTCGTAACCCAACCTTTGGGTCCTGCTCGAAAGCTGGGCAAACTCTCCATAATCACCGCGGACGTTCGGCACGCCAAGCAGGTCACCAACGTCTTCCAGCGAGAGACAGCTGGTTTCGAAGGTATTATTCACCTCGCGGGTGTCGCCAGAAATACGTGGTGTACCGAGCGGGAAGAGGATTGCCACAAGCTCAATGTCGAGGGGACAGAGCTGATATACCGCTCGGCGGTGGAATCAACCCCGTCGGACGTCCAGCCCCCTTGGTTCATCTATGCTTCCTCGTTGGATGTCTACGGGTACCAGGGCGAGCTCGGGGCCGGCAAGATGAATGCGTTGGGCCGGACCAAGTGGGCAGCGGAGAGAACACTTAAAACTGCGCACGAGCATGCAGTCGGGGAAGGCAAGGTATCGCCCGTAGCTGTCCTGCGACTTGGTACGACTTTCGGCTCGCCTATCGAATTCAAGGACCGACTATTGCCCGCTGTCGTGGAGCGGGCCATGATGGAGATGCCGCTCCAGATCATGGACAGCGACGAGGTCGTTGACCTAATGCGTATCGAGGACGCTATGGAAGGGTTCGTTGGAGCCATCAAGCTGCTCCAAAAGAAGCGCGATCAGTACGACCTTGCATCTAGCATGGATGATGACTCGCTACCGGAAGAGGGTGACGTGCCCCCGAGCGAAGATGACAAGCGACGTCAGCTGGGCTCCTCGACACAAGGCTATTGGGACGAATTTGACGTCGTTACCGGTTCAACCTTGACACCTCGAGAACTGCTCAACATAGTCATGGCGGCGACGCGGTCGTCATCCCCGATACAAGATTTCAGCGGATCGAGGCAGAAGCGAAAGCCGGGACCGTATCGTCGAAAAACGCCGGCGGTTGACCCTCGTCTCGGGGCTGAGCTTGGGTTCAAGCCGCAAATTCCGTTCGAGATTGGGCTCGCTGCATACATTCACGAGCAACAGGCCAAATTCGTCGATTGGTCATCCCAGTATCTGCGGGACAAGTGTCCGGGAAGCAAGTATGGCAACCCAAAAACCATCACCGAGGCCGATCGGCGAAATCAACGCCTAGACCGGCTTCTTGGCTGTTCTATCAATATGGGCGTGAATCACAACGGCTGGGTACACCACATGAAATGTGGCGAGCAGGATGGCGTCACCTGTCAGGCAGACAACATCAAACGCGATGCTTATAACTGGAACCAGACCGTATTCAACATCGTCTCGCCCTCGATCGATAACATTTCGCCTTTGGCCAATGACCTACTGGATAAGAGACGCGCTCATTCCCGGGACATCAGTGGGCGTGCGCTATCTGTACAATTCGAGGAGGAAAACACCAAGATGTTGCTCGGATTTGAGCGCAACAGAGGAGGCGCCGTGAACTCTAGTCAGACCGTTCGTTTCAAGCTCTACAGCAAGAAGGATGCCCGTCGATCAGAGATCGTGACCGAGTTCGAGCCGAGGGTGCGTCGCGCTAGGGCATCTGCCTCGCGAATATTGCCCGCTGATTTAGCTGTGTTTGTGAATTATGCAGATTCAAACCAACGCTTCGTACTTACAGCTCGTCGTTGCCGGTACCAATGAATTCGTCGACATCATATCGCAGGCGAAGACTACTCGTTTCGAATTGGCTAAGCTCGCAGAAACTTCGCCTCACGACGTACGCATGACACTTCTATGCTGTCCTACATCCGAACCATGGCCTTTGCTTCTGGACGACCGTAAGTAATCCTACCCTTTGAAATCCTCTGCACCAAGCTTACATCATTTGTATCCTTTAGATGAGACTGCGGACATCAAGTACGGCCATACGGGCGATATCCCTTACAATGCTTCCCTCCGTATGCACGAATGTAGGAGGGTCGAGGAAGCCCTGGAGTTCGCTCATGGCAAAAAGAAGAGCCAAGGAGCTACAAACACTGACATCGTCATGCATGAAGAATTTACCGTCGATCTCGCCCAGAAGACCCGCTCAGTCCGCACCACGTACAAGCCCGCCAATTGGAAGGATCGAGATTACCCGGTTTGCATGAACGATTGTTCGAGTCCCACGATCTGTGTAAACAACGGTCTCTGCCGCTGCATACAGGCCGATGACTGCAAGGTCGAAGCGAGGAATCCTATCGCTCCTGTCGCCGTATCAGCGCATAGCAAGCTCATCAAGATCACCACGAACGACGATTTTGCGAAAGCGGTCAAGAAGATCTCCTGGAAAGACCTCTTGCTGCCGGAAGCTAAGCGTGTACTCGACGAGTTCCCCGACTTTATCAAGGTGCACGTCGTGTCCGGGTATGAGGGAGAGGAAAACATCGAATCGCTGGATTGCCACAAGCTCGGCGACAATCACTGCTTCTCCGCGGACAACATCATGTATCGGGCCATGCGAAAGATCTCGGTTCCGGCGGACGAGGCAGATCTTATCATTTTGCCGGCGTACCAGCAATGCAAGGGTGGATCGTTCTTACTGCACAAGATCTATCATCACGCAGACAAGACTATCCCGCATTTCCATGCCAGGGCCAAGACCGTCGTGCTTACGCACGATTGGGGTATATGCATCAATTTCGCATGGAACATCTGGGCGGGCAAGGAGGATGATCGACTGCATCCCGACTACATCTTGGACAACACGATCGTCTGGTCCGTGCAAGGCGACTCTAACACCAAGTGCTACCGACCCCACCAAGATGTGGTCGTCCCTGCGAGGACGTGTAACAGCATCAAACTCAAGGAAAATTTCGGCAATATACTACAGGTCAACCCAGTTTCGCAGCGGACAACTTTGATCACGTGGTCCGGTGAGTCCGCTTGGTACGTATTTGAGGCGTAGGGCGTTTGCTGACACTCACGCTCTCATAGGAACTTATTGGGGTACGGGCAAGAACACCCGGCTCCGGCTGGCTTGCGAACGTGGAGGTGCTGCCAAGAAAGAATTGGTTCCCAATGCGGGGCCTCAGTCTGTTTTCCTCAATTGGGGCTATATGGAGCAACTCAGTGCCTCTCGCTTCTGTCCACAGCCGACTGGTATCGCCGGTGAGTGTGGAAGCGGGCAATCGCGATAGTGTTCAACTCACAAGTGTTCTTCTCGCCAGGCTGGAGTTTCCGCGTACAGGACGCAATTTATGCGGGATGCATCCCCGTTTTTCTCGCCGACGGCACACATTACCCATTCGCCGACGTGCTTGATTGGTCCAAATTCAGCGTGCGACTCAGTCCGACCGATCTCGACCACATCGAGGACATCTTGCGGGAAATTCCGCTAGACGAAGTCGAAGAGATGCAGGCCAACCTGGTCGCCATCCGTGAAGCTTTCCTCTACTCGACCGACGAGACGCCAGAAGACGAACTTTATCGCCAAGGCCCGCTGTTCTTCGCCTTGCATTCCGCACGAATACGATTAGTCACGCAATACCCGCCTTCAAACAACATTACTTCGACTTTTTGACGGGTTTTATTTACGGGTACTCGCAGCTCGCACAGGTTGTATCCATATGTAACTATAATACTCTGTATCCATAATTAGGTGGTATGCTTTCAACGATGTTGCACAATTGTTGAAGATCCTGCCGAAACAGTTCAGGTTGAAAAATTGCCCTGGCGGCATCTAGTCAACCAAGTAAGAAAGGTGGAGGATATATATGTTTGTACGTTTTGTTGATACACCCGAACAGATCTATGTCGGGACGGCCTGAAACAGTACGACTCTCGTGATATTATAGTTTTCCAAAGTCCTCTTCCATTCGCTTCATGAGTTGTTCGACCTCTTCTGCGGTCGCGACCCGCGGCTTAGGGGCAGGTGCCGTGGGAGCTAGAGTAAAAATATGGGCGACGATATCAGTCGTACGAACCAAAGCTTTCGCACCGGATAGAACTCACCTTCAGCCGAGATTGCGCTCCCATCCTCCTTGACCTCCTCCGATTTGCGCTCTTCCGGTAAGCTGCCACCTTCGAGCAGGACCATCGTACGTTTGACCGCCTCGCGTTCCTTACGAACCTCATCGAGCTCTTCCCGCACTTCGCTGAGTTCCCGCTTGATCTCGTCGATCGAGGACGAATGCTTCTTCCTCTCTTCCGCGACCATCTTGTTGGCTTCTTCGAAGAGCGCCTGTGAGAGCGACTCCAGTTCCGACTCAAGATCGGATTTGGCCTTTTTCAAGGTGTCCAATTCGACCGTCAACGCTTTAAGCGTGGTCTGGGATTGTGCGAGGGTCGCTCGAAGCTTCTGCACCTCTGCCAAGCTGGGTCCGGATTGGCCTTCGAGCATGCTGCCGATCGGTTTGGGTACCGAATGTGTCGACGTCGGCGGGCTCGAAGCGAGGAATTCTGATCGAGGCGTCATGCTTCCAGGAGTGGGCATGGCGATCGGCAAGCTATTCAGATCAGGCATCTTGAGCTGGTTCAGACCCAACTCGCGCATAAAACCTGCAGCAGCACCGTTCTTCTCCAGGTTCTTGCGGAAGAAACCCCCCAAGCTTGACCCGACCGAGCCGAGGGATTCCGAGAAGGTAAGATCGCCTGGAACCGATCCAGGTCCGGTAGTCACTGATCGTTCCATGGGCGGTCGAGCATTGGTCGGTCGACGAGGCGTGGGCATGGCAGTCGCCTTGAGCGTGTTGGATCGAGTGAGCTGGCTGGGTTTAGGTGGACCTTGACCCGAGACGGATCGCGCCCCGCCTTCAGCAACGTCGGCTGCACCAGGCGTTCCCGATCCCGTCATACCGTCCGAGCTCCTACGCCGAGTCATCGAAGGACGAGCGTTCGGATCGTATCCAGCCGGGATGGCACTCAGTGGTCGACTTGGTGGTTGAACCTTGACGCCCGGTGCAGAGCTCTCCCTCTCCCGGCCTGATTCACTCCCTTGTCTACTGGGAGCCCGCGAGACGTTTCTCGAATTGACCGGACTGTTGTTCCCGCTCGCAATCGCACCCGCCAACGAACCTCGCATCCCACCGTATCCAAAGGCCGAGACCATGGCGGGATTGTAGCCCACCGCGATCGAATCCATGCTATGTCGCACAGGAGCGGTCGAGTTGACGACGTCCTTCTTGAAACCGACCGTCGTCTTGGGTTGATTCCCGTTTCTGGCCGCTTCGGACATCGAGGAAGAAGCGTATTGGCCGTGATGGACAACAGGGCCCATTCGGCCTGCGAATCCCTCTCCGCCTCGCTTAAGGGCTTCTTCTAGAAGTTCCGAATTCATCTCGGCCAGTTGAAGGTTGGACATGGTGATCTTCAGTTTGGTCTCCAGGTCGGATTGCAATGTACGGAGAGCGAGGTTCTGCCGAGACTATACGATCGGCACGGGAAGCGAAGTTTAGCTTTTCGGATCGAGCTCTATGTCGTCGAAACGAGCAGAAGCTCATGTCACTCACCAGATCTTCTGCATCGTGCAATACCGCCTTCAAGGCCTTTCTCAGCTTACCCACATCCGTCGTCTCGTCCTCGACATCCTCGACTTCCTTCTTCTTGCCCTCCCCAGCTTCGAACGGATCTTCCGTGCCGCCCTGGCTGATCAGGCTCGTCGTTCCCGTCTCGAGCAAGACCCGATAAGCCTCGTATTTGGCTCGATTATGTTCCGTCGTCAGGGGCGTAGCAGTCCCGCTCTGATGAGCCGTCTGAGCGTTCGATCGATGGCGAGTCCCGCCGGGGGTGGTCGTCCCGTCTTGTCCGGTACCTTGACCAAAGGGATGGTTGGCGGTGCTGGACAAGGGGGAAGTGACGATATCGCTGGTTCCACCTGGTGAGACGTGGTTGGGAGAGATCTGGAGACTCTCTTGCAAGAGTCGAATATCCTTGGATGATAGAGGTTTAACGGAGTGGTGAGGCGTAGGGCCTGGCCGGGAGGCAGAAGGGGCTGCCAACGAGGTGGACGAAGCACGGGCAGATGGTGGGGCCGAGATCCCAAGAGCTCCCTGGGTAGATTGGCGGTCGGAAGCTGGGGCATGTTGGCTTGCACCGTTATTGGACGAGGTAGACGCAATGGTAGAGAAGGAAGTGGCGCGTGGATGACGGCCCCTATCGTCCTCGAGAGCGGGCAACAAGGTCGTCTCGGGCGAAAACGTCACCGCATCGTCTTCCATTCTGCTCGATCCTGCTGTAGCGGGAGAACTCGCTCGTTTATTATCCGTGACGATCTTGATAGGACCGCTCGAAGTCCGGGTCTGTATGGTCGGTCGAGGCGATTCGACCTTGCGATAAGATACTCCTACGCTGGGCCCACTCGCTCCTGGGTTAAAGGCCGAGCTGCTCGTCCTGGAATGCGGTCTCGATGTCGATCCGGGGGAAGGCTGACGGACGTGTTCCTCCAACGACTTTTGCTGAGGTGGGAAAGCATTCTGAGGGGTCCTTGATGATTCGCTATTGTTGCTCGACCTCGATGTTGACCGTACGGTAGCATGAGGCAATTCGATGGGGAGGGCATAGCCTGGGAACGACATGGTCGACCAGTCGCGAAACCTGTCGATGAGGCCAAAGTCGTCAGCCGATGGACCCGCTTCTAGAGAAAGGATGTGGAACTGACCTAGCTGGCCCTATCTGTACTCCTTCTGATTATTAGCTGTAGACTGACGACCCAGTAAATCTATGATGATAACGATGAATCTGGTCGTGAAGTACTTGATATGGGTGGGTGAGTGGGTGAGTGGTGATGTCATTTTAAGCCCGCGCTCGCCCGCGCCCCCATCTCGTCCCTCCGATCCCTCCCAAATAGACCGGTCACATGTCAACAACCAGCAAATACCACCCCACCTGTGCTCACTATGGGACTAGTCATGCATAGAACTGGGCTCAGGGTATTCTCTAATTGACAAAGTGACCCGTACGTCGTCCCTGCCGCCCTGTCCATCTATCGTACTGTGACCAGTCTATACAAGTGATAGATTGACCAGCCGAACGCGGGCAAGAAGGTTTCAAAGGCGCGGATAGGTGGCGTCCAGGTTGCTGTGCGTCCTCGGACCGCCATGCTAGTCATCATGTGGCTGGTCCTTTTCAGGTATTACGATCTCAGAAAAAGGCCTCTGAGACTTGCAATCGAGGTTGCACCTATTTTCCCTTCTGTATGTCTTCACGACGTCCGCTGAGGCGTCTATTCCACGAGCTATATCGCGGTTTCACCCAGAACCGAGCGTCTGCTTCACTCCAGCGCATGCGTGCAGATGTCCCCGTTGAGGAACCCCATTACTCACTTGTGCTTCCTTTTCACGAAGTCTTCGTGTCGTCTGCTTGATATGGGGCTTACAAGATCGCAGACGACGAAGCATAAACAGGGGTACATACCGCCATATTTCAACCAAATATACTTCCACATGGGTCATCGCTTTCCTGGCGTCATACCTGTTCGACGTCGAGAACGTCGTAGACCCGAAGGATTCTGGGCCATACAAGATGACCTGTTCGAATATCGCTTACGGGTCACGGGCACGTCTCGATCGTCTGCGCGTTCTTCTTGTTCGTCTGAATCATCGTCATACTTGTTTGTGAGAGCTACATTTCGTTTTGCATGAAGTTCATGGGGACACGTCGAGCTGAAGAGTGGCAGCCATCAATCCATCTTGCATATACACTGATCCCGGTCTTGTGCTTCAATCTCTTCTCCAGAAGGTGAAGATCATGATTGATCTCCTTAACCTCCTCCTCCTTTTCGTCGCCGGCCGATGGGAGGCTCATCATAAGGTCATTCCACCGGGCGATGTCGTGTTCCCAGGCCGCAGCGTCTTTGGCTTGGTCCTTCCTCTGGGCGCTTGCATTTACAGCCTGAGCGACCAGATCATCCTCCTCGTTGACTGCCATGAGGTCGTCCTTGGCCTCATCCATTGCAAGGCAATTCTCAAGCAGATCGGACAGACCTTCGGCGTCTGAAGTAGACCTGCAACGACTCGTTTCTCCATTGCGAAATCAACGGCGACAGAGGCCAATCCGGGGAAAGTGTCATGTTCCCAGGCAGACGAGGCCAATAAACGTCCCTCGATGAGGACGCCGACCATTCCGGTAAGATTGTGTGCCTCGATTCGATCCAGGAAAAAGTTCAGGAGGCCGTGATTGTCCTGTCATGCTCCCAAGCCGCGGCGTCCTTGGCTTGATCCTTCGTTTTGGCGCTTGCAGTGACCGCCTGAGCAACTAGATTATTGTCCTTGTTCACTGCCATGAGCTTGTCAATGGCCTCGTCCATTACAAGGCAACCCTCAAGCGAATCGGACAGACTTCCAAGGCAGGGCTTGGTCGTTCCGAGTTGAGTTGGCTATGGATCACGACAAGACTGAGAAGACGATCATCGCTTCTTCTGGCAAGAACACTAGGAAATTGGAGATCAGAGTCCCCATCGAGCAGAAGCATCCCGCCAAGCCAGCTGCTCCGCAACTCACATACCAATACGACATCTCGCTCGAGTTCAATGACAAGCAAGCGATACTGCTGATCATGGCCGTCAGTAACCGGGAGCTGCTCAAGGACTACATCAAGACGCGGGATCTCCGGCACCATGGTAGATCCCACTGAGAAGCCTTCCAATGATCATTGATCACATTCGTTGCGTTCGGGATGGTCGTTCGTCGTCGCAGACACCGTGTCGACTCGGTTTCGAGCCGGATAAGCCGGATCGCCTCGATGAAGCGGACCGGTCTCGGATGAGCCGGATCTTTGAAAGATGATCGCTCGTCTCGGGTCATCCGGATCTTCAGATAAGATCGTCGGTCTCGGACAAGCCAGATCTACATTGAAGATGATCCGACTGGACGATCCCGCCTATTTCCGGACAGAATGGGCGGCGAGGTGGATCCTATCGGGCGTCGCAGACGACATGTCAAGACGTCTGTATCATTTCGTCGATCGATACAGCATCATGATTCCCGAGATCTATTGCCTTGAGTTGTTTGATAGCATGAAAGAACACGGCCATGGGGTTCTGAAGACGATTCTTATTGAATGAATGTCCCTGAAGCCAGTAGCGAGATATACGGATTTCTCGACGAGGCAGATTCGATGAACGTTTGAAATATCGGGACGACCAGCTTTGTCCCGGATACATGCATCCTCATTTCGCTGTTTGCTCGGGTCATCTCTTCGATCGAGCAGCCGCGTACGAAACAGCAACATGATCGTTAATTACGATGTCAAACTTGCGTCTAAGACATCAGTGACGTCTGGTAGGCTTTCGACCATTGGTACGAGTTCGAGTACTGAACGATTCATTGTGGTGATCAACCCTTTACGATTCGTTTTCAAAGAAGCCCGTGACTTGACATTTGCGAGGCAAGCCGTGGTTGAGGATGCATACGAATCTACTCCATCCGAAATCGGTGACGAACCTTTCCATCGTCACTGTAGCCGGCAGGCACTGTACATCGAGTACATCGGACCACCTCAATAACGAATGTCCATACCTTTATGAGCAGCTACGAGCAGACTGACGATAACACTGTTAATCGCCAGATTTGCTTCGGAGAGAATTCAGCGCAGGCACGGCCTAGAAAGCAGGCTGCCAAGTCCAAGCTACCGAATATCTAGCGATCACACGATGCGCCGAGACGGACGTAGTGTGCCAACTACGAAACTGCGAAACGTCGACAAGGTGAAACGGGTAGAGCTGCGTCGAGGGCTATGGTAGAGCTGCGTCGAGGGCTATGCCACCGGGTATATTTTGATCCCGATACCATGGGATTCCGCGGGGATTTTTCTACGCCACCGGTTCCGAAAGGCGCCCGGTCAGGCAGAGAGCAGTGCAGGAAGAGGAGGATTACGTGATGGTGAGCCGAGAAAGTGTCTTGGACCTCGCGTGGGGTCGGGTGGGTTACGTGGGCGATCAGGGGCGGCAGAAGCAGGACGGCGACCTTTTCTCTCATCAGAAATTGATCCCGAGGGAGACTCTGGCCGGCGAAGCGTGGGGCGGGTTTTCAACCTCGAGGTCGCGAGTTTGCGCAGACCATCCATCGTCGTTGAAACTCATCTACAACGCTACAACCCCGACTGATCTCTCACATCTCATCCCCTCACGCAAACCCTTTCATCATAATATCTGGTGTGACTTTGACAATTCAGCGAAACCCTCAGCCAAGGGTTCGGCCCTGAACCTCCCTCGCCTTCTTGAGATTCGAAAATAGCGATAAAAACAACACGAACCGACGACGCCACACAGGCTGAAAGCGAGTAGAAGTTGGACCAACAATAATACAAATCACCTCAAGTCTTGCGACATCTGGACCAGCACGAATACACACACACACACACACATACAACCATATTGCAGAGCCATACATCACTTCATCATATTCATAATCACCGTCTCAGCATAATCACATCTACACTCGTTTACTCTCGAAAGACCGTTCACTGCTGCCTTCACGACCACCATGGCGACCACGGCCTCGGACGTACCCGGCGTCAACGCCCCGACCATCCCAGCAGCTACGAGCGAAGCACAAGCATCATCCAATTCCCAGGCTCCTGGTCCTGCACCTACAATCTCGTCGTCTAGTCAAGCAGCTCCTGTAGCCGCATCGACGAGCTCTTCCCCCGCCGCGCAACAATCCTCGACGACGAATGCACAGCCCGGACCACAGACGTCTACGTCTCAGGCCGCTCAGCCTACTTCGGCTGCGGCCAGTAGTTCTTCTTCTCCTGGACCGGCAGCGGTGACGACCCTCACATCGACTCTGCCCGCACCGGTTTCTTCTACAGCGGCGTCCAGCTCTGGCCCGGCAGTCGTCGTGTCGACGGTGACCACGAACCCGGGTTCCTCCTCTGCTGCCTCCTCTTCCTCGTCCTCGTCAACTCTGATATCATCCAGCTCATCCAATGTCCCCACCTCGACATCATCGACTCCAATTGCACCTTCGGCAACGCTCCGCTCCAGGACTTCCAACCCTAGCTCGACGGGCCTGTCAGGCGACTCGCGTGCTTCCGAAAACGGCAACGGCGTGAACGATGGAAAGACCCTCTCGGGAGGGGTCATCGGAGGGATCGTAGGCGGGGCCGTGGGATTGTTGTTGTTGCTTGGTCTGGGTGTGTTCTTGTGGAGAAAGAGGCGGGCGAGGAGGGATCGCGAGGACTATCCCCTTCCGTAAGTCTGCACCTCCCCCTTTGCCTTTCCTTTGCGAAACACATTGTCGCTGAATCGGGTCGGATGTTACCGCCGCTAGACCTCCTCGAGACATGATTGCTTCGGGGCTGGGGACGGGCTACGGAGGCGGGTGGGATGACAAGCCCACCGCTGGAGCCGGAGTGGCGAGCAGCAACGTGCTCGCGTACGGAGGGAACGAAAAGATGGGTTTCGACAGGAGCAATTCGGCTCGTGAGTACGAGGTGGTCGGAAGAGAAATTTGTTCGAGAAAAGGACTGACCCAGATGTTCCGTTGGTACCGTTAGTCTACGTCCCAGGCCTCCCAGCCCATTATCCTAGTTATGGACGGAGGACCTCTTCTTCACCCCTCTCGCCCGGTTCTGGACCGTCGACCCCTTTGGGTCCGGCGTTCTCGTACGACCAGCCTCTGACACCCTCTGGGAGCGTCGCACCAGGGCAATACTTCAACCCTCCATCTCAACAGGGCGGATCAGGTGACTTTGCGCAAGGCCCGTTCTTATTTCAGCACGAAGCGGTATCGGGTGGAGGATCAGGTTCAACATCGGCTTCGGTGGAAGGCTCGCGCAGTAGCACCCCCCTCGGAAGGGGTGCAGGAACGGGATCGAGCTCGAATTCGAACACCAATCTGAGGGGAGCCGCCATGGCGACTGCCACTGACGACAAGTCTGGCCAGAGAACAGCGTCCTCCTCTCCGAGTCGAAAGTTGCCTGCTCCGATCCAGACGACCGGACTGAACGATGTTTATCCTGCACAAAACGACACTTTGGGATCCGCACCATCCACTCCTCGATCCAGATTGTCTTACAACCCATCTCAAGGTTACTCGCAGCCTTACTACCCCTCGACCGGAGGGAACCCGCATCACAGTAGGTCCCACTCGGCAGGGATGCGAAACAGTTATTCGGGCCGAGGAATCAATCTTCAGATGCCCACTCCCTTAGATCCCAACACTCCTAGGCAAGGTTACCTCACATCCCCGACATCCCCGCGAGGGGGATCCATGTACGGCTTGAACGATTTCGGGGGGTATCATCCTGGATCTGCCATGCTCGCTGGAGGAGGTTCGAACGTTTCGAGGTCCAGGCCGGGTTCCGGGTCAGGATCGGGCGGAAGTGGATCGTATAGCCCCAACGGAGGAAGCGTTCACGGTTCGACGAGGATGCAGGGGAAACGAGCTTCGGGTCAGGGGTTGACGGGCAACGGGGTCGTGCACCAGCCCAGCACTTCGTCGTCGTTGGCGAGCGGACCCAGCGGGGAAGAGGGCGAGACCATGAAGAGTAATACATAATAATAGCGGCTTTGTTGGAAATGGTATAAATGAAACGACACATGGATATTGGACAAGCTATATTATGATCGGTTTATATTACGCTCATATCCATTTACGCCGAGTCTGCCGATTACTGGTGATCCATCTTGGACCGAGCTGGCGGAGGGTGAAAGCTCATACCAACCCCGCGTGTCGGTAGTTACTGGTCTGTGATGCTTGGTATGTCTCCATCGGAGAGTTTACTTTGAGATCTCTCCGGAACCGTTTTTTCACTGATTTTATGTCTTCAGTTCGATTTGATTGCGGTTTCATCGCATATCGGCCGCAACTCCAGCATCTGTTAGCACTACTTACGATGTGACCAAGATGTACAATAACATCAGGATGGGCTCGGAATGCTCGGATCTGGGTGGCCTTAGGCAAAATCGAGTTGCCTTGGTTCATCTTGCTCCCCCTAAGCAAGATGTGCCAAGTCGGGCTTCCCCACCCAGATTCAGCCCAACTTGACAGGCCGCGGGCAATAGGTTCCTCTGAAGGATATAACAATAACATCGACAAAGAGATCATCTCGACGTAGAGTTAACGTCAGCACAGATCTGTTAGCATGCCGATGATGGGAGCGTCTCGCCTGAGGCGTCTCCTGCCGACATAGCGAATCAACTTCCTGACAGGTCAAAACGAACAGGAGACAGACTAGATGTGATGAACGGATGAACATTCAAGCGGACCGGTTTCGGAAGGCGAGGAACCTTATCTGACTTGACGCGGAACGAAAGGACAAGCTTTGGACCGCTCGAAGTCCTCTCGCGCAGTGAAAAGACTGGCCTGCTGTCTTGAGAAATCCTCGAACTCCACGTTCTCCACCCAGTCTCCTTGTCGTCGTGATTCAAGTGACATCCGTAAGACAGAGATTGTCATCTGACTTGTCTGCTGCGGAACATACGCACAGGACTGTCACCTTGAAGACTTCGAGTCGAGAAGCGGCCGAGGAGATGATCCTGCCTGTAGTAGCGTACAGGCTGACGCCTAGGCGTAAAACCGCATAAATACATACACATATACACAAATACACACAAACACACATACAGAGCCATCTCGCATCTAAAATAATCGTCCAAACTGCCGACCGAAGCGGGTCTTCCGCCGACAGTCTTCGCACTTTACCCCTGACGCTCACGACCTCGCCATCGCCTCTCCCGCCCGATCCAGATCCACCATCATCGCCTCCGTCTCTTCTCTCTCCTTTGGCTTGATCAAAGAGGCTTCGAGCGGACCCGCTTTGAACGCATTCTTGGTGAGGTTGTCTTCGAACCAGCGGAGGAACATTGCCTGGCCATAGTGTGCCACGGTCCGTGTAGAGAGAGGGGATAGGTTAGCCCGGAAGTCAAAGCGCGTCGGAAGTTCCGGGACAGTGGAGGAAGAGGGGGCGAGACCTACCTGGGGTATGCTATAGTGCTTCCAGTTCGACCAGCTCCAGCGCAGTTGTTCAAGCATACCCATCTGGAGGACAGAGGGATCTTCTTCCCACTTGCCGAACCGAGAACATGCATGTTCAGCCCTGGATCTCTGCTCGAAATTTGGAATCCGGTTGCTTCGGCTCACCTGCTTCCTAGCCTCGACCGCAAACCCGACCCGATCGGTGATCAACCACTCGATCCCCCAAGTCCTCGCCACCCTCATGTCCTGTCCATCGTTCACCGTCCAGGTCATGATCCCCTTGCCCGCAGCCTTGCAGTCCCTCAAGAACTTTTGCCCGTCCTGACTCGTCAGCATGGGCATGGCGATACTGAATCCGTCGAGGTCCCAAAAGTATTTCCTAGCGAGGTGGGTGGAGAGACCGATGTGAAACTTGGTGAGCGAGGGGAGGTACCGGTTGGCAGGGGCGATGAAGAGCGGGTGCCAGAGACCGAGGATGAGACGTGGACTGAGTTCGGTCTCGTAAGAGGGGTATGAGCTGATGACGTCGTGCATGAGGGGAAAGATCTCGTCCGGGACGGAAAAGATCTTGACGTCGATCTATAGTCGAAGGGCGACGTCAGCGCCGCGATTCACATCAAAGTCATGGGCAGGTATAGACTCACGTTGAGAACCAGGTGCCGGTTCTCTGGCTGAAAGTATGCCCCATCGAGATGTATCGAAAGTCGATCAGCTCAGACTCGCTTCAAGCGGCAATTGCATGGTGCTCACCCTCATGAGCAGCTCTATGAGCTCTTCAAACAGTGGGATCGGCTGAACCGGTTCCGCCTTGGTCCGCACATGTCTAGCGATTCACGCGCGAACATCATCAGCACAAACGTCAACGCGACGAGGGTCTAAATGTCCGAAAAAGAAGGATGACATGTTCCTACTACTACTTACTCCATCCCCCCAGCCCAGTCTTGATCCCTGATCCGGCCTGTCCCGTTGGTCGTCCGATCCAGGGTCGGGTCATGGAACATCAACAGGCGCTGCGAAGTCGGCACATCAGGGAGGGAATCGTATCAGTATCTCGGGTCGTCTTTTGTTCAGAGGGAGTCGAGAGCCAAGGAGAAAGGGACCGAAAGGGCGTGATGATATGACCCGATACTCACGTTGTCCCGAGATTTGTGGATATCTACAGAGTTAGGTTGCAAGCCAAAAAAAATAACATATGGTCAGCATCGATAAGCGGCATCACACAGGTCCGGCATCGAGCACAGCCCAAGGACGACCCAACATCCGTTCGGAAAGTTCGAGTCTCACCCGACTCGATCCCATCCGCTCCTTCCTTGATGGCGGCCTCGTAGCTCGCCAACGTGTTCTCGGGGAGATGAGCCGACGCTCCTCGATGGCCTAGGATGAGGGTCCGTCCGGATTTGGCGGGTGAGGGCATTGTGGGGCAGGTTACACGTTGGTGCTGGTTGAGGCGAATGATGGGTGGGTTGCTGAGATGAAAGGCAAAAGACAAAAGGCAACCTTGATCCGAGGGCAGAGATCGATCTTTCGAGGTGAGTGAGGCCAGCTAGTTTCCCAAGGTATAGAGGACGTTACACAGCTCGTCGAAGTCTGATTTTGGATCACAGAGACGATATGGAGGATGTCAAGCTGATGATCGATCTGAATTGATATGATGATATCCCCCTGATTCTGCGCGGACACCCATCACCTCGGGGCTTATAAAAACGTTTTTGCCAACACGTGAATCGCTCTGATATCCCAGCGATTCCCCTTTTTCCTGCTCAAACATGGAGGAGACATGCATGTACCCCTTGTCCATCTGCCCTTTCAGGAGACGCAACGTACATCAGGGGAGGTGGGGGTGTAACGGGGGGTGAGGTCTCCCTTTCTCCTTGACGCATCCATCGACGCTCGAGTGAGCGAGTGATGACGTTTGCGCGAGCGTTTCGGCAGCCGACCCCTCGCCGATACGATGATAAGAGTAGTTGGCGATCGACCGTCCAAAATGCCATCAATAATCTCTCGGAGACGAACTAAGCGTAGCCCACACAATGTAGTACGTTGCTGGCATTTGAGTCCTGAATCATGACACGCTGCATGCTGGAGATCATCACACCATACATCGACTGCGAACTTGCCTCCCTCCGTCTTCGGTGATCGTCGCTTCCGCTCGTTGCACGCGCGCAGGCGCAAGCTAGAAGAAGTTGCTCGAAAAAAGAGAGTTGCAACGATTCATCATCGTCGTTCGACACTTGTAAACTTGCACTTGACCCAGTCTCAGACTATCACCCATTCCAACTCGTACCACAATCAATCCTTCGAGACCCTAATAGTACAGTCTAGCACGCATCGCATAGCAAAGCCTCTCGAATATCTCAACATCTCATCTCGCTCTAAAAAAGAATGACGGACGCCGAAGTCAAGCTCTACGTTTACGACCTCTCCAACGGACTCGCCAGGGCGTTGAGCTTGCCATTGACGGGGAGACAGATCGATGGGATCTGGTAGGTCGGGTGTGCGGGTCATCTCTTTCTTTCGAGCCGTTCTGAGAATGCCTGCTGATCCGGTCGTCTTTTGCAATCGAACTTCACAGGCACACTTCGGTCGTCGTATGGGATCGAGAGATCTTTTACGGAGCAGGGGTCATGGAGACTGCACCCGGTCGATCACATGTGAGTCCCTGCTCTAACCTCGCCTGTACAGCCTGTCAAATTAACCCACAATCGCCCCCCTCCTCTACCCTTTTTCATCCCTATAGCACGGCCAACCGCTCCACGTGATCCCCTGCGGCCGTACCCAGATCCCTCTCGACGTTTTCGACGATTACCTCTCAGACCTGAAACAAAGGTACACCGCGGGCAACTATCACCTGTTGGAGTTCAACTGCAATTCGTTCACCCAGGACGTGGTCGGGTTCTTGACGGGGACCGAGATTCCGGCGTGGATCAGCAGTGAGTCGCCAGACCAGAGGCAGGGGTTGTCAATTCGAGGATGAAGCGAGGCTGATTCCCGTCTTGTTTTGCCCCTCATCTCTCCCTATATTTCCCTCCGCCACAGGCCTCCCTGCCGACTTTTTGTCGACCCCTTTCGGACAACAGATGAAACCCCAGATCGACGCCATGTACACGGGAAGGTCGGGCGGGGCGGCTGTCGTGGGCAGTCCCTCTGGACAAGGCGGTGCCGGGAGCCAGGGTAACGCGATGGGAATGGGGCTCGGAGGGTTGTTGGCGGGGATCGCTGGAAAGGCTGCGGGACCGTCACCACCTTCGTCGGGGTCTACTCCCCAATCGGACCTGATACAGTCGACGGCTTCGTCCTTGATGATCATCACCAACCCCACCTCGTTCGACGCCTCTCTCGCCTCTCATCCGAACTCGATCGCCCTCTTCCGCTCGTCGTCGTCAGCGTCAGCGGAACCCTCGGTGGTGGAGAAAAAGTTTGAAGAGATGGCCAAGGATGAAGCGGCCGAGAACAAGGTCGACCTGGAATATCTCGTCGTCGACGTCGGTGTAGGCAGGGGCGAGGAAGTGGCGGCAAAGTGTGGGGTGGAATCGAACGAGTTGGAACGCGGGCCCGTGGTCGTGCTCTTCAAGCAGGGCGTCAAGGTGCGTACCCCCACGCGTTTTTTGTCAATCGGACCCGTCGCACGCAGAGAAGCTAATCCCGGGCATACATTGTGGGGATACAGAGCGATGTGTTGACGGACCTGGATCCCGACGAGCTCGAGGCGGCCATCGTATGGCATATCGCTCAGGTCCAGGAAGGGAGGACGGGTTCGAGTTAGGTGGGGACGCGACACCCGATATCGACGAGAACAGTTACATGAGGATATAGATTCCGACCTCGAACCCTTGTACCATCATCTTGTACATATATCTATACCCTTACGTCGTTGTTTGTCGTTGCCACATCGCCCATGGACCCCCCTTCAGCTTTGCCTTGTTCTTTTGATTTTTCCCTTTTGGGCGCGTTCAGGTCGCGAGTCGCGCGAAACGAAGACCGAGAAGGGGAGAGAGTGAGAAAGAGGAGAGAAGGGTCATTCGTCCATCATCCAACCCATCCATCTGCATTGCTACTACGTTACTACGTTACTACGTTACTACACTCACCAAACTCATCCGGTGACACCGCAAAGTACATTCTTGGAGACGTATCGGCTCTGGTGTCGTTAAATAAAACCCGGCTCGGGTCGAACGCGAGGACCTCTTGTTCGCATCTTGAAGACATCAGGATACCTCTCGTCTAGTCGTCGACCACAATGTCGAACGGGATGTATCATCCTCCTGGTTACGGTCACGGCCAACCAAGAAGTGTTACCACCGGGAGCGATCCTAGGATGGCGGCCGTCTCCCATCAACTGGGATCGTCGACTGGACACGTTTCGAATTCGCACAACTACGCAGGGAGGTACCAAGACGTCGGACCCGCTCCTCGAACTGGGAATTCTGGAGGGGTCGTAGGATCGAACGGGTATACGTCGAGGTATGCTCAAGATCAAGTGGATAGGAGGGAACACATTACCTCGACCAATCACAGCAACAACAGCAATCATCAGACCCACCGGGTCGAACCGCCTCGTCTGTACGGGTCGAGTGAACAATACCTCCCCGCCACTTCGGTTGCGAGCAATCATACAGCTCCGACCTCGGCGGCTTCGATCGCTGGGTACCGCTCGATGGCGGAGGATGCTCAGTATAGTAACAGCATGAACAAGGGGTACGGGACGAGCTCGCAGCAGCAGCATCAGACGGGAGGATATGGAAGGTCGAACGGTAGAAATGGAGTGGGAGCGGGGACGAACGCGTCGGGAGAGAGATCGTACGTCCCTCGACAGGTTCGAGACATGGACGGTCCACCCGCTTCCGGACTTCCCGTCCTTGCCTCTGCCAGCGAAGCCGCTCAGACGTACGAAAGGCAACAACAAGCTTCAGCTGCCATCACCTCATCATCGGCGTCATCGTTGCTGGCTCGTCGAGCCGAGTACCAGCCATCCCGCCAGACGCTCGATAGACCTTCTTCCAACGCTCCTGTGCCTTCGTCGTCCTCTATCTCGCCATCCTACACCCCGGCTCGTACCACTTCGAACGCGACTAACGATTTCACCAACCGATCCACCAATTCCGTTCTCCAAGCTGGTCGTGCTAACCAGCAAACGTACACCCAACAACCCCGAGCGACCGCTACGAACGTCGCCCCTGTCGTACCTGCCATCTCCTCTGCCTCTCAGTCGTCCCGCAACACCAACCAGGCTGCCAACCAGGCGAGATTGGGCGAAACGTGGTACGGAGAGAGGCATCGGGCAGGACAACCCAATACTGCCGCACAACCCTCGTCAAATCGGCATGTCGATACCCAGCCCCATCCCGCCATCGCAGTTGCGGTCCAAGAGGACGACGCCTATCCGGTGGCTCCGTCCCCGGCTTACGATCCGGTCGTCTTTGAGCGAATCATCGGGTTGAGCCACGATCCTCCTTCTGTCGAGACACCCCGACCATACGAGGCAGTCGAGTCCGAGACCGATCGACGAGCTCATGAACAGAGCATACCAGCTAGAGAGGCTGCACCGGACAAGGACAAGGACCAAGCGGTCCACGCGCAGAGGCACGGAATCTCGCCCAGCTTACTGAAGAATGCCAATGGCGATTCGACCAGGTTGCAGGCCCTCGTTCGAGCTACAGAGCCGGGACAATTGGAAGCTTGGAATCAGCAGACCGAAAGCGAGCCTCCTGCCACCGCGCGGACCGAAGGAGAAGGGTCCGAACAGAACCAAGGTGCCGAAGACGCGACGCCCACTACCGATGGACAAGGCTCGAAACGAGTCAGGCAGAGAAAGGCGAGGCCGAAAAAGGGAGAACCAGGTTGGGTCCCTCGTCATCGTAGGACCAAGGCCGAGCTGGCTGCCGAAGCTGCTGCCAAGGTCGCTGCGGCCGAAGCGGCATTGCAAGCTGAAAAGGAAGCCGCGGCAGGTCCCTTCAACTCGTTGACCGCTCATCTGAATGCTTATACCCAAAGAGACAAGGCCCTCCTACGTGAAGGTGCTGGGTATGGCAAGATTCCAGATCTGAGCCCGGAAGAAATCTTGATCAGGCGAAAAGAGGCGGCGATCCGAGAGGCGGCACGTGCGGCCGAGGAGAAACGCAAAGAGGAGGCGAGGTTGGCACAGGTTGCTAGGGAAGAAGCGAGAGTGGCTAGGGAGGCCAAAGAAGAGGCCCGAAGGGAGGCGCACAGGTTGGCTTTGCTGGAGGCAGCGCGACCGGCGGAGAATGACAATCAGGGAGGGCTCATGGATATCGATTTGAGCGGGTTCGGGGACATCGATGCCGAGATCGACGAAGAAGCGGATTGTGAGTCAGCGATTGTCAGATTTCTCTTGGTTGTGGTTCAATCGAGAGCTGACCCCCTTCTTCATGTGCTCAGACGAGGCGCAAAGACAAGCAAGGATCGCTCACAACAATCGAATCATGGCTGCTTTGGGATTGGGCGAGATACATCAGCCAGTGCGTAATAGTCTACTACTGCCGCCTCCAGCCTTTGTATGACATCGGGCTCATCCTCACACTTTTGTTAGTCTCCCGAGGAGATTGAACCAAGACCTAGCAAACGGGGTAGGGGCAGACCGCTTGTCAAGGTACCCAAGCGAAAACGAGAACCCCGCTATTCTCCTGACGGCACTACTGCCGATCCTTGTCCTTCCGGTCAACGTCAGCGACTCGCCTTTGTCGAACTCCCTCATATCTTCAGGAGTCAACGAGTCCAAGACTTGTTCCGCTACAGTCAGCTTCCGCCTGTACCGGAAAACCCGATCGAGAGCGAGTCCGAGGACGAAGATGAGATGATGGACGCCGATGCCACCACCTTGGCGCCCAAGGCCCGGGCAGAAAAGCTTCCTCCGGTACATTACTCCCAAATCGATGGAGACCCTTGTCACCAGTGTCGACGCAAGTCCAACAAGCCTAAAATGAGCTGCAGGAACAAGGACCCGCAGTGTAACCTCAAATACTGCAACACTTGCGTGCAAAGGTGAGTTGATGATCGGCCGCAAGATAACATCTGCCATTTGTACTGATATTCCCCGACGATGCCGGCCAGATACAACTTTCCATTTGAAGAGTATAGTCGGACCTTCATCTGTCCTCGTTGTCAAGGCTACTGTAACTGTAGCGCCTGCCTTCGATCGAGCGGGTTGCTCAAACTTCTCAAGCTGGACGAGAATCAGGACAAGCTCAGGATGTCTCTAAACGCGGCCAAGACTGCTCCCAACATTCAAGTATACCTCGAGATGATGGGCGCACCCAAGGCTCCGCCGATGCCACAACAGGAGCTGCACCGAATCCGCTTCATCCACAAAGAAGAGGACATCATCACGCCCGAAATCCCTGATGACGTCCTGTCCGAGCTCATGACACGACACCACAAGAGGAAGCACTATGCGAAAGCTGGCGTGGGACCCAAGAAATCGAAAAAGAAGGCCAAGACCAAGCGTTCGGAAGAGGCCGCCGACGCGGATCTGGAAGCAGCTGCCGCATCTGTCCGACCTCAACCCCGCAAGCGCAAAGGCAAGGAGAAGGTCGACGACACCGCTCCGCCCGAATTCGAAGCCGTCACCGAGACTGCTACTCTGATGCAGACGTACCCTGAACACCCTGCGCAAGAGGACTCGGACGACTTGTCCGACGACGAGGAAGCGGAGTACGCTGCACAACATGCTTACACTCCACAGTATGATTATGGGACGGGAGATGCGAGACGGCCTGCTACGTCGTCATTGGACGGGCCAGGATACCAAGATCAGCATTATGCTATAGCCAACGCTTGGAGCGTATACCGAGCGTGAAAGCTCCATGTATATCTGTCTCGATACAATATGCAGAACTCTGGCTCATGTTATGACTTATATCTACTTGGGACTTGGGATTCTGGTCGTAAAAATCGTGAAAAAGGTTGATCCGCGTCCGAGAGGTTAGGTGGCGGCCACCTCACCTGTCATGCGAGAACCTGCAAGAGCCAGGCGGCTTGTCGCAGCTGTACAAGACCTGGGTTGAGCATTCGTTTCAGGTTTGAAGTCCCTGATTGGTACTTACAAGCCGCTGTTCATTAGGCTGTAGCATTTGCCAAAGTCTTGACCCGGAACGAATCGAGCACGCCGCCTTGGCTGAGACTGGCCACCATAATCATGTTGCGGTGGTGTCCATCCGTTATGATTTGGATAAGGCGCGTTGGCAACACTCTGATGCACATTGTACGACGAACTCTGAGGCACTTGATTCTGATAACTTTGCTGGTCGTACCGGCTGTACTGATTGTTATTGAAAGACGGCTGCGCGTTCGTGCCAACGGTAGATAAAGCGAAAGAGGGCCTCGCCGGAACGCTTGTAGGTCCGGTTTGTCTCACCGCGGACAAGATATTGGACAGACTTTCCATGTCAAGTTGTAGTGACGGGGCAGACTTTCCAGAGCCGGGAACGGTATGACCATTGCCGTTGCCTAGCCCTGCAGGGGTTCCAGATCCGGAGGCGGCAGAACTACTAGCAACTTGTCTCTGGCTCAACTGCAACAGTAAGGTCTGCAGATCGGGGGCTTGAGGGGCGAGAGGAGCTTCTGTGGGGTCAACATGAGAGTCCGGTTCCGGTTGCGGGTCGCGTGCTTTGGCATCTGCAACCCGAAAGTTTTCAAAGTCCCAGAATCCAGCTGCATTTTCGTCAAGCTCCGCGTTCGCTAGCGAGGTTTGGTCATCCATCGGCATGTCCGATTCGACTTCTGCAATCGGCTTGACCCCGTCGAGAACTTTGATACCGATTGAGCAAGAGGTCAACTAAGAGCTATTGAGCGTTATGGCGGCAACGCTTGACTCGACATACCGGAAGGCTCGTACCACTCTTGCTGCTCCTCCAGCTGTCCATGTTGTTTCATAAATCTTCCTTCCCCTTCAAGTTGCGTGATGTTGGCACCTCCCGACTGCAAATCATGGCGGGATGCTCAGTTCTATCCTCATTAGACATCGGGGATGGCGGCTCACTTCGTATTCGTCACTTTCTCGATTCTCGATCCACTTGATCTTGACCAATTGACCCTCTGGTTCCCACCTGACCGACTTGCGAGGCTTGCCGCTAGCTCGGAGAGGCTTCACATCCGCACTCGTACTCTGCGACATTTTGGCATTGCTTTGTCCGTTCATCATCGTGGGATTGAGACCGCTCAATAACGAGCTGATGGCGTCAACTTTCTGCGGAGCGGCGGTTCTTCGGACTTTCGGTTGAGGCGCAGTCAAGCCAAACGCAGACATGTCTACTCCATCCGTTCTCTTGGACGCAACCTTGACCACCGTCTTGGCTGGAGGCGCAAGGGTTTTGACCTGGGGTTCCACTTTGGGCTTTTTTGCGACTGACATATCCGCTTTTGCGATCAGCTCTTGTAAGATGCGACGTGCGCCGCAAGGCAGCGAGGTACTTACGTCCACTTTGGTCCCCCTCAGGAGCTGTGCGCTTCTGTCCGGTAACATTGTCGCTTTCGACTTCTTGGGTCGCTGCCTGCCTGAGAGCTTCAACGCCTTCCCTGGCATACTTCTTCAATTCTGTTATCATGCCGTCAGTATCAGGGTTGAAGAGAGGATGTATTCGAGGAGCTCACCTTTGTCGATGCCGGCTGCTTTCTGAACAGCTCGCATAGCAGCAACAAGACTATACTTTCCCAACTCGTCTAAGGCCGGAGAGATCTTCTTGAGGAGCTGTTTGAAAAATGCAGAACTCAGCTGTGCACTGTGCGGCTCATGCCTACTTTTCATCAGCTCACATCTGTCATCTTGTAAGCGGCTTTAGCCCAATGGCCGGTCGGAGCGGCAGTCAATCCCTCTACCACTCGATTGAGCAGAGACGAAAGAAGTTTGAGGCCTTGATCGTGCGTCTTCCAAGCTCGTGTATATGCTGTCGGGATCCCAGAATATGCGAGAGTCGCAAACTCGGCGGTTTGAGTAGCAGTCATGACCATATTCTTGTCGGAAATGTACTTGGTCATCTCGTCCAGAGGATTGGTCTTTCCGTCCTCGAAACGGCCATGCCAGCCATATTTGGAGCTCGGATTGAGGAAGTCCTTCTTGAGCTTGTCGAAAGCGGCAGTCTCGGTAGCCTTTTTCGTCGTTGGCGTCGAGAGTGGAGGAGATTGTGATTTGGAAGGTCTTTGAGAAGCGAGATTGGCGATGGTCGGCGAGGCAGCCTTTTGAGACGGCTCGCCCTTGATAGGCATCGACGCTTTTCGAGCTCGAGGCTCCTTGGCTTTGGTGCCGCTAGACGCGGTTGGAATGGTTGGCGATGGTGTAGGAGCGATCACGGCGCGAGCAGACGGCTGAAATAGCTGAGCTGGAGAAACGATGGCATGGGCTGATCCACCATTTTGGATTTGGGCATTCGGCATGGTTGCTTGCTGAGTGAACGACTTGAGGGCTTGCTGAATAGGATCGTTCGATAAAGCAAGATATTCCTGGTATTGATGCATGGGCTGAGTGGAGGAATGGTAATCGTCGGCGTAAGAAGTCGGCCAAGTTGGACCCGGACTCATGTCGACTACGAGCCCGTTCCCTTCATCTGCCAGAAGATCGGGACTGGGTCATGAAGAAACATGAGTAAAAGCGACAAATGGAATTGAAACTCCGATCTCTCGGAACTCACTCGATCTCGATGTCTCCGTCGCGATCTCCTAATGCATCGTAAGGATGTATGTAGACATTCGTTTCGTAGTCTCCGCCGCTGAAGGGCGACAGAGGCTCTGGTTCCACGTGCATCTTGGTTGGGCCTGAAGAAACACGACATGTTGGTCAGCCTTGGCATATCAAAATCTAGCTATGCGATGACAGCAGGAATCGGAGGAGGAAAGGATGGTGACGATGCAAGGAGAGCTGGAGAGATGTCCAAGTATGTTTTCGTTTGAGACAAAGACCAGTCTGAAACGCGCGCGCGCGCAGATCATCTTTGGCAGAGCTAGATGCGCGTCGCCGGAAGAAAAAATGCCGGCATGTCTGCCCCGGACAGCAGCAAGCACGCAACGTCGTGTGTTGCCTCTCTCAAGGTCCACTGCAAGTCTCAGGAAAGCGATTCTCGATGCCATAATGCTCTTCCCCCTCCCTCCCTTCCACCGCGTGACACATGCTTCCCAAAGAGGCAATAGGCAATAGGTATTCACAAGCTGGCGGCAGCTCTGCTTACCTGTGTGACCTGGACCTGTCTTCAACACTCGACTGTATCACGTCTGAACCAACTCTGCCTCTTGTCTAATCGTCTGATATGGTGGCTGCTGACTATGAAAACAGGTGCAGCCGCAAATCAATATACATTATTCATGATCAACCAAGACGAGCCCAATCTCTGCTCACAATGCGTCTTCCTCTGGGTCGTACGATTGTGGACCAACCGAGGCTGTGATAGACACTGGTCCCACAAGCTCTGGAGCCCCTGCGTTCACTCGTCGAAGACTGGCTCTATCGTTTGTCTGCTCTTCACTGAGCTTCACTGAGCGTCTGCCCCCTGATATAGCTCGACGTGAATATCACTCCGCAGAGCCACAAATTCGATGCTAGTAACTACGTATAATCACAGTCTCTCAGAGGCGGCGTTTCGTAAGAGACTACCAGCCGAACAGAGTGACAAATTGGGAGGAAGAGACGGCGACAGGGATGATCGGGTCGTCGGGGAGAACAGACGTAGGATGAGTCCGGCTACGAAGCTCGTTCGAACGTATGACTGGGAGAGGACGGCTGTGTGACGCGAAAGAGGACGGGATGTTGCAGAAAGACAGTATAGTCGTCGTCCTTCGCACGGACCGTTCGTATGTTTCTGTCGAGAAGGCCTGGATCGTTTGGTATGCAGGCAAAACCCGGACAGCGAAGGTTATGATAACGATGTTAGGGACAATCGACGAAGCGATGGTGAGGGTATCGGGGGGATGAGCTTATCAAAATTTTCAACGTATTAGCTTCCGCTCAATCTTATGTGATCCATGTGACGTGTTAAAGTTTCGATTTCCTATGCTTCGGTGGATCGGTGGCTTGGCCGGATCCCTCTGGACTATGATCGCGTCGGGTGATTGCAAGCGTTATCAGCTGAGCAGCTGATAGGTAGTCAGTATACAATACCAGATGATATCATGCTGATGTTGGCGGGGCAGGATGAGCAGATTCCCTTCCTTTGTGCCTTGGCTCCTAAATTCGCAGGGCAAGGAGGCGAAAGATGTTACGCCGACTGCACGTTGACATACCTTGCACGCACGTATTTCTACCTGCGAAGAATCTTTTCAGTCAACTTATCGGTGCGCCATCAATGGAATTGTCGAGCGGTCTTACTATCTGAATCCGCCGAGAAGCATGTGGGCTTACAAGGCATACAACCCAAACGCTCCTGAACCGCCGTCTTCCGCTGTGCTTCCGGAGGATCCCGAGCCCCAAACACCACGAGCTGGTCGATTCTCCTTCCGCAGTCTTCTAGGTCGATACAACGAGCCTGATGGTCTCCGCAGGGAAGTCTCTCGAATCATCAGCCCTACCGAGAGGACGGATGAACACGATGAGGAATTGTCGAGGGGGAGATCTAGAAAAGTGTCGTTCAGCGAGACGTCGAGGGGGCGGTCGCGAAGATCTCGTTCCAATAGCCTTTTCAGCTTGGCAAGTGGCCGTTCTGAGACGAAGTCGGAAATCATGTTGGGAGAGATCATGACCATGTTGAAAGAGATGAGAGACGAAAGAAGTGGTAAGGCAGGACCACTCGATTCTGACGAAGATGAAAATGGCGATGGTGACATGCACGATCAAAAACATCGGCGCAGACGGCGCCGTAGGCCCTCTACTGATGAAATGTCGAGTCCAAGTGGAGAGCTATCCGGTATTGAACCTTCCGTCTCCGAAATCACACCTTTCGGTTCGATCGCCAGCAAAGCTCCAAGCGCGGCCAAAACAGCTGCCATCGCCGCTGGCAAAGAATACGTGAAACACAGATTGCCTGGTAAAGTAAAGGGGAAAGACCCCGCAAAGGCCGCTGCTGAGGCTGCCGTACACAGTCTGAAGGATTCTCTAGGAGCTGACCTAAGAAATATCAAGCCCAACGACATCATTGCTGGATTGCCTTCCCTAGAGGCCTTTGGCACGCAAGGTCTTCAGGAATTGCTCGAGGCGTACAAAAAGGCGCCGACCTCTACTGAGGGAAAACTGTCCTTAGTTGAAGATGCGGAGGTGGCGGCGCATGGATCACCAGACCAGGTTCCATCTGGAGATAGTCACGGCTTGACCGATTTGCTAGCTCGAGTAGCCGCTTTGAAGGCAGGCAAGAAAAAGGGACCAAAGAAAGCTCCTGCTGGAAGTTCGAATGTTCCTGATTCATTCCACCAGGACGCGCCGGGCAGATCCCCTCAACGTCCTGCCACACATGGGAATCTCAACGTCGATAAACACGACTGGGACATGCAACGCCCACCGCAAGCATTTGATTGGCCTTCCAAAGAAGATATAGAGCGGAGTAATGGTATTACGAGCCACACGGTGAACAATCCCGACATAGCTTCCGAGGAGCGCGAGCTGCCGGAGCGGGGTTCTGGCCAGTCGATCCGAGCACCATTGGTTACTAGGAGTGTGGTCAATCTTCCTTCCCCCGGGGGATCAACACAACAATCTGATTTTGATTCGCCCACAGATGGACACGAGTCCCACAACGTCTTTGACATTGTGTTCCCGATCACTCCGTTACATGAGCCAGGCAGACATAGTCAACGGCCCTCCCACCTGGAGGACTCTGCACCAGATGGCAAGAAACCGACGGTATCTAAAGAAAGGCCACGAATGCATCTGAGCAATCCCGATCCTCACCTAGAAACCATCGTATCAGCAAGACAAAATGTGAAACAGCTTTCAAGGCAATCATTTAGCTCAGGGTTCCACACTCGGGTTCTGTCTTCTCTGGGATCGTGTCTGTGTAAGCCGTGTCAGCTTGCTGCGATGGCGGGGTCGATCGGGGCTAAAAAGTATCCACAGCTATACTTAGAGATCTGGGAGCCGGTCATCATAAACGCAAAGATGATAAATATCGGGAAACTTATGAGGAAACCATGCTGTATTGGCTTGGCTCTTGGTTTGTCAAGCAGGAAGCCGGTTTCGAGAGGGCTGAAGACCTCTTCAAACACGCGGATCCGGAGGCAATGCTGGACTTGCTTGACGGGCTTAGCAAGCTCGCGGTCATGTTAGAACATCCAGGCTTACATCAAGGGTCTTGGGATAGCTTTCTTCAGCAGCAGATCAGCACTCGAGGTTTAGCGGTGAAGAGAGGTAAGCCAATATGATCAGTACAAAGCCTCGCTCCGCGCCGCAACTGAAATTTCTGCTGCAGCCTTTCTGAATATGGCTGGCGGTGCAGTACTCGGCTACCTTGACGTGACGCTAGGTTTATACGATGAAAGGATCAAGAACGTCATACGGGAAAATCTTGAGCCCCCTGGAAGCGGAAGTTCGGACCATGATAGGTCAGATGCGTCTGTCTAAAAGTGATCCTCGCGTTAATGCCCTTTCTGATGAAACCGATCAATCGACTGGTAGTTGTGTGTCCTGGACTCCTTCGCTGCGCGGTGTCATTCGAGATGCAATGAGTAAGGCACAAAGCGGGGATGTGCAACGAGAGGCGCTGGAAGAGGCCATCGGGCTTCTTGATATCGTGAGCGTCCCACTGGCTATCAACTGAGAGGAGACTGAAGGTTTATGTTCTTGTCTCAGCTGGATGAACTAGCCTCTGACATCCAGATTGTGCCGGTAGTCAAGCCCCCGTCCACGAACTTGGTCGAGCGTTGTGCAGTTCCAGGTAGCGAACCAGGTACCTCAGCATTGGAGGCAATGTCCAACCAGAATCCACCACGAGAAGCCCGTTCCACACACCATCAGACTCTCACGCGGGATGAGACTGCTGCCAAACATGCCAAGAATGAGCTCGAATGGCGCAAGGGAAATAACTCTCAGATGAGACAAGTTGCCTCGGAAGCAATTTTACCGAATGCATCCCTGGGCAGTTCGCGCGCTGATGAAACTCGAGAAGCGGCACAATCCAGGACTGCCGGAAACCTCGCAGAGTACGAGCATAGACGGCAGGAGCAGCTGATGCCACTTCTGACTAAGGCGGTGGAGCATTCTGGAATGAAAACGGACACTGAACTAGTGGCCACGCCTCCCCGCTCCACCAAGTTGAATGATGAGCAGCCGACTGCGCTTGCTCCTGCTGATGATCAGAAAGGCCATTCTGTCGACCCCATGATGCTGCACAAACGGCTGGAAGAAATGAGAGCTAAATCCAGCAAGTCTCGATCTAACGGCAAGTCATCAACAGCTTTATCGGGACATGTCATTCCGGTATCGAGTGAGAATATACTTAAGAAGCAAGACGGTCCGGCGGGAGATGCCACGCGCGAAACAGAATCAACGGGCCTGGATCAAGTGGCGTCGTCATACTTTCCGCCAACAACGAACTCAGATGTGGAGACGGTCAAGGTCCGGCCGGGTCCTGTAGCTCGATCGGTGGCTAGCAGCACGATCCACGCGCCTATAAAGCCTTCCCCGTTGAAAAAAGCGATCTCCCCCCTGGGAAGTCCTCCATCTGTCGAGTCGGAACCGGAATGGAACCCGGGCCAAGCCAAGAAGATCAAGGGAGCTACAACAGAGATGCAACTCCAGAGGAGCTCAGATGCGGCAGGTTCATACTCGGTCGAGGCGCCTCCCATATCGAAGTTGTCTCCGCCCCAGATGGAGACACCTGCAGTGCACAACCCTGACACAGGAGGTATACAGACGTCTGATCCGTATGCGTTACTAAGGCCTACTCAATCAGAACCGTCATCAATCGTCGTCGATCAGGACTTCAAATCTGAGTCAAGCTTGTCGTTCGAGTCACCTGCGCTATCTATTGAGCCGGAGTCAGAGGAACCGACTAAAGTATTACCCACCGAGACGGAGAACAAAGTCGCCGAGGCCATAGCAGATGCTAAAAGCGGGACTATCGGGGATGCGGTCCAGGCGAATCAAATCTTGACTTCGGCAGATGTGCTTGCCGGACGGTATGGTGCCTTGAAACCGGAAGAGGCGGATGTCGGGAGAGGTACGTTCACGCTCAGACGCAACGGTGACCCTGAGCTAACAAGGTGTTCCGTTTTCATGCGGACCTCACTCTACCTCAGGGACCACGGAAATAGAAGATTCGGATGAGCCCATCTCGCAGACTCAAGCCGAAAAGGACTTTGAGCTGGAGGAAGTGGAAGAAGAAGACCTGGACGCTTTGGTACCGGCGCCAAAGGTGATCACAAGCAAGGACGTGCGAGATCACCGCTACAACTACCAGAATTTTCCCCGTACCCTACGATCCGCCGTCCCAAGGGTCGAGACTCATCCTGGGGCTATTACGAGTGCCACGACGGTGAATATCATTGAAATCACATGAATTGCGCAGAATACTGATCGCTTCTTCGTCCAGGGAGAAATCGTCCCATTTGCAGACGAGAAGATCCATTTGGCCGCAGGGGAAACACTTGTCGATGGAACCGGTCGTTTATGGAATCAAGAAGGTCTAGTGGAGCCAGGTAAAGATGAATCCGGAAAATTTATCGTCTTTGACGTTGATATCGCGCAAATCAAGCGGGAGTACGGACGCGTACCGGCGATATTGCCTTGGGAGAGCTTCGAACCAGACACGCCTGTGGAATCGCCCAGTGCTTCGTTTCAGACTGGAGACGACTGGTCTGGTAGTGAGCTCTCTATGGACGTTTCTGGGATCTCGACACCGGCTGGTCCACGCCCAGCCTTGCGCGCCTCGCGATCGGAGGAAGACAACATGCTAGACAGGCAACTACAGCTCAACCCGGCCGAAGACCGTTTGACGTTGATCGAGGAAGACGAGGATGACGACCATCCTCTTGATGATATCGAGTTGAAGGAAGCAGAGGAAGCGGAGGAGAAGACGACTCCTCAACCCACTCCAGGGCCAGGGGGATTGACCAGTGGGACCCAAACGCCATACTGAAGAAAGAGTAGGGCAATGTGTATGATATTGGTGTCGTGGCACAATGTCGTGCATTATGTATTGTATAGTGATGGGCACGGCCACAAGGTGATCTCGATGTCTCCGTCGTCGAAGTGATCCCTCTAATTCTTGTTTGCTTGGTCCTTCTCGTCTTCGGGTATCGCCTCGGAGAATATCGCTTTCGGTTGGTTTTTGGTCCACGCTACTCATCGATATCGCAGCGAGTCAGTCACGTAACTTCTCCCCGTTCTCTAATATACGTCACATACCGCCCGTCCAGATTGGGTCCGAGCCGGTCGTGTCGGCATACTTGAGTAATGCTTCTCGCGGCTAGATTGATTATTGTTACGCATGATACCGAATTAGCGGTGCTGTATGAAACTGTCAGCTATGCAACTCACATCCTCGTCCAACATGGTGTTTCTGGGGGAAGAGCCAAAGTCAGTCTGGAACGTTATCCTCGCCAAACGGTATCTATCCCGAGCGGTCCTTACCTGAACATGGACTGAACCACATGCTGGGTAGCACTGGCCCCGACTCGACCTCCTTTTCCAGCTCCAACCAGTGGCTCCTGCGGTTTCTGACTCTTGACAGGGTCGTTCCTCGCCTTTTCCTTTTGGCGTTTACTTTGACGATAGTCTTGATCGCGCATCGAAGAGAGCGCGTGCGGGGTAATGATAACCGGTGCGGATCGGGCGACGAAAATCTCATCCCTCGGAGTGGACCTCGGCATCTTGTTGAGCGGAAGAAGAGCTCCGTGAATGGAGGCATGAGGCGAATAGAGGACGTGACATGCTCCGAGTGACGTGGTGGCGAAGATCTAGATGCTTTCAGCTTGATCAGCCATGAAGCGAGCGAAGATTCGGTGTAAGGCAGCTCACCTGGTTGATTCGACTATGCCATGCGACCTTTACCACACTTCCGTTGCCGACAGTTATACGACGGTTCTCACTGAGGTCTTCTCGGTTCAGAACCACGATCTCCCCCTTCTTGTCTTCCCCCTTCCTCACGGCGACACCGGTCAGCAAAGTGCGCTCGTCAGGTGAGAAGATGATGTTTGTCTCGGGGTAGATGTTGGGCAGATCAGTCGCGGTGAATAGAGGTCTCCGCATGGCTCGCGTGTCCCAAACTACACACCAAATTACAGAGCCCGATGATCAGCTCGCCATCCTTCCCAGACAATTGTAACAATAACTCACGCTTAACTGTGTCGTCTCCACCTCTTGTTGCCAGATGTCGACCGTCCTTGGCGAACACGATGCCGGAGGTTTCGGTATAGTTCTGATGAGCGTTATCACATGACGTCGATGGTCGCGACATGTTCGAATTGGTAGCCCAGAGGTGTAATGTCCCATCCTCACAAGCTACAAGATCCAGCATGGCATCTAAGCGGATGCGACATGATGCACGAGATATGCGACTCCACTCACCTCCAGCGATCGTTTTGGCGTCAAAACTATATGCACAGGCCGTAACTTTTGTTCTGCCTCCCCGCTCTTTCGACTTGGCGACGATGACCGTTTTCTGCTTCATTCGATCCGCAGTGTTCCATACGCGAATGGTCGAGTCGTTTGATGACGTGATGAATTCGTCCGATTGTCGAGGGTGCCAGCAACCAGCGGTAATGTCAGCTACGTGACCCCTTCAGAAAGCGGCTCATCAGCCCTCCGCATGTGATTACGACAGAAGCCTTCGAAGGCTCACTTGGTATGACGCATATCGTGAATGTACGGGTCACCTTTGTTGAACACCACGCCGTCTTCACCTTCTCTGGTATACAGTTTAGGTTGAGTGTACCCGTTGATCACCAGTAGGCTTTGGTTGTCGGGTGAGAACGCGACGTCATGGATCTGTGACGACACCGTGAAAGCTCATGTAAGCCCAGTTGGCTCTTCCACCGCTCATATACCCGATTCATGACTGTAAGCCTACCTGGTAGTTTCCGGCGGGCTCGAACGACTTGAAAGGCTTCATCCGGTGATCCATTCCTCCGAAATCCCATAGTTTGACATCGTAATCATGCGATGCTGTTGCAATTCTTGCTCCAGCACTGTCGATAGCAAATGCCGAGACGACCTTTTCGTGGTCCTTCAGGATCACCTCATGACTGATAGGAAATGGATCCGACTCGGGTTCATCGTCATCCTCGTCGTCTTCGCCGCTGCCCGCTCCAGCACCCCTCTCGAACGCATCCTCTTTGTTTATTGAGCGGGATCCTTCAGGATCGTCCAGACCCGTCGCCACCTCCGAGAATGGTCGCTTCTTAACGGCGGTCGAGGCCGGTACTGTTTCGCCTTCAGCATCTTGCACTGCTTTCGACGGGCCGGATGCGGGGCCGATGACAGCCTTGGCATAAGGACTAGGGCCATCTTGCTGACGTCCGGAATGATTTTACTATTAGCTATGACAAGTGAGCGTTCGTCCGCGATAGCGACTCACTGTACGCTCAGTCTTTGCGACGTTGGCCAAGGTCTTTGAGGGCTTCTTCGCGGTGGGCTTTTTCCCAAAGCTCATTGGAAGATCGAAGCCTTCCATCTTTGTTTGTCTACTGCTATTATCACCGATAGATCCGGATGCTTGGCTGCTCTACGTATGGCAACTATGGTCGACCTGGGTACAGATGAGGATCAAGTGATCATATAATAATTATTAATTATCCCGAGCGAGTCGTCTCCACCAGCTTACGCCTGACGCGACCTGCCTGCGCGCCCTAGCTAGCTAGCTACTGTAGATGGCCTGCTTTGGGATCTAGCCTCTCATATCTCCATCTCGCACATCCATCCAGACATCTAGACCCTCAAAGCTACCAGCTACCAACTTATCGATCCTCCTCAAGACATGTCCGCATCGTACAGATAGACGTCCGGCTACTAAGATTGCAACAGGTACAATCAACACCTCTTGACTTCAGCCGGCCGACGCGGACGTTGAGCCAACTCTGCAGGTCTGCGTTCTCGCGGTCAAGTACCTGCCTGCCCACTTCAAGCTCTCACGGACGACAACGCTCTTCAGTGAAAAAGCACCCCGACTACCTCTTCTCAACGTCTATCGATGGACGAAGACGAGGACGGCTACAGCGACCGGGACGCTTCCGGGGAGGACGATACCGACTTTATCGATGCTGGTCTGTCGAGCAGAGTAGCTCTCGACCCCGCTCTAGCCGAGCAAGGGACTACATCAAGTCATAACGGGTATGCGGAAGATCTGCAGCAGTACGATGGTGGTTACGCCCAAGGGTATGATGCATATGTGAGTCGGGATGGCATCCGTTGAGAAAATCCGACCTCTTGCTGACTACGTTCCGATTCCGCATTCAAGGGGGATGGTCCTGCAGGGCCTGGGGTATACCACGATGGACTAGGTCGTCCGACGAACGGTCACTACTCCCTGGAGGGTTATCCGGACGAACCAATGAACGGCGGGCCATCTGGCAGATCTGAACAGCAAGACCGTTTTCACGTCATCAACCCATACCTCGACGACAATATGGACCAAGCGATGTCTTGGACGGGTGATACCATCGTCGTCCAATCACCACATCAAGGAATGTATGCCTCTCACGCCTTGCCATCAGGCCAGTCCGGATCGCTACCCTACCCGATACCCTTTCCTGCTTCTCTTCCAATGCCTATGGCTGCAGAAGCAGGTCCATCGTCGCAGGCCAATGGAAACGCATCGACGTCGTCAAAGAAGCCCGGGAGACCCCGGATGGATGCACGGCCGTCATCAAAGGCCTCACACTCCCAGACCGGGGGTAGAATCAAGCATTCCAAGAACAAGAGCGTGAACAAGGGCGCTCGGCAGGTTCCCTGTACCATGTGTGGTGAAGTCGACTTGGTGAAGGGCAACGGCAAGATGGACGTCATGCTGTCCTGTTCGAATTGCTCGAATACCGGTGAGCTGTGTTCGTGTCTCAGATGGAGGAAAACGACTGATCAAGCGCCCGAGTAGGTCACGCGACGTGCCTCGGGTTCGGAGATGTATTGGCCCGGAATGCCCTATCCTACGCATGGCAATGCAACGACTGCAAGCAATGCGAGACCTGTCAGAGCCAGGAGGACGAGGTGAGTCATGGTGAGGGTATCCGGGATGACGACGATGAGTTGATCAGCCCAATACTCTAGGTGCACATGCTCATCTGTGATGTTTGTGATCGCGGTATGTAGCTCGTCCGGGATCCGCGATACTCGGATAGGTGTTGACATATTCCCACTACTCGCAGGTTACCATGGCCGATGCCTGATACCGTGAGTCTCATTCGTGTATATATATTCAGATATCCTTTCGGTTAACGCCTGAAGTTGGATCTTGCGACAGCCCATTGACCGTGGCTCCAAAAGGTATGTCCATGCCTGTTTGGTCACTTTGATGATTTACTTACGTAGGTCCATCTATAGATGATTGGATATGTCCGCGTTGCAAATCAGTACCTGCAGATCCTCCTGCTACTGATTCGATGGAGGTCGACACGCCAGCCGAAGCAATTTCGAAGGCTCCTTCGGTCTCACTGCACAGCCCTACGGAGGAATCGCTGGAGATGATCAAGCTCGCGATCAAATCGAACGGCAAGGGAAAGGCGGCGGAAGCTCGACCGTCCCAGTCCAAGCAGATCGCCTCTCAATCTCATTCGAAGCGGGAAATCAAACGGAAGACAATCAATCATCAGATCGAAAAACCCAATGTCGTCAAGATCAAGTTGCCCTCAATGGCCATCATCAGCAAGTCCATGGCCCAGCGAGTACCGAAGAAGCGGCGGAAAAGTCAAGAGCAAGGCAGTCCTCCTGGCGACGAAATTCAAGAGGAGGAAGAACCGCCTATACCATTTGGCGGCATCATTACGGGTCGAGACGCGGACACTACCAAGACTCAAATAGGATCGACAGATGTTCAGCTATATGAGGAAACCCGTCGAGCAGCCGAAGTGAGTTACCGCACCATAGTCTCGTACACGGTGAGGCTGACTAACGGAGAGCAGATCCGGCTTGGAGGTGATGATGAGGTTGACGATGGTTACGATGGAGAAACCGAAACTCCCGGTCCCAGCGATGCTGGTAGCGTATATGGCACGGCATCACCGATTCCCGAGACCCCACAGGCACAAGGCGGATCGCGCGCGCTCAGAGACAGGCTGCTGCCTTCGGTCGCACCTTCGCCTAGGCCTGCGTCGCGAGCCATGGAATCTCCTTTCTCTGGTCCACCTTCGACCCCGGCAAGGCGGATTGTGGCTGAGAAAATCAGTGTCATCCGATTCGGCATATACGACATCGACACGTGGTATTCTGCGCCATACCCCGAAGAGTATTCCAGGGTCCCGGACGGTCGGTTGTGGTTGTGCGAGTATTGTCTCAAGTACATGAAGTCGGGGTTTATCGCGGAAAGGCATCAGGTGAGTAGCCGCTCACGTTAAGGTGTGACGAGATGACTCAGCAGTAGACGCTCACGCTCATCTCTGACTCATACAGATGAAATGTCGTGCGCGATGTCCTCCCGGAGACGAGATATATCGCGACGGTAGTGTCTCGGTTTTTGAAGTAGACGGCCGAAAGAACAAAGTTCGTGTACGAATCGATCGCGCTGACATGAATCACAGCTGACGCGTAGCACCAGATCTATTGTCAGAACCTGTGTTTGATAGCAAAGATGTTCCTGGACCACAAGACACTGTACTACGACGTAGAGCCTTTCTTGTTCTACGTCATGACCGAGGTCGACGAAGAAGGAGCTCGCTTCGTTGGCTATTTCTCTAAAGAGAAACGGAGTCCCCATTTCAACGTTAGCTGTATCATGACGCTACCCGTCAGACAACGAAAGGGCTGGGGCAATCTCCTTATCGATTTTAGTGAGAAACCCTGGATGATCGCGCTGAACCTGTGGTCGAGGTCGCTAAAACATCGTCGCTTCCCTCGCTAATAACACAGGTTATCTACTATCCAAGAAGGAAGGCCGAACAGGGTCACCGGAGAAGCCCTTATCGGGATTGGGAGCTTTATCTTACAGGAACTACTGGAAACTGGCGGTCTTCCGATACCTCGACACAGTGGCCGAGCCAATCACTTTCGAGGCCATCAGCAAAGCCACCTCGATGACGTCTGAAGACGTTCTGTCCACGTTAGTGGCCAATGACATGATCACCATTCGAGACGAGCCAGCGGTCTTGATGGCCAAGAAGAAAAGGGCTCAACAGCAACACCGTGAACAAGGCGGTGTTGCCCGGCAGGCCGTTTCTAGAACCCAGCAGACCGGTGGATCTGGACCTAGCGTCATGCCCGATGACTACACCATACATATTCACCATCCGTCAATCAGGGAATACCTTTCACGTCAGGCGAACAAGGGTTACCTACAGTTACGGCCCGAAAGGCTAAAGTATACGCCATTCCTGGTTCAAAGGCTCACCCTTACGAAGAGTGGTATGATCGAGTCGCACACAGTCGCCAAAGCTCAAGCGATCGAAGTGCAGGGCGAATCCCCTGACCTTGAGGGAGCGGGTGGCTTGGAGATCAAGGAGCCCTTCCCTCCAGCCGAGGTGCCGCACCATGACTCGGCGATGGAGGAGAGCCAGGCCTCCGAGGCTGCGGCCACCTCAACGCATCAGAAAAATGGGATTAGAAGCTCTGACCAATTCGCGGTTGGGTCAGCCACACCCGCCCCAGCGTCATCGGCGCTCGATCCTGCCCTATTCCCGTCCGCCCCCAGCAGTATCAATGGCAATGGTCTAGCTTCCGCACAAGCTATCGAGACGTGGCTACCTCGGACGCCTTCGAGGACGGGACGCAAAGATTTCCTCAGCCCGAGTGGAGTCAACGACATGGGGAACGGCAGTCCCAGCAGGCGCAGCTTGAGAAGTAGAATTGCGGAATCGTCGACACCGGTGCAGCCGTTCCAGTCTGATTACACCCCGAGGTCGACGAGATCCGGCTCGCGAGCCGATATCGTATGAGGAATGAGAAGCCAAGTCGACCGGGGTATAGTTCCGGCAGCGTACTAGTCCGAGAGAAGGGCAAACTCTGGCGCAAGAGGATCGAGTGCCCTGGTTGTAACGGTTGTAAACGATCCTCGCGCGACATTGTAAACACAAGATCGGCCTCGTCAGCGTTTGCCCAGATTTTGCTCGAGAAGGCTTTCTACAGATTCTACAAACATGTACATACAGGATTGTGTCAAAGTTTCCCTGCATCAAAGCTAGCTCGTACGCCATCTCAACAAGCTAGATCTACTTACGCACGGTCTTCTTATCTCTTGGCCGCCGTGAATGCTCGGACGCCTGTCTTTCCGCTCGGTCAGGTCATTACCCTTCTCAAGATCCGTCTCAACTAGTCAAGTGCTTTCGTTCATTCCGAGCTCTCGCAACAAAATCACGCCAGCAATAGCTCGAGCCACTCATCTACAGAGCGGAAACCTTTGCAACAAGAGAACCTTGTCCACTATGGTACCTACTAGCGATGTCAACTTTGGCAACTACGAACAGCTCACCGAGTTCAAGCTCGCCTACGCTCCGGTGACTGTTGCCAAGTATCGATCGACGAAGACCGGATTCTCGGTGGTCGTTGCGAACAACAAGGCTCCCATCACAAACGCCTACTTTACTGTTGCTACCGAGATCTTTGACGATACTGGTCGCCCTCATACCCTGGAACATCTGGTCTTTTTGGGCTCGAAGTCCTATCCATACAAAGGGGTTCTTGATAACCTCGCCAACCGGGCAGGAGGCGACGGCACGAACGCATGGACCGCTGATGATCGTGAGGCCTGATTCTACTGGCCGGCATTTGTTTAGACTGAGATCTGACCCAATCATAAAACCGGGATCGGCATAGACACTGCGTATACCATCTCGACGGCTGGTAGCGAGGGCTTTTTGAACATGTTGCCCAGTACGTGCCATATGAGTTTCGCCTTAGGCTCGGAACTGAGCGTCTCCCTCCACTCCTAGTCTACTTGGACCATATTCTGTATCCGACAATCACGGCCAGCGGCTTTACGACCGAAGTGTTCCATGTCAATGGCAAGGGAGAAGAAGCAGGTGTCGTCATGTCCGAGATGCAGGGTGTCGAGCAAAACCCGACTACTGTATTGGCCCGCAAGTGAGCATATACCTTGGCCGGACTCGCGCTGTCGGGAACTCATGCACTCCCGCTCGCTCTAGATTGCAGCTGGAACTGTACCCGGAAGGCTCCGCCTATCGATCGGAAACTGGAGGTATGCTGGACGCCCTGAGAAAGTTGACCGTAGAGGAAAGTGAGTCTTGCCGAACTGTCATCGAGTTTGCAACCGAAACGTGACTGAACTTTGTGATATGCTGAAATTCAGTCAGGGAATTCCATGCCAAGGCGTATCGCCCTTACAACGTATGCACATCGCGTCTCCTTTCTCGAACGGTGCCGATCTGAAACCCGTAACGATCACTAGGTTTGCCTTCTGGTCGATGGGTCCATACCCTTGGAAAAGCTGATGGACGTCCTCAACAACCAAGTCGATCCTCTGATCCTTTCACGAGCCGGTTCCGAGAAGATTGAAATTCCTACCGATTGGAAACGACCTTTTCTAGAGACTGCTTCCGCTGCCGGCCCCAAGATTGAGCAAGACAAGCAAGAGATTGTGGAATTCATGGACAAGGACGAAAGCATGGGGGAGATGTACCTCGCTTGGCGTGGAAACCCGACAGGCGATCACCTTGAAGAAATGGTAGGTACTGTTCATTAATGATGTCCTGTCTTGCAGACCCTGATAGCTTGTCTTTAGGCTCTTGATATTCTTACCACATACCTGACCGATACAGAAGTCGCGCCATTAAACAAGAGATTCATTGAAATCGCCAAGCCTCTGTGTACCCTAATCGGTTTCTACTCTTCGGATCGAGCTAGCGCTTCAGAGATCACCTGTCATATCTCTGGCGTTCCCGCAGCCATGCTTGAGAAGATGACCTCCGAGCTCAGGTCAGCTCTGCGAGATATCGCTCAAGGTACTGCCAAGGAAGGACCACTAGACATGAAACGCATGCGAAGCGTCATCGAGAGAGATCGGAGACAACTGCTAGCTACGGCGGAGACTCGCTTGACGGATGTACTCTGCGACCCGGTCATTACTGGTGAGAAGGACAGTGGGCGACTCAGTCAGAAGGAGTGCCGCTGAGCCTCTGAGATTTTCAGACTTCTTGTACGGGGACGTAAACTCAAAATCCCTTCCAGGGACCTTTGACGACCTCGACCAATATCGAACACTCCTCACATGGAAAGCCGATCAATGGGTGAACCTTCTGAAGAAGTACGTACACCGACTTTTCACCCTAGATATCCAGTTCCCTAACGCGTTTGAGGCTGTCTTCGTCTAGGTACTTTGTCGACCAGCCCTGCATCTCGATTGTTGGGAAGCCCTCGGCGGCTATGGTCGAAAAGATCAGCCAACAAGCGAAGGAAAGGTTGGCTTCCACCAAGACCGCGCTTGGCGAGGCTGGACTGAAGCGCAAGGCGGATGAACTGGCCGCCGCACAGAAGGAGAACGATCGACCCATCCCAGATAACATAATCACTGATTTCCCCATCTCCGATGTAAGCCAGGGTGTTTTTGCCAGAAAGATACGTTCAACTTACGTGATATACCAATTAGGCTTCCAAGATAGACTGGGTTCCCGTGGAGAGGTCCGTATTATTGCATATTTGACCTGTTGGCGCCTTACTGATCAGCAACCTCGAACTAAGCAGTGCCGTGAACCCGGTCGCCTCCTTTGGGAATGCTTCGCCACGGGTCCAAGCCCATGTTGATACGGAAGGACAAGAATTGCCATACTCCGTGCATTTCGCTCACGTTTCAGTACGTCCGATCGTACTGACGCTTCACCCGTTTACTAATCTGACTTCCTTTATTCCCCTCAGTCTAACTTTGTCACCGTTCGCGTCACATTCGATGCGTCTTGCCTGCCAGCCGATCTCATGCCGTGAGTGCTTGCACTGCGTGACAATACATTATGATTCACGTGCTCATGATCTTGCCCAATTTAGTTACTTGAAGTTGTTCGAGTCCTCGCTATTCTCCCTCCCGGTGGAGCGTCCGGAAGGTGTCATCGGCCATGAGGAGGTAGTGACTCAGCTCACCGAGTTAACCGTGGATTATGATTCGGGGCTCGGACTCAGAGGAGAGTTCTCGGACGTGTTCCAGGTATACCTCAAGGTAGAACAAGACAAGTACTCCACTGCAATCGGTTGGTAAGTAGCAAGCCCACCGTAAGCATATACCATTTTAGCTGATTTGTGATTTTCATAGGTTACGTGACCTCCTTTCCCGCGGAGTATTCGATATCGAGAGGTTGTTCGTGGTAGTGGCCAAGCTTCTCCAAGACTTGCCCCGACGAAAACGTTCCGCCAACAGCGCAGGATCGTCGACGATCTTTGACATGCTGTTTGACAAGTCGAAATCGCCTTCTATTGCAAACGGACTGCTTGCTACCTTGACGTCTTTGCCCAAGATCGCTGACGAACTAAAGGAAAACCCGGAGGTGGTCACCAAGAAATTGAAGACCTTGCGAGAATATTTGTTGGATCCTGCTGTGATGCGTATCTCTGTGGCCGGTGACATCCTGAGCATGAAGAATCCCAGATCTGCTTTCAGCGACAATTTTTTGCCCTTCAACGTGAGTCTCACGAGTACAGCGGATAGACCGTTGGACGTCACGAACATCATGGTCACTTCATAGCGCATTGGTCTCCGACCCCTCAAAGGAGCTAGAGACGTCATGTCTCTTTTGGGTCTCAATCCTGCTAAGAAGGTGCGATCCCATCTCGCGGTAGGACCTCTTGCTTGTTGTATTGATCTTCCTCGTCCACAGGCTAAAGTGGTGACCTTGCCAAGCGTCGAAGGTTCCTACGGGGTTGTGTACGGGAACGGGCCTTATGGATGGGATGCAGAAGGGCTTGCTGCTGCAGAATTGGCTGCCGGTGTCTTGAATGCGTTAGAGTCTTATTTCTGGGTAAGTAACGCTACCCTTGTCCCGGTCTGGCCCGTGGTCGGAATCTCATGAATGCTCTTCGCCAAATTCAGAAACATATCCGAGGCGCAGGACTTGCATATGGCGCGTCAATCGAGGTTGACGAGGAGGCTGGACTTACTTCATTTAAAGTCTGGAGAAGTCCCGATGCTTACAAGGCTTACAAGGCGGCCGGCGATGTAGTAAGAGGTCTTGCTGACGGTTCCGTGAGTTTAATCAGATAGAACGTTTTCGCTGCCCGTTTCATAATCTTGATGTTGATCCTTCCCAATAGATTGAGCTGGAGAAGAATCTCGTAGACGCTGCAAGGAGCACCACATCTTATACTTTAGCCCGACAAGAAGGGAACAACTCCGCCGCGGTATGCAGCTCCCTAAGGGCAAAGGCAAATACGTTGGCTCACACACATGTCTCTTCAGGCCTCGACCGTCTTCATCAATGAAGTCTTCAAACAGATTCCTGCTGACACGGGCGCTCGTCGGCTTGCGTCGCTCAAGGTTGGTCGTGTGCCAATGGAAACAGGATCCTGTTTTTTAGCTGACAGCCAGCCATACAATATCAGGACATCTCGGTAGACCAGGTTCGCGAAGCGATTCGTCAACACTTTGTGCCCCTCTTCGACCCCGAGTCAAGCGTTGTGGTCGTAGCTTCTGCGACTGGCCTTGACGAGAAGATAGCAACGCAATTGTCGGATGCCGGCTACGAAGTAGAGAAGATGGAGCTTCCCAGCTTGGGGGACAACGATATTAGCGGCTCAGACGATGATGGCGACAGCGCCGAGAGCGGTAGCGAAGACGAGAGCGAGGGCGATGCCATGAGCGTGACGTCGACGTAAAATGCGTCTCTTGTAAAATAACAGAGCAAGAGATCTCTCTGTGCGTCCAGCATACATGTATCTTTACAACGGGATGCGATCTGTACAAACATTTGCCGCCGGAACGGTCGAGAACGGAAACCTAGATGTAATTACGCTTGCGAGCGGTACGTTGGTACGGTCTAAGCAACCACTCTACATCTGCTTCTGTCTGGTCAACGGTGCCCAATCGGATTTCGTAGGCTGATCGCAAGGCGAGAAGATCAGCTTCGAAGCTGAGTCGCTAACAAGGCGACGGTGTCGACTTACGCTTAGCCTCGAATCGCGGACCAACCTCGGCCAACTGGACGTCCTTATGCGAATTCTTGACAAACACATGATGTCTGAAGCTGATAAAGTCTTCTTCATTTGCGAACGTCATCACTCGCTTGGCATCCTCCTTGGGGACTGGAAACAATGCCGACAGGACCGCCTTGATCCTACCGCCGAGAGTCGTCGAGAAATTTTCGAAGATGAGGTGCGGGTATTGTTCCGAAACGGTAGAAGTCGAGTGAGATGCAATATCATGTCGTAGAGTAACGTTGTGTAGCGTGAGGGATAATGTTGGTCCATGAGGAAGGTGGGTGATGATCATGGCGTCGGGGATTCCTCGATGTTCGTGTACCATGACCAAATCGGTCACCTCATTCGCTCGACAGGCTTCGACCAGTTCCTTGACAACGTAGTTTCCTCGGTTGATACGATATGAATTCGGGAATACCAGCCGTAGCTCCTGCAATGCCGTTGGAGAAAGACATCAGAAACCGGGTCGAGCTTATAATTCACATGAGAGGCTGACCTTTGAGAATTGCAATAGCCTGGATGACGGATCTCGCGAGGTGGTGATGACAATCTTCGGATCATATAAGCCGACCTTTGCGTATTCATCGTCGATGGAAGAGCCCGGCTCTGACATGCACAGCTGGGGTTAACGCCTAGCAAACGGATTTAGAATGTATCGGAACTCACCGTTCTGAGCCTCATCTAACACCAAGTCTTTCCCACCCAGAGTCCTCGCCTCGTTTCGAAGTTCGGTTGGTAACTGTTTACCGGAAGCCAGAGCCTCCTTGATACGCTGTTTGCGTTCGTATATCTGCTTCTCCTGGGATTCCTGCGATTTGCGGAAGATGTACTCTCGCCTCTCACGAGCTTGTCTTCGAAGCTGAAGGGAAGCGCCGCCGATTCAGCTAGAATCGCAGCGACTCATCCGAGATTGATACATACCATGGTCCTGCGTAGATCTTGACTGTTTCGACGGAAACTTTGGAACACGTAGCGTACGTTGTCAGATGAATCGACTTGAATACAGATGTCTTATTGTAACCTCGCCAACTTTCGTGGATGGCCAAAGCTTAAACACTGGTCACGTGATGTATAATGCCGGATACAATAACGTAGTCTGGCGTAATCGGGCTTCGTGGTCTGTGTTCTTTCGACTACAAGGTGAAACTACTCTGTCGCCAACTTTCCCCATATCCGCATAGCCTTGTCTTTCTGACTCCACTCGGCTCCTCTCGCCAAAACCTCAGTTACATCGACGTTCAAAGGCAGGTCCGTTTCCAACTTGTAACGAGAAGAAGCAAAAGCAATGTGTGATCTGGTAAGATGGAGCGATACGGCTGGGGCCGATTCCGCAAATACGGACTGACAGGCAGCCTTGATTAGTCTTGGTAATTCCTGTTTGGATCCCATCTTTGCATCCAACGCACCTCTTCGGGCAACAGTATTGTGAACAAAAAAGCTCGCCCTTCATCGACGATTTCGAATTCGGTCTTCGGCTTGAGTATCTCTTTGGGAGGCTGTGATGGTCGGGATGCAGCCTCTGATACGCCCTGTGCCTTTGTCGAGTCGGTCCGCACTGGTATTTCTTCATCGACCAGTTGAATTTTGCTAGTGAGTAAGGGCTTGACCACAGGGATGGGTAATACTGCCTTTCTCGGCAATAACGAGCCTTTCGACTTGATATTCGGTTCGGTATAGTCTGCTCATGCAGGTGGTTTGAATCAATGTACTCTAAAGACAGATCGAAATCGACTTGTCAGACTCACTCCGACTCAGATCGACGCCCATCTTCTCCTCGACCTTTTCCAACGCCCATTGTATCAGCCACTGCTTGTATTTCTTGTCCTTCTTGGCCTTGTTCAGTACATCGCTGCTCAAGGTCGCAGCTATCACCAGGGAACGGTTGCCAGCTAATGGGTTGGAATAACGTTGTGAATACGTGGAACTGATAGATCGGCGTCTGAAGACATCGAGCTCACCCTTGTCCGTGGTCGACTCGACCGCACCGACCGCGCAAAGCGGATTGGCCTTTTCATCTGGAGGTGCAGGTACCTGTTCCGCTGAAGATACGTTGATGAAGAGCTTCGTGAGTGGGGGTGCGGAGGAAGCGGCGTGTAGGGTTTGAAGAGTAGTCTTGACTACAAAGCCCGGCTATTAAACCCAGGTGGACGATCAGCACTTGCATTAGGCTGGGTATCATGCGTAGCTAACTCACGATAGGTGTCAGCTCGATTTCTTGCAGCCTAGGCTGGACAAGATGATCAGCTCGACGGTTCAAGTTGGTAGGGCCTGAAATATTAGTCACTTGGCACCGATTCTCGGAGGATCCTGTTCGTTTTGCTTGAGCTTGAGATGCGGTAGGGCGGACGAGCTAGAAGTTGCGGGCAGATCCGTCGGAGATGATGGCATGTCCAGGAAAGGCATAATTGTCGAAGCTGTCAGAGATCAGAGATTCGATCGAGATCTTCCGAGTATGTTTTGCTATCTGTGTATCTGCCAATTACCTTGCTATGTTCTCCCTATTTGCTGCGATTCGAGGGTGTAGACGATGAATTTGCGATCGTATAAGGGGTCTAGCCCGGCCCAACGTCTAGCAACTCTCTTTTGCATCCGCACACGCTCGCACCCCCCGGTCTTCAGGTTCAGCACATTTATATTATTTATTGCTTCAACTACTTACCTATGCTGCCCTCCTCTCATTACTAAACGGTCTCTTCTGCTCTGCTATCGTCTCGGCCAGTATCGACACGACCACAATCGATATGAGCACTATACCACTTTACGTTTCGGGCAAAAAGGCCTTCTGCTGGGATGCACAACGTGAGCTAGATATGACCAGACAACTTGGCGGGATTGAAGACTGATCCTTATCGCTGTCATCCTTCGAACGTCTCAGATGCGGCCACGCTTCGTGTGCAACACCGCATATGCGGTCTTACCACTGGCACCCTTCCAGGAGTATCTCAACAGAACGTTTTTCTAGGGCTACCGCTCGTCATGATGCCGGAAGAGGTGGTGCTGTTGGTACAAGAAGGTCAGTCGGGATCAAGCGAGACCATTATTAGCGATACTGTTCCTGACGTCGCTTCCATCTTAGGTGTATGTCATCTGGTACATACCCCTCATGCTTTTCAAGCCCCCTCACGATCCCAGGTCGTGGAACAAGATGAAGCAAGACAAGAATACGTACACAACCTGCGAGTCTCGATGGCGGACGCTCTCGAAGAGAAGAAAAAAGCATTCTCCCACAAGATACAAAGCGTGAAACGGGACGAGGTCAAACGTCAGAGGGAAGAAAAGAGGCTGAACAAGGGAAAGGGAAAGGAACGCGAGGGTGGAGAGGTAGATGCCGAGCTGGACGTGTTTATCGTCGATTCGCCCGCCCAGGCGGCATCTACTGCTTCAGAAGAGGTGCCGAGGGAAACAGGCAGCAAACACAAGGACGTAACCAGCACGCCATATTTCTTGACGGTACCGGCTCATCCAGACGTTACCCCATCCCCGCAATCTTGGTTCGAGCCTCGTCCTGGCGAGTCCTCCTTTACGGATCTCGACTCGGCTCGAGCAGCGGGGGTGTGGACCTACCCCGACGACCTCGTCGAGACGTCGAGATGTGCGACGTTTAGGAAGCTCTGGGAAGCAGGCATGTACATGGGTCAAGGTATCAAGTTTGGTGGCGAGTTTCTAGGATATCCTGGCGATCCTCTCCGATATCACAGTCATTTCGTCACGACCACCATGACGCACCCCGAGAGGGTGATCCGACCGCTCGAGCTCGTCGCTTTCGGAAGGCTAGGGACGGCGACGAAAAAGGCGCATCTCCTGTGTTGTTTCGACGAGGACGGCGAGGTATCCGATCGGGAAGAGGATGAAGGACATGACAACGACTCGGGCGCACAGGACGATCGTGTCGCTGATCGGGATGTAGGCAGACGACGAAAGAAGGGCAGGGTGGATTGTTACAGCTTGGAATGGGGCAACTTTGGTTGATCGCGGGTTCGGTGTCGTGGCGCTTGTACTTTACGACATGTGTTATTACATAGGGATTGCAAGGCAAGCTTGGCTCGACTGGTTTGCTCGTTAAAACTTGTCTTTATTTTCGTTTGCGAGGTCGTTAATGATCTGACTGCATCGTATGACAGCCTCTCGAACCATTTCTTGCTCCGGAACATGGACCAGGTTGAGGTATCGGCCGATGAAGCGATCTGGGTGGTAGGCAAGGATGGCATCTCGCAGAACCCGTCTTAGGGTCAAGGTGTCACCTTTCGGCGGGGCTTTGATGGTTGGACCGTCTGCCTCCTGCTTCTGGCCGAGCTCGTACTCGAGCAGCGCTCCGAAAAAGGCACTGATACGCTCGGGTTTTAGCATGGTAGGATGAAAGGCTGCAGTCTCGGCGCCCAGAAAGACGGGCCAGGGTATTTCGACTAGACGCAGGGGCGGTGATGCCGAGGGGTCCTTGTCCGGTTCCGCCCTTCCAGTTCGCAGGATCTGCCACTTGGTGGCGTAATCGATCATCTCCCTTTCCCTCCGTCTCTGTTCTGCCTTGCCCGTCTCCCGCTTGAGGACCTCGATCCGTTTCTTTTCCTCTTCCTCTTGCATACGCTTCAAGCGGGCTTTGATTTCGGCCTCCTCGTGCTTGAACTTGGCCGCTCGTTCCTGCCGCTCGACCTCTTCCTTATTTCGTCTCCGCCACATACCGTAGCGGATCGCCTCGGAGTACTCTTCCTCGTCCATGTTGGCATAATCTGGCGTGTCATGCTTCCATCCAGCAGCACGCCTGATCCTCTCGGGGATATGAGGGCTCGCCGGTGAGCCATCGCCCGCATCGTCAGGCTCGTAGTGACGGGCCGTACGAAGCGGTGGCGATCGATAACGTCCGCTCGTCAGATCGATAGGACCTTGCTCCTCGTCTGCCATCAGGTCGAACATCTTCTGCCTCCATTCCTGTTCGTCTCGAACCGCTCTCGCAGCTTCGGCGTCCCGCTTGTAAGCGGAGGGTTGTGGTTGCCACACGTCATCGTCCCAGTCTTGCATATAGGCGTTGCGACCGACGTCCGGTCGACTCGGCTCGAACGTTCCCTCCCCTTCGATCGACGTCGTCCTCCTGATCCTCTTTCTCGGTGGACTGATACTCTCCTCTCGACTATCCCCGGTCGGCCTCGGCGGGGTGATGGCCATGCCAGCCACGGGCGAGACTCCATTCGCTCGGTATAGTCTACCGCTCTCCTTTCTCAACCGACGTTGCTCCTTTCTCCAACGTCTCTCTTCTCGCTCGAGCTTGGTCTCCTTCAGTTTCATCTTGAGTTTGGGTGGGCGGTAGGAAGGACCCGCATTCTGGTCGTCTGCGGCGTCCCGACCGATTTGGTCCATCGGGGTCAATCTCGAAAGACTGGGCGAGGTGCGAGGTGAAAGACGCTGCTAGGTGCACAGGGTGGGTGGGTTATGAATGGATGGACGGTAGAATAAGAAGGTCAGGTGATCAGGGATCAAGTGTGATCGAAGGCTGTTTGCTTCCGCTTCTCATCCTGTCCTGCCCCCCGCCCCCCTTTGGCAACAGCAGCAGCGACGTCACTCTTCCGGGTACCCCACACTCGCTCACCTCCACTTTCCCCCCTAACACACTAGCACAACTACTCTCATCAACCTCGCCATCACTTGATCTTCCCATCTGCTCATCCATTCACTCGCTCACCCTTCCAACCACACTCGCAACATCCATATCGACAGTCACGACCGCTCTCAGACCGTAGATATCAACAACATACTCGACCGCCATCCATCCATGAACGCTCACCGGGAACGACGACCATCGGTCGTGGCTTTCGAGGAGAGATGTTCGGTCATTCCAGAAGGATCAAAACAGACGAGATTGGCCACGAGAACGTTGTGAGTACATGTCGGTCGGCCGCGAGAGCAAACGGACCGGTGCCAAAGCGCAGGACATTCTACCTGTCTTCCCAAACCGAACCTCTGCACCGGGACGTAACATGACAATGTCGGCTGAACCGCGTAATCCATCACATCGACAGATCCATCCCGTTGACAAGACGGCCATCAAACTCGGACATCTATTACGATCCGACCTTTACCCCCAGCCCTCAGAAATCCCTCAAGATTCCCATCCCTCGACTATGCCACGCTCCGCCTCTGCCAAATTCCAAGAGCAGGAGATTCTCCCACGGAGAAGTCGATGGTAAACCGCTCCGTGGCTGCCTATTGTATCGACAGCAATCGACCGATACCGCTCCTGGTCATGCGGTCGAGCAGATCCATTTGCGACCCAACAAGCTCGCTCGAGCGCTCAGCGTCGATCGAGCGTCAGCCCGTTCGGACCCCATGAGCGTGCTACCGGTGTGTCGTACGACCCAGAGCGAGAGCGGACAACCGCCAGCGCCGCCGACACCCTCGGCCTTGCAATCGGGTCGACCCCCACTCTCGGTCCTGACGGGCACGAGCTCGGGATCACGCACAGACTCGTCACCAACCATCAAATCTCGACCGGGCATGTTTGCAAGTTTCAAAAGACCGTCTTTTTTGAAACGCAGGACCAACTCGACCGACGACAAGAACGCGTTTGGGTCGAATGGGGCATCACTCAAACGTTGGACAAGCGACTCGTCATCGAGCGCTCTCTCACCCGGCGCTGCTTCGCCAGCGAGTACACCCAAGATTGGAGATTTCGACGGACCGCCATCGGCAGGGAGAGGCTACTTTTCAGAACAAGGTCGAGGCGCTAATGTGCCGCCCTGTATCATGGAGGATCAAGCGTTGGAGGTGGAGGACGAGTCTGCGGACGATCACGGTCGACATGATATGCTCAAGTCCCCCGTCGGCCTGGACGAGGGGCAAGACAAGTACACGTTGCTTCGCCCATGCTGCCCACAGTGTTCTCGTGCCACGGACCAGGGTCTCGAGGCAGACTGGGTCCCACCCGTCTCCAAGCGGGCTCAGAAGAAACTCGACGTCGAACACATGGTCCGGCAAATCGAAGACAAGAAGCAATCTGTTGACGAAGCAGACGAGGCGGTGGACGAGAAGGCCTCGGCCTTTGTCGTCGACGAGGTGGAACTCTTGCGTCGACGGAGGACTTCGGGCGGCTCTGGATCTCACGACAATGCTTCACAAGAGCTCAAGCCCGCATCTCAGACCTGCCTCTTGGGCACCCGACCGGGGTCGGCATCGCCACGGAATGGTCCCATCTGGCTCTGTTCGGGTAAAGGTCGATCGTCGAGCTCGGGCAGCGTCTCTCGACAGTCCCCTGTAGCAACACCGGGAGGAGCGACTCCCGACTCAAGGTCCCCGGACTACTTTGCTTTGGCCAGTCAGGACGGTGCGACGGCCCGTGTGGCTCAAGACGATCTCGACGCCAAGATCGCCGCTGCCCTTGCTGCAGAGGCTTTCATGGCCAGGGGGTCTAGCAGGGAACAGGACACCTCCTCGGCCTGTGGAACCACCGGCTCCGAGACGACGGGAAACGGGGCTCGCAGTGGAGAGTGGTTCCGTCGAATGGCGGAGGGCGGGGGAGTCGTTTCAGTGTGACCCAAAGGCTTTGATTTGAATCGAAATTGCTGGTGGCTTCTTCTTTCCGCTCCTCTTTTCGACAACATAATGATCAATGCAGGTAGCCTGACATTTTGTACCGTACCCGCACCTATACCACGTCGATGATGACCTGCGTCGTCTTGTTTGCGTCGAGATATGCGAGACGCGGTAGCATCGAGCTGTTGTCTCCTTTGGGTCAGGTCGAACGCCGGCCCTCGGATGCGTTTCGAGGTTGTCTCGTAGCCGAGACGTTGCGACCGCCGACGAGGTCGATTGCGTTGCTAGTGCGCAGGGGCAAGGAGCGCAAGCGCGGGCTGGAACTGGTACCGCCAACCTGGCCCGCCACGAAAAATTAGGGGCTGATCACCCCGGATCGGAATAACAACATGGCGGCTCACACACGGACCTAGCCAAATGAACTCGCTGGTAGCTGGTAGGAGGGAAATCGAAAACTGCTCCACAAAAAGCGGCACCTGGCCAGCAGCCAGCAGCCAGCAGAGAGTGAGTGCACCGGCAACTGTAGATGCCCAGGACTTGGCCACCAGCAAATGCGAACAATAATCGGTCTACGCGCGGATGAGGTCGATCTCTGGATGTCGCCGTGTTTGTTGTGGCTCTACGGTAGCTACTACCCTACTACTGCGGTTTGCCTGCCTTCTGTCCGTCTGTCTGTCTGCTGCTACTGAGCTACTGACTGGATCCTCTGTGTGCATATGAATTTGTGGTCGGGGTTTCTGATTTCTAGCTGTTCTAGCGCTTTGTTGTACACACGATCACTGCTCTCCTTTTGTGCGTGTGTTGTTGATCTGGAAATAGGTGCCGCTGCTGCTGCTGCTCATCATCCTTTCCGCGAGCCGAGGGTCGATCAAGTTCAGATCATCCATCAGCATCAGATCGCAATCAACCGCTGCTGCTGTTTTCGCGACCGAGATCAAAACACAACCTCTTCGATCAATCCATCACATCGACCATCGCAACCTCTCAGTTGACAATCGTTTACAAGTTCTCCGATCAAAGCTCACCTCGCAACAAGCAACCAATCGTGATATCGTCGCCGTATCCGAAGACCCAAGGACAATAGACCAACTTCGGCTCTCGCGCTCTCGAAACATCCTTTCGCCCGGATCATAGACGACGCTTTGAGATCGATCGACTGCAACCTCTCAGAGCTCAGAGGGACGTCGATCACAAGAGTGTAGCTCACTCATCAGGCTGAATCTCCCATCAGAGTATCACGACCACGACTACTCCTTCGGTGATCGTTTCCGGAGGCATCCCGACGATATCGTCCGGAACATCTCGTACCGATCTACAAGCTACCAGGGATCCCAGCGTCTAGTCAGACGATCCTAGGCCGATTCCTCCTGACAAGGCTTTTTGAATCCACCCACCTTTCGATCCGGTCTAGGCTGGCAGAGTAACTCGACAGAGCTCATCGTCATGTTACAACCACACCTTCTTGACCGCACGGTATCGATCTCGTCCCTCCCAGCATCCAACTATTCTTGCTCAGGCAGCATCACTCCGTCGTCCGATACCTCGTCTCCCGCTTCGTGCCCCCCGTCTCCTCGACATCAACACCACATCTTTGCCGCCCAGATCGATACCTCCAGCCAGGACTCTGTTCTACCTGGTTCCGCCTACCCGTACCTGCCGGGAAACCTCCAGACAAAACACTCTGCCGGCTGGAACTCGGTCGATACCTTTGAGATTCGCCAGGGCAACACCCAGAAGGCCGTCTTGATATCTCCGAGCAAATTCAGGTTCAAGCTCAGCAGGACGACTAGTCCCTCGTCGCCTACCAAGAGCAGTCACAAACGAGGTGTGAGCGCCGAGCAGGACAGCCGAGAGACGGACGGCGGGTCACCGCATAATCTTGGGGAGAGAAGCGACCGAGAAGTCGCCTTAAAGAGAGTCGCTCTCGTCGATCGACCGGTTGCATTCGGAGAGCGAGGAATGGTCCAGGCCGACGTCACATCGAGCATCCCAGTGCAAATGCCATCCCTAATACAGAAAGACGTGTACGCTCGAACATCGAGCGGCAGCTTATACATCGAGGTAAGTCACCGCGAATGATTACCGTCCGAATTCTTTCTTACTGACGTCCTGCACGAATGCGCTTATAGAACATCGACCACGACGTCACCCCGGCCGAGATTGCAGCCTTTTTGAAAATCACGTCCTCGCCGTCTATCTCGCCCGACGCTGTACAAACTCGCGCAGAATCCCGCGGGGGTCGAATCAAGGCCCCTAGGCCGTTTATCAGGATCACCTCGCCCCTTTCCTCGGAGGCTGGGTCCCCGACAGAAGTCATCACCCGTGAAGCTGCACCTCCGGCTGGGGTCCCGAACTACGCTAGATCTCGTCAGAATAAGCGAGGGTCTGAACCCACTCGACCTCGAACCATGTTCGGCTGGGCAGCCAGTCAGTTGCCACAGGCCGCTCCTACTCCGGCTTCATCCTCCCCGTCGAGGCCGGCTACGACGTCACGCAGCAGCACGACAGATGCCGTCTTGACCGTTGCGGCGATCAGTAGCGGAAACGTCTCGCCTGTACCCGCGTCTCCCATCGAGGATCGTCGATTCTCCTTCTCTGGAGCTTTTCTTCGCCCACGGCCCAACTCAATGGTTTCAACGAGCAGTTCCACCTCGTCCTCGGGGCAGCTAGCTCGAGGCCCTGGTCATCATCAAAGTGACAAGAAGTCGCAGAAGCGGCCGATGAGCGGTTTGTTCCGACGAATGTCCAGCTCGCAGTCAAACAAGATTGTACCGCGAAAACCCGTATTGCTACCCAGTCCTAGGGAAGAGGAGGAGCAATTTGAGTTCGTTACAACAAATTCGAGGAGCAGTACCACACGTGCTGCTACCACCACGGAGATACTCGAGCCCCAGTCAGGATGGAAGCGTTTCATACGCAAGATGACGAGTGCAAAGGACCACTCCACGATCGGCACTGGCCGTGAGATGAAGCTCGATGGGGTAGCGGCTTTCGATAGCGCAGGAGTATCGCATAGTGTTCCAAGCGACTCTTCGATCGAAAATTCGGCAGTCCAAGAGGTCGTGCCAAGCCGGCCACGGTCTTCAGGCTCGAGTGCAGTTGACGCCGATTCCCTGCAAGCACCATCCCTCGACATCGGGTCGGCCACATCGCCGAGTGAGACTGGAGCAGAACATACGCCAGTAGATTGTCCCCTTCCATCCGAAAGCCTTCGATCGGTCATGGGGTTGGAACTCAAGCGAAGTCCCAAGTCGGACACTCTGGTTGAAATGGCAGGATTTTCAAAGCAGCAGAAGGACGATTCGATGTGAAAGAACGGGGACGCAGCAGAATAGTTGACACGAACAGACATTGCCATCTTGAGCAATACATCCCGAGCACGCAAACGAGCATACGTAAAGCATTTGTATAGCATTTCATCCAGCATTTCTGTAGACTGATAGTTTCGTCAATTTCGTTCCACCATCGTCGTTTGATTGTTGTTGTTGCTCTTCTCGTGACGGATATGTTTACGTAATCACAAATCGCAACGACCCGCCATCGCGCCTTTTGTCGATTGTGTCGTGAAATGGCCGTTAATCTTTGAGATATGAGATACCAACTACTACTGTTACGCAAGATCGTCAAGGAACGGGACGAGTCTGATCTCTCCAGGATTTTTGCAGACGCTCAACCAAGCCGAGCTCATCGTCAATAGCTACTCCATCAATCGTTTCAGAGGACCGCCCTGTCGATCAACTGGAGATGCACGACACGACCTAGTATTCGGTGTTCACGCTGGAATCACCCACGATAGCGATTCAATCGCACCCCTTCCCACACCCCTTGCCTTTCGAGATGACCAGTGTCATCACGGGAACGCAGGTTGCCACTCTGGCACCTGAAGATGCGGCTACCTTGAGATCGTCCGATCTCGCATCTACCATCGTGCCGCCTACGACCCGGCGCAAGACACGCAGTACAAGACCGCAATCTATTCAAACTTCGATCAGCGAATCCTTACCGAGAAGAGATTCTACGGTAGGTGTACAGACTCCATCGACAGGTTACGCTATCGGCGCGGTCGATATGCGCTTTCATCAGCATTCAGCTCCGATGCAGCTTCCGCCGCTGGAGCAAGTGTCTCCATATCGTCTTGAGCATATGAGCACCATTGTGACTCCGACTTACCACCTGGCTCACTCTGTCACGCCGACCTACTTCACCCCGAGTCGCCTGACAACCCCTACTCATGTTGGCACATCCGTCTATTCCACTCCATATTCGGTCGGGCCATCACCCTACTTCGCCTACCCGGGATCCGCCCCTTTCGTTTATCCTGCATACGCCCACCAGTCTGTTCACCCCTACCCGGCACAAGGCTACCATATAATTCCGCCAGGATCATCTGAAGATATGCTGCCTCATCAGTCGGCCAGGCATGCCGCGTTGCATCATCAGCACAACCTTGGAAACGCTCCCTACCTTCATCTTCCTCAGTCCCCGTCTCCGCTACCTCCCAATGCTTTGTCCTCCAGACCCACTTCGGTACTACTTCCCGCGAGGACGGACACCGTTCCAAAAGACAGCAAGCGCAAGCCGCAAGAGTCGAATGTCGAATTCGACAGGCGAACACTGATACATAGTCGAAGTGCTGATCTGGGGTTGCATCCTGACGGGGTGGAGTTACCGCCAGTTCCAGACGCCATACGATCCCATAAGCGGACTGCCAGTGCCAGCACTGTGTCGACTTCAGGGCCAAGCGCTGTCTCTCAGCATCTGGGACGCAACGGAACCCGACTTCCTTCAGATGCTACACATCCGCTGCATCAAAGATCGCATTCGGATTGGTCACACATCCGTCGGGGTACGGCGCAGCGACTAGAGATCAGGTGTAGCGTCACTGAGGGCAGGAGGCTCGTGTTTCCAGATAGCACGCCTGGCTCTCTGGATCACCCGACTCGAGAAGAGCTGTCCCTCAGGAGCGGGACAGAGTCGCCGTCGCGTGACGGGATCGACGTGGCTTCGACCCCGGATCACAGGCAGAAGCATAACAGTGAAAGAACAACGCTGGCACCTAGCCTCCGCACTCTGGATGACGGCACTGCGATAGTACAGGAGAGAGCGGTTCTGCGGTCTGACTTGGCATGGTTGTGTCAGGCCGCGCCCAAGCTCGCGCCCGAGGCGAAAATAGAGGAGGAAGATGGGCAAGATTGGAACGAGTTGGGTCAGCTTGCGTTGACAACGCCGAGACGGGCGAAGGTTGAAACTGTCGAAGAGACAAACAGCGCCAAGAAGAGGAAGCGCTTGGAAGCTTCTGCCGACGGTCGAGACCTACCGGCCACTGCAGCGATGTTGCCCGCATCTCCGTCAAAGAGAAGAGGGAAATACTCCCTGTCTACGGATCTTGGATCTTCGATAACTTCTGTGGAGCACTTCGGCAGATTGGCGATCAAGCAAGAGCTGGCGTTGCAATTCCTAGGCCTCGACGGATCCGACGTGGAATCCGAAGCGAAGGCTGACGGCGATGAAGAAAAGGACAGCGAGCCCGCCAAGGTGACGGCTGATCGCCATTCTCGTGAGAAACAGTCACCGATATCGATCAGTACCAAATCCACTCGAGCAACAAATGCCATTCTTGCACATGCTCCTGACTGGCCAGACTCGATGCCTCCATGGACACAAGAAATCGATTGGCTGCAAAAACGCCAGCTGCAACAAACAACAATGCTCGAGAGAGAGAAGACTTCTTCGCTTGAGCGTTATCTTGAAGCGCCTAGCGAGGATGAAAGCAGCGATACAGACTCGCGTGCTGTTCTGATGAAACACCTCAAAGAGAGAGGCAGGACAAGCAAGACAAGTTCGGATGCCCGAGAAGCAGTACTACGCGCCAAACAAAAGGGTAAAACTCTTGTAGAGCGCGATCTCGAGATCGGTGCCGCACTGCCCATCATATCTCCTGCCGAAGAAGCCGGTTGCCTATGCGGCGGCCGCAACGAAGAAGGTGGGGGCATGGTGTGCTGTGACGGTTGCTCCACTTGGTACCACCTCTCTTGTTGTGGTATCGCAAGTGAAGACGAGCTGGAAGATCAATGGTTCTGCCGACGGTGTGATGTTGAAGGACCGGTGTCTCACGTCCTCGACTCGCCTCCTGATCCAATCGGCGTTCCTGTCACACCCAAATTGAGGCAAGCGCTTGGCCCAACATTCTCGGCGACTGATGAGACCGCACGGAGCTACCATGCGCATACGAGTGATGCGGCACTGGCGCCTTCGCCCACTTTTTCGCCTGGCGCTCATTTCCCTACCCCGTTGATGGATACCCCTGCACTGTACGCGAGCCCTCGTCTTCCTTCGGGCTCGAGCGTTGCGTCCAAGTCCGCCATTCCTGGGTCGCCCAGGACCTACACAAAGCCGAGGATAGTATCCTATGCCGAACACTACAATATCTGCCAAACTCCTGGGGCGCCGGATTCCGACTACAAGAAGATATACTCTACTCCAAAATTCGAAGACTTCTTCGACACTGGCGTAATGCAATCGGGTTCTACACCTGTGCAGCGGAATGGGGGTAGCCCAACTCCCCTGAACAAGCCCAGGATCGGAGGGCTCGGCTTTCCAGCATTTACGACGCCCACTACGAGCCAAAATTTCTTGAGATCTCTTCAGATCGGAGCGACCGGATCCACTCCCGCTCTAGACTTCCTACCATCCTCTGCCAGCGGAGCTTCACAATCACCCTTTCCGATCTCGCCGGTACTGTCTTCTGCAAACAGGTACAAGTACCCTTCGGTCATTACGGACAGTATCTCCCCATCACCATACAGGGAGCACAGGCGACAAGTGTCGTTTGGAGCCAGATCAACGAGCTTCAGCGCCAGTGCCTCGCATTTACGAGACTCGGTGACATTCGAGGGCGTGGAGAAGGGACCTCTCGATCTAGGCGGAGAACTGAAAGCACTGCACAGGAATAATTACGCCAACTGATGATGACCAGTCAGTACAAGGATGTTTCGCTGATGTGACCGAAGAGCGTACTGACGAAGCGTGGTCCTTGTTTAGTACCCGACCCATTACGACACGAGACGTCCGGGCGTACCAGCCTGACCTAGACATGACCATTTGATATCCGTTGTATACGCCGCTCGTGGGCTTTGGCACGTGTGAATCCCGCGTTTGTAAGGTCTTTAGATTGCCAATTCCTACTCCTTGTATATTGACACGCACTCTATGCCGACTGTGGGACTTTATCTGTGCGTGTTTCATCCTGTTGATTACGTCATACATCGATGCGACCCATGTTTCTCGCGAAAGGAGGTCGACCTTCCTCGACGGCCTCGACCTTGCGAGAGGGAACTAATATGATCAACCCTTACCCTGACATCTCGTATAAGAGAGCAAGTATACAAGCTACAAGCTATAAAAGTAGTATATGTCACATCGATCTGTCGGATCTCGACACAACTCGCGGATTTGATCAAGCGACAACAACGTCATCGACACAGAGTCAGTGACCGGGATCTCGGGAGAATCAATCATGACTGGGAACGGAATTAGCGAGGACAGTCTATCATTTGGATCGGATCGGTGAGCGCACATTCCCGCCTATCAGTACTCAGATCCCATCCTAGACACCTCTATCGCGTTGTAGAGCGCGTGAGGCTCTGGCCTATCTGGAGGAGATGATCACCGGTGCCATGGTTCAGATGCTGAAGGAGCAGCAAAAGGTCAATCGATTGCTGTTGCGGTCAACAGAGTCTGACGGTACTGGAGAACATCAAACGGCGGAGACTTCGTGAGTCTCGATAGTCGGTCTCCTGGAGGATGGAACTCACGTGTGTACGTGTACACAATACGAATTGTATCACAGTGCTCAAATACGCTTAGATATATATGACCGTGGTAAAGGGTAAGTAAGCCTCTCGCTTGTTCCACCCGCAAGGTATCGATGGCTGACCTCGGTAGGTCTCGTATTTCAGGACCGAAAAAGACATCAAATTTCCACAAGCTTCTTCGAATCCATACTCTACGCGCTCTTCGGCCTTGTCCTTAGGTAAGAAACAACTCGGCATTTGGCATACAGACGTTGATATCTGCTGATCGGACAACACAAGCTCGTTACATGCGAATAGTAGAGATTTTACATGAAACCTTGACAGAAGATGCTTCGATCACGAAGAGGTGGGTCTCTCTCTGGTACAACGCTATGGTGATTGCAGGTTGACTCGCTCCTTGACGCTTCAAAGAGACGTCTTCTATCGGTCAGTCCTCGCTCGAAGAACACGAACCTAACAAGTGCCTAACAAAGTTTTGGGTCCATATTGGAGCCCCTGCTCCACAGCGATGTTCACCTGTTCTCCAGGCAAGCGATTAGCGATGAAGTATGTCGCGGAATTTCTAAAGACTAGCGGACAGGCTCAGAGGTTGCTCGAATCAGATTCTGGATACGATCGTTGCATCCGCTGGCTTGTGTCGCAACGACTTCAGGCTCGTAAGCCATCTCTGTGACCGGACTGGTTCAGTTGATGAAATGATGTTTCTTGTTCAGTCCGCCGCTGCGAAGGGTCTTCTTTACTGCCCCATCGCCAAGGTGTTTGTCACGGGAGACGAATCCGTTCTAGACTGCTCTACAGCAGTGAGTAGACCCGATGGTTTCACTGCGAATCTTCAACTCAGTCAGACCGGACCTGCAGCCGTGTCATATCCCCGAAGTAACAGTCGTCCGGACGATTCATTTTGAAAAACAGCCAAAGTGGCTCTTAATAGTCGAGAAGGAGGTAATTTGTCTCACACCGGGTGTTTAGGTGAAGCAGAGTTTGGCTGAACCATAACGCGAGGAAACGGTCTCCTCCACAGGCGGTATACCATACGCTCGTTACGAATGGCTTTGCTACCAATTTGCGACTCGGCCCTGGTATCCTGATCACTGTGAGCTGAGCAATCAATCCCGTATCTCTTCAGATGTCGATACATAGCTCAACCAAGACTTGACAGGGGAAAGGCTATCCAGACCTGAAAACGTTGCGTTTTCTTCGGTATCTGGCGGATACGATGCCAACGCGAGTTCCACTGTTCAAGGGATACCTCATCATCATCATAACGCTCAACGAAATGCGGTCGCAGGCTGAGGATGTTCGTCTTGGTGGATGCCGATCCTCATGGGATTGACATCGCGTCCGTCTATCAATTCGGGAGCATGAAGTCTCAAAATTCCACGGAAACGAAAGGCCTGGCACTCAAAGATCGCCTAGTCTGGATCGGCATTAAAGCAACTTCCTGGTCAAGGTCAGCTACCTGCAACGTGTCCCTAGTACGAAACGCGATTTCGCTGACACGTGTTGATAGCCTCGGTATCGAGTTTGATAGATTGCTCCCATTATCGGAGAAGGACATCGCGTTTGTAAGTAAAGGTCAGGACTTTTACATAGACCTGAGCTCACTACCACATAGGCCTTATCAATGCTAAGATCAAGAGTCGACATGCCCCGACATTGGCGGTTAGTTTGCCAACTTTCTGTGTCGATTGAGTGAAACGCCTCGCTAAACTCGTGTGACTGGGTAGGCGCGAACTCTGCTACATGCTTCATACACAGCGAAAAGCCGAGATCCAGATCCTCACAGAAAGTCTAGCTCAGGGTTCTTGGGCTCTGGAAAACTCTGCTGCTATCGAATGCGCAGGGGACCCTCTGCTGGTCAGCCTGCTGCAACGAGAAATAAGCGCAAGCACGTCCGTCCAGGCAGGAAGTAGCAATGTCGGGCGTTCGGAAGCAGATGCCGATTCGTCATGACGAATCCTCAAGGATCCCCGATTCGCTTCGCGATTTGCCTAGCCGGTCGCTTATAAGATAGCTCGATGTATCGATGTATATGACTGTACGCACCTGGGTGTCCGACAGTCACACATATGCTTTACCTGCCAAGAAAGCCAGACCTTGGATACAAAGTTTCCGATCCCTCCTCTAGCATTTTCTCCGACGGCCGCAGGATCTCAAGATGAGCCTAGGACAGATCGGGCGACGTGAGCAGGCATCGTCCATGCGATCTCTGATCGAATATTTTGACTGAGGTGAACCGTCGTGTTCTCTAGCTGCGCCCATCAATCAAACGTCTGGAGGGGCACCCCGGATCAGCGATGGCATGACAGAAAACGATTACCTCCGTCTCACAAGGGTAGGTACTTGAACATCTCGCATCGACCAAAGCACTTGGGCTGAAATTCTCGCGAGCTGTCTCGTCACCTCCAATCTAGCGTACCCAAGTTCTGGGTGCTCTTACAGGCTTCACTTCTGGGAGTTTGATCACGTTTGCGGTCTCACGAATGGTGCGGCCTCGACCTGCTCGAAATACTCTGTTCTTGACCTTTCTGTGTAAGTCATCGCTTTGGGGATTCGGCGCAACACTTTTTTCTAAGTACTACGTTACTGACGAATCGATCTGAACTTAGCGTCGTCATTCTTTTGCTCGATGCTCACATCCCATGCAGTCTTGACAGCATGGATCCGTGACGCTCGAGCTCAGCTTGGAAACCGGCAAGCGACTCATGCCGATCCCGATCTGCAGTCTTGGCGAGATTCTCAGAATCAAACACGACACGACGAAGAAGGTGGCGTCGCCGGGTTAGAGATGCTTCCTGACCGATACTCGACCACAAGAGGGGATCATTAATGTGCTGCTTCATTGTATGTCTAGTTGTACTGTAAGGGCCGCTCATCCAACAACGTCGCGTCAAGCCAGATCGCAATTGTCTAGCCTTTCTGCGAAGCTGATGAAGCTCCCTAGACTAACTGGCTATCTTCACGGCTCCCATCTCTCGCATTCTTGCCCCGGAGGGCTTCCTTTGTCGACGCCGTGCTTTCGGGTTCGACATGGTTTCCATCCAACTGTCGTATCTCCTCATCTAGATCCAGCTCGTCTTGCTCCTGCCCCACCCGATCGTATTGTCCTCCATGAGTTCCTTCAGCCTCCCAATCGATGCCGCTTGCGAGATCTTTGAATTCCTTTGGCATGAAATAAAAGAAGCTCGCAAGGGCTAGACAACCTCCACCGACCACGTCAATCAGGTAATGATGAGTTAGGTACATAGTACTCCAGTACAGAACCCCCACATAGGTCCAGTACGCATAGCGATATTTGGGGAAGAAATGCGTCAGGAAGAGGGCGTCCATGGTGGCACAGCCAGAGTGTAGCGATGGGAAGGCTCCAAAGACTAGAGGAGCCGAACCAAACGTGTTCGTGTAGCCTTTAGATCCAAAGATTCGATCGATCCGCATCAGACCTCCAGGAGAACCCGGCATCGAGTAATTGGCCGGAACGAGACCGTGAATAATCTCATACCCTATAAGCGAACGAGGGACGACAGGATCAGCCGTGAAACTCCTTTGCGGATGCTGCTAGTGGTCAGACTTACATGGGGCGGCGCATGGGAAAAAGATCTGGCAAAGCACGCCCACAAGGTTCATAAAGCCAAAAGCTTTCCCAAAGAATTGGGCAGAGCCTTTGGGTGCAAAGGTCCATAGGACGAGCGCGATAATACCGGGAATCGCAAAGTGACCGACTCCATATGGCAACCAAGCGAGAATGTCGAGCACCGGATGGGTAAATCGGGTCAACAGGTCCGAGATGTTCGCCCCATACAGGACGGACTCCAACGTAGGGAGCAGGACGACGTGGATATCCGGTCGCCAAGAAGAGGGGATGTACCTCGCGCAGAAGAAGGTGAGGACCCACATCAACACGGGTGTGGCGGGAAAGAAGAATTGCGAGGTGGCGGGGATGAGGATGGCGGCAAGATATGCAGTGGGGATTAGGACCTTGAGCAAGCGCGAATCCATGATGTAGAGGTTGACGCAGGCAAGGATCGCCAAGCCTGCCCATAATGCCGTGTTGTATATCGTGAATTGGTACTGTCGTAGGATGCCGATCGTTTTTCGTGGATCCATTGATGTATCGAGCCGTTTCAACCCGGCGATGATGTGGGCAACCAGCGACGACAAGGGATTGGCAGCGGTAGTAGCCATGTTGGTCGGTACCGGTATTCTCAACGTGCGGAAGAGCCTCGCGAAAGGAGCTAGTACCATTCTGCCGACCGAAGCCGTCGGCACTTGGTTCTGAGAGTTTGATCGTTGCATTGTAGGTTTCGAAGACGAGATGTTGTAGTCTATGCGAAGATTCGGTGAAGAATAAGGGTGGGAGAAGGGATCCTGCTCGTGAGGCATACAGGCATACGTGTCCTATCCTCCTTGTCGCTCTCCTATAGATGGTCGACGGACAAGGCTCGCAGGAAGACTACCGAACGAGACGTCGTATATGGTTTCCAGTTGGATGTGATTAACAATAATAATAATAATGATTAGGGTATATGCCAATGCCAATGCGATATTGCTGACCATGAGAGCTGCTATTGATCATCACGTGACTTCCCCCCGCCCGCCCGCCCACCTATCCCTGGCGCGCGTGAAAGATTGACAATCGCTCGGGTTCACAATTTTTCTCTGCCTTACTAAGCTAAGAGACGCGCCCACGCCCGTTCGCGCGAATGTTTGAGCGAATGTTTGAGCGATCGAGCAGAAGGTACTCTGTTCTTAACTCGGTCACACATCACATCACACGCATTACTAATTGATAATTAGCCGTCTAGTGTATAGTATTAATCAATTGAGTAAGTGATTAGTACCTTACTAACTCATTACTTTGTTTAGTAAGTAATTACTAGCTTATTAACCTTATATCACATTCGACTTGCTCCCTCTCTCTCTCTCTCTCTCTCTCAAAGATCAAGTCGCCAGTTGCCAATATCATTCATAGTCTCTTAGCCTGACCTCCTCTCGTTCTCATCAATCACATATACTAACAGAATCATGGTCTTTCCACACCCATGTCAGTTCACATGATCAACCTCCCTTATCCAATCAGTACAACTCTCCTAGACACCATCTTGTTGTAAGGCGAACATGTCCCCGCGAACAATTCCGGCGACCGCAAACGTCCTGGTCGCCCGCGAACACTTAGTGTTCGCCGTTCGCGAGTATCCTTTACCATGTTTTCAAGTCAGCCCAGTCATCCCTTGTGCTGCAATATTTTGACTGTGCCATTCGAGAGAGAATCATACATGCATAATTTCGGCATATTGGACATCAAGCTACACGATACAGGACCTCTTTAAACAATTCAAACGCATTATAATACTCCGTATCAATACTCTCGATCTCCCTTACTCTTCGTCGTTGAACCCCTCTTCCTTCTCCCGGATCCTCCTAGCCCAGTCGGCCGAAATCTCACTCGTGTAGTCGAAGAACTCGTAAGCCAAACGCTTCCACTCCGCTTCTTGGGGATCAAGGTTTGGCGTTATCGCCATCTCTACACCCATCCTACCCGGATACACCTGCATGTAGAGACCGACGGTACCGGTTGTCCTTGCTGCGTCGATCAACTTGTCGTGAATGGCGTCGCGAATATCTCCCGCTTTCTTCGACCGGGCGTCCGAGGCCTGTTTCTTCGTGGCACAGGACTTCTTATCACTCGCTTTTGAAGGCAAGATCAAGGTTGGGTCTACCCAATCGTCGTCCTGGCCCCACTCCAGCGCGACCTTGCTCTTGCTGGACGAGCGGTATTGGTCGTTCGACTTGACGAAGAAATTGACGTCTTGAGCCGGCCCGATCTGGTGAGTCCAAGCGACTCCCGCTCCTGGCCTTCCCGCGGTCTTCTTGTCCCCAAGCTTCTTCACGCAGGATCCGCCTTCTTCCCAGGCGTCCGCATCGTCAGAATCGCCCGAGTCGCCGTTATCGCCTTTTTCAGAGTCGGCGTAGTCAGAGTCATCGGACTCTTCCCTATCCTTGGGCAACCCGGCCGAAAGCACGCCCGCACTGTTCTTGCTCGTACGGGGTTTTGCCGGGCTGCTCTCCTTCGATCCGGGAGTCCTTGATTTGGACTTCGCAGCGACCTCCTCGTCCACGTTCTTCTCGGGGGGCTCGTCAGCTCCTCCTCCGTTGTTGTTGTTGTTGGACTCGTCAGTCCCTTCTCCCCCTCGTCCGGTATTCCCGTCGTCCCCGGCGTCTTCTCCTGTAGCAGCGTCCGCGTCAGGCCCAGGACCATCCCCAATATCGAGATCCATGTCCGCAACATCCACTGCCGGGTCGGGTATCTCGAAAAGATCTACTACCTCGCGAACAGCACGCTCTTCGCTTAGACTCCTCTCGGTGAAACCTGCGGGCCGCGAATAGGCAAATGGCACATTCCGCGGTACCAATGCTGCTCCACCGGGTAGATCGAGATGAAGACCGAAGATCAACCCACGCATTCGCAACATCTTGTCCGTCCCGGGCTTGGTCCACTCGTTCAACCACGAAAGAGCGAAATTCCTACGCAACGTAAATCGCCTTTCCCATGTTTGACGAGTGATCATTTGTCGCTCGAGTAGGTCCATGTCGGCAAAGAACCCTATAAGATGTGTATTCGTAAGTCAGTAATCTGTTAATCATGGAAGTTATCGAAGACGCTTTTACTTACCAGACCAAACGGGCCTACTGAAAGACCCCAAACGTTCGCGTACGAGTTGCTCCTTGACCGACCGAGGCATGTACAGTACGACACCTTCGGAGAGCTCCCGCAACACATCGCTGGCATGACCAAGAGGCGTTCCCAACCACTCGAGGTTCACAACGGGGATGATTTCTGGCTGAACCCCAGGCTCAGACGCCCACATCTCCGCCGCACTCTGAACGAGGTCCTTCCACCGCGAACGAGCCTCCGGCAGTAAGACACAGTCCCGCAACTTTCTCAAGGCAGTCTGAACAGTCATCAGACTTGTTCGACGCAGCAGTTGGAGGATGGGTATCCACTCCCGAGTCGAAAACGCCGCCGGTCCGATCAGTTCCCGCAAGAACTCGAGTTCCCCCATCAGCGAAGAGTCCGATCGCCAGTCGTCACGGGAGACAAACACTTCAAGAATCACGCCCGCGATCGTTGCGATCATAGCCACAGACGCTCCTTCCATCCAGTTTTCTCCCATGAAAACCATACGTCGCCAACCGACAGCCCGGACCATGATTCCCAGTTCCTTCCGTTCGCGAGCTTCGGCATCCCCGTCATCCCTGTTCCCGGTCGCGGGGGAAATGTCGCCCTGGATCCTCTCTCGCTGTCGATCTCGTCTTGCCGAGATCTCTCGTCTCTCGATGCCTTTCAGACGCTCAAGTACCGTTGACACCGTATTCTGCAGCTCTTCATCGTCTTCGTCGTCCAAGCCTGCTCCTCGGAGGATATTCATCAGGTCCAGCGACGACATTCCTCCCCACCATTCATCCCCCTCGCGCTGCTCACATCCTTTGACCAGGACGTGGAAGGCGAACTCCACAAACCTGCTCACTGGAGGGGCCTTCATCTCACCCTGGAAAGCCTCCCGCACGCCGCAATCCCATACCATTTGATGGAACGCACATGTTCGCGTCCCTCGCGAGCCCCCACTACAAGCAATGGCTCCGACCTTTTGCCATTCGTCGGCGTCGAACCCTTCTTCCAGTAGTTCGGCGAGATCCCGTTCCACTTCTCCCCAAGCCTCCGCCGATTCACAACCGATCGAGAGCGCCTGCCACACGCGAAGGAGGGCAGCAGGCAAAGCCTCCCGAGCTCTCAACCTCGCTGTTGGGAAGGGTTCTGACCACGACATCGGTCCCGACTTGAAGATAGGCTTTTGGGTCAACTCGCGGAGTACCCATCGATGTCCTCCAAG